GTGCGGATAGAGGTTGGAATCGTGCAGCTCGGAAACCCAGCGGAGAGCGCTGAAGACAAGACCGGTGATCTCAATGGCAGCACCATCGCGAGGAGTTCCGGGTACACCCTTGTTTCCAGCCTTCTCACTCTCTCCCATCTTGTCTTGCCAGGTACCACAGTTGTCTTGATTGCCACCAAAGATAATACCGGTATCCCAATCCACCTTGATATCGATCTGGAACCCTTCAGACTTCATCTGAACATCGAGGTCTGGGCCTGCATTGTATTCCCGAAAGGACATGCCATGGGCGTGTCTCTGAAACACCTCTTGGATACATTCCAGGAGCGTTGGGGACTGGGAATAAGCTCGCGGGTCGTCGAATGGGAACCATGTATCATCATATGGCAAGAATCGTCGTGGGACCTTCTCTTGCAAGATCTCAATGCCATTTGGTGCCATCTTTGTGTAATCCTGAATGGCCTGTAAGAAGAACCAGACTGAATCCCGGGAATTGTACCGGGGTAGCTTGCCGCTGCTCAGCAAATTCGGGATCATGCCATGTTTGAGCACACTGGCAAAGGCGAGAATATGTTCCTTAGCATCGACGAAGCGCCCAGTGCAAAGGAAGAGGCCGCGGATGGAGATAAAGACATCTCGGCCCCAGCACCGTGCCCAATCAACAGCAAAATGGGGCAGTCCTGCTGCCAGACTCGGAACGTGTTTGGTAGGCCACAACGACGCCGAGTTCACATAACCCGTTTGTTGGACACTGACCATTGCCAACTGGTGAATGAATTCTTGACCGTGTCGCACGTTGTCGCTCAATTGGTGGATGCTTCTCTTCCACGCAGCGTTGTAAGCAATCTGCAAAATGATGGCGAAGTATCTCGGGAGCAAGAAGCTAGGCAATCCGCGGACGGCATCAAATCGCTCTCGCAACCAGACAGCAGGTTGGTGCAAGGCAACATATCCTTCCTTAGTGGCCACCTTTTCCATGCGCCCAACCACATAATCCAAAGCCCACTGCCCTTGTCGCAGATGTTCGCAAAGAGGGTGTGCGAGCTGGTTGTACTTGATTATATCTTCAAGAACGCTCCACCAACCCTGGAGTCCAGCGTAGACAAGCGGTCCATGTTCTGGAATGCTATACACCCCGTCCTGGCCGCCACTAGAATCCCTCTCTTCGGCCTCACACCGATAGAGCACAAAGTTCAAGTCGATCAAGTTTAGCTTCGAAAATGCCTCATCAGCACCACTTGCGAGGTAGTTGTCCAAACCCGCAGCATGCTCCGTTCCAGGAATCCAGGTCTCAAAGAGAGCAATAGCACCCGGGGCAAGAGTGCCTAGCACCGAAATGGTAACATCATTGCCGTTCTCTTCAATCTTGGTAGCCTCGACCTCGTTAGTGCGGCTAGGAAGACCCTTTAGGTACTTTTCGTCGGCCAGAACCTTCTCCTTCGTGTCCTCGTCCGCATTGACGTCCAGTATCCACGATCCAATGTGTTTCGCCCGGGTTCCGGTAATATGAGTTGGGGGTAACATTTTACCGCTATCGTTGCCCGGGAACGCGGTATGTGCAATCAGGAAGACTCCCTTTCGGGTCTTCGGATGAACCCGGTGAACGGTGATGAATTCGCCATCATGATGGATATGGGTTTCATCATAGCCCTCCACACCCATCATGGTGTGCAGTTCATTCAACAGCTTCTTGACTCCCCCGATACCTCCTTCGCCAGAACCAGCTTGCAGTTTGTCCACTTCGGAAAATTTGGATGCATATTGCCGTTTTTCATGGACAAGATCGACTAGCTTGGGATATATCTCATCATACCCCATCACACTGCCAACCGCAGAAGCACACATGGCAACGAGAGCGGCATTCGGCAGTGTGTCCCTTGCTTCGCGTTTCTGGGCGGGTACTTCATTGTCATGGGTGCAGTCCATGAAGAGTGCTTGCACAGGACACGGTCGAATGTGCATGATTTGCTCATCAGCAAGCCCCGTCCCAGCAGACGCAATAGCGTGGCTGCTACCAGACGGCAGATCCATATCAAAGCTTCCTATGGGACGACCACCGTGTCGATGGACCAGACGACTGAGCTCTGCTGTGCTCCAGGCCTGCATTGCCTCTCGGATGAGCGCATTAATTCCGAGACGTTTGACGAACACATAATCAGCCTCTTCCGAGCCAGTAAAGAGCTCCGCGAAGACAGTCAAATCAGGCCTCACTTTCCGTGCTTCGTCAAGCAAGTATTCCGCGACCACCATGGGTGTTGAATGGCAGTTGTCAATTCGGAACCCGGAGAAGTATTTAGCCATCAACTGAGTATATCGTGTCATGAAGTCCCAGAGGAATGGACTATCCTTGGGCGAGTTGCCATATCTCAGCTTGACACAGTCTCCCCACACAATAACCTCCCGGCGTAGGTACGCCTTGGAATCGGGCCCAGCGTTGTCGCGCATCGCGTCGGCGTTCCAGATCCAGCCATTGTTTACCAGAGCAAGAGATCTGGGACTGTGCTTCTTGGTCGTTTCATTGCTAGGGAGACGAGTGAAGTAGGTCTCGATCAAAGGAGAATCTTTGGTGACGGCACCCATCCTGGGGCCATGATCGTCGATCCGGAGGTACTTAATGCGATTGAAAAGTTGATCCATTATTTCCTCCACGTCCGTATCGAACTCCTTGTAGAAGGGCAGATTGACTTCATCCAGTAGCTTCAGCAGAGATGTTTCAACTCCTGGAAGGTCTGAGCCCGACGCGTCGTAACGACCGAAGAGTATAGTCAGAATTGCTGCGCCAAATTCGGGATCCACCTGACGAGAGAATCTCCCAAGGAGCTGCTTCGATGTCGGAATTCCATGCTCGCGGGTCACATCGGCTTGCTGTTTCAGTGTACCTGCCTTGAACTGCTCGGGGTCAAGCTGCTTCCACTGTGGGTTTGCGAGATCGACTTTGGCACTGGACCAAGCGTCAAGAATCTTCTTTGTTTCGGTCTTAGGGTTGATTGTGTAGAACTCCCACAGACGAAGCCCATCGATTACTTTGTTCCGCAATACATTCATGACCTTCACCAGATCATCCTCTGTCTTGAACTCCGTTGGCAGACCCAGGCTTTCCAGCTCCTCGCCGAACTTGAGCAGCGCTGTGTCCAGCTCCAGGGCCGATTCCAGCCACGGAGCCGTCTCCAAGCTATACCCGGACTCTGGGTGTTCTTCCAGCCATTTGCTATTATTCGCAGTGTGGTTCCAAACAACGTCGGTCAACGTCAAGAGGCCATATTCGGATTCCATCCGTGACACCAACGATGATACATCTTTCTCTCCATTGGGAAACAGCTCAGGGTCGAACGACAGCTGATCGAATATGCTATATGGCGAATTGGAGGCTCCCCGCTGCATCAAAGGCGTGAAATGGACCATATTGTAGTTCCGTTGGCTGATTCCATGGAGATGTTTATCCCAGTCGGTCGGATACTGGCCCATGAACTTTGAAAGAACCGAGAAAATAGAGAGCGCATTAAGAGGAAGGTCATTTCCGCGCAGAGTCAGCTTTGGCGACACATCGATGTAGTGAACAGGCGTCTGAGTCGGTTCCGGGGTAGGCACACGGTCGACCGAGAACTCTGGTAGCGGCACAAAGGTCGTATAGAAGGCGAACGCGCCCGCGCAAGGGACGGGGATGTCGACTTGGATGTTCTTGCTGAAATCGGGCTGCAATCTACTAGCGTCTCAGCAACCACGATGTCTCATCACGCCAGTGGGACTAATGGAGGATGTACCTGTACTCCCTGAACGAATGGCGGTCGAATGCCTTGCCCTTTTCAGGGATGTTCACCCAGAGACTGCCTTGTCGGCAGATCGAGCTGGTGCCCTCGATGATGAACCGGAGCACGTAGTGCGGGTCGGTCGGGGGTGGGAGGTAGATATAGCCTCCCGGCACATCGGGAGAGCCATCATCCTTCAATGGAAGCAGGTAAACCTGACGGAACGGGCCCATGGTGCAGTCCGACTGTAGCGAAGAAGCGTTGGGCGAAACTAACAGCCTCGGCGTTCACAACTGGGATTGGAGATCACCAGCGTGGGCAGGGCTTATGGAAGACCGCGCGTGGCAGAAAGAATGAATCAATTCAAAAGGTAGAGAGCAGAGCACGAAGGAAGGAAGACTTTGGGAGGGGCGAAGAAGTGATTTTCCCCCCTCTAGTTCCTGGATGGATCTGGCCAGCCGGTGACATCATGGACGCACGGACGAGAGCTATCTATAGATCGACAGGCATAATATCATGGCCGCCACCGTGTTCCTGCTCACCCCTCGCTCCCTGAGGGGAATTGGGCTAGATATGGGAGGTTCCTCCAGTCACTCCTTAGGATAGGTTACGCTAGGGCCTTTTGGTCGCTGTGAAGACCTAAAGGCCACCATGGCACCGGGTTAAGCACGTGATCCCGTTTGCACTGTTTGCCGCACGCGTGTATTTAGTCTTTGTCCTTAAGGTGCTCTCTTCGTAGCGGTTGTCTGATCCCATTCTCCATGGGCCTAACAGGCGAGGATTCACGATCTGGGTGCAGAATGTCTATGAAGTCTCTTTCATCAAAGAACGCGCACCCTCTCGGTTGACGTCTAATTGCCAGGGGCGAAATTCAACAGGAAACTGAACTTGCTCGAGATCGACCATCAGTTTGCTGTTTTACATAGTGATGTGAAAATAGTCTAAATCTAGCATAACACGATCCATTATCTGCGCTTCAATTTATTGCTAGCAATGGCCTATAGTTAGTTCAGTTACCCTCGCTCTGGGAGAGATGTTGCGTGAAAATTTGTTGGCGTCGATCTGAAATGATAGACATGAAGTAGATTTGTGGTAGCTATACCGATTCTTATATCGTGGCCCTTAGAGAGGCCGTGGTTGAAACTATCCACCCTACATTCGAACGATAGACCTAGTCAGGCATACACGAGCATCGAGAAGGGACCTCGAAGGGTGGTCTCGCCAGCATCCATATCATGGTAGTCCCGCTCATACCTAGCCTGTTGGGTACGCCTCGGCTGAATTGCAATATTGGTTAAAGAGAGCGTTAAATTCTACCCATCCTGCCCCATCCATTGTGTTCTCGGGGAGAACACCTACTATGTTCCGGTTTCCGTCTGGAATAAGCGTGGAAGGCGCCGCGGCTGGTAGTGTCATTCCAGTCCCTCCATATGCATTTAAATCAGGTCCAAGTCCACGGTTTGGAAACATAGTATCGTTTCCTGGATCATCTGGGGAGAGGCTCTCGCGAATAAGGCCCTGCGCATCTTGAAGCTGAGCCCTAGAGACCATATCTTGGATCATAGCATACGCATGGCCAGCCGTGGGCCAGATGTCTCGCTGCTGAAAAATTGCTTCACTGCACCAGCGAAACTGCGATCTCGAGTCGCCACACAGCGCTTCGGTGGGAGATTTTACTCCGACGAGGAAGGTCGGGAGCGCGGAAATGAAGAAAGTGGTGGCATAAATCGGCAGTTTTTGCACCAGGTTTTGCTCACAGAAAAGTCGAGCCATTCTGGCTGTTTCATCGGCCACTTTGGCAACTTCCCGTTTCACATCATGCCGAGGAAAATGGCTCTCATGGGTTGGATCTGTCTTTGCCGAGAGTAAGGCTCTATAAAACAGGCCAAGAGTCATCAATGAGAACATGTGCAGAACTGCACGATGTACAAAAAGCACTTCCTCGTCGAGGGCCCATGGCTGAGCATATATCGATGGTTCCGTAAATACACAATCATCGGGCAAAGCCTTTTGCCATTCCTCTAGATTGCAACGCAACTTAATATTCTCGTCCAGGTTGCTCATATGGTGATTGGGAGAATATAACATGACACTCGACATGAGGGATTCGGAAATGCTGGACGGTGAATAATTCCAAGTGAGAATTCGTGTTATCAAAAGACCAACTTTGATCTTTTCTATACACAAACGCGCCAACGTTTGTCTGATTTCCGGGTCTTTGAGAACTGCGGAGTTACGTAGTGAATCGATCCCGGCATCGATCGGTTGGGTCTCGAAATCCTCTAGCGTGAGCAATGGCATAACGTCCTCTTCCCTGAATTGCAACGGTTTCCGTGCAGCAATAGCAAGCATACGGTCTCGGAATATACACACCCACCAGAGGCGATTCAAAAGTCCTCTTGCTTTTGGTGGGTTCCTCAATGTCTTATGGTGACTTCCGAGACCGATCCTTTTCGCTAATATGTGACACACTCCTAGCCAATACCATGGGTCTTTCTTGTCTTCTGGAGACTCAAACCAGCAGGTTATGAGCAGGAGGGCTTGTATGACCGGAACAGGATCCGGTTCCCAGTCAAATTCGTAAAGATACTATCTTCTGTCAGATTGCGGCTTGTGGTATGCCAAGGGACGGTAAGCGCTTACTTTGACCTTCATGTAGAATGCTTTCCGAGCATCTATCCTCGTCCGAAAACCCATTGTTTCAAGCACTGACATATCTACAAATGCACTGCCAGAAAACATGACTGCTTGGAGCAGGATGAGACTGCATGGATTTGAATTCTCAGTCTGGTGAATAGATTGGAAGAAATCCTGGAGATCAAGTACCGGCATGTACGGATGGACATATAACACAAAGGCCCCGATAAGTTCATCACGTACGCCAGCCTCAGGTATAGCCAGTGCCCCACGGCTGGCAAGGACCCCTATATTCTCAGAGTCGAAACCGGCGTGGATGGCTTTCACATAAGCTGGTAGTTCGACGAAGTGGCTTAGCTGCGACAACACTTGCCGCGATGCAGAGATGTAGCCATCGAGACAACTAGCACTCTCTTCAGGATATGAAAGAGCATTTGCCGCTTGCGTTGGAATGTGTTCGTGTGAGCTCGGTGCGACATTGCATGCTGAAGATCCCCGGTCGAATGCGCTGGAAGAAGGAGGGGATGGATTTGAGGCGGCATGGTCAAGTCGACGCTTTTGTTGACGATATCTTCTGCCCCTCTTGGACTCTAGCTCAATGCAAGCAATCCCATCCTCGCGGCAGTTGCTGCAAGGAGTGCCGGAGACGACAAGGTCGCATTTCACTTTTCTCTTCCGGCAGCCCTGACACACATGACTTGCTCGCCTTTTCTTGCAATGTTGGACCGCGTCGTTGCGTCCAAGCAGACTTTCTGGGGTGCCGGAATTGTCCTGATACCACGACGCCATCGTATGCATACTAGTCGAGATTTTGAGGACGACCGGCACAGGACAGAACAGGCTCCTGAAGACAGGATTGTGAAATATTGTAGAATCCGATGGTGCGAAGCAGAGAATAAGTCTTTAGAAACCGAAGGCAAATAACACGGACTCCGTGATATGACTATGACAAATGCCAGCTGGCTTTCAGAGGGCGTTTTCGCGACATGTAGTAATTGATGAAAGTGATAACTACTGATCATCTGGAAGGAAGCCTGACTGAGAATTAATGACTAATCGAATGCGTTCGTCTTGGCAAGAAATGGGTAAATGCGGGGAAAAATAAGCTCCAGGTCCCTCTGCTTTTCTAAGCCTTTTCGCTTGCCGAGGTGCGTCTAGTTAGCGCCCTATGATGTTGGCACCTTCAAAGGAAAAGTGTTATAAAAAACTACCCGGGATTGTCTAGATTACCACACCTGAAACGATCTGTCAAGCCATAAAACTCCTTGCGGATCCGCCGGGCTAAGCCCTCGTCAATCTTAATTCCAGTGTTTTTTTTTTTTGTGTGTGAGAGGAGTATGAACAGTCTGAAATACGCGTCGTTTCGCTCACTCGCACTAGATGTTATACATGAGTTTTTGATCTTGCCTTCGACAGATATCTGATATATCGAACGAACAGCAGGACTGGCGTTGGACACACAGCACGGATCGAAGTCAGATTCACTACCTTTGTGCTGTTTAGTTCTTCTTAATGTTGGCCAGATCCACCGCGACCCTCATTAGGCTTAGCCTAGAGAACAGTGCCGAATCAGAGCATCGTCTAGACCATGAATTTGTGGTAGATTAAACATGATAGGCATAGCGTTCTGCAGAGCGGTGTTCTAAAAAGATCCAAAGAGAACGAATTGGTTAAACTGATTTTGATTTTGAATTTAGGATCACAGTAGCCGTCGATATTGGTCATATTTCTGGACAAGATTCAGAACAAACCAATCAGGACGGAAAGTAAATTTGCTAGTCTTTTTCCCAAACCTCAACAGGACCCCTTCAAAGCGTTAATAAGGCTGACGGCAAACCTCGCTAATATCTCGCTAATATCTCGCTAATGCCCCGCTAATGTCTCGCTAATGCCACGCTAATGTCTCGCTAGTATCCCTCAATGCCTCGAAGACTATTGGGGTCCATCCTGGACATCGGGAGACCAACTCCATGGGAAGGGTCCTGAATTTTGCGGGGAGGAAACCCCGCAAGTGTGGAGGATCGCAGCTAGCGCAGGTTGTCCGAGGCACCGGGCTTTCTTGGAGAACTGACCCTTTCCCGCTTACATGTGTCTAGACTGACACCCTCTTAGGATATAAAGTCACAACCAAATCGATTTCGTCAAGAAAAGAACAATATCTTTCGCCCCCCCAAACGTTTTAACCTTGCGCCCACCCTACAGTACACCACATTGAACAACAAAACTTGGCGTCAGAAACATTTCCAAGATGAAGTGGTCATGGATAGCTCTCCTGCCGCTTTGGTTTGCGCCAACTTCGGCCACATCACCGGTTCCTCGAAACCGCGAAAGATGTGGTTTACCGGAGAACGGTGCAAGTTTCGAAACTTCGACTCCAGAAGCTCAAATGCTGAATCCCGACATCGTCGCTGAAGCGATTGCATACGCTACCACTCACAATCGCTTGACGGTACAAATCTTTCGCGGAAATTGCCGTGTGGCGACCGGACCCTTGGATCCCTTGCTCGACGAGATCCCCTTCAATGTCTGGAGCGTGACTAAGTCAGTGGTCTCGCTTCTCGCCGGTATTGCCATTGGCGACGGCAAGATGAACCTTGACGATGCAGTCGGACAGTATCTTCCTCAGGGTCCTGGCTGGGGCAACGAAGCACACCGATCCATAACGATTCGTAATCTCCTGACGGAAACAGCTGGCCTTCGTGAGGCAGCTATAGCAGAAGTCTTGACCTCGGAAACTGAGCCAAACATTGTTCTGACTGCTCTGAATGAGAAAGTCGAGCACCCTAACGGAACCTATTTTGAGTATGCACAGCGAGTGCCCGACCTCCTGGCTTTTGCAGTACAACAAGCTGTCGGTCAAGATTTACAATCTTTTGCACAAGAGCGGCTATTTGGACCAATTGGGACTCAAAGAGATGACTGGTTCTGGCTGCGCGACCGGTCGGGAAATACCTACGGCTATGCGCACTTGTTCATCAAACCCTCGACTCTGGCAAGCCTTGGTCTTTTGGTGCAAAATAACGGTACCTGGAATGGCAATACAGTTGTTCCTTCCAATTGGATTGACCAAGTCCAGCAAAGCAGCTCTACAAATCCGTGTTATGGGTATCTTTTCTGGACGAACCGCGGCATGCCGTGCACAGGCGCCAATGTGCCAGATGCACAAACCGTCCAAAGGCATATGATACCGTCAGCACCAAACGACCTGTACGCCATGATCGGCTTCATGTGGCAAGACAACTTCGTCATTCCGAGTCTTGACATGACAGTCACATGGACGGGCGTTTTTGGCGACTATACACCTGACCTGGACCAGCTCTTAAGTGCTGCTCCGGGCCCTTTGCTCTGGAATTTCTTCGAAATTCTCATGCGCAGTGTTGAAGACCAACAGATTCCTGATCCTGGACCGTACCGCCCCGATCCTCTGGATTTGGATGTCAATCCGAACAACTATCTAAGTATTCCGATCATATTCAGCGACCTTTTCCCAAATGCCGATTGCAATGTAATTTCTTGCAACTCCACAATTCCAACGAAAGGCCTCATCGAGAATGTCCAGGCCATCACCGGTGCTGCTCTAGGCCTCTAAGCAGATTCATAATCAAGAAATCATTTACGTCTTCTTCTCTCGCTAGCAATCCGCCCCTCTGCCTTGAGATCTACACCCAGTTCGCCTCACCAACAAAGGCGCCTAATCGAAGCCCGCCTAGATTTTCCGGGTGTACAGCCAGCAATTTCTTTAGCATCGCTGTTGAGAAGGGTTGCTGAATGAATACTATACCAACAAATTCTTGTTGTCGCTCGTGAACAGTTTGATTGAGGGTAATCCATCAGATGCTGCACTTTAGACGCCACATGGAACTCCGTCATATCCTTCTACGCATAAGCCTTGTGGATGAGCTCGACTTGATCAATAATTCTGCTTTCTTCTGCATCATAGGCATGGCGTAAAACTCGGTTACACAATCTAGTTTGCCCTGTAGGTCGTCGACCAGACCCTTAATAAAGCCTAGTGTATCCCACCAACCCAGCTCCTCTTCGAGATGCGCTATCTTCTTGTGGACTCCGCTACTGGGCTCATGAACCTTCGCTTTGAATTGAACAGGGGCGAACCGGAAAAGATTGTGCACCGCCGCAAAGAACGCTGTCGGTTAGCAGAGCTGATGCAGTTGCCTTTTCAAGATCTTTCCGTGCAAGACGAATTGAGACAACGTATCGTTGTGGCCAACGCACTTGTTGATCTCGGTCGAGTTGAGAGGTTTGGATTTTTGAGGTTCATTGCCCGAGATGAGAAGTGCGTATAATGCTTGGAGTCGGCAAAAGGGGGCCAAAGTAAAAGGCGATGCGGACATGTAGAACAATGGCTGGCCTAAGAAGGTCGACACACTTTGTACAGACAGCATTCATTTCATAGAGTTATGCTGAATGCAATAGGATCAATCGATTTCACATAAGCCCTACTTTGGCATATTTCATATTGATGTTGCGAATGTTCAAAAAACATCGTATCGAACCATTTTCAATCGAACGATACATAAATGTAACAGACTAAGCACCAACTGTGGAAAGCAGATCGGTATCGAGCTCCCTTGCTTTAAATCCCCATTGATCTAAAACGTCTTTGTCCCAGCCATCAAACCTCGACATGAGCAGCGTCCGCGCTCTTCTGTTCGCTGTCGATTTCGCCCTCCTTCTCTCGAACGAACGCACTGTAGTCGCGCTTGGGCAACTTGTCAGCGGCAGGCACGGCATCGAAAATCGACGTTGTGGCCTCAAAGATTGCATCAATCTCTTCAAGCGATCGACCAGCTGTCTCGGGAAAGAAAAAGTAAATTGTGGGTACGAAAGCCGCGTTCAGGCAGCAGTAGACGATGAAATACTTCCAACCAATGTCGGCAAAAGCCACTGGGGTGACCTCGGCGACCAGAAAGTTGAATAGCCAGGAGACAGCAGTGGATAGACCACACGTGGCTGCCCGTAGATGCGTCGGAGCGATCTCTGAGGCATAGAGGAAAGGCAGTCCCAAGAAGCCGAGAACATAGACAAAGAAGTAGAGATATAGGAAGAAGACAGCCGCTTTCAATGCAGCTGAATTAGTCGCCTGAGACGTCAGACCCGCGAGGCAAGCAAAACATATAGACATGGCCGAGGCGCTGAGGATCATGAGCTTGCGACGACCAAAGCGATCCACGGTATATGAGCAGCAGAAAGCTCCGAGTACCATGACAAGCTGCGATGCTGCGGCGAGAATTGCAGAAGTCGTATGGCTAAAGTGCAGCTGCTCCTGGTAGATACTTGGCGCGTAGTATGCAATGGAATTGACACCTGTCATTTGCAAGAAAATCTGAGCGACAGCGGCAAGGACCACGCGGTGGAGGGTTCTTTGGGGACCCATCTGGAACATAGCACCGATATTGCCTCTGCGGGCGCGCTCGAGGGAGACCTGGATGTTCTCGATCTCTCTGTTCACCGTCTCGCTGTGGGGCTCGACGTCGTAGAGCAGGCCTAAGATCTCTCTGGCCTCGTCCCAGTGATTCATCTTGCAGAGCCAGCGAGGACTCTCGGGCAAAGAAAAGATGAAGGAACAAACCAGGATCGACAAGAACAGAGTAAAGATCAGAGTAAAGCGCCATGAGACAGAGCTGGGTTGAGTATACGACATGCCGAAGGCAATCCACAGGGCCAGAGCAAGACCGGAGCCGCAGAAGATTCCAAAGGCAGAAACGTGCTCGCCACGGTTCTCGGCTTTGGAGACTTCTGACTGCCAGACCGAAACTGTCGCAATAATACCACCCGTACCCAGACCGAGGACGACTCTTCCCACGATGAACTGGCCGAAGGCAAAGGATGAGGCTTGGAGAATGGCGCCAATACCCTGGACAACACTCGCGAAAAAGATTGTTTTTCGACGGCCAAGTCGGTCACCAAGGAACGTGCAACCAAGGGCACCAAAGACTCCAAACAAAGTATACAAGGCGACAACAGTTCCTGGCTAAATCAGCATCGTTTTGGTTGGGGGGTATTTCATGGTAGACCCACCTTGGATCCTGGCATTGTACTTCTGAAGAGCTCCGGTCGTGGAGATAGTATTCATTCTGGGGAACTGAAGGTTGAACGTCGGATCGCCAAGCACACCGCCGGCACTTGCCTGGTTGTAGCCGAAGATAACGACGGCGAAGCAGGCTTCCATCCAGATGGCCAAGTGCAGCTTAGAGCCGCGCAGTCCGAAGAATCGTGCCATCTTGAATGTAAGATGAAGACCAGCAAGGGAACAGACACAGAGCTAGGCATATGGTGAGCAATCCGATCAAGCAGACGGGCTCATTTAAAGATGATCAAAGCCAACCAGGCCGTGCTCAGCATACGGCACACGGCAAGACCCCCGGATTTGGGCGTCCAATGCGAAGCTGAGCCATGTCGACTGAGCACGCATGGTTCCCGTAATTTCTCGAACTTGGCAGACACGATGTCTGAGCTCCCACGGATCCGACTCGACGGTGCGACTATGGCGGTCAGGGGGTGGGGGCTCGGATCCGAACTTCAGATTTTGAGTGGTTGGAACAACTTCATGTTCTCATAGCTATAGTCGAGTCCCTGACCTCCCGAAGACACTAGAGCTTGTGTTATATGGGACGCGCTGATCAGCATCTGATCTGATCTATGGACCCCGGGTTCACACTCCCGAGCTTCTGCATAGAAGTGAAGCAGAGAAAGCAGACATTCCCGAAGACAGTTCGAACCAACATCTACAGCTGGATTGCACGTCCCTTTCTTAATGGGCCACGATATACCAAGAGGTAAGGCATGGTTTTTGTTGGGGCCTCTCGCTTTGACGGCTGGAAGGTAAAGCTTCAGGACGGTGTTGCACTGCACAAGTTAGTTAAACACGTTGATTTACATCGGATCCGAAAAGCTTACTCAGGACCATTGGCATATGACCCTGATGAATCTCGCTTAGCAGAGGGATTAATTCAAGCCTATACGAGCCTTAGCCTGTTCTCTCCAGGGAATATATGTTCTAGGCCGAAGTAATAATAACCATAATGATTACTTAGAAGGTTGGAGTGTCGGTGATTTGAGCGGAGTCGCAGCGGACCGGACGCACCCCAGCCTCTTGGACCCGCGGAATTTAATAGAAAATGTTTCATGCGGGTTGAAACCTTGTCCTATCATAGCAAATTGTGCCAGGTCCCATTTACCCTGCGCCTCAAATAAAGGCTCGGGCGCTTTACGTCCACTGAGTATCAAGAGTCAGACTGCCAGGGCGCCACCTATATTCTACTTCACACAAAAGAACTCCCCACAATTCATAGTCTCTGAGTGTAAACGGACAACCTATGTTCACATGAAGGGCTGGATCGGATCCGACTCTTTTCTTCCCACAGCCGGTTCTGTAGGGTCGTTTCTTCACCATCTACCCCGCACACCATGTTTAAAATTCGGGCTACGCACAGGCATCGCTCTAGCTGTTTTCGGACAAGGCGAGGCATCGTTCAAGGACTTAGCAAATCGCTGTGCTCAATCCCTTTGAAGGATCTGAATTCCCACTCGCCAGTGTCTTCCAAGACAACATATGTATGAAGCTTTGGCTTATTGTGGCTTTTGGCAACTGACTGATGTATCCTGACGATGATACCTTTATGATCTATGGACTCTCTTCAAACCGCGCTTCTCGTATAAAAGCCGCAAGGCTTCCTAAAGAACCTCAGTTTCAGAATTGTCAAGAGTCACAACTCGTTAAATGAAATTTACTTTCATATTGAATAATCGCCATGACCAACTGGGGCCCCTTGATCGTGCTCGGTGCAGTCTGTACGATTACTGTAGAGGCAGCATCAGCTCTCGGTGCCTACAATGTTGACGCCTCGACGGTCTCCGTGTCTGGTCTATCCAGCGGCGGCTTCATGTCCGCACAGCTTGGTGTGGCATATTCAAACGTCTTTCAGGCTGGCTTTGGTGTTTTCGCCGGCGGGCCTTTTGATTGTGCCCGTAATCAGGGTGTAAGTTGAACCTACATACGATTGAATCAAATGAGTTCAAAAACGATTAGCTAATGCCATTCTCTGCAGTATACATCCTGCATGTACAATCAAAATCCTTCTATTACCACACCAACTGCAAACATGAAGTCGTGGAGCGGTGATGAGATTGCCACGACGAGCAACCTCGCAAATCGCAAGATCTACCTCTGGGAAGGGTCCGCAGACACCACCGTGGGTCCTAACGTGATGAATGCGTTGCATACTCAGCTCAGCAGTTTCTATACTTCCGCTGACGTGTCATACGTGACGACAAATGGTGCTGTGCACACCTTCCCCACTGATTACGACGGCTCAGGCGACAACTCCTGCAGTATGTCCACCTCTCCCTATATCAGTAACTGCAACTACGATGGTGCTGGAGCAGTCTTACAGTGGATGTATGGCTCCTTGAATGCCAGGAACACTGGCACCCTCACCGGTAGCGTCGTTTCCTTCGCCCAGACGGGTGAATACGGTGCCGCCGGCATGGACACGTCCGGCTATCTTTACGTCCCTGCCAATTGTCAGAGTGGCTCCACTGTCTGCAAGCTACATGTTGCCCTGCATGGATGCCTGCAGAGCTATAGCAATATTCAGATGGACTTTATTCAGAATACAGGTTACAACATGTGGGCCGGTAAGAGCAAACACCGTAAATTCAATCAGATCTGGCTGACCTTTTTCATTCCCCAGATACTAACAACATAATCATCCTTTACCCTCAAGCAATCCCTGACAATACTATGCACAGCATCTGGGGAGGGAGTGAGCTAAGCAACCCGAACGGCTGCTGGGATTGGGTGGGATGGTATGGAGCCAATGCTGACCAGATAGGAGGTGAGTTCAAATTGGGGAAACCGGGGGATATACTCTTGCTAACATTTCAAGGCGTTCAAATGGTGGCTATTGTGAACCAGGTGGCTCAGATCATGAGCGGTAACACAGGCGGGGGTACCTCTCCTGGAGGAAGTACTACCACGTTGAAAACCACGACGAAGCCGACAACTACAACGACCACCTCTGGGAGCAGTGGAACTGGTGCGCCCCTGTATGGTCAATGTGGCGGGTATGGATGGACTGGTCCAACAACTTGTGCGCAAGGCGTTTGCACAGCCTATAGCACTGAATATGCCCAGTGCCTGCTACCCCTCTAAGCTTTGTTGAATGACCAAGATGAACAGCAAAAGGACTAATACATACTCAGACCACCATTACATATTTTGTCACGGGTTGATCGGGTCTTGGGGGAGGCAGTGAATCGAGGCCCATTTGACCGCAATATCACGCGAATCCTATCGAAATTACTATTTTGTCACGTATTATACCAGTAGGGTAGATATTGATGGCATCGAGACTCAGGGGAAGTCAGAGAAAGCCACGGCAAGGACCTTATCGTGGAGGTCACTAGGGAGGAAGAAGCGAGAGAAGATGAGTGTATTCCTAAGTGACGGGAAGGCCTATCTACAGGCGGCGGTGGGCGCTGACACCTCGGGCACCAACCTCATCAGATATGTTTCAAGGCCTTTCCGTCGAAGCCAGCCAGGAAGACGACATGGCGAACTTTCAGCTTGCCAATCTCTGGCTTCGCATTCTTCTTCATTTTGTCGGTTGGAGAGAACTCCATGGAGCAGCCGCAGGTGGAATCCCGGGGACGGTTGCCTTACGATTTGAACGCGTTTCCACCATTTCTGTGAGAGAAAAATGGCGAAGGAGGAATGAAGCAGAGAAGAGCGGTGGAGTAAGAGAATGAGAGGCGTGCCTTGTTTTCTTTTCTGACAAAGACTGCCAAAATGTTTGTCTACACGTGCTGGACCGCGAAGAGGGGAACAAAGGGTCGCTAGACATCCGCCGGTCAACCCTGAGATTATAGTTCATATCCAAACGCCACCGCCGAGTCTCGCCCATATAGAGGCTATGGCCATTCGCCGTACGAGCTTACATGGAACCGTAGTTGTGTCGGTCTTGCGAACTTATGTCAGGGGATAATCATACCATACGATACTAACATGCTAGACCACCAGTCTTTACCGCCAGGAACAATGTCGTCCTTAGGCGTGACCCTTCGAAAACCCATGAACAATGGCAGCGATAGAGTGAGTTGGGCCAGAGTCAAGGGCATTAAGTTCCGAACTATTTTTCGAAATAGAGTTAACTAATCAGGTGTACGATAGTCTGAAACCTGTTACCCACACTATACCAGTAGATAGAGGGGTTTCTGACTTTTGGAACACCACTATAACTATAATCCGCTGGTTATTGTCCGTTATTCTTAGAGATACAGAGATTTCCCTCCGATTGGGCAGCTCTCGTATGGACCATACGACCACTTAGTATACGAGCACTTTATTAACCATATAGTATAAATACAATAAAAGGGGGTCTTTCATTCGGCATACCCCGTATGAAACCGCTAAAATTTAGCGCGCTGCCAAAATGCCAAGTGGGGTCATGCAGATTTCTTGCCAGGCATTGTAAACGCAGCAGGACAAGGGATTTGGTTGTTAGAATACCTGTCACAGAATTCATAGCGACTATGTTTCTCCTCAGGCAAATATGTCTCCTTGACAGTGCTATCTTCGCGTTTGTAGCTCTAGCTGGCCCTGGGTTACATACCACGCCTCTCGCCGATCACCTATTCTAATTTGCTGTGGATCATTAGGCTTTTGCATCTGATACGCGCTAGACTTTCCTGAGGGTTTCCGCCGAATTGATCATCAACGGCCTGGCAGGTCTGTCCCTGTTTCCTGCAGGACGACGGGGATATTTAAAATTTCCTTCCCCCGCACCGTTTCCCGCCATCATTTCGGTACATGTCCTCGTCGGTAGCATGACAGATGAGGACCAAAGGGCACTCACCGTGAGGACGGTTGCGGCCGTCTTCATGTCAGTCGCTTGTGTATCGGTACTCTTGCGTTGCTATGTCCGTGGTTGGGTGGTGAAGGCGTTTGGATGGGATGATGGGTCGATGGTTCTGGCAATGGTAATTATTTTCTTGTTCGGGTGCTCAAGTTGAAACAAACTAATTGCATAGGCATTCTATGTCATGTTCGCCGCCTGTACCATCGGTGGCACTTTGTACGGCACTGGACGGAAATTCGAACACCTCACAGCATCTCAGCGGGTGATTGCGATGAAGGTAAGCCTTTTAGTTTGCTAGATTACTTTCAGCCTCTCTCTAACTTTTTTATTCGAATAGTACTGGTGGCTTTGCGAAATCGCTTACTGCTTCGCCTCGATCTTCTGCAAGATTTCTGTCTGCCTTTTCCTTATGCGAATCACCATCAAAAGACTCCACATTTGGATAATTTACACTGTTATGGTCCTCACGGTCCTTGCAGGCTTGGTGTTTATGTTCCTGATGCTTCTACAATGCAAGCCTCTTTCATACTTCTGGACGCGAACTGCTATGGATCCTAGCATTGAGGGCTACTGCATTAGCATCAACATCATCATCACCATGACATACGTATACAGTGCATTCGCAGCGCTGTGTGATTTTACTGTGGGTATTTTGCCCATTTTCATTGTGTACAATCTACAAATGCGACGAGAGGTGAAACTGGCTGTGGGCGGAATTCTAAGCATGGCATGCGTGTATGTCATTTCTGTCTGACAGTCTTGGAAGATATTGCTGACAACATTCAGTGCGTCAGCAGCCGTGATTATCAGGCTCCCGTTCGTGAAAACATTTGCCAATCCCGAGTTTCTCTGTCTGTTACCTGCTTTTCCAGAAACCGCTGTCAGGATACTAACCAACATATAGATGCTACCGTCCCGATCGCTATTTGGTCGAATACTGAGGCCGGACTTGGTATCACTGCTGCTAGTCTCGCAACCCTCCGTCCCCTATTACGTCTATGGTATGGCTCTCACACCGACTCAAGTTATCCATCTGGCTTCCCGGTAGCATCTGGGTCACACAAACGAGGTAACTCACGGCCAATACCACTGGGGTCAGTGGATGATAACCTGCAAAGAGACCTGAGGCCGGATAAATTGGCTGTCGTGGTGAACAGTATTGAAAGCCGGAGGGACGTGGAGAATACGCCATTCTCTAGTCCTAAAAGCAGTGAAGAGAGGCTGACTGTTGACCATGCGACCCCGTCCCTTCAAAAAAAGATGGAAGTGGGTGTTCATCAAACATTCGAAGTCACACACACGACGTCGGACAGGAATTACGGAGAGGGGTCTCATCGAATCGCGAGGGAACATGTATAATTAGTTTTGTAGTGTACGGTGAGCCAACCTCATTATCAAACGCATTCTCATTTTCGACTTATGATGGGCATTCTTGAAGGCCGTGCTGGCACTCTAATAAATCCTGACCTATAATCCACTTTTTAGAGACTGCTGTTCATCATCGCTCACGTTGGCAATAGGTTACGACTTCAGTTGGACTTAAGTACGCCCCAGGGAGAAACACCTTAAATTAGGCATGGCTGAAGAATCATCAAGTTCCACAGTACGTAGTGTAATATCAGAGGCTTTGTTTATCAGTGGATTTTCTGTTCTGAATAAACTACGCTGCTCTCGTAAATTGAGCATCGGTGTCTGCGACACCAACATACGGGCATTGGTACCCGGCCAATTTCTTCTCCTCGTCCTTGCATGAGCACATATAAGGCTTGTCGGAATCGACACTGACTGATTTGGCAAAATATGGTCTATCGAACAATTGGGACAGAGTGAGGCATATCATAAAGTACGTCAGCTATCGCAAAGAGCGAGAAAAATAATTAGGCCCCGATAGGCCCTAGTGAGGCTCGACGTTGGTTGTCACGAAATTGTACGTCCCCCATGTACAGAGGAGGAGACAACCAGAGGGCAGCCTGGATATCTTATATTGACTGCTACTAGGTGTCAAGGATTCCTCTACGTGTTACCGGAATCTATAACTGAAAGCAGCGCGCCCGTATGTCCTTGCTTATCTATAAGCCTTGATTCTCTTAAATCCAATCTCTATACTAATTGAGATATTCTATCCTCTTTGCTGATCAGATTCCTTTTATAGGCTCTTTGGTGTGTGAAAATGCCTTCGAGATCGACCACGCAGTAACCTTGTTGGCCCTTTTGGGTTATCTTGCCTCTCCTAGATTGCCTACGTTAAAACGATACACCACATATTCTATGACAGAGCTTTCGAAGACTCAAAGATAGGCAATTCTGAATCCCGCCTATGCTAGTCTTTGTCATGTATTTGATGTTTCAGCAACGTGCCGAGGAATATAAAGCAGTCTCCTCCCCAGGGCTAGAAGCATCCGGGAGAGCAATGGTCGCTTATTGTCCTTCGCCCCCATCCCCGCCTTCGTCAACTTCAAAAGACTCCTTGCTCTCCAACACCACGGGCGTAAAAAAAGCCATGGCCTCAGAACCGTCCGGACGAAGAACGATGACCCTTCTACCCCCGAGTCAGCGTATCGTGAAAAGGCCGGTGTGGCCAGTTGATGAACGCGCCAGGACCGCGGTTAGAGACTTGCAAGAGGGAGAATTGCTGCAGCTAGTGAGGAGCCGTCTTTCGTGTTTGCATGAAGATGCAGAGCTAACTGCGGATCTTTGGTGCAGATTATTGATTACTCAGAGGAAGAGATGCAGTTTGCCAACTCCTACAAGGGAGTCGACCCGGAAATTGTCGCGGAGCATTTTGTCTCCCCCTCGTCACAGGTATATTCCTTCTACCGGTATCCAGGCTCTGGTTCTGTGGTCTTGATCTGGACTCGACATCATTGGGCAAACTCGAGCAAGCACTTTGCCCGCCAGAATGGAGTGCGGATGGACATGATTGCTATTGCCAAGGAGCAGGGAATCAAAAATGTACACCTGGTACCAGAGCCCCATGTGACATAGTTTTGCCTCAAATACTCACGAATCGTAGCTTCAGGTCCAGTCACAAGATCAGATCAGTGGAGATATTTTGAAGGCAGCTGTCTACTCTCCGGCAAGTTAAATACACCCCGTCACTCGGGGTTATGATATGGCATGACATTGTGGACGATATAGGTAGAAAGGAATTTTTAAATATAACTAAAACTGGTTGTATTAAGTTCTATATTATTACTTTCGTTTCTTTAATATATATTGACATAGAATCTAATCTGTACACCGTTTATAAAGTCTACTTTATAGAACGAGGGAGCTTAGATAGCAGGTTTCCCGGATGCGTTGTATTTCTCACTTCTCGACCAACCCGAATATCGCCTACGAACAGTCGGAGAATAGCGATATTTGCTTTCTCTTGCTGATGAAGTATGTTGTGGTACACTTGAATTGTTGTTGTATGCTATACGTACATTCATGACTCAACTATCTACAATGATGTCCGATGCCCTCATTATAGCCTTGCGCTAACCATCAGAGCATCATCACCATTCTCGCCTTGCGATTTGACAGAAGGAGAAGTTCGGGATCGGGTTTGAGGAGGGCTGCAAAAGGAAAAGAAAAACCAGAGGTTCGCTGATTAACACCACAAACAGACAAAAGGGAAGACATAATAGGAAAATTACCGCTCGATGTGCGAAGGAATGTCTGCGACCGACATCTTGCCTTCCAGGATTTCTAAGGAGGGTTAGTATGATAAGCACGTGGAATAGGATGGAAGACCACTTACGGTTAACAGCAGTGAACAGAGGGAACTGGTCCTCCAGGCCCTGCTTCGTCAGGAACTTGTTGACCTCCGCGGAAGTCAAAGTCCCCTGGAGCTTCTGGCCGTTGAGTTCAGACTTCTCAACCTCCTCGATGGGCTGGTTGCGCTCAACGCTGAGCTTGGCACAGCGGAAATTTCGCCCACCGCTGCAGCTGGTGATCAGATCGGCGACACCCGCGCTCTCTTCGGTGAAGGTGCGGGTGTCTATCGTGGCGCCAAAGAACTTCTCGCCAAAGCGCACCATCTCCAGCAGTCCAACCCGCATAACAGCGGCCTTGGCATTGTCGCCCCAGCCCATGCCATCCACCCAACCCGCAGCCAGAGCGACGATGTTCTTCAGGGCGCCACTGATGGACACGCCAGCAACGTCATTGACAACCCGCACGTGGAAGTAATGGCGGTGGAAGAGCGTCTTCAGCACGGCATGGTCGACGGGCGGGTACTCCGACGGCAGTGCCTGCAGCTTCACCTGCGAGAACTGGCCCGAGGTGTCCTTGTGTTCAAAATGCACGAGGTCGACCTGGGAGGCATTCGGGGTTCGCTGAGGGGTGGGCGCCTTGGAGTCCATGTGCGGCGGGTCGTAGGCCACGCTCGTCTCGGACCATTTCTCCTGTGCTACCTCGTTCGCGATGTTCGCGCCGGACAGCGCACCGCAATAGATCCCAAGGGTCTTGCCGATCGTCTCCGAGAAGAGGTTGATACCTTCCTCGTTGACATCAACACCCTTGATGCACGAGATGCCACGGGCATACGGCAGGATCTTGCCCTTCAGCTGCTCACAGGTCTTGATGATAAACTGGTGCGGCAGGTTGAAGACCAGGATGGTGCTGTCCTTGACGGTCTCCTCCAGCGACGGGTTGGCGTGCAGGTTGGCTGGCAACGAAATTCCTGGAAGATATTTGACGTTCTCATGGATTCGGTTAATCACCTCGGTCAACTTCTGGGGGGAGGTTTGAGCGGGATCGTAGTGCTTGGATGTCTTGGGGATCTCGACGTTCTCCTCAAACACCCACATTTCCACCTTTTCCTGGAAGATGTCAGAGTTGGCCGCCGTGTTTTCGGCGACGATCTTGGCGATCGCGGTGCCCCTGCCAAAAAAATCAGTTATGGAGGAAATTTTTCTCGGAATCTCACACGCACCAGTTGCCGGAGCCCACCACCGCCACCTTGTGCTTTCGCTGATACGGGCCAAGAGATCCCATATTGGATGGTTGCTTCGAAGGTGTAGAGTATGGTCGGGAAAGAGCTCGGTCGGCGAAAGGCGGGGACTTAAAAGGCCGTAGGGATCCCGACGGGGGCGAACGGGGCGTGGTGAGTCGGCGGGCCTGGATCCGGGTGGCTAGCGGCGACCGAGGCAGGTGGGCTGTGGCACTGGGCACAGGAAAGCAAGTCCGACGATAAAGGTGCAACATCCACGAAAAGCCGGATCTGGGAGCCCCAACGATGCCCGAGTTTCGCCTGTTGCCGCACGAGATCTGATGTCACCGGGCCCGAAAAAGGTCGGCGATCTTAGCCGTGGAGCTCGGCAGGGATTCGTTAGTTCTGATGCTGAGGCGATCAAACGTCAGTGGGTTTTTCTTGGTCACAGGGGATTTGCAGGGGAACCCGACAGGGACCAGGGCGGTGAGACACTTAGGTAATGGAACAACAATTTTCTGGAGATCGACACTGACTGACTGCACATGCGAACATGGTAAGTCCACGCTGTCTCTCCACCACGACCCGGTTCATTCTCGTTGCTCATTCGTATCATTATTCTCAGGCTCCTTCTCGCTCGGCCATGAAGAAACCGGCCCCGGGCGGAGGTGCCCTGCCCTCCAGATCGGGCCCGTTCAACGATGACTTCCGCACGAGCAAGAAAGACAAGCGCCAGATCAAGCATGCGGCGTTGATGTCCAAGATTGAAAAGACCCAGAAGCCGAAACGCCGGCGCCCGTCGAAAAAACTTGCAGCGAACCTGGAATCACTGGCCGATGCGCTGCCTGAAGCCGAGGAAGCCGGCGATGCATCGAGTCAAGTGAATATGATCAAACAGAAGACTTTGAAGCACAAGCCCGGGGCCATGAAGCAGAGGGAGAAGCTCGAAAAGGTCGAACGGGATCGATTTGCAAAGAACATGGCCCAGATGTCTAGCCTCACACCACCTGCCAACAACGCTGGGTCCAACCCGGATGCGAGTACGACGACCAGTCGATGGTCCGCCCTGCGGAACTTCATCTCGTCTACAATGGAGCAGCAGCCTGTATTCAAGGGGAACAAATGAACGTGCGATGTGGACGGCAGTCACAAGTTACACAACACGCCAGCCTCCGATCACCTGAGGGCCGCTTCAGCTATGGGGATAGCCACCACACCAACGGCGTGCTGCCCTCGAATGTAAGGATGCCACATGAACTGCCCGTTGCAGCCTATTTCCCTCAGACTCACCGGCTGTTGCTCTTATCCCGAGTCAAGCGTGTGCAATCCACCCTCACGGCTGAAATTCGTTCTACCATCAAGACAGCTTGAAGAAATTCGGGGCAGACCTCATGATTCCCATCCCATCATCCGGTCTATGAATTACTCAAAGCCCTAAGCGTAAAATGTCCAGATTCTACACCTCGAGAGATCGAGAACTACGCCAAATCATCTTAATCAACCAAATTCATTCTGGACAATGATGTCAACAAAAAAAACTTCTTGTTTATGCCGCTTCCTGTATAAAACAATCCAGAGCACATTCTACATTCCCATGCACAGGAAACCCTTTCAGTCTAGTGTGTCCTCTTCCCTCCTGTCCGACACAGACCCGCATCATCCCAGTCCTCACTACCGACTCCTTTGCGCGAGATGAACAATCCAGCCGGGTCCCACTTCTGCTTAAGGTAGTACAGACGTGGATAATGCTCGCCCCAGAACGAAGCCTGGAACCCCGGCTCATAGGCATTCGCCTCGTTCAGATACGCGCCCATGTTGTCCTCCCCCTCGACGGATCGCAAAATCGGAATCTCTACGTCGGTCATGTTCTTGATGACTGCTGTTTGTTGTGCCAGCGTGGCATTGACCGACCAACTGCGAGAGAAAAGCATGTGGGTGATGGTCTTTCGCCAAGCGGGATTGAGAGCGCTGTCAATCTTGTCTCCGTTCGACGCAGCAGCGCCACCGGCCACCACATGGCTGGTAATCTGGTCATAAGGACCCATCTTGATGCTGCGCCAGGCGTCAGTGAGTCGATCGGGGCCATCTGCCGATTCAAGAAGTTCTCTCGAATACAGTCGCGACCCAAGCATGGATATCCCGCCTGTGCTGTCCGATTGAGATCCGCCCAGGAGCAGAGTGGAAATGGTGGAGTAAATACTCGGAAAGACTTCGGTCTCATACTGCGTCATGACCCCGGGGATTTGTTCCAGCTTCGAGCGCAATGGAGCATAAAGCTGGTCGATCTCACTCGCGTTACTGTGCTCTGGGAACAGAAGCAGGATCATCATGGCGGAGAGACTCATGTCTGCGGACACTGGGTAATTTGGCAACGTGAAGTAATATCCTGAGCCGCCGGCACCATTCAGGGCTGGAAGGGCGGCATGGTACTGACTGAATGCCTCCCAGAAATTGGGATCGCCTATGGCCGTCGAGATGTTGAGATTGCTGGCCACCACGGGCACCTCCGGAAACGTGCGAACAGTGACGCTGGTCACCACGCCAAATGTTCCACCACCTCCACCGCGCAGAGCCCAGAAGAGGTCGGAGTTCTGGAAGTCATTGGCGGTGACGAGGTCGCCCTGTTGATGAACCGCATTAGCCAAATCCTCCTTCACATCGAGGGGTCACGTACGCTGGCCGTCACCACTTCGAACTCGAGCGCATTATCCGAGGCCATCCCCTTCCAAGCGCCAAAGGGCGAATGTCCTCCCCCTTGAATATATCCACCGGCAGCGCCAACAGTGTGCGCGGATCCTCCAATCGCCGTCCGGTTATGCTGCGCCACAAAGGCATAGAGCTCCGGCAGGTTCACACCAGCAGCCATGGTGACGGCCTGACCTTCACCTTTATTCTTCGGTGCGCCTTTTGGCACAAAGTTGTCGACCATCTGGATATCTTTCATGTTGAAGGTCAGGATCTGCAGTGACTCCGGGGCAGTCGAACGGCCCAAAAAGTCATGGCCAGAGTTTTTGATGGCGAGACGAAGATTATGTCTGCTGGCGAATTGCACAGCCCGCTGGATCTGGTTGGTTGTCTGGACTATTGCCGAGTACAGCGAGATGCGACCCTGGCCGCACTCTTCGTTCTGCGGTGTCGTGTCATAGCAGCTCTGATCGCGCTCCGGCCAGGCTTCCCAATTTTCCCATTGCACCGCACCAGGTTCGCTGGCCCGCCAGGTGGAATTGGCCCATTGCGCCTGGACGGCGCTGCAGGCCGTCGCGTCGAAATCACCCTCGTGGCAGACTGCTGCTACCGGTCGCACGGCAACTAGGTTGCCTTGGAGGGTGTTGTTCAGTGCCGCCCACTCATGGTCTGAGGGCCAACAGCTCTGATTGGGAAGACACCGACAATTGTGTACTGACGGGACTGCAATAGCCACCAGCGGAAGAAGAAGAAAGTAAAAGAGTCTATTAGACATGATGGACATATTTCCTGGGGAATGCAGCCATGCAGTTGAGCCAGGATCTCTGCGGATTTATATATTTTACTCCCCTGAGGCGGTGCAGGGGTTTCTAGAAAGGAGTGAATAATACGAGGTTACCTAACTGGGACAAAACGCGCGATAAAGTTTACCGGACAAGGCTCAGCGGATAGATCTTGGGTCTTCGTATCGTGACATCATGGGTTAATTCCAACTACATAGCCTACGTTGGTCTTTTCCCTTGTAGACGTGGTACACCGAAATCTTCATTAGGAGGCAGGGTTTCAGTCCATGTGTCTGATTATGTGCATTACATGCCGCCACCGAAGTTGCTAAATGCTGACTCAGCCAGATAAGCCCGCCTGCGGGGAAAGCTCCGTATCGGATGAGTAGTGGTTCTTCCCTTCACCTCTCCCCAACATATCCCTTTCGCTTGTGCCGCACTCCCTGGCCATGCTGAGGCCACTCCAGCGCCGCGGGCTCGCAGTAGCCTGCTCGACGCCACGACTCGCTGGTGGCCGACTTCGGCCGCCGCCGCAGGCACGACGACCGCTCTCCAGCTCCTCCAACAGCTTCCCAACAGCTTCGCAATTTAACCGGTCAGATTTTACAGGCCAGCCCTTTACCGGGAGCTATGAGCCTGGTCTGCCGACGTCCGGCCCGCTGGGATCCACTCCCGCGTTCGGCGCGCCGCGAATCACCCCAAAGGTGCTGAAGCAGTACCTCGATCAATTCGTGGTCGGACAGGATCGCGCCAAAAAGGTGTTGAGTGTGGCGGTATACAATCATTACCAGCGGGTGCAGGAGCTGCAGCGGCGCGACGAAGAGGCGGCGGAGCTCCTGGCTAAGCAGCAGCGGAGAGATGCACTGGAGAGCCATCCCCTAGAAGGTTTGTCCTTTGTCTGAGTCTAAGGGACCACCTTACTGACTGTGGTCTTTTTTCCAGCGGAGTTCCCAGGACAACAGCGCACGGTTGGTTTGTCTTCATCTTCCAAATCCCGCCAGGCGGCCCCGCTGGATCCGACCGAAACCGTCGATGCGTCTGCCCCACAACTGGATAAGTCCAATATATTGCTACTCGGTCCATCCGGCGTCGGCAAAACGCTAATGGCCAAAACCCTCGCTCGGGTACTCTCTGTTCCATTCAGTATTTCGGACTGCACGCCATTCACACAAGCCGGGTACATTGGAGAAGACGCCGAGGTGTGCGTACACCGGCTTCTCGCTGCAGCGGATTATGACGTCGAGCAAGCGGAGCGTGGGATCATCGTCCTGGATGAGATGGACAAGATTGCAGCGGCTAAGGTCAGCCACGGCAAAGATGTCGGCGGTGAAGGCGTGCAGCAGGCGCTGCTCAAGATTATCGAGGGCACCACCGTGCAGGTTCAAGCGAAGTCCGAGAAGAACCCTCGAGCTACCAGCCCTCCAAATACCTATCCCGCCAACAGTCCTTTGGGCAATGCCTCATTCCAACCTAGCGGTCAAGGCCACACGTCTCAGAAAGGCGAAGTCTACAATGTTCGCACGGACAATATCCTTTTTATCTGCTCTGGTGCTTTTGTCGGTCTACACAAAGTAATCATGGACCGGATCTCACGCGGTTCAATCGGGTTCGGCCAACCTGTTCGCTCCGCTACAAGCCCGTCCAATGGCCGACCTGGCTCCTCTGATACCTCGCATACCGAGCCTCTTCCTATCGTCCCGGGTTCCGAGGAGGAGGCATTATACAAGAAACACCTCCCGTTCTTCACCTCTGCATCCCCCTCAACTCCGGGTAGCGAACCAACCTACTTCAATGCCCTCGATCTACTAACTCCCTCCGACCTACAAAGCTACGGCTTCATTCCCGAGTTAATTGGACGACTCCCCGTCACCGCCGCACTTTCGTCCCTCACACAACCTCTCCTTCTACGCATCCTCACCGAACCCCGCAACTCCCTCTTAGCACAGTACACGACTCTCCTCTCACTATCCGGGATCGAGCTCCGCTTCACCACACCAGCACTGCACAAAGTCGCCGCCAACGCTTTCAAAATGGGCACCGGCGCCCGCGCACTCCGCACAGAGATGGAAACTATCCTCAGCGACGCCATGTTCGAAGCCCCCGGCTCGAGCATCAAGTTCGTGCTCGTCACACAAGCCGTCGCCGAGCGTCAAGAGAAACCCATCTATCTTGCTCGCGGACAGGGAGGCCGATTCCACGCAATGATCTCCGCAGAAGAGAGCCAGTGGGAGGAAAAGACGCGACGCGATAAGAAGGGTCAAGAGAAGAAGAAAGGGAAGGGACAGAATGGGGGTGAGACGACGCAGAATGCTTCTAGTTTTCAGGAGTATCGGAAACGAGCAGTCGGGTGAATGGGGAATTTTGGAAAATTGATTTCAGCTCTGATTTCATGGTGTTAGTTGCACGGTGGTATAGAAATGTCGGTACTTATTCTTTCCCGGGTCTTTCTTTTCCGAGCAGTGATTCCTTGCGACGGTTGCATCTGCGGGTAGGCCCTGGAGTTCTTTCTTGACCATAGTGACCCTCAATTCTACACGACAAACTACAAAAATGTCGCACAGTACGTGTAGCTAGTGGGATTTATTCGCGTCTCTTTCTGAAGAAGAGCACAGAACAGACTTTATTGTCTGCTCACAGAAAGATCATAGACTTGACACACGAATACTCCCATGCAATGCCCCCATAGCAAACATGACCATGAACTCGAAAGAGCAAAAGAAGTGGTACGAGGGAAAATAAAACGGGGTATCTCAACAGCAAAACAACGGCCATGCGCAAAAGAAGGAAGAATACCTGGAGCAAAACCAAAGTACATCAAGCCAGCCTTCTCTAGGTTTAGCTCCGGAGCATTAATTCGCCACCATTTAGATATCCTTCGGAGTGGTCTCCAATGGGCCTTGGTTGGGTGTGACGGAGGTAGAAGGAGCAGAGGCCTGCTTAACCTCTCCCTTAATCTCCTGATAGAGACGCTGGTAATCGACCTTGAACGTGTCGTAGAACGCCTTCAGGTTGAAAAATTCGACATGTCCCCAGCTATCGGTTCGCGTCTGCTGTGGTGCCGAAGTGATGATAATAAAGCGCCGAAAGCGCGCTGCGTGGACCAGGCACCAACCCGCATATGTTTCCATCAGGTTGTTGACGCATTGCTCATCCGCAGGAGCGGACGGTTGTGCGTCTTTGAACTGCGTGCCGTATGCATACGTGGGGAACGAAAGGACATTGTTGTTAGGCCTGTCGAGGTACCGAGTGTCCAAACTGGTAGGCCAGAACCGTGGCAGATCGCGGTCGACGGAATTATTCTTCTTGATCCAAGCAAGGATCGTTAACCAGCTAGATAGCGAGTTTGTTAGAGCGCTTGATTGGAAAGAATAGATGGATTCAACGTACAGAATATCCCCGGTCTGGTCCCTGTCCTCTTTGGTGAGAATTGTCTTGATCCACTCTAGGATGTTAGGTGGAAACAGAAGCTTGGAGATTCCAGGCTTTTGAATTTGAGAGTACCAAAACCACTTCAGAAGCACCGCGGTTCCCTTCACATCTGCGAGAAGGACATCCGGAGTGACTAAGATCGCAGCACCATAAGGGAATAGACGTTGGAAATGTTCACCGGCCGTCGGGTAGCGCCCGTCAGGGTGCTCTAGAGGTCTTTTAAGACACGCACTCCAGAAATTCAGTGAAGTGTTTCGCAACGCATAGCGGATAGAAGGCTTAAGAGAACTATAATCCGAAAATGATTCGTGAAACTGTGCTTGTTGTTAGATATTTCGCCTTGGTTTAAGATGAGTGGGTAGCCATACCACAGCGACACTGCCGCCCTTGATGTTGTGTACAAACTTGCTCCAATCACCAGCGTTGCGATTCGATAGGATCGTCACACCATTTTCCTCCAAAAACGCTGCCATTCTGACATACTCCGAGTCGTCCTCATGTATAGGAAACCACAGGTAGAAAAATTTGGCTACTCTCTGGCTATCCTGAACAGTTGCCAGGTCTTTCATCGTGATATTGTATTCGGCCTTGAAAATCTCAGAGAGCGACATGTTGGCTGGGGGCGTCTGGGCACGGGTACGAGTATCGACTGATAGGAGTGGGATGCCAGATAACTCGGCTGTCGGGTTCTGGTTCTTGTTCAGGGAATCTGGCTCGTTTGCCGATGATTGAGCGGACTTCTCGCCCATCGTGGAGTCCTCAGGCTGGGGTTGAAGATCAGAAACGGGCTGGACATGCTCTGATGGCTTGGACGGTGGAGCCTCCGCATGGTGTCCGTGATCTCCAAAAAAGTCAACTGCTGGGAGACGAGGGCGAGAATCGAGTGGTTGTGTAGGCCGCTTGGATGGTTCAGGGCCCGCAATCTCAGCATTGCGCCTTTGATGAGAAGATGTCTCCTCGGCACTTTGGCTTTTCACGACAAGACCTCGCTCCGATGATGCAATTGGGGTCCATTGGGCAGCTCCTCGTATTCTCAACTCTTCCTCAGAACCTGGCTGGCCTGGACTATGGGAGTCACCGTGAGTGGTGCGAGTGCTTACACGGTCCCAGAGAGGCTGATTTGGACGGGGAAACGATGGTAGTTGCTGCTCTCTATGGCGAGTCAACGGTCTCTCCATAGGCGCCAGTTGCCTCTGCACCGCGAACACCAAGGGTGCGCCTTTTGACACGTCCTTGATCATCGGATGAGTGAGAATATCAAAGGCGTGGGACCAGCGAGAATAAGCAACCCACACGTAACCTTCATTGGTTGGCGGGTAGTAGATCGCTACCCGGCTTCTTTCACGGAGATACTCTGCCATTTCGACGAGCGCTCGGTTCGTGTTAGGGAACCCTTCTGCCCAAACGTTGCACTCCTTTTGCCTTGGGCCCTTCCAGCCGCTGTTAGATATGACAATGAACTCGTATACTAATTTGAGTGGTTTACCTTTGGACAAAGATCGCTGTACTCTTCAAACGTGCACAAATACCTGAACCAAACCTCAAGTCGAAGACCTCGGTTGTTCTTCATAAGCTGGCCAGTGACATCTTCGTATGCGGAAGCACCACACAGCCTAACAGGCCCGACGTACTTCTTGTCAGGCCCCCAATACACTTGCGCAAGGACTTCGCCAGGGTTACGGAAGTAATTTTCGCCACGTTGTTGAAAAAAGTTTGCGCCACGGCGTGCTGACGGAACAGGCATCTGTTGGATTTGCTCCTCAACCGAAGGGGCTTGACCGTTGGCAGACAACGGTTTTGGAAACCTTGGGTCGTACCTCTCCAGTCTGGGAGACGGGGATCGAGATTGGCGAAAGCCATCATCACGTTGAGGCCTATATGAGTCGAGGAGAGGAGGTAAATCGCGAAAGAGACCTCCTGGTCTGTAGCTATCATGAATATCCCGCGCCTCACGCTGTCTGGAGGGGCCGATTCTGTCGATCAGCCGGCGAGAGGGTCTTGCGCGGTTCCGCGGCTCGACGGGCTTTGGGGAGATATCTAAATCCGGACGTGAATGCCTCCTACCAGGTGAAAAGACGGTCGTCGGAGATGAAAGAGTAGTTGTAGATGTGTTGATCGCTCGAGCACCCTCGGGGGTAGGTTGCGGTTGCACTGGAGGGGCTGCAGTCACTTGCGTTCCATTACGTGTGTTGGAGGCGGTTGGCGCTCTACCAGAAGACCCGATTTGAAGGGAGGAACTGCCTTTGTGACCAGTCCTTGCTGGAAACTCTGATGGCTTCCTCAGCTCCAGCTGCGTGACATCTGGCATCGGTTCGTCCCAGCTATTGGGTTTCACTCGCTTGTTACGCATATTGCCTATACCGAAACCCGCCAGCGGGGGCTTCTCAGGTGGCGCCGTTGGTGGCTTGGGAGTGGGTAGCTGCGCTGCAGGGCGGACATTGGATACGCGGCTTGCCCTTTCTTCCACGAGAGGTTTATCCGATGAAGAGCTGGAGACAGTTGAAGAGACAGTCTCCTGGGCGACCTGGGTGACGGGCACTGGAGACCTCGAAGGCTCAGGAGTAACAAAGAGCGGCGAACAGGTTGCGGAGAAGTTGCGTTTGTTTCCGATACCTGATGCCGATTCACTTGGGCCAGCCTCTGCTAGCTGCTCAGAACCTGGAACAGGCGAGCGAAGAGCCAACCGGCGTCTCTTATCTCTGCGTCTCGCTTTTCGTCGGGCCGTTTAATCTTTAACGAGTTGCACATGGATTTCCCAGGCCTCGACATCAAATGGCGGCACTCTCCCCTGGTCAATGTCTCTTTTCTTTCGCTCCCATTCCAGCAGAGTCTCCTGTGAATCGAAGGCGTCCTCGGGCTCCCAGCTGTTGGCTTCACTGCCGTAGTTGGCCCATTTCACGAGGAACTGCGGGCCATCTTCCAAGTCTCTCTGCGCTAGAATCGTCTCTACCTCATATGTGGAGCACTGCTCACTTGAGATAGTTGACGTGAGAGAGATGGCGTCCCAGTCATTCGAAGGCAGCGCCTCGGAAGTCATGGCGGATGACCCCAGGGACTGTGGAGGAAGACAAACAGCAAGTCCCCCTCCCCGCCAATCATCAATTGATCGTTTGTTCGTTCTGTTTCTTTGTTGATCGCGCGGGATGACAGCATCCCGCACGTGACCACCCAAAGGGGCTCGGCACGTTAAGGAGAGAGATGGTCGAGGCATCAACCAATAATCCTCTCTTCCTCTTCCCACCCCACGGTCTTCTTGTCTTGGTGAGTACTCTGATCTTTGTTGCCTGCGGGTTCTCTTTCTCATCTATCCCTCCCCCGCTCTTGTCATACTAACCATCTCTTCCTCCGTGCAGTGATTCCCGCTTTCTTCTCTGAACACGTTTACCCGTCTTTTAATTCCCCCCGAGCTGTTCTAGCTCGACCCCCCATTCAAGATGGCCAACGACGAATATGATGTGAGTTTCCGACTGATTACTCGATTCGCACTGATATATTGATTCGCCATGCCTCTAGTTTCTGTTCAAAGGTAACGTTGCCACCCCACGCGGCGCCCGCAGCCTACGAGCACCTGCCCGCGACCCCTCGACTCCCTGACCGCACATACTGATCCGGCGGACTGAACAGTGGTGCTTATTGGAGACTCCGGTGTTGGCAAGTCCAACCTGCTGAGTCGGTTCACCCGCAACGAGTTCAACCTGGACTCGAAATCCACAATCGGTGTAGAGTTCGCAACCCGCTCCATCCAGGTCGACTCCAAGACGATCAAGGCACAGATTTGGGACACGGCTGGTCAGGAGCGCTACCGTGCCATCACATCGGCCTACTACCGCGGTGCAGTCGGTGCCCTCCTTGTTTACGATATCAGCAAGCACCAAACCTACGACAATGTCAACCGGTGGTTGAAGGAGCTGCGGGACCACGCCGATTCCAACATCGTGATCATGCTTGTGGGTAACAAGAGCGATTTGCGACACCTGCGCGCCGTGCCCACGGAGGAGGCCAAGCAGTTTGCCAGTATGTGTTCCTCTGCCTCTCGGGAACACCGCTAACCCCAGCTCGTAGGCGAGAACAATCTTTCCTTCATCGAGACCTCCGCCCTGGACGCCAGCAACGTTGAGCTGGCCTTCCAGAACATCCTCACAGGTTGGTGGTGGCCCCCATTTCCTCCACCCCCGCAGCGCTGACTAGGCACCCAGAAATCTACCGCATCGTTTCCAGCAAGGCCATCGAGGGCGGCGAAGGCGGCTCAGGCTCGATCCCCGACCGCCGCGTGATCGACTTCACTCCGCAGGACTCGGAGCAGAAGCAGGGCTGCTGTTAGACACGCCCCCGCGAGGGCGACGCACACCGACCGCAACGAAACTTCGACTTTTGCGATGCGTTTCTGGGATGGCTTTGATTTGTGTTGGGAGTCTATCACTCGGTTGCTACGAAGATGATTGATACACGGGGCTGGTAGAGAGATGGGCAGGGCGGATACACATGGATGGGAGAGGAGAAAGGGTGTCTTTTCTTCCGGATGGCGAAACTGGCACCGCAGATCTTATTCCCTGCTCTGTTGGATTTATTTCTTGCTCGCTTTTTTCCTGCGTGACCCCCAACGAAATTGATGTTCTTTTTCTTTTCTTCTTTCTCTTCCGCCGAACCGGTGTGTTTCGTGACTCTTCCCGTTGGTGTGCAGGTGGTTGGGCGTCTGTCATTTGAGGCTGCGTTGGCTTGTACGAACTGTTCCGGGTGCAAATGCAAATCCGTACATTGGACTGCAGTTTTGCTGCGTAATCTTTCTCCGAGTTATCGGACAAGAAGTGGGTGATGAATTAGAGCAAAACGATAGGCAGTGTACGTGAGAGCTATCCCATATCCCTACTCAATTCTTCGATCGTACGTTTCATATACCCTTCTTTTGTGTATGTCTAAGGTGATATCAAGTAAAGAGAAACAAAATAAGAAAAAAACAAAGCACACAATCACACATGGGGTCCCATCACTACTCCAACACAATGCCCATTTCACGATCAAGAATCGCGGCTCGCAACTCCCCCACATCATCGCCACGCTCCCTCATGACAAACTCGAGCGTGTCCCCGAAGGTTTCGCCGTTATTGCGAAACCAGTCACCCAAAGACCAGATAAAATCCTCCACCTGCTCCTTGAGAGGTGCATGCTCACGCAGCCACAACACCTGCGCCGGGTCGAGCTTCATCATGTCCTGCACGACGTAGTAGTGAGGGATCTCATCGCCCCATCCCTCGTACCCTGGATCATGGGATAGGTCGTTGCGGAATCGAGACCGGATCTTGGCTGACGACTCGGTGAAATTGGACGGATGGGCTGTATGGAAGTACTGGCCGAAGAGATCACTCGGGTTCTTATCGTTGCCTTGTTGGTGATAGACTGAAGGCGAGGACCCGGTGGGCGGAGGGTAGTTCAGATGGATGTTAAAGGTAAGCTGGTGGGTACTCTCGGGGTATCGCTTGCGGAATTTGCGCTGGATTGCGCCGTTGCTGGGACAGATGTGATTTTGGACGACGTCAGAGATGACCAGGCGCAGGTCTTCCATCTCTGCCAGCTCGGCAGTAGACCAGTTGTGGAGCAGCTGGGCGCGCTCCGTCACGACGTGTCGAAGGCTGCGAGAGAACCGATCGTATGCACGGGTGTGGAATGCGCGATGGTACAGCCACAACCGGTATACTGCACGGCGCAGGCGCAGTTTCTCTTCCTCAGTCAGCGAGCGACGGGCTTCGTAGTCGGTCTTCCATTTCTTGAATGGGTAGACCGTCTCCCATTTCCGCGCCGCCAGACCCAACTGGACTATCTGCTTGAGCAGCGCATCGGACATAGGCGCATGCCGGATGAGATGAGCTGGCTGGCTCGCATTGTGCGTCACCACTTGGACGACATCGAGGAGAGGGCCGAACTCAGCCTCTGCGGCACTGGCTAGGAGTTGTACTTTGTTGGTCGAGTTGAAGATGCGATGGAGTCGACGGCATGAGGCTGCCAGGTTCAAAACATCAGATATGGAGTCGCAAGATCGAAAAATATGGAGCAGGAGCTCTGTCGCCAGGTGGTCGATTGACATTATGGAAAAATGTATTCACGTATGACTGTATAGCTTTGAGAGCTGTCAGCCCTGTGGTCATCCGCAGCGCGTCAACAAAGTGCTCACGCTTTCAGGTAATAGTTTTGTTTCAAACAAATGTGCCGTATGGCGTAAGACGGAAAATGTATCTTCTGGTCAGAATGTCTCTGGCTATAGAGCTGGTCCGACAGCGCCGTAATGAGACGAACAACGGCCGTCGCGCGTGGCCAGGGCCTAGTTGAGCGGCGCCCCGCCGTTGGGGCTGGCCAAAGTAAAGGACAAAAGCTGGGAGGAAACATCAGGGAGTATGAAAAAAGAGAGCGGCAGCTCAGCAGCCCAAGAGGGCTGGAGTAAGAAAGCGACGCCATTGTTGATGGTTGCAAGACGGAGGCGACGGGCGTCGGTGACTATAGGTCGCGTCACTGGTCACATGACTGGTATTGATCACGTGGTCTGTCACCTGGAGGTTGAGCTGATCTATGTTCTGCGGCGTCGGGGGCTTTATGAATGAACTAAAACGAGATGAATATTTACTTGGATTATGGTCATTGCATGAACTTTTTAATTTCAAAGACTCGGCCCGGACGCCTGAACAGACCATGACAATAATCAAATATACATGTAGCCTCAAACCATCATCCCGACGGATATCAAAAAAGACAGAAACATATCGATCATCTATGCAAACAGTTTCCGGGTCTCCAATGCATCCCGCTTCTTTTGTGAGTTCTCCGACAGCCCCAGATCCGCGCGCTTGGCCACCCGGTCCGTCGTCACGTCCCGGCGTTGTGAGTACCGGCCGGCCTTGCTCATGCGGACCTCACGACGAACTTGGTTCGGGCTGACGTACTCCTTGTTCTCGTAGATGACAGGCCCGCCGAAACTGCCTTCCAGGATGACGATGGGGGTCAGGACAAAGCGAGGGCCAATCTCCACCAAAGACACATCGGGCTGAGCGTCCTTGCCCTTGGGCACGGGCTTAACCGTCTCTTCGCCGTCCTTCTTCTTTTCGCCTTCCGATTCGCGAATCTCGTAGACCCGGATCCAGATCTTGCCGTCCACTCCGAAGATACCAATGATGCGATCGACGAAAGGCTTCATGCCCTTCACGCCACGCTTAGGAACACAGAAAACTCCGCGCAGCATCTCGCGGATCAGAGCCCGGTATTCTGTGCCAGGAGCGCCCATATCCGGCCCTTGCTCATCGAATGACCGGTCAAACACCACCAAGCCGCGTCCGCCCTTCAGGCAGTTGCCCGCGAATCCAGCCCCCAGCTCTGCCATTGTATGCAGATTGTTGAGATGAAACTTGATTGTGGGGCCGTTCGGAGGGCGCGCCAGCCACAGGTAGAGATCCTGGCCTTGCTTTCGAGCCTCGAGGAAGAAAATGATGTTGCAGGAGTGCAGGTCGGCAAGAGAGTTCAAGAGGAGGTTATAACCGGCGGTCTTCTTCTTCGTATCCAGTTTGGTTTCCTTGTGCGTGTGTGGGAGGAGGGAGCAAATGTCGGCCATCAGGTGTCGGTGACTAGAGGACAGTAGAATTGATCAGCATAAATCCTTGGTGGTAGTAACAATGATTCCATACCGATGGGACACGCCCCTGGAAGTCAGAATGAGGACTCGAGTCTTGGGCATCTGGCCTGCAGCCAGCTGCTTCTTCGCGGCCTCGACGCCCTGCTCCTCCTCTTCTTCTTCACTGTCTGTCGTGTCGTCTGCGTCGTTGAGCAGCTCCTCCATGTCAATGTCCTCGTCATCCACTGGCTCAGCAGGTAGCTGAGCCTTCTTTTTGGAGACTGTCTTGTAGACTGCTGCCATAGTGATTGTGGTTGTAACTGGGAAGTTCTGGTGTTGCAGAAGACAGCCGCAGATCAAAAAAAAGGTAGACGGCAGATTATTTTTGTTCTTCACCGCCCTGGATGACTTTCCCAGTCACGTGCACCCCTCTTCTCGTCCTGGTTTCCTTCCGAGCGATTGTCATGATTCTAATGCTCTATGCAGCCCCGAGAACCCCTCTTGGGACACTTTCATCCCTGCCACCCGATTTGCAAACTCCAGTTTCCGTGGGAGATCCCAGTCTTTCTGCTGGACGTTGAGGGCCTCAACATAAAGCATGCCAGCAATAAACGTGTCTCCAGCCCCAATGGTACTATTTTGTGTTAGAAATATGCAGTCCAGATCATCAGAGCTAACCGTTAATTCCACTTACTCAACCACTCTAAAATCCTCCGCAGTATACGCTGGCACGTGGGCGAAGTTCTGCGTATTAGGCTCAAAGGCATCAGCGCCATCCTGGCCCCAAGTACAGCAGAGAAGAGACCTAGGATTGTAAATTATCAGCTCCAAAGTCAAGGATAATAGGTGGACGACTATTTACGCCTTAGGTGTCTGGCTCGATTGCTTCCGCAAACATTCTTCCGCAGAGAAATATCCATTATGCTTGACAATGTATCAGCAAGGTCCGAAACTAGAAGTGCAAGCACGATGGTGTCCTCACGAGGGCCCAGCCTTTTGAGTAGAAAACCACGTCCGCCTCTGCGGCAAGCCCCTGTAGACCGTCTCGGCCGGGTTTCTCGACCTCCACGCTGACGCGAGTATTGGGAAAGTGTTGTCGGAGATAATGGATACAGCCAATGGTCACATCTGGTACTCGGCCCTGGAAGAAGTTAGCACAGAGGTTTATTTTGCTTCCTACCCCAAGACGGTACTCCCAGAAAGCCTTGGCTCATGCCACGCACCTCGAAATGGAACCAAGTTGCCCGAGGACCCAAGTCATCTGCAATCCGTGAGAACTCCTTCACAGTCATTTCGGGAAGTTCATTGTAGTTGACAATGGTTCTGCTGCCCGTAGACTGGCTCTTGATTATGTAGCTGGATGCCGGCTCGGTAAACTGGTCCCGGTAGATGCAGTGGTCCAAACGGACTCGAGGCTCGAAGGCTGATCTGATTTGCTCCGATACAACCGAGTGTCTCGCTGGCAGGACAGTAATCAAATCTAGTGTCGGCAGCTGGTTTAATGGGGCATGCTGCGTCAACTCTTGCAGCACCTCCAAGGTATTGGGACAATTCCCACCGCGGCGTCGAGTCACGCTTGAGGCGCGCAATTTCTCGTCTTCCCCCGGATAATGCGGTGTTCTGGATGTGTTAGAATAAAAATATAACAGTTTCTCCCCTTCTCGGCCGATCTCTTTGCGTGCGGCAAGATTGGAGAGGAACGAAGGAAAGACAACCTACGTCATGATGGTGTCCACATAGCACGCCCCAACTGCAACCACAGACATGGTGGCCGCTGATCTGGGATAATACTTCCTAGTTACCAAATCTGCAGTGTCGATCGTAGTCCCGGAGCTCATATAAATAAATGATTCTCCGAGGTGGATCGAGGAAGAGCGAGGGGCAGATTAGTCAGAGCCGTTCTGGCTTCAGCTCGTAGTGCAAGCAGATCTATGATTATGAAAAGCACAATTGTTCCAGGTAAGAGGAAATGTTAACTCTCTCTTTATTTCTGTATCCAGGTACTATTGTATGCCCGAATCACTGCCGCTCTCATCATTATTCATTCATCGCAAACACCCAGAAGCAACTCGGACACAACAGGGTTATGGAAAGCAACAAGGGTTACCTGAGAAGCACGACCCTAGGTCCCTAGATGCTGCTTCTGGTGGTTGGAGTGAAACTATACGGCTTGTAATCTTGCGTATTTAGCATATTCTTTGCATCGGGTCATCCTCAATGAAAGGCCTGTTTACAACCTCTGCATTTTATCTCTTGGATATATCATTCTGACATGATATATGCTCAACATCCTTCATTACTAATTTTTTTCTAGATTCAATGTCAACTACATTGACTGCCCGTTTTGCAGCTGATAGAATCGTCCCATTCAGGCCCCTGCACTGCGGCGCTTCTTGGCGTGGCATATATCACTCCCTCCACACCAGCTAATTGGTCCTGAAATTTACGATACACTAGAATCTACGTCCAACTGCCATGAGGTAACTAGATCATGTTTGATGCTGGTCTAATGCGTGAAGTCAGGGCAAGGAATACCACGTCACTGTCTTTCCTCAACCCAACACCTGCTATTCTTGCAGTTCCCTTGACAGCCAAACCATGGCATTTCTAGCGCTCTCAAAAAAGTGGCAATATTTTCTTTGCTATAGATAAAGGTGTGTGTTGTGCATGGAGAAAACAGCATGAATGCTTCACCTGATTATTATTATTGAGAACAAAGGAATTCACCCTTGGTATTCTAGACAAAAAGCGGACGGTATAAGCAAACTGAATTGACTCATACTGCATATCTACAATGCATTCTTTGTTTCAAATTTTATATGCACTGCTTTGTTGTTGTGTTTCTGCAGGAAACGGTTTGCATTTCCCATTTTTGACGGAGATTCTCATAATTTTTTAACGGATATATACCTTCTGCCTCATGTGCAGGAAAGTGCACTTCTCCATATCAACAACATTCTCTGCTGCTATCTTCCCAGTTGAACATCTTACTGCTGCATCAGCCATCTACCCGGTGCTTCTGTCAAAATGGCTTCCTCTACTGCGAAACGAGGCAAGGCCATGGAAACAGAGGGCCCAACGCCAAAGTTTCTCTATGCTATCCTCAAACAGTTGGATTTGAAATCGGTACCTTGACTCTCAAAAATCCCCCTCTCCAAATATTTTCTATAGGTTCTGGAAATGCTAATCCTGAGAACTGGCTAGGTGGACTGGAACTTGGTCGCCTCTCAACTGGAAATCTCCAACGGCCACGCCGCTCGCATGCGCTATTCCCGCTTCCGACAACAGATGGAAGGAACAACGGGAGCCAGGGCAGCAAAAGCCAGAAAAGCTGCGAATAAAGACCCGAAAGGGGATCTTAAAGCTCAGATGCTCAGTGATACGCCGCCGCCGCCAACCCCGACTTTGGGGATCTTCACGAAACAAGAACCTGTCCAGCCGGCTCCCTTTGTGAAATGGGATCCGTTTGCGCCAAATATGCCCACTCTGACCGATATTCCGCGGGTATACTCTTCTCCAAGTGATGACTATTCCGTGTCGCCGCCGCCTGGAATGTACTACTTCGCCAATTCCATGCCATACTCCATGGCCCCAGCTATGCCTTCCATGTCATCCGCAGCTCATTTTCCAGTGCCCTCAAACATGACACAGTATTCAACAATGCCAATGAAATCGATGGAAACCAGCATGTATGAGTATGGAATGCCTCCAGCGCCAAATTTTGGCCCAACCATCACATTCGAACCTCGGCCACCTTCCGATATGAGCCGGGTCCCAGTGAAAGTAGAAAGGAAGGATGAGGATGATTCAGATGCTGTGATTATCAAGGTTGAGAAGTCAGCAAAGCAGAATCAGTAGGATGGGACTTATGGAACGGGTAGGTATTGTGATCGTTGGAGGTTTTATGTTGTCGAGTGGAAACTCGGTCTGGTCACTTCGTGATATCTGGCTCAATATTGCTGTAATTCAGGAATTCAGAATACTGCTTGCATTTAATTTCTGCTATTATTTTTCATACAAATTTACTTTGTTGTTTGAACGGATTACGTGCTTTTTTGAACCGAGCATCCAGAGAAAGCTGATGTTCTTCACGGTCACGTGGACACGCTTGCCCTGACTCCGTGGCAGTTGGTCTGGGGAAGCTTAAAACCCATTATTTGAGAAGCCGAATCATAAGCTTAACTGTAGATAAATCAATATGAGGGTGTAGCAACACATTTTACAATATATTCAGACCATTCCTATGCATTCACTGTGGACAAACTCGCATAGTGGGTATGTTTATCATAATTTTTGCTAAATAGTCTTCTTAGATATGAAGGCCTGTTCAGCATCATATACGGCCGTTTTGAACTTCCTACAGGTGGCATATATTGAAAGTGTTATTTCTGGGATAATGGTTACTGAAATCAAAGGGTCCTTTACCTGGGTGTTCAGACACAAGCTAGCCTCGACAACCTCCATCTCTTCTCCCACCTTCTCATCCACCAACACCGAATCCACCAATCATCCCGATATCACTTTCCTATTCATCCCGGCCAGCTATTCTGCAAATGTTGCCATTTTCTGAGGCTTTTCATCCCATTTGAGCAACATGACCACCACCAACAAGAAGTCTGCCCCGGTTTCCGACTCCGACTTCGCCAAGGCGTGCCGCGAGCGCTTGGACAAAGACAAGGGACAGGTACAAAATATCGTCTAGGCTTTATGCACGCGTCTTATTTCAATAAGTATCCTAACTTCAAGAATACAGGTGGATGTGAAGAAGGTCGCCCAGGACCTCGGTTACGCCAACCACCGATCTGTCATCAGACGCATGAAGACTCTTATCAAGTACGGTATCCACTTGGATTGGGTGGGTTCCCGCAAGTCTCGTGCTGCCGCCAAGGTAATAGAATAAGAGTAAACTCTAGTATGCTCACATTGCTTACATTGTGCTTTAGTCTGGCGCCAACGACATCTCCGCCAACGAGGCCTGCGGCGCAGGCCGCTACAACCTTCGCCCCCGTGGCAAGGCCGCCCGCGCAGTCAGTCCCCGAGAGGAGGCCGAGGAGGAAGTTCTTGAGCCCGAGGTGAAGCCCGAACAGAAGGAACCCAGCCCGCTGGCCAGGCTTCCCTCGCCTTCCGATCTAGGGACTGACTGCTCGGGGGGCGATATCTCCCACGGGGAGGTCGACGGGTAGTCGATCTTCTTCCATTCCTCCCAAGCCCACCCATCCCCTCTATCCCCCTCCTCATTTCAACTTTATATACAGCTCAGCTAATTATCAGATCCACGTCACTTAGATTCACGTTTGTTTATGCCTGGCTTTTGCGGTGCTCGATGAAGCAGAGGAGATCACTAGTTGAAATTAATACTGGATTGTTGAATACCTTTTCCTTCCTCAAAGCGCTCGTAGTAGTTGACCTGGAGCCTGATGTACATGCTGTCAATCCTTTAAACGCTCGTATGCATTGCAGTCCCGTTGAGTGAATGGAGGACTGTTTACAGCAGAAGCTTCAGCACTAGCAAGCTTTTTTGATGCAAGGCTGCATTTTGTTACTACATTCAGGCCTATATAAATCTCAGAACTCAGGTAGTGCCTTTCTGTTTGGAATTTTAAATATTTGAAAGAAGTACAAAGGTTGTTTCCATGGGAAAGCTGAGTTGTTCACCAAAAGTGTTGTTCCAGATGTTCTTCACGACGTCACGTGCCGGCTCAACCCTACCTTCAGCCCAGGAGTCAAGATGGACCACTCGGTCTAACATGGAATTTCAATCTATTTCTAGAGGTCAAGCCATAATTTACATCTCATAAGTAATTATTCATTTCAAGCATCTACTGGCACTGATAATCCCGTTGCCTAAGAGACACTGGCTGCGATTATGTCGTGGCGACGCGATGTTTTGGGCATTATTTTCTTGACATTATTTCTTCAGCTGCCACCTAACACGTCAACAACCTCTTTTATCACACTCCTCCCATCATATCTTTATCTGTTTTGCTTTTTCTATCCTCACCAAAATGCCTCAGACTGCTGAGGACCACGTCAAGTTGCTGCTCTGCTGCATCAAGCACTGCTATGACCGCCACGTAAGCTCACATTGACAAGTCCTCGAAGTTTGAATAGTGCTTTTGGCAACCCACAAATTCTGACTAGGTAAATAACAGATCGACTTCCAGGAAGTCTCCACGGAGCTTGGCCTGCCTTCCCGCGCCGCTGCGTAAGTTTTGCCGCACAGCAAAAGCTTTCCTGTACGATGAGATGGAGAAGAAGCGGCTGATTGTGCTACAGGGCTAAGCGCTACACTCGGCTGCTGAAGGCTCATGGTATGGATACTATGGGAATGACAATTGGTCGCGCAGAAAAGCCCGCTGTTTCGTCCGCCGATCGCACTACCCGCGGTCTCGAAGTCGACAGGGAGGGCCACAACTGGGACCAGCTCTTTTCCAAGGTTAAACACATCAATACCAGTCCCATCATGGGCTGTAGTTCTGCCATAGGCCCACAACATGTCACTAATGATCAGGGTGGCCATCGAGAGGACGCACACTTCCACTCCCTTGGCAACAAAGAGGCACGCTATAAGACCAATATGCAGTCCATTGCAGATGTCCAGAACGTTGCGAAGAATCCTCCCACCATAGTCATCCCTGCCAAGGCCATTCTTTCTCGCCAGCATCGGGCCGTTATCGTCATTGATGACGAGGAGGATTCCGATGCTACCATTTGTTATGGCAGCGACATGTCGCCCATGTCCCATGTCTGAACAGGGCATGGCATCCGTCTCCACGGGGTTCTCTAGTTCATTTGTGGGGGGGAGCGGTTGGGTTCGTCGAAGTATTGCTGGGTTTTTATCATGGATTCACAAGGCATCTCGCGGAAGAATCTTGTTTTCTGGTCCTTGGTGACTTGGGGTGCGCTTTTCTGGATTTGCTTTAGCATGGCCCAGTTCATTTATTTTTGCACAGCAGGATATTGCCCCATTCTCGGCAAGATTTGCCCGGTTTAAGGTCTTTATGATCTACTACGGGTTGACTATTTTCCTTTTGTTTAAATCTGGTAAACGTTCGTAGTTAGTACTCATCTTGCCGTATGTCGATACTTCAAGCTGCCTTCTTGCGGATGTCAAACCACACAGGTTTCGATCGCTCGAAAGGAGTAGCTTCGGAAGATCTGGAGGTGAATGACCGGAGCGTCTAAAGTTCATCTTACAGCGGTATGAAGGCTGATGGTTCCACTGTATTTAGCCCTTGTAAAGAAGAAAGCCTGTAGGATTTGCTAGCTGGGTATAACGATTTACAGAAGAAGATTGAAACTCTTGGGAATTGGGGGAGAAGATTTCAATGCGGGATAGGGTATCGTAACCAAAGATAAATGCGCCCAGGGTATTCGATCGCCATGACAACATGTGAGATGCATACAAAACAAAGAGGGGTCATTGGGTAGTCGCAAGCATGGTTTCATGAAATGTCGTTAGATGTCGGCCATAACGGATTCGACAATCCTGCGCTTATATTGAGATATAGCACGTTCTTTTCTCTGCACCTGAGCCCGCAGGCGCATATAACGCTGTTTCCAGGTTCCTTCAGAAACGGGGTTGCTCGTGTCTTCTTCATAATCAAACTCGGTAGAATCTTCGTTCCCGACAGGGTCATGAGCTGACTCCCCAGGCTCAGCTGGAGGAGCGAAATTCGCAACCTTTGCTCCAGAATTGGAGCTTCCAAGAAATACATGGACCGAGAACTGATAGGACTGCTGGTAGTCGTAGGAAATAGTATAGAAGATTCCACCAGCCGGTTCATGCAGACCCAGGATTTCTCCATCAGCCGCATCCGCCGATGCAGGTTCTACCTTCACGGTCACGGACCCTGGCTGGGCACTCGTAAAGCCAAAATGGTGGCCCACTCCCAAATGGAAAGCCAGGACAAGTGATTTCGACCCCAGTGGGAGCTGTGAATACAACTCAGATAGATTCAGCACCATTTCCGAGGCAAGGGCATGTGCTTCATCGAGCTTTAGAGCAGAGGTTCGTCCAGACAACCTTGCGCGAGCCAGCTCCACAGAAAGCGCACGAATAACATCATCGGTGGAAATGGTCCGCGCAGCTCCCATATCTGTCGTCTGGCTGTTCGTTATGTCGTGTGAGAATGTCCTGTCGTCTTCTCCCGCTTGTGGTATAACAGCACCATTCATTCCGTTCACGAGGAGCGTGGGAGGTGTTGCAAGACGAACCGGTGCTCCTGAATGCTGAGGAACCTGTAACTGAAGCTTCCCAGGCCTTGCATGGACTGCGGGGGTGGGAGATTGGTTGTACGCGGTATCGAGGACACGTTGAGAGGGATTCTGACTGAAAACGGGAGGAGACGACTGGGCACCTGGATTTGGGGTCTGTGATGGCTCGCGATTTTGATTCACCTGGAAGGAGGAAAACGATCCTGTTGAGGATGATTTATTCGGCGGTCTTCCACGCCCCTTGGTAGTCGATGAGCTGGTACTGTTTGGCCAGGCAGACGAGACAGCTGGTCCATGCCGTCTCTTGGAGCGCGATTTGTCACCGGAGACCGGTGTCATCGCAGACCGAGGCTCAATAGACCCAAGCATCTCCAATGGGTGGCTTCCTCGGGGAAGTATCGCAGAGTGAGGGTAGCCAGATGGCGATGCCTCACGATCTGGAAGCCTCCACCTGGTATCTTGGCCATGTTGATCTGATGGGTTATCTGAACCGGGCGCAGTAAATGAAGATGCTGCAGTCATCCATGGATCGGTATCACCAGGATATGCACTGAATGGGATGGCGCTTTGTGGGAAAGGCACCGATGGGGTCTGGAAATTGCCAGGATGCAAGGTGTCGATAGAGGTATCCAACTGAGGTCTTTTCGCAAGCTTCTCGTCCTCGATCTCCTTATCTTCGGCCCTTTTCCTGCCACGTTTTGGCTTCCACTGCGGGACTAGAGCTCGAAGAGCAAGATCCTCTTCCAGCGGAACACCATCCCGTGAATCATTCACGAACGGCCCGGCTGGAGGGAGTTGCGTATAGTACACATGTGCATGGCCAAGGCAGTATTCGAAGAAGGCATCAACATGCATTGCACGCATCCAACGCTAGAAAAGGTTAAAATTCGGTAACACATGTTGAAAGAAAACAAAAGTATTGCTCACCTTGAGTCGAACAGCGTACTGTTGAACCTTTTGAGTACTCTGTTTCTTTTCTATTGAAGGTGGCTCTACACCCAGCTCCGTGGCCAGTTGAATCCACGTTTTCAGTTCGCCGCTGTCCAGTTTTCGAATGAGCTCAAAGAGGGTAAAAACGCTGAAGCTTTTGCCATCACTCCGTGGCGGGCAGCGAAAGGCCCGTCGCAATTCAGCGTTGTCGGCCGAGGATGGCACATTGGGATTGCAATAAAGAATGAAGGCAACATAAGCATCGTCAATTGTGTCATCGGTGAGATCTCGAGACGGCAACTCTCGAGGTTCGACCTGGTCTGCAGAATCTTTGGTCTGCTGCTGGCGGAGGGAATCCAGCATCGGTGGAGACATCGAGGTGCCTGAGCGAGCGGCCGACGATGGAGGCAGACCGGAGCGCATACCCTTGGGAGACGATTGCAAGCTCCGCGGTGTTCCCTTGCGCCGAAGAGCAGGCGACTGGTCGGCATCCGGCTGACTTCGAGCACTCCCTATGGAAGAAGCGGTCTGCAGGGTTGACTCCAATGTTGACGGATACCGCGCATACTGCTGGACGACCATTTGCGAGCCATCGAGGTCGGCGCGATTGGAGCGATCGGCAGACTCCATGGAGAACGGAGCTTCCATCGGAAACTCAAGATGGATGCAAGAATCGCTCACCAAGCCGCGCAATAATCATGAATGATGATGAGAGAATGGATTTCTATCGGATGTCATATTAACCCAGCACGAGTCGAGGGACTTTATGGCAAAGGAGAATCCACCTCGGGGTGGCTGGAGCTCTATTTTTGGCTGGCTCAACATCCTCGACTAGCGCCGGCCGGGCGGGGTTATTCACCGGGGTTCACCGCCTGCAGTTACGAGTCGAGGTATATGTAGCGAGAAGACTTCGAGAATAAGATCATCCCAGTACCGTCAGGATAGTCCGTCGGAGTCGCCTCCAATTCATTTGACTACGAAGTGGTGAGTCCCCACGGTTGTTTGCCTGGGATCATCACGTGATCGTGTCCCTTTTCTGCCGGTGCTGAGTCATTATCACGAGCCTTATCGATAGGGAAAATCATGCCTCTCTGATCTCATCAATCGCCTGGCATCATCGACAACACGCCCTGCTCCCTCCACCCATCTCAATTCCATCCTCAACATTCTCTCTCGGACGCGTGGCCTGCTTCCATTCCATTTGGCTCACACGTCTCGGTCTTTCCTCTCACGCTTGCCGACAATGCTGCTGGTACCCTTCGCGCGGCTCGTTATCTTATCCTAGCGCGACTCGAGCCGCCATGGCACCCTCGCAGCGTCGGTCAACCCGACCTGTGCGTTCCAACCGCACGAGAGTTGAAACGTATGAGGAGAGCATGTCGGAAGATGATCCCAACGATCTCTCGGAATTTGAGTACGGTCAAGCCTCGCGCCGGTCATCGTTATCGCTGCGTCCTCGCAACCCGTCCGGGATGTCGAGGACGTATCGCGAAGAGTCCACTGATGGCAGCCTGGAGGAGTACCCTGATGACAGTGACTCTGACCTTGCTCCATCCGGTCCTGCCGATCCCCCCAGCCATTTGATCTATCCTATTCCCGAATCCGGAGATACCACCACGACTACCGCTCGTCCCTCCCGGCCGCAGTCAACGAGCCGGGCGAGGGGCCCTACCCGGAGAAAACAAGCCAAAAGACCACGCAAACAAACAAGAGGTCAGCTGGGCAAGCCCCTGCGCAAACGGGCCAAATTTGACACGGAAATACCGACCATTGTCGGATCGGGAGTGATCCCTCCTTGGCAAACCTTGCCGTACCAAATCCTCTTTGATATCTTTCTACGCGCGTCTTATCCGCTTGTCGATGAAATGACCATGACTCGGAACTCCTCGATTCAATGGCTCCTGGATGTCGCTTTACTGTGCCGGGATTTCTCTGAGCCTGCTCTGGCGGCACTGTACTATTGTCCGCCGTTGCTCCCCTCTCACAGGAGCCACGGCTTGTTGAATCTCCTGTCAAAGCCTCAGGAGTCGCTCTCCACCAACTACTCCAGCAAGATCAGAGAACTCAATGTGGATGTAGAAACCATTCTTCTTTACAAGAGTGGGCCCACTCTCGGTTACTTCAATCTTGACAAATTGATTGAAAAGACACCTCTGGCACGACGGATTCGGCTGTATCACAAGGAGGATTACATTGTGGGCTTGCCTCAGTGGAGCATCCCGCAGTCAAAGTGGAGTTATTCGGACTCGCTCTTCTCCACCATGGCAGAAACGCAGATCGTTCTTCGCAGCTGGGATTGGAACACCCGTTTCCTGGAGACGGACGCTCTGCTCAAGTTTATACGTGAGAAGCATGCTTTATCCAGTTTTCAAAGCCTGCGAGAGCTCCGGCTGCTACATTTCAGTGACAAGGATCGAGAGGATGTCTCCGAAAGCGAGGACATCCTTGTCGAATCCCTCCAATTGCTCCCGGACCTCCAACGCATTGAATTCCTGAAATGTTCTTTGGTCGATTCAACCCTACTGCTCAAGCTGCCTTCGAACCTCCGATCTTTCACTCTCGACAACTGCATTCATATTTATTCGGTGGACCTCATTTCCTTCCTTTCATCTCACGGTGGCAATCTTCGGGAGCTTATTCTTTGCCACAACCGACACCTCAACATGTCATACATGACCATTCTTGCGCAATCCTGCAGTAATCTGGAGAGGCTGAAGATGGACATATCTATGCACGACCTGTCCAGTTTCCGCGATCTTGAGCCCCATTTCCCGCACTTGCTTTGCGAGAAAGAGGTCGCAACATGGCCCCCAAAGCTGCAAGACATCGAATTGATCCAGCTTCGGCGGTGGGATGATACCCTGGCCGAGACCTTCTTCACATCCCTGATCGATGCTGCACCGAGTCTTCCAGACCTGCGACGCCTGGTCATTAGCGCAATTTTGAAGATCCAATGGCGCGAGCGTGCACATTTCCGCGAGAAGTGGATTGCCAAGCTGGAAGGAGTTTTTCTCCGCCGCAGCAAGCCCCCGAATCCCAATCTTCGTTCTCTGCGAAAGCGCCCGCTGGGTCCGATCGAGCCAGCGGTGCAAGGTGATTCCACTATGTCTCCCGATCTTGCAGTCTCAGGAAAAGGCCAGGGCGCGCCACTCACCCCGTCCAAGCGCCAGAGTTCCCGTCTTGCCCAGCGCAAATTTTCCGAGGCAGAAGATTCGGCCGAGTCGGAGGGCGAGGAATCTAAAATGGGCACTATTCAGGGAATGTGTGATATTGTGACAATTCGAATTGATAACCAACGGCCGATGGACACGCAATTCAACGAGGACGATTTCCTTGATACCGAACGCAGCGGCGACGAGGACTGGAATGAGTGAGCGATGATTACGAACCCAGCATGGACAGGCGCAGCAGCAATGAAACTGGCCTTTTGTTGATTCATATTGATGGTGTCTCTCGGAGTTGCGTGCTTTCCTATTTTTCGGGATGGTCTTTGTTTAATGGGCTTCCATCTACGTATGGTTATGAGCGAGGAGTCCGATGTGCCTGGCTGTCTGTTTGTTTGTTCTTTTATCTTTCACTTTGAAAGCGATATGATTAGAGAGGCACCTATTACATTTAGCTGTCGATAATAAAAAATATTCTCAACTATGATTGTTCCATGCAATCAATCATGGCTACCCAACGCTCTTTCCAATTGGCGGAGCCCCACAGGATCGCTGGTCTGAAACAACGCCTTCCTTGACCGACTTGTGTTGCTAAACATCACTTCTTCCAGACTCCGGTGCCTCTCGGCATGGCAAGTAACTTTGTGGATACCGGTGGTCCGTCCTCTCCTCCACCGCCATTGCCCGAGGGGTGGTGAGTGACTCTTGTCACGTTGTGCGCCTCAGATGTCTCTGCTAACCAAAACGCGTTCCGACTCAGGCTTCCTCAATGGGAAGGCGTCCAGCGAAAATGGTACTACGTCCAACGAGCCACGGGTAAATCCCAATGGGAAATTCCGACGGAACCAGTTGCTCTTACGCCATCCACGACACCGATGCCAATCGGGGCCGGGCCTTCACAAGCGCCCGCATCGCAGCCAGCCACGAATAGCCCTCGAGTGACGGGACCAGGGGGTGCTATACCGGGTGGGAGCTATGCTGCGACTGGTCAAACGGGGATTTCCGTAGGGCATCGCACTCATTATTGTGCTCTGTGCAAGCGTTAAAGAGTGGCACTGATGCTGGGATAGAGCTCTCTCGGCTCTCAAGTTCACGACACTTCAGTCCATGACCCTTTCAGGATGATGGGATGGCCCTCAGGCCCTGGTGCAAATGAGGGTGGCCACGACACGGTGTGTTAGAACGATTTGGATTGCATTTGTTGGTTACTGACGATTTTTAGAATCATTTACTGCCGATGCCGCATGGACAATCGAACCCGCATCTCACAGCATTCCAGCAGAGCCAGTACCAGACCCAGAATCAGCCTCCGGCAGGTCAAGTCATCCCCGGTCAGCCATGGTTTGAGGGATTGTACCACCCGGGGTTTGACCAGGGCCACCAATCTTCTCAAGCCTTGCTCTACGGCTCAGCTCCTTATACGACGCATTCGCATGTCCCTCCGTATCCGTGGGTGGCTCCTCTGCCTATTGGGGCTGGCGCTCCAATGCCTCAAATGCATAACCCTCAGTCGCAATGGCAATCAGGCCAAATACCGCCTTTTTTCAGCATGCAAGCTCATCCAGGACCTACGAATGTCAATCCATCATTTTCAGGTCCCGGGCCCGGTTTGAAACGCCAAGAATCCCATCCTGTCCTTGGCTCATACGCAACCTATACTTCAAATAGCATCATGGGGCAACAACCCAACAGCGTTTTAGGGTACCCACTATCGCGATCACATTCCGAGCATGGACCGAATGGTCCACCGCATATACCATTTGGCTTTCAAAATGCCGCGCATTCACCTTCTTCTAGATACATGCCGCAATCAAACTTGCACGGCCACCTCCAAGGGGCGAGTCTGACACAACCAGGGACAGCAACCAGTTCTCATACCGTTTCCGGTCCTCAGTACTACCAGAATCCACTGGTTCAAGCAAGTGTCAATCAGTACCTGCCGTCGCAAATTCATCAACCCGGTGGTGGGACTTCTGTCTATACAGGAACAGTACAGCCACACAATGCATATCCGAGCCAAGGTGACCGACCTGCTGGTGACTCCAATCAAGGGGCTGGTTCCGATCTTGAGCCCTCGCGAACGGCAGCATCTGATCCTCAGTTTGTCAGTGGACCGTGGGCATCATCCTCGACGCCGCCTACCTCAGGGTGACAGGATTGAAACGATTGAATGAATACTTTCACGATGGGTTGGGTTTTTCTTTTGCTGGATGCAGCTTGGCATGGTCATGAACGTCATTGATGTTTAGAGATTTCCCTGGGTCGCGCGTACTCTATTTTGCGTTCAGTGCTTGCATCCGAGCTCTTTGTATGTGGTTATAATCCATTTTTAAGAGGCCTTGCACTGGCCCTGTGTCGAAAACAGTGTCATCTGCGAGACTTTTTACCCCTTTGGTACCGGATTTCTCTACTGCTAAGTGGGGTATTCCTGTCTGTGGCTTTTGGTGGGGAAGCTCCCGCTGGGGCTGCTCGGGGCCTGTCTGGAGCGCACGGTGGGTATCCAACTTGACACGGGACGGAACTATGACCTTGCAGTGGCCGAAAAAGCCAAGAATTGTGTGTGTGCTCAGGATAGCGGATTATTAGCAATTGTTTTGTCTAATAGATCAAATGCTACGGTCCCATTGGCGCTGTTGGTGGCATAGGACACGTTACAAGTCTCGGTCAGCTAATTGAACGAACGACCCACTAGGTATCTATCATGTATCTTTCATATGTTGGCCCTTACAGACGGTACATGACAGGCACCTGCGGAGGAGTGGGTCTTTCAATAGATGAGGGGCAGTGTGTTCCTTCAGCGTTAAGGGGCTATGTATGTACTCAGCGTCCAGGCCGTAGAGAGCCTACCAACTGCATGATGCCGGATAAAAGGATAATGGAGAACATCCAAATTCATTGGAGAGTTGTTTCTAGCTTTAGCAATCAGAACCTATAGGAACATTGTTCCATCTCTCTGTGCCCCGGACTATTTCGGGTAACAAACGCCACCGACATCACCGATCGACCAACATCATTCCTTGCGCGCCGGATTCCGCCAAACAACCCCGCAGCACGCAATTCGCCCGAGTCTTACATGCAGCTTCCGACAATTATAAGAACGCACGGTGTCCGCGCAGGGGGGTCGAAAGGAGCATCTGAGTATACTTAGTGCCGCAGAACATATCTCTCACTAGCCAAAATTGTTTCCCCAACACCACGTACATCTTCAGCAGCCCACCTCTCATCACCATGTCGGCTCCAATTCCCGCTTCCAACCTGTATCTTGGCCAAGCCCGCGCCACTAAAAGTGTTCAAGATTGCATGACCATCTACGACAAATGGGCCGCCACATACAACGATGAGGTTGGAGACGAAGCTCAAAACTACGTGGCTCCTGTCCTCGTTGCCCAGGCTGCTATCAAATTCAAATCATCAAACGACCCCACCAAGCCCGTCATTCTGGACGCCGGCTGCGGAACCGGCCTGGTGGGCCAGGCTATTGCCATTGGTAAAGCTGAAGCAATCGATGGCCTCGACTTGTCTCGTCCCATGCTCGACGTGGCACGGAAGACCGGCATCTATCGAGATCTAGATCAAGCGGATCTCAACGCACCCATCCAAAAGGCCAACGACACCTACGATATCGTGGTATGCGTCGGCACTTTTACCCTTGGCCATGTCGGCCCTGCTCCTGCTCTGCGGGAATTTGTCCGAATTACCAAGACGACCGGCATCGTCGTTGCAACGATCCTCCAAGAGATTTGGGTCCCCGGAGGGTTCAAAGACGAAGTCGAGAAACTCAAGTCCGAGGGCTTGGTGACCGTGCACTCCGACGGACTTATAGATTATGTAAAGGGCCATGGCGACAAAGCAGTACTTCTTATCCTAGAGAAGAACAACGCCTGAGCAACACCCAGCGATAGCAACATAAACTCGTCAACGCCACAATGCGATTGCGCCACCCCAAGCGATAGCAACACAGGGCCATTGCACCAACCATGCGATAGCGACACAGTTCGATGGGTTTTTTTAACGTCCCCCGACCCTGCCCACAACCCAAAAAAATGCGATTGCGACACAATGCGAGAGCGACATAACACAGTCTTTTCAACATGCCCCTTTCCAGTTTGGCTACGGATACCAAACGATAGATTTTTCAACACATTCTAGTTTGGCTGCGCGAAACGGTAGTCTTTCAACACATTCTAACCAGCTTGGCCACGCGAAAGCGTATTATCATTCTTAGAAACACACTCAGATTGAATCCATGTAAAACAGCCACCCTGCAACTCAAGCAGAGCTCTATCTAGTAGACTTGGACTCAAGCTGTAGGAAACTATATACTGCCTTTCCTTTTCTTTCTCTTTTATTAAATCCGTCAAGTGTGGATAAAGCTGCCTGCAGCAGCAGAGCCTCATGGAGCGTCGAAGGCCAGAAAGAACAGATCCAGGTGGATTTTTTGTTCGAAATGCATCAATGCAACTACAAAGTGTTTTTCCCTTCTTGTTTTTTGTGTGTTATTGTATCCCAACAAGAGCCAAAGTCGTACCCGCTGGTTTGAAGCCCAAGGCATGATTATTACCCAAAATGGGGGGTTCAACACTATCCGGCACGTGACTTGCACTCAACGACATCGCATTGTCTCTGACCATATTCTGCGCCATTACGATCGGTGAAAGAGAAATTAGTCGATTTTGATGGTGTCTGATACGGGAAATGTCCATTTTTGGTGCTATTTGGTTGTAGACGTGTGGGTCGGGAAAGGACTTGTCAGCCCAACCCATGATTTTCAAAATATATCATAGTAACAGTGGATGATAACACAATTTTCAGGCTCTTATTGTCAAACACCTCACCCACTGACAGAAAAGCTACATGAACTCTCTACTGGAAATACAAAACTGCATTGAGCAAGAATCCCTAGAGAATTTGACACATTGTATTCCCCAGCTGAGACGTAGTGCTGTAGAGTAGCTTAAACCGGTCGAACACCGGTTATATTGCATCAAAACGTAGTATTTCATACGGACACACACTACATAATGGAGAAATATAGAGCATCGAGTTTTAAATATTACTACTCCAGATCATGGTGACCGGATCTCGACCGCTCAAGATTGAATTATACGTTATTTCACTGGAGAAGGACCTGGTAAAGTGGTGGTCTCTGACTCTGTTCCATGTTTGGCAGGCAGAAACCAAATACCCCAACAGTCTCCCAGGATATTTGATGAGCCAACCACTCCCTTTTCTTTCTTCCTCTTCCACCTTCCTTCTTCCTCCACCTTCACCCACTTTTTGCACCTGCTCGACTTCAAAACCACATCCACATCTTACCAAAATCTGTTTTTGACTCTCAAGTTCATCATGCCTGTCAAATGGAGCCCTGAGAACGACCAGAAGGTAAGTACCCTCTCTCGCTTGCATATAATAATACTCGACCCCCATCTTCCCCCCTCGCAATGTTGACACCGCGAGCCGTTGAGAAACACACTGACCTGAACTTGACAGCTGATGCTTCTGATTGCTGCCTCGCTCCCCACCAGCCTTGACTACGAGAAGCTGGCCGAGGGCATGGGTCCCGGTAAGTAAACACAACACCACCCAGCCACTCTCATGATCGAACAGCCGAGGATATCAGGGCTAACACTGAAGAATAACAGATTGCTCCGCCGAAGGCGTCAAGCAGCACATTCGTTCTCTGAAGAAGCGCGCTGAGGCTGCGGCTGCTGAGCCTGACAAGGACGCTGAGGCCACCGAGGGCTCCGACGATGTCCCTGCCACTCCCAAGGCCACCCTTGCCAAGGGCACCAAGAGCGGCGCGCGCAAGAAGGCCGCCCCGAAGGCCAAGGCCGCTGACAACGGTGATGCTGCTCCCAAGCGCAAGCGTGGTCGTCCTGCTGCTAAGGCCAAGCCTGTTGCGGAAGACAACAAGGAGAACGAGGGCGATGAGCCAGAGTCTCCGGCCAAGATCGCCAAGACCGACGCGGCTCCTGCCGCCGAGGAAGCTTGATCTTGCACTCTTCCTTTCTCTTCGGAAGCATGATCCCCGTGGTTTTGACTGGTCCTTTGGTGATGTGGATTCTGGGATGGAGATGACTTTTTGCGTTTTTTGAGATATTGAGATATCTGGTGTGTTTTGCAACCCCGGGGGATTCCATCATGCTTCTGGCTCGTGAATCTTAGCTACAATGCTACTTAACTATCATGCAGCTTTCTCCCAGTAACCTGTATACCCTCGGAAAGCTGTAGAGCCAGTGGGCCTGGTACTTTTCAAGGACCACTGTCTACTATTCCCATATTTTGCATGGCAGGACCATTCTTCCAAGTCTCCAATATAACAGCTCCTCATCCACAGCTGCATGAACACACCCTACAGTGCATCATGGCGTATCCTTGCAAATTCGAGTGAGCGAGGCATACAAAAAAGAAAGAGAAGAAAGAGGGAAAGCAAGGAAAAGTTACTCGCACAGCCTGTCATGTTCAACATAGTGGCCGATACCTTTGTAGATTGTGAAGTTTAGTTTTCCAATCCTGCCAAACCACTGGCAGGATTCTTCAAGCCACTATGTATACTCCTAGGCAACGATCTGCGCACAGCCGTGATTAGAGCAAACATTCACTGTCGACATAACGGCACGTCCCGCCGGCTTATGCCCAGTCACATCTCATCTGATATCGGTTATCCCGATATCTGAGCCCTACCATCGAAGTCCGCCCATCCGTTGCTCCTATACCTTCTTCTTTGCGGAGTCATGTTTAGTCCTCGAAAGCCTGTCCACACAGACTCGAGATGTTTCCTTCTCTTCCCTCCCTTCCTTTCTTCCCTTCTGCTACCCTTCTCTCGTCCCATCCACCCCCCTGCCTCCATCCAACCATTACTTCTACTATTCAAATCACTATCATCACCATGGCCCGTGTGAAGCACACCCCGGAGTCCGCTAAGGATAGCCCTCCGGCGCCAGCACCTGCTGAGGAGACGGAGAAGAAGCGCATGGAGTGGGACCATGAGATGGATCGCAAGGTAAAGTTACATTCCCCCCCCACCCCAACAACCCCCAAACAACCACCTTCATCTATCTATTACAATCAAGCATATACTGAATACTAACTGAGTATAAAATTAGCTCTTGGCGGGCATGGGCCATGTGAATGGCGCCCCCAACTACCTGGCGCTGGCCAAGTTCGTGGACCCGAGTAAGTCCTTTCCTGTACCCTACTACAACCATCAACCGAGTGCTTACAAGAAGTAACTACTAGACTGCTCGATCCGTGCTGTTCAGCATCGCCTGATCGATGTCAAGAAAGACTATCCCTGGCCTGTCGGCATGGACAAGGAAGGGAACGTCGCTGGCGAGTCCGCAGTCCTGCCAGGTTCGTTTGACGCAACTCGAAAGCGCAAGTCCGGCGGCAACACCAAGAAGGCTGCATCTGGCAAGAACAAAAAGGTGAAGAAAGAGACCGAGCATATTCCTGTGGCCACCCCCGAGCCAAAGGCCGAGGTTGATGCCAAAGAGGAAGCTTCCTCTTGAGTAGTTTGGGATTTGTTCCCCGATCTCGTCCAACATGACGATACACCTATCCTTTGCTTGTTTCCGGAGGGATGATTATTTCCTATGGATCTTGACGCTTTCTTTTTCTCTGGTGGCCAAAGGCTTCTTCTCTTCTTCTCTCCCCTGGAATTCCGACCGAGATTTTCTGGATGGGATTTCTTCTAGCGGGTTGTTTTTGTTTCCTTCCACGACAGGTGGCTCTTTCTGTTCGCTACTTATCTTCAACTTCTCCTGCAACACGCAATCAATGAGTTGAACCCATGGTATTCTGAGAGTAGAGAAAGCTGGGCCGTCCTAATGACGATGCCAGAACTAGATATCCGTAAAGCCCAAGTAACAAAGGAAGATAGCCACGTCAAGTCAGATCACCATAGCAGATCGTTAACTCAAATCCCATCCATAAACACCATCTCTGGAAAAGAAAAGACACCAGATCATCCCCTGAACAAAAATTCCCAAATCCTCCCAGCATGCAAAATCCCATGAACGATCAAAAAACCCAAGCAAGGTCTGCTCTGGCCGCCCATGGAGAGGGCGATGGCTATGGAGAGCCCATTCAGGCCTCATCCATCTGGGAAACGTCCCAGAAGCTAGTGTCGGACAAGGATTCCTTGTGGACCTCGTTGAAGATGCGCTTGTTCTCCTCATCCAGGTGGTCATTCTCCCACTCCAGCTGCGTGTCTTTCTCCTCCTCGATCTTAGGCTCGGGAGAGGTGAGCTTGCGCTTCTTGTTGCCAGAACCCGCGGACTTGGGAGTTTTCGGGGTCTTGGGGGTCTTGGGGGTCTTGGGAGCCTTGGGAGCCTTGGGATTCTTGGGGGTGGTCTGGGTGTTGTTAGCACCCTCCCCAGAGGCAGCGTCGTCGGTACCCTCACCAGGCTGAGCGGTGGCGATCATCTGGCGGATTTTGTAGATACGCTCCTTGACAGCACGAGCAGTGGGAGCCTCGTCGCCGGCTGGAACGCTATTAGTATAACATAACACAAAATCTTTTTCAAGGGAAAAGAGTATAACTTACGCCAGGTATTGGCAATAGCCTCAGAGTTGGGGTTGATGTCGGAGGTTTCCAGGATCTTGATCAGCAACTGCTTTGCGTTAGTCATGTTGGAAGTGTGTAAGGTGCCGAGGGCCGGGGGGTCCGGGGGTTGAGGCAGGGCAGCAGGATGGGAGCAAGACTTACGATCTGGTCATTCTCAGAAGACCAACGCATTTTGGCGGTGGTTGTTCAAAAGTCAGGTTGGTAGTGATAGTAAAAGTGAGTGGAAGTGATGAGGTTTGGTGAGCGGTTGGAAGTAGGTGGAAGAGTGGAAGGAAGCCGGGGAGGTGAAGATTGTGAAGAAGCAGAGCACGGGAGTGTGGGAGTAGCTGAAGGTCTTGAATCAAGCGAGCAGTCAATGCCACAGGAATGATGTGACCGACAGAGCGCAGATGGACGGTTGAATGCTCACAGGCTTTGCTGCCCTTCGAACAGTCACATCAAAAGAATGCTAGGTTGGTCACTGAAAGAAGGTCTTCATGACCGGATCTTCGCAAGTCGAGTAAACAAAGAAGACTACTCATGTTTACGCAGCAGCGGCTGATCCATAAGGCTCCAGGTCGATCCCCCGTCCCTGATACTCCCACTCCCCAACCTCTTGAACTCTCCCACTACTCCCACTTCTTCACCCCTGTTCCCCTTCAACCATCTTCCTTCTCAGCTCTCTCTCTTTCTCTTCAGCCATCCACGCCTTTCTCTTCCAACTCTTGCATCTGGTATGTTTTGATACAATCATTCTTTCTTTACCTCGCTGGCTTGAAAGGATCTGCTTTGAATCCCCGAGTGCACTCAAAACATGGTGCGCTACTCCGTCGACCGACTTCTGGCAGCTATCATCGCTTCCCAGCCGAGAATGGCTGCAAGTGTCCACCTTATTACCCAAATTTTCGATTCATACTGACAAGTTCCAGCTGGACTACAAAGCCATCGCGATGTATTACGGAGAGGGAACTACCTGGGCTGGGCTGGAGTTCAAGTTGCGCAGCTACAAGAGGCTGGCCCAGGATCTGAAGGACGAAGCCTCTGAACAAGGAGACTGTCAGACTCCGCCGGTCAGAACCCCGCGAGCTCATGCATCTCGCTCGGCTCGTCGTTCTGGCAAGTCAACTGCTTCACAAAAGGGGAAGGAGGGCCTCGAAGAAAAAGCGTATTCTACTCCTCAGCCGACGGAGCAAAATCCTTCCCCGTCTGCCAAGACCGAGCCAATCGTTATCAAAGACGAGTCGGACACCGAGGGCATCAAGAAGGAGATTAGAGACGATGCCGAAGCGACCGTGATGTTTGAAGATACCGACACGGATCTCGAGGTCATCGGTTCCGAGATCAAGCGCGAGAATGACAGGACCAGAGCCTTGCTCAAGATCAAGAGCCGAGTCCGCCAGCCTAACGAAGACGCTCCCAGCAAGCGTTACAAGCGCCACCACTCGGATATTTCCACGAATCTCCCCAACCTGCTGGGCCCTGAGCGCTCAGGGCGTATTGATAGCCAGTCAAATGGCTATATTCTTCCTAAAACTGCTAGCCGCGTTAATTTCTCCTTCCCTGCTATCCGCCGTTCAACTGGAAACATGACGGAGCGGCTGTCTCTGACTGCTTACGCGGAGGATGGGAACTCGGAGACCCACTATTCCTTGGAAGAGATTTGATGTTTACTTTTTTGCTTGAGATACAACATGTGGAGTTCGCCAGTGATATGAATTGCGAGAATGTCTCGATTGAATGACCTTTGGCCAGGAGAGATGGTTGCAGAAGGTTTCACATGGGATTTGCAGCTTTTTTTGAAGCACCATAGCGAAGTTGACTCCCTGCTACCATGCCCTGATCTAGATAAATGCTTAAAGTACTTTTATGCCCAAGGAACATACACTAGCATCTGCTTGAATGCTACTTTTTGTTTTCACTACATGCTTAAAGTAGGGCAGAGAACGTCACGTGCACACACGTGCCTCCCTCTGGCCTGTCCTATTCACTGCGTGTTCCGGGCCATGATCCAACCATTTTGTTTGCATATCATCATCTCCAAAATCCGTGTCTTTATTATCCTTAGTCACTTATTCTTTTGGCCGCTAGCGAATAACCCCAAAGGCTTCATGGAACCCAAGTGCTTGCGGTCGTCCTCAGCCCCTTTTCGACCGTGCCAAGACTGAGCATCTGCACTTCAGCTCCTCTGGATCATGGCCAACCCTGAGCCGCCTACGCCTGGACGCTCATCCGAAGACACCAGGTGGTCTATAATCAAGTTTGAAAATGCCTCAGTCCCAAGGCGTGGGAAACAGCTTACCGCTGCCCAGGAGCAGATCCTCATCCAGCTCTTCCAGGCTAACAACAATGACATTGCGGATCCTGCAAAGCACACGAAGAAATTTTGGATGCTGCTCTCTCGCCTGCTCAGCGAAAGGATTGGGCGTCAGTACTCGTGGCAGTCCTGCCGTCGTCGTGTGACTCGGTATCATGCAGATCTCGAGACGGAGTCCAGGGAATCTGGAGCCGACGAAGATGAAGTCTCACCAGAACAGGCAGTTAAGTTCGCCAACTCCCCTGCCCCTGCTTCATGTACCACCAAGATAGAATCTTCCCGATGTCACCAACGCCCTCGAACCCGTTCGCTTTCTCCTGTCCACGCGGACGAGGACCAAATGTGCCGCAAGCGATTGCGTCAGTCCCCTGACAGCTCGCAGTTTGACGATGAAGATTATTTGGAAGCCTCTGAGTCTTCAGATTCTGATGCAACGAAGATTCCACTGCCACCAATGCCCAGGAGGCCCATGAAACGGCGCAAGCCGGAAGGTCTCGGGGACGTGACGCCTGGATCTGACCGTGCTGAACAACGACAATCATTAAAAGCTCCTTGACGAGCAGCTTGATGTCCCACAGAGTCATGCACTTGAAATCGTACCGAAATCCCCACGACGCGGCGCGATGAGCACCAGCGGATGCAACATACAGGGCTACAGAACACGCTGTACAGCAACCTGATGGTGGTGCAGAACACCGGTACCATCTGAAGATGGCAGTGCAGACGAGCTTCATGAATTAAAAGGGGCTGATCTTTCCAAGATAATCAGGAGCTCTCTGTACGCCCTTTGGTCCAGAACGCTACAGCGCAGCGCGAATGGATTAGAAGTGAGGTCGTGTCTCATTATTATGTACTATCCAAATCATTTACATCCGTCCTCCAATATCAACAAGGGAGAAGAATAGAGTCCAGCTCCATCCCTAATGGCAGAGGTTGATCCACTGCGCGACGATATCTTCCATGTCGTGCGCGATGCCCCACTGGGAGGACAGGCAGCGGAAGAGCTTCTGCATGGAGTTCAGTTCATATAACAGGTTGCGCACTGCGCCACCGGCAGGGATGAGTCCATCATGCTCGCCTTCGACGAACCGCTTCGTGTCCGAGCCAGATGGAGGCCGGATATCATCGTGGCCCAGATGAAGGTCTGAATGGGACAACAGAGCGTCCTGCCAAACAATAGTGCGCGGAAGATTGACCGTGACAACTCCCGCCAGCGAGAAGACCACATATATTGTGGATGCGGCAAACAGCGAGCTCGGCATATGCACAACATGCGCTCGACCTCGGGGCAGTTGCTCGATAATGTCCTGAATGGCTACGGCGTGAAGGACAGCGCGCCGCGCATCGTCGGTGTTGGTCCATTTGACTAGGTCGAAGCCCGGTTGCATGGTACGGCTGCCACCTGATACATGCTGTGGGATGTTGTAGCGGGAGCACACATGCCGACACATAACCGTTGAGTTGACCATCGTATCAAGACAGACAGTATGCCAACGCAACAAGATCTCAAGTCGTTCGGCAGCTGAGAAATGAATGCTCATAGAGATTGTCTCGTGCACTTGAGCTAGTGCTCTCCGCACATCCGACCGGCCAGGGACACCCACGGCCAAGTCGTTATCATCGCAGTCAGACACGAGAGACTGAAGACCTTCGAGCACGACACGGAGAGCAAAGGCGGAGAGCTGGTAGTCCAGCGGCCGCAAACTCCCAACCGGGGGAAACAGAGACCGAAACACCATCCTGAAAGATGATTGATCGGGTTCATGGGAGCGCATACGGGCGAGCCATTCGTCTGCCGTGTTGGCATCGAACGTAGCCTCGTCGCTGGGTAGGCTCAAGGGGTTGGCAACGTGGCGAGCGGAAGCACCACCACCAGACATGTGGGAGACAAGGCCATCGAGCACATAGTAGGCCAACAGTGCGCGCTGCTGGATTTCTCGGGCAGCCCAAACTCGCCATTGGTGTTCCTTTTGTGCGACAGGGGCATCGGCTGAAGGAAGATTCTCCAGGGCGTAGGGTCCACTATCAAGCATTCCGCAATGGTTTGCCCAAAAGAAACCCAACGGTCGAAAAACTTGGCTGGTGGTGCGAATCGCACGATTCTTCGACAATGCCCCGTAGATCTGCCCGAGGAGAGCAGTGATCAACAGCTGCACTCCTTTACAAGCATCGTAAGGACCATTGTGCGTGATCAAAGATTGCCACTGCAGGATTTCAGATATTAGAAAATATCAGCAATGATAAAAAAGGAAGACTTACCGAGGTTGCAACGGCTGTATGTGCTAGACGCCACAAAGCTTCGCCCTATGAGCTGAGTATAAGCACGATATCAATATTAGTGAATATTCGACAGGGTTTACCTTTGCGACTGAGTCCTTGGGACCCAAATATAAAGATCCGATGGCGATAGCATTCAGCAAGAGAGGATGGGTGCATTCCCGGAATACGAAGGTCGCTCGATGCAGGATCGGGAAGGTCGGAATGAAGCGGACAAAGAACATGTGTAGACATTCATCGAGGAACACAGAAGTGATGGATGTGGATTTCACAGCAGCAGTAACGCTTGAAGACTGGAGAATTTCCATGAGTGTTGAGTGCTAGGACTGAAAAATGATAATCAACTTACCGAGCTGGTCACCATCTCCGTAACATCACGCACCGCCTGGTGCCCTCCTCCGGACGGTATGGCACCTACAGAGGAACTGCGGTCGTCGAATGAGCTGGGAGACCCAAAGTTCATGTTGACATCCTGCACGACTGGCGGAAAGGGCAGTGTGCCCAGAGGCATCTGCCACTGGTCCGTCGTGTCTGAAGACATCAGACTCTGGAACAGATTTTCCGAGTCAGGCCAGATCAAAGCAAAATCTAGCTCCGAGACGACACCGTGCATTCCTGAATTTTGCGCAGACTGGGCTTCCTCCCAGGAATGACTGGTAGCCTCTGTGGATGCCGGGCCAGCGGCCGACGCACTGCTGGCGTCCCACGAGGACATAGATGTCATGGAGTCATGCTGCGGTGGCAGAGGGGCCGATGACGGGTCCTGTTTTCCATTATTCATGGCACGAGAATGTAGCTTCTCATGGCGGCTGAGGGCATCTTGCCGTGCAAATGGCCGTCGACACTCTTTGCACACGTATGGCCTGGCTCCCGTATCTGCAGCATTCCCGCTCAGCCAGTTGAATATTTAATCTGGGTTTGGATACATATAGAACATACGGCATCGCTCATGTCGCTGTACGCCCGGATTAGCCCATATCACTCCGCTGCGCCTCAATGAAGGTCGGCACTACTATGCGTGCGACACTGGGGCAACTCACCCTCAGATGCTCAGCCTTGGAGAAGGCCTTCTGGCACACGCGACACACCAACTTCTTGGCCCCCGGAGACGGCGCGATCATTGAGTCGGTCTCCATCGTCTATGTGTACAGGACAGGAAGGTGTCGGAAAGAGGGATTGTGGTGATGTGGAGAGGCTGTGTGGGGGCGTGTGTGGGAGGTCTCTACAGCACTTGGTCGGCAATATTCTTTTCATTAGTAGGGCTAGGTAGAGAATTCTTAGACGTGATTGACTTATTAGTATTTATTTGTCTAGAAGAATATACGAATGTAACTATTATCATTCTTACTTATTATTGCCAAAGAGTCAGAGGTTCCAAGAGTGGATGGGATGTGGCAATTAGGTGCCTGGTGAGTGGGCATAGAGTGTCTCGCCTCTTGCCTCTTTCCTTCTTGCCATCCACGGATCCATCCGCCACATAAAAATCGGTAATCGGGCTCGGGTTCCATCACGCGTGAATGTAAGGGGTTGTAAGTACTTGTTGAGTGTTGCTATCATCAGGCTGTGCTAATGATCACTACTCTATCGTTCCCTAGAGCTCTCCCCAGAGTCCGGGCTTCCTCAAATCTGGATCTCGGAATTACCGCCCTCGAAGTCTGGAGGTTTCGGCTCGCCAAGCCATTCTTCTGGGGTGGTTCGGTAATTGACCGGGCCTGAGTGTGCCGACGGGCCCATCGGGTAGCCGTCCTCAACTGCCACTCTGCGCCCGGATCCAGCCACTAGTAATGGATGCCGCGTTGGCAGCGTTGTGAGTCGCCGACTCCGACTCTACACCCACGGCACCGTGGGGACCCTCCGCATTCTCTCCACGAGGAGGTCCGTATAGGAGCCGAAAATGCCTTGGAGACCCCGGGCATAGGGGAATGCAGTGGGTATTGTGTCTGGCTATGCACACTCACCGGGGGATTTCCGCACAGAAACCCTGGGATCGGCCTTTTTTGCCTAAATATTTTTCTGGTACCCGTCCCAGGATCCCGAGTCAGTCATCATTCCTCAGCGGGCCCCCAAATCTGTTCATCTACCTCTTCCCCCAGTGAGTAACTGGTATCCTCCAACAACACCCATCCAATTCCCTCATTCCTTTGTGCATAGGAGGACGTGAAACCACTGGTCCGGCACCTGTGCAAAATATTTCCCTCAAAGGGTGAAGACCATGACTTCCTTCGAGATGCAACCGACATCATCTCAGCCAGTCGAAGAAGTTGACGATGCCCCGGCCACCAAGGCGGACATTGACCTCGTCGAGAGTGCCGGCAATGGCCGGGCTGCTACATACTCCGAGTCTGTGGCTGCTCGTCTCCCACAGGCCCATCAGGACTATCTGTTGGAACGGCATGGGACACTAGACCTCGATCCTATCCCCGGAATGGACCCGGCTGATCCTTACAACTGGTCCGACTGGAAGGTAAGCGTTTCAAAGATTTGAGAACAATCAGCATGGGAAACTGATGCACGTAATGCAGAAAATGGCCAATCTCATCCTTGTGGCGTTCCACGCTTGCATGGGTACTTTTACTGCTGCCGGTATCATCCCTGCCTATGCCAATATCGCTGAGGATCTGGGGATCGGCATGCAACAGGTTAGCTACTTGACTTCGCTGCAGATTGCCATTCTTGGAGGTGCTCCTCTGTTCTGGAAGCCCTTGTCTAACCGCTATGGCCGCCGCCCAATTTTCCTTTTGTCTCTGATTTGCAGTCTGGTGTGCAACATTGGCTGTGCCAAGAGCACCACCTTTGCATCGGTAGCGGCCTGTCGGGCTTTGGTTGCATTTTTCATTTCCCCTGCGTCTGCCATTGGGAGTGCTGTGGTGATGGAGACCACTTTCAAGAAGGATCGTGCCCGTTACATGGGTGTCTGGACCCTGATGATTACCCTGGGGGTGCCCATCGGGCCTTTCATCTTCGGCTTTGTCACCTACCGGGTGGGTTATCACTGGATCTACTGGATCCTAGCCATAGTAAGTTGTTTCCCTTGATGAAAACAAAAGTAAGTCGAGTGCTGACAATATTGGTCGAACAGATCAATGGAGTCCAGTTCATCCTGTACCTGTTCCTCGGCCCCGAAACTCGCTACGTTGGCAGTAAAGTGGACTACCAGCGTTCCAGCTTGAAGACTCAGTACCTGAGTATCCGACGTATTGACCCCACGCCATTTAGCTGGTACGAGTTCGTGCGACCTCTGACCATGGTCCGGCATCCATCCATTGTCATCCCCGCCTGCGCGTACGCAATGGTTTTCCTGTTTGGTAGTATCTTGGCGACAGTTGAGGTGCCACAGCTACTGCAACTGAAGTTCGGGCTGAACGCCGAGCAGCTGGGTCTGCAGTTCCTGGGTGTGATCATCGGCTCTGTGATTGGCGAGCAGATGGGTGGTGTCCTGTCCGATTTGTGGATGAGCCGCCGTGCGCGCCGGATCGATCGCAAGCCAGAGCCCGAGTTCCGGCTGTGGCTGAGCTACATTGGCTTTGCACTGACCATCATCGGCGCCATTGTCTTCCTGGTCTGCACGCAGACTTCGGCCAAAGGCCACTGGAGCGTCGCCCCCATCATTGGTACGGCCATTGGTGCCGTTGGTAACCAGCTCGTCACGACCGTGATGATAACCTACGCCGTTGACTGCTTTCCGCATGAGGCTGCGAGCATTGGCGTGTTCATCACCTTTGTGCGACAGATTTGGGGTTTCATCGGCCCATTCTGGTGAGTGTCCTTGTTCCAACTCTTCTTGTGTTCGACTGCTAATCATTTTGTGATAGGTTCGCACCTATGTTTGAGACTGTTGGTATTGCGCCCAGCGCTGGCGTGGCGTCGGCTCTCATCGTCGCCGTCAGCGTCATTCCCACCATCTTCCTGCAATGGCGCGGCAAGTTTTGGCGTCAGAACGAGGGAGAGTAAAGAGGTATCACATGTATTGGTCTCTTCGAGGATGATTTTGTTTTCTTAGACGGTCTGTTCGGATGATAGAAGGCTCGGCGCATAGATTCGTGTTGGAAGGTATGGAGGAGACTCGACAGGGTGTCGGGCTGTAAATAGAGTGATACACTAGCATGGCAATGCACATGAAGTATTAGCAATGACCATTTGATTTAAGGCCTTTGAAAAAGCAATGTAGAGCAAGCAAATGGATGAAGAAGCCTTGGCCGCAGTGTCCATTATGTATAGACACAAGCTCAGAGAGCTCAATTCAAGTCAACCCCGGGGGGAAAAGGAGAAACAAAAAAGCGTTAGATAATAGAAAATGAAAGATATAGTAGAAATGTATTATTATTGCTGCCCCTAGAATATAAAGAAACAGGGCGCCCGACGAGTTTTAAGAAACATTCAGCCGGACCGGGCTATCTCGGTGTCCAGTCCCGAGACTATGCCGTGGCGTCTTCCCTGACCGGGACTGCCATGCCACGAGGCCCACGTGCAGACTATGTATTATTGCCGAGTTCTTAGCCCGTATACTACTGCTGTCTGGGCATGGAATTGTGCCGCATTGTTTACGGGTTGAGCGTTTATTTGTTAGTCGCCTAGAATAATTAGTATGCTTCAGTGGAACTCGGGATGCCGAGATATACTGCCGATTTTACTTTGGGTCATTTGAGGCCGTTTGTATGCTGCAAGAGTGCGAAACCCATGCAATTGATAAAACATACAGGGTTCAGAGACGTTTGATACGCTATACTAACGTTTAAGCCGTACACTGGCTGTCAGGTTTCCAGCTTCACACTTCTAACTGGCGGAAAAGATCTATTCCGCCAAGGAAGACGTTATAGCCGCCAACGTGCTGTGATTGGTGGATATTCTGAAGCACTCGAGACGAACCATCTTGAAAGTCGCAATATAGCTTCATTGCGAGAAATAAAGCGGTTGCTAGTGGGAGGCTCATGGATACGATAGGTATATGCCGATATCGCTTGTTTCTACTGCGTAGGTTCAGTTTGCGCTTACGTAGGAATACTAGGCCGGCGTAGGGAATACTATTTTGCAAACCACCAATCATGCTTGCGCATAGATGTCTTAGTTATGTCCTTATCATCTATTTATCATCATCTTTTCTCGGGTGCATGAATATATACAGAGCCAACGCCTCGCATCATTTTTATTTCCCATCAACTTCATTACTGGTGCTCGATCTTATTGATGAGCGTTCCAACGTGTGGAAGCAGCTCGACAGCGAACTCATCACCAGCCTTGATGAACTCTTTGGGGTTCTTGGCGGCGCCAACACCCGGCGGGGTGCCCGTCAGGATGATGGTGCCAGCAGGAAGGGTGGTACCCTGGCTGAGGAAGCTGATTAGTTGTGGGACAGAGAAGATCAGGTCGCTGTTACCGTAAAAGTTAGCTTTTTGGATGCTTCAAGTAGTAGCTGTGGAAACGGGCACATACGTCAGATCGCAGTCCTGCATCACACGGCCGCTCTTAATGCCGCGGATGTGGAACTTGCTGGCGTCGGGGATGAGGGCAGCAGACACCAGGACAGGGCCAATGGGGCATGCGCCATCAAAGCCTTTGGAGAAGGACCACTGGCTCTGGTTCATCTGCGAGGTGCGGCTAGAGACATCGTTGGCAGCCGTGTAGCCAAGAACGTAGTCAAGAGCTTCGGATTCCGGCACGTCCTTAGCATCGCGACCGATGACGATCACCATCTCGGACTCATAGTCACCGGTGCTATCCTTCTGGGTGATCTTAGGCAGCACTGTCGGGGCTGGCCATGGGTCCGCCAGTGAAGTGGAGGGCTTCATGAACAGCGTGGGAACATCCGGAAGATCGAGGGACATCTCCTTGGCGTGCGAAACGTACTATTGACTATCAGCGGTGTTTTTTGACTGTTCAAAGAATTGCTTACGTTCAATCCAATGCACCGGATCGAGCCGACCTCGCTCTGTGCCAGCGGCGACAGTATACGCGCGATCGTCTCCGTGGCATCCATCACCTGTCCCGGGTTCAGGACTGAGCTTCCAGAGAATGGGCGCACGGCAACATCCTTGCCATTGTACAGGGCAAGGCCCACGTCCAGCTGCGAGTCGACGGGCTCGCCGATCAGAACCTTGGAGGGGTTCGACTTGGGCACGAAGCGCACCAGGCCTGGACAACATCAGCATTGATCCCTTCAATCATGGGGGGATAGTAATTACGCGAAAAGGTAGATGCAATCTTGGACATGGTGTGAGAGATAATAGTGAGGACTGAGTCTCCAAATGCGGGCCGCGCAGTTAATTATTGTATGGCGGAGTATGTCTAACCCGGCTTTTCCTCTCCCCACGTTGAACAATGTGGGGCAAAGTGGCTAACTCCAACAGAATAATAAAAGATAAAGATTCCCCCCGTCGCCATTCTGAGTTCCATCACCGCAATAATGTCTGCTCCCAAGGGTCCCTTCCGTCTCGTCACCGTCAATACCGCCCCCGAGCGCGCCAAGCGCCTCATCGGCCGTCTCGTCGACGCCCTTAAAGACCGCTACACCATCATTCACGTCGACAACTGCGAGAGTAGGTCGTCTCCTGACAATTGAACAAATCTCGGAAACTGACTCTCCGTCCAGAGATCGAAGAGGTCGAGCCCAAGGTCAAGGAGCACATGCCCGACGTTCTGGTAAGTAAAAAATTTTCCTGTCATATCGGCTTATCCGAGATGCGCATTGGGAATTCCGTGAAACTGACGCCCCGCCGCAGTTCAGCGCCTCCATGTGGACTGCCGAGGAAGCTAAGCGGATCCACGACACTGCTCGCTCGATCAAGCCCGACATCAAGCTGCACGCCATTCCCACGGGTCTGCAAGTCGAGCGCGGCCCGGATGCCATTGTCGAGTACCTCTGCGAGAAGGTGCCAGGGCTGCTGGACAGCTGAAGGAGTCTAATGGGAGGCTCGGAGCGCGGAGAATGTATAAAATTCATATATTTTGCCCCATAATGCTCAAATAGATGCTTGATGATATTCTCCTTTCTTCATACCTTTGGGAAACTTCAGCAAGGTTCTTTAATACCCTTCTTTGCCAGACACGACCTCGTAGCATGGCCCGCCTTTACCAAACATAGCTTGCAGATCCTCAATTATATCATTCGGCACCTCCCATGCCGCAAAATGCCCGCCTCGAGCATACTCACTCTGTCTTACAACCGGGCCCAACGCAGCAGCCCAGGTGGCAGGGACTACCGAGATCTCACGGGGGAGATGGGCAACCCCAAGCTTGATGTGCGGGATGTATTCCCTAAGTGGGTCATAGGAGATTCCTTTTGGAGGTTGCGGGTGGCATGCTTCATAGTAAATGCGAACACTCGCCGCAGGGCCAGCGACTGAGAACCAGTAGATAGAAATCCAGGTTAGGATCTCGTCGTCTGTCCACGGATATGAGTCTGTCCAGTCGTGAAGCTTCTCGTATATCCAGGCTAACAGCGCGACGGGGCTATCAGCCAGTGCAATGCCGATAGTCTGTGGCTTTGTGCTTTGCAACATGTTGTATCCGTATCCTTCTCGGTCGAACCAAGCGGACCGCACGCGGCCATCTTTCTCGCGGCTAGTATAGGGCTGCAGCGCATGTTGCAGCGCCAACATTGGAGTGCGACTCCATTGGGGTGGCTTGGAAACCACCATGTTGATGTGCGAGGCTTTGCAGTGCTCCGGGTATAAGAGGCCTACGGCTCTTGTTACCCAGAAACCCCAGTCGCCTCCTTGGGTTACTAGCAGAATACAGATTAGCGAGGAATATCCGAATGATCAAAGTAACCTACCATACTGCGTGTAGCCGAGTTTGAGCATGAGCTTGTGCACCGTCTCGGCATACTGCGCTAGTCCGAACCCGCGACGAGTCACCCCAGAGGAGAAACCAAAATTTGGCAATGAGGGAGCGACGACGTGGAACGCGGGATGCTGATCATCGCCCTTTAATGGGGAGAGTAGTTTTGACACTTCAATGAAAGATCCCGGCCCTAGGATATCCAATTTAAGCCATTATATCCTGGATATAGTCGCTAGCCGTACTTACATCCATGACTAAATAGCAGTGGAATCGCATTCTTCACCGGATTCACCTGATGAACGACTGTGACGCAACTCGTTAGTATCCCGTTCGCGATCAGACTTGGAGTGGGGCATGGATACTCACAGTGGATATCCAGAACACCAAATCCATCTACTTCAATGGGGAGCTTATACTGAGGCAGCTCATTTAGCTGTGCCTCTGCTTTCCGCCAGTCAAACTCATCTTTCCAATAAGTTGCCAGCCTCTGCACTTCCTTGGCTGGCGCTCCAAAGTCCCATGGATCCTGGTCCGGTGACTCGATCTGCGTTGGGAATTTTGCTAGTGATAGACGCTGCTTCAGGTCGTCGAGACTATTTTCCGGGACTGAGATTTTGTATGGCTGTGGCTTGTCAGGCATGGTGGTTGCAATGATTTTGGTGTTTTCCAGTAAGAAAGCGGGGAAGCGAAGATAAGGCACACAATCAGATTATCAAGCATTGCCAACCTTAGTTCTATGAAGCTCAGTCTCGGCTCGCTCTTTTGTAGAGGCCAAAAGTAGTCTAGATTCAAGAAAATCCACAGCCTTGTCGGAAGAGCATTTGTAATCATAATGGCGGCATCCAGGCATTGCCAAGTCAAGAGCACAGACTAAATAGTGAACGAAACATGTCGAGCTAGATGATATATAACTGACTGATACAAGGCGTACAAGTTCGAAATGGAGCATTTGATGAGCTTCTTTAGTTCCCAAGCCGAGACGTGTAGATTTTGAGTGAGACGTCTTTCTTAGATGCAAACCGGGAAGTTTATGGAATTGCCCAGCGCCCAAAAATCCTATCCCCTCCAGAAAAAGTTATATTCGCTACAATTGCGAAAGAAATATTTCTATTCTCTTTCTTCCTCCAGCATATTATCGCTGTAGCCATAGAACCTGGGTCTCCTTCGTTGATGGCGGCGCTTAGTCATCTCGGCCAGCTTTCCCGAAGAGATAAAAAAAGACACGGAGAACTTGATCAAGCGGCCAGGAACGCTCAACGTCATGGTATTTATCCGAACAGCAGCGCGAAGTGCGCCAGGCATTCGCGCCTTCTCAACCACCCGAATTCTGCGCCATGAGCTTGCCTACCAGGTCTGGGGCCCGGAAAACGAGCAAGCCGTTCGGGATCCCATCCTATTTCTCCACGGGCTGTTTGGGTCCAAGCAGAACAACCGGAGTATCGGCAAGTATGTGTGTCATTGGTCTTCTCTTATTATTTAAGAAATCTGACGTCTTCAAGAGCATTGGCTCGCGATCTAAAATGCCGGATCTTTACATTGGTCTGTTGCCAACTGCCCGCCCCCTTTCAGGTCTGGATAGATGGCTGACGGACTGAACCAGGATCTACGTAACCATGGCCATTCTTTTCATTCTCCGGAACACAACTACAGTGTCATGGCTGAAGACGTGCAAGAGTTCATGCAGCAGCAGAAGCTTGACAAGTGTGTGATGATCGGTCACTCCATGTACGCCTTTTTCCTTACTCAGCCTGTCTAAGAGGCACTGACAGACTGGATTGTTTTTCCCTTTGGATTGCACTAACATTTAAACAGGGGCGCCAAAGCCGCTATGACGGTGGCACTTCGCTCCCCAGAGTGCGTGTCCGCTTTGATCCCCGTCGACAACGCCCCGGTCAACGCGGCATTGAAGAGCGATTTCGGCAAGTACATTCGGGGAATGCAGCAGATCGAGGAGGCGAAAGTGTCCAAACAGTCTGATGCAGATAAAATCCTCCAGGAATATGAAGAGGTGAGATGACATTATTCTTGCTTTCGGAGACTGGACTTTAGCTAACAATTCTGTCAGTTCCTTCCAATCCGCTACTTCCTCCTAACCAACCTCGTCCGCTCAGAAGAGGACCGTACTATGAAATTCCGCGTGCCGCTCTCAGTGCTGGGCCGCTCACTGGACAACATGGCGGATTTCCCGTACTCCGACTCGGACAACGTTCAGTACAACGGCCCGACACTGTTTGTCCGGGGCACTAAGTCTCAATATGTGTCAGATAAGACCGTTCCCGCTATTAAAAAGTTCTTCCCGAATGCGCAGATAGCAGACGTGGATGCGGGGCACTGGCTGATTTCCGAGAATCCGGAGGCGTTCCGACAAGGTAAAGTCTCATATCTTTTGTACCCAATACTTTTTTATCGCTGACTCGTTGGATATAGCTGTGGTCAAATTCTTGGAATCTTTGTGAGTCTCGATGGTGGACTGCGTGGTTCCCAAATGTACAGTCAAGTATAATAGAACGATAGAATGCCTATTCGTACCACATTTTCATATACCGTCGATGAAATTCACTTAGAATTCCAGGTCGCAGAATCGGTGGTTTGAAGCACTATTTTACGCTGAACGGGCCGTTTGTCCCTGAACAGGGGTCCAGCGAAGCGGTATCTACTGTTGGGTGGCGGATACAATCTCTCCTATTTATTTCCGTTTAATCTAGACTACTGAACTCATCGTTAAGACTTGGGAGTCACTTCATGTGGCTGTCTGCTCTTGTGGCGCCTGAAGCCTGAAGCAAAGGAATCCCGGGACACTGGATGCGAAAACCAGTCCTAGTGCTACATAATTGATCATAGCTTGGTAGTACCGGAACCGAGCACGGATCCGATGGTGCCTGGCGTTGTCCTTCTCCCCGCAACACTTAGTACTAGTTTCCCCGCATAAGTGATAGGGCAAATCCAGCTTCCATGTCAGGTTTTTCCGCAGGCCAGCCCTTTAGGGCTTTAAAGGAGCAACTCGGATCCGATGCCCTTGGAGTGTGTGTTACTATTGGTTAGCTTGGTGCTCCTTGTGACTCCCTCCGAGTCAGGCTCGCCTCGCACTCCTGATTGATGGGGAGTAAGCAAACCAAGAAGGAGGATATATCACCCGCACATCTTCATACCCCTAGGTAATATTTTGTATGTTGTCTGTGTCGCTGACCCTTTTGCTCAAACCAAATATCCCGAAACCAGATAGTCGCTTGTAAAGTTCAATATGTCAACTCAGAAGGAGTGCACTGAAAGTGTTGATCCCGTGAAGGGATGTACTGACGATATCGATTTTGTCTCTAGCAGGGAGAAGCAAATCTTGAGGCGAGTCGACCTGCGCCTCGTCGCGGCGACAGCCTTGGGATACTCCGTGAATCTCATGGACAGAGGCAATGTCGGCATGGCAGCCATTGCAGGGTAAGTAGGGAATATTCCGAGGGGTACAGACGCTAAAAATGGAAAAGGATGCTAAAGGACCTCGACTTTGTGGGATATCGCTACGTAAGTTATTCTTCTCGCTTGAAAAGGGTAAAGTCTATAATTCGTTGACGCCTTGCGAATAGTCTCTGATAGTCCTGATGTTCTTCGTTACCTACGTAATTTTCCAGCCACCGGCCACAGTTTTGATCCGAAAAATTGGGCCCCCGTACTTTCTGTCGGCGATTATTTTCAGCTGGGGGATTCTCATGCTTGTGAGTCCGCCTTATAGCTCTTCTACCATGCGAGTTGCTCACCTGATATGCAGGGTATGGGATTCGCCAAGTCTTGGAGTCAAGTTCTTGCAATCCGAGTTCTTTTAGGAGTCTTTGCCGCTGGATATTTCCCTGGATGCATGTATTTGCTCTCCTGCTGGTACCGTCGCTGTAAGTTCCCAGAGGTATATTCAAGCTATGTGTGCAGTATACTAAACCATGAATTGCCTGAAACAACAGATGAGGTACAAAAACGGTTCTCGGTGTTCTACGGCGTTGGCTGCGTGGCGTCAGCTTTGGCTGGGATCCTCGCCTACGGGCTGATGCAGATGGATGGTGTTCATGGAATTGCGGGCTGGCGCTGGATCCTGATTCTAGAGGGGGTTGTATGTTGCTCCATCCACAGTTTCTACGGGAGACTAACTTTGCCAGATAACCGTGGGCTTGAGTATTCTCTGTTATCTTCTGATCGTGGATTTCCCTGACAAGGCCTCGCGCAATTGGAAATTCCTTACGGAAGAAGAGTGCGCCTTTGTTGTCCGCCGGATTAACCGTGATCGTCTTGATGCCGAGGCGGAAGAGTTTACATTGAAACGGTTTCTCAGGCCAGCGCTGGATATCAAAATATGGGCGTATGCAGTGATGTTTGGGTAAGTCCCAGATAACCAGTCATTATACCGGATGAGTCTTTGCTAAATGATGATAATAGTTGCTTAACCATCAACACCTACGCCATGGCTTATTTTCTTCCTATTATCCTTTCCGATGGAATGGGGTTTGGCGTGGGAGAATCCCAATGCCTCACAGCGCCTCCATGGGTCTTTGCAGCGCTGGTTATGTATGCGACAGCTTGGATCGGCGATAAGATCCAAAGACGAGTGCCAATTCTGCTATTCAACGTCTGTCTGTCGATTATCGGTCTGCCTATGATGGGATTCCTGAAAAGTAACGCAGCCAGATATGTGGGCGTATTCTTGACTGTCGCCGGAGCTAATGCGAATGTACCTGCCTGCATGGCATGGCAAGCGAATAATATCCGAGGCCAGTGGACGCGCGCATTCTCCAGTGCTACGTTGATTGGCTTCGACGGCATTGGGGGTATTATTGCCAGTTTAGTTTTCGAGAAGGATGTGCCTCAGTACAGGCCAGGCGTGTTCACTGCACTTGGGTAAGTATCTCCCGTTTTCGAGTAGATTATCTTTCAAGCTAATCTGAATATAGAGCTAATATTGTGCTTCTTCTCATTGTCGTGACTCTGGCCTTGTGGTATCGACATTGCAATAAGCAAGCAGATCGCGGAGAGCGCATCATTGCCGGGGTTGAGGGATTTCGCTATACAATCTGACAGATAGTGGATATCTATGACTGAATATATTGCTCCTTTCGATTATATCAACCTCTACCTTACACTATAATATTCAACCCAAGCTCACAACAGCGACCTCCTAGTCATGCTGCCTTCTCCACATTTTCAATCTCCGCAGTCTCATTCTTTTCCTTCGTGGCCGAGTCCATCTGATCATGAGGAGGCATGTTTTTGGAGACACGGACTGTGTCGAAAATACTTTTGCTGTTCAAGAAGATCCGATCCACCTCCTCAAGATGGCGACCACTGGTCTCAGGCCAGAAGAAATAGACACCTAGAAGAGTCATTTGTTAGCACGCTGATATGATAAGTTTGGACAGGGAACTCACTTGGAAGAGTCAAAAGAAGATTGATGCACGCAAAGATAATATAGTACTTGTACCCCAAGGAATCAAATCCGGTCGGAGTGATCTCAGCCACGAGGAAGTTGAACAACCATGCGGTGCCCGTTGAGATAGCTGTGATGGGAACGCGGGCACTCAAGGGCGCGATCTCCGAGGCGTACAGGAACGTCAACCCGAGAAATCCAGTGGGGAAAAACAGTGAGAACATGAAGATGAAAGCTCCGGCTGTTCCAGAAGCAGCACGGTTGGTGATCTGCGATGATGTCCCGGCTATGATTGCCATACAAATACCCATGCCCGCTGCAGAGAACATCATCAACTTGCGGCGGCCCAAACGATCGACGGTTAGCACACCGATAGGTGAGCATATTGTTTGCCATGTAAACACGGCAGCACCAAGAATCCTGGAGACGCTGCCAGTGAAGCCCAGACCTTGCTCGAAGACGGTTGCTTGGTAGAATGCCAAAGCATTGATACCGGACATCTGCTGAAACATTTGTCCCGCAGCAGCCAGAAAAGCGCGATGGAAAAGGCGCGAGGGTCCGTTGGTAAAGATGTCTCGGAACCTGCCCTCGCCAGCAATTTCCAATGATTCTTTGATTTCGGCCACGTCTGCATTGACGACTTCAGAGTCCACTGTTGTGTCGGTCAGGGCTGCCAGGACCTCCCGGGCCTTTCCTTCACGGCCCTTCTGTAGAAGCCAGCGAGGAGATTCAGGCAATTGCGGAGTCATGATCAACACGAAAATGGACCACAAACACGACAATGCGAGCGGGAAACGCCAGGAGGCACTACCAGTCGTGTGGGACATGCCAACATTCACCCACGCAGCGATAGAGAGCCCAAGGCTGATAAATACCGATTCGAGAACCACAGTCGAACCTCGATGATCAGCTCTCGAACACTCCGACTGCCAGTTAGGCGCAGTAGCAGTGAGAGCCCCAAAGCCGAGACCAGACACCAATCGACCCACGATGAGTTGGGGCAGAGAGAATGACGTCGATTGCAGAATCGCTCCGACAATATTAGTAGCTGCTCCAAGCATGATGGTTCGCCTTCTTCCCAAGGGATCGCCGAGCTTGAGACAAGCCAAGGATCCAAAGAAACAGCCCAGTGTATACAAAGCGACCACAGTCCCCTGGACCTTCGAATTCTCAGCCTTTACCGCGCCAGTTGTCGTTTCCGTGTTGATACGAGGAAACGTTTCCGTCCATGAGGGCAAGCTTAAAAGACCACCTGCCACGGCATTGTTGTAACCGAATCTAATAGGCGCCCAGTCAGGATGAATCCAAACACGGAAAAGAGGTAGGGTGTTCTCACAAGATGTATGCTGGTAAAATCACGCCCCAGATCAACGCCGCGCGGAGAGATTTGCCTCGAAGACCAAGAAATGGCGCCATGATCGGGGGGAGCGAATGAGTTAGAGTGGCTCGGTTACGGGATAGAAAAATAAAGACAAAGTCCTAAGTATTACTCCGGACAGGAGCGCTTTTATTGAAAAAATGGGGAAAGTTCCGCTTAGGATTCGTGTGCGGGGAGTTAAAGGATGCATACACCCATGGCTGGATTCGGTACAGTATACGACTATCACCCCATACTAACTGTCAGCCCCAACAATATTAGGAGGAAGGCGCGCAATGAACAGAAGAGGAGAGCGATTAATACTTAGCCCTCGGACCGCCAGTTTCCGTGGAGACCCCGCAAAGTACCCAAAAAGCGGGAATCGGGGCCGAGATTAGTCCCGGGTACACTTTACTGGGGGAGCTTGGTAGGGCTTGATTGGGCCCTAAAACGGAAAGCGAAAGGAAAATCCGGCAAAAGATTGTTGTGCCACAGTGATTATTATTGTCTGCGGCGGCATGAGCCGCAACATAAGGAGGTTGATTATGTGCATTCACGATGTGTACAGAAATTCTAACAATAATGTGGCAGGGACGACCATTCAAGTCACCAGGGAAATTGGGGTGTATGCGTTCAGCAGCTGCTAGCTCTGGCTGATACCCTCAAGCTTACGTCGCTTTTTGCTGTTCTTCTTCTGTTTCTGCGACATTGACTCTTCCATAGAAGACGACTGGGCCGGGGATGGGTTGTTGATTTGAGAAGATGGGGCAGAATCCTGCTCGTCCTCGATGGGCTCTCCAGGGCGCTTATTCTTGTTCTTCTTTTTCTTCTTTTGTTTCAAAGCCTCCGCTGGGCTGCTCTCGGACATCGTAGCGACGTTGCTCGAACTCGTTGCTTCTTGGGAGACGTGACGGCCGTTGTTCTCGGAAGCTTGACTGGACACAAGTAATTTTTTGGGCGGACGCTGAGGCGATACTTTTCGGGGCACGTTACTCTGAGCGGGCACAGACGCCTTGATTTTGTTGTTAAGATCCTTTAGGGCGGTCTTGATCTTTGCGAATTCTCGTTCAACATAAGAGATCTCCACGTATGGCAACAAATCCAGACGCTCCTTTGTGCGATTCAGAAGGCCGGAAACATTCTGGATGTCGTTTCCAAGGTCGCTAGTGCTCTTTTGCAGGTCATCAACCTTGCCCACAAGGTCTGTAATCTCTGACCTTGGCTGTTCCAATGCCTCAACTTGTTTCCGTGTAGCCTCGACATCAGCCTTGAGAGTTTCGAAAGCCGTACCGATAGAGTTGGTCTGGTCATGCAGATCTGCTTCCGTCTTGGTCGTCTTTTCGTCGAGCTCGGCAAGAGCGCCCACAAGGGACTCATGTTGATTTTGAAGGTTGTTGATCTCCTGAAGCGCCCGAGTGCGCTCCTTTAGTTTCCCTTGTGTGACCTCGGCGACCTGATTTGAGAGCTGGCTCAGTTGGACCGGGAGCTGCTCCAGGGATTCCAGTCGAGTGTTGAATGCTTCTGGTTGCAGCTGATCTACCGTTTTCTTGACTTCCTTGAGCGCAGGAATCTCCTCAACGAAAGACTTCCTCAGAGCTTCCACCTGCTCCCGCACCTCGCCCATAGAAGGGTACAGCTCCTCCATGCCGTGAAGCATATTTTTGACAACGTTCTCAGTGGTGAGATTGTTGTACCGCAGTTCCAAGGACCGAGTGCTATTGTACAATGTTTCAAGAGTGTCCCTGGAGTCCGACACAGTCAGCTCAAGATCGGTGAATTTTTTAACTTTTGGCACCACTTGTTCCTGAACATATCGAAAGAACGGCATATAGTGGGCGTCTCGAAGCGTGTGTAGTTCACCGGAGAAACGTTTCATGGCTGTGCTCAGACCCTGAACCTTCTGATTCACCTCCCCAAAGTCTGCTGGATTGACCGCAGGTTTATTTTCAAGCCGGTCTATACGATGGCGATAGTCCAAAGCCTCGGCTTTGATTTGGCCACGCAAGCCCTCCATCCGGAAGACTTGCTCGTCTAGCTTGCGCGAGACCATGCCCTCCAACTTCCCCATATCAAGCTCTTGGGGATTCTTTGTGACTTTGGAAAGTTGAATTGCTTGAGAATCGAGCTTCTCTTCCACCTCCCTGACCCGGGTTCTCAAAGGGAAAAACTGTTGAGTAACATGTTCTGAGGCCCATGACGAGGATAAGGCACCGGGAGGAGGGTTGGTCTTGAGCTCTTCCAGCTGGCGAGCAAAGCCCGACATCTTGTCCTCTATCACCCCCATGACGGCAGGGTCGACTTCACTATTTGTGTGTGTTGAACCAGTTTCAATTGGTTCTTGACGGGCCTGAACTTCATGAATCGTAGATTCCAGGCCTTTAATTTGCCCTTCCAGTGCTGCGATTTTCCCTTCGACCTTTGGCACGTTTAACAGATTGACTTTTGCGCGCATGAGACGGCTGTTTTGTTCATCCAACGATCGCTCAAAACGATCGACCCACTCCTGAAAGTCATCCCGAGTGACCTTGATGTCGCTAGAGCTTAATTGCCGCGTCGGAGCAGCCTTGAGTTGCTCAATCTCAGACTCTAGCTTTGCTAGTCTCGCATCACTCGCGGAGGGAGCATTTGCTTGCGTCCATTTGGTTATGAGGTTCTCTTCCAGTCGCCGATATAGAAACTGTTGCTCGTTGAGTTCCCCGTCAATCCGTGCCAACTCGGAAAGATGCACGTCTTTGTTTTGCTGGTAGTATTTGATGGTTGCCGGAAAATTTGAGCTGCTCAGCGCCACCTGCAGGTGCCTCTCGGTAGAGGCGAGTTCCTTCGTCACATTATCTCTGTCTGTTTTAATTCGGTTCAATCTGATCGCGAGTTGGACCATATCTGATGTGCTTCGAATAAAGGCGTCGGCCGAGGCACTCGACCTTTCGACAGGCCCCGGTTGAGGGTCAGGGACAAGGGCATTGTGGAATTCAGGATTTGGAGAAGAAGCAGCTGTGTCAATGAGATCTTGGACTGCGCGATGCGGCGCATTTGAGCTAGCAGTTGTGTCAACCACTGGCCGATTTCGACGGATTGCAAGTCGAGGATCCCTGGAAGTGGGGTCTTGGGGCGCCGAGGGGGAAAGACTTGTGGAGGCTGGACGATTAGACGTTGAGATACCAGCCTTCGTCGTTTCGGTCATCTTTCTAGGCTTGGAGAAAGAGTCGCGAGCTGTTCATGGTACGCGCAAAGACGTACCGAAACACTCTCGTCCCACAACCTCAAAGCGCAGCGTTTCCTGGTAGCGACAGAGCTTCAGACAGTCATCGAGGTGTATCAGGGAAGGATTTAGAAGCCGCTTGTATGGGCCCAGTTGAGCTCGACAAACGAGTGGGTGAGTGACGCATGTGACTTTCGCCCCGTATTAGGGACGTGTCAGTCAAGGAACATAGCGAGTCGAGGGTAGGGAAACAGAAAATTTTGGTGAGGTGAGAAAGAAGAGAGAGTAAGGGAGTGTGGAAAAAAGAGAGCAAAGAAATAAAGAAAGCAAAACAGATCGACGCGGATTGGGGGAAATGGACCATATATTCTGCCGGGCGGTGGACCAGCCGCTTTCTTTTGCCCTGCGCTGCTTGCTGTTTTGACCTTTCTTCTCTTCCTCCCAATCACTCCCTTCGTGAGAGCTCCATCTTGCTCTGGAAGACCACAATGGCTGCAGTGAGTGCCAACCATGGATACATTGCCGTGAGATTTCTGACTTTATCCAGCCAATTTCCACCGTCGCCGAGAGCAAGGAGCTCCGCGGTCTGAACCTCATCGCCGCCCACTCACATATCAGAGGTCTTGGTGTCGACCTCGACTCACTACAGCCTCGGACATCCTCTCAGGGTCTAGTCGGCCAGGAGAAGGCGCGCAAGGCTGCCGCAGTGATCCTACAGATGGTGAAGGAAGGCAAAATCGCCGGGCGCGCAGTCTTGATCGCAGGACCTCCCAGTACCGGCAAAACGGCCATCGCAATGGGCATGGCACAATCGCTAGGATCGGATGTGCCGTTTACAATGCTTGCCTCCTCGGAAATCTTCTCGATGGAGATGTCGAAGACTGAGGCTCTCACCCAAGCATTCCGGAAATCGATCGGTGTGCGAATCAAAGAAGAGAGCGAGATCATCGAGGGTGAAGTGGTGGAGATTCAGATTGACCGCAGCGTGACTGGGGTATGTCAACCCTCGATTTGCGCGACGGGCAAATCTTCAGAGACTGACTTGTACAGGGCAACAAACAAGGAAAGCTCACAATCAAGACCACCGATATGGAAACGATTTACGACATGGGAACCAAGATGATCGACTCAATGACAAAGGAGCGGGTGATGGCAGGAGACGTGATCTCGATTGACAAGTCCTCCGGCAAGATCACCAAGCTCGGTCGATCGTACGCTCGCTCGCGAGACTACGACGCGATGGGCGCCGATACCAAGTTTGTCCAGTGTCCCGAGGGCGAGTTGCAGGTGCGCAAGGAGATTGTCCACACTGTCAGCCTCCACGAGATCGACGTGATCAATTCCCGGTCACAAGGCTTTTTGGCTCTATTCTCCGGCGACACCGGCGAGATTCGCAGCGAGGTCCGGGATCAGATCAACACCAAGGTGGCTGAGTGGAAGGAAGAAGGCAAGGCCGAGATCATCCCCGGTGTCTTGTTTATTGATGAGGTGCACATGCTCGACATTGAGTGTTTCTCCTACATCAACCGCGCTCTGGAGGCTGAATTGGCACCCATCGTCATCATGGCCAGCAACCGGGGCCAGGCGCGGATCCGCGGCACCACCTACACCTCTCCTCACGGGCTACCGCTTGACTTTCTGGACCGAGTTGTGATTGTGAGCACGCAGCCGTACTCGGCCGATGAGATCCGTCAGATCCTGGCCATCCGGGCCCAGGAGGAGGAAATCGACGTGTCGCCCGACGCTTTGGCGCTCTTGACCAAGATCGGCGAGGAGTCGAACCTCCGCTACGCCAGCAACATCATCACCACGTCGCACCTCCTCAGCCAGAAGCGTAGGGCCAAGGAGGTCAGCGTCGACGACGTCCAACGCAGCTTCCGGTTGTTCTACGACCCAGGGCGCAGCGTCAAGTTCATCAGTGACTATGAGCAGCGGTTTATTGGCGAACAAGGTGCCGTGACCTTCTCTGTGGCTACCAACGGTGATGCGATGGAGCTTTCGTAATATTAGACGCATCTCGTGGAGAATTTTCGGGTTGAGTTGACCAAAACTTTAGTTTCCTTTTTTTTTTAACTTGCTTTTCTTGTTCCACATCACACGATGTATGATAGGACTCCTGGCGCTTGATTTTGGTTTGTGGGCTCAATTCACTCAATTACTGTGTTTTATGATTTGGAAAATAAGTATTGATTCTTATTCATGTTGACTGCCCGTGTATCGCCGTAGAGTCACGGGAAGTTCAAGTTGCACCGCCTCAATGGATCAATTTAAATCAGGGAATAGTTCCGTCCCCCTCGACTCCTTATCACTTCACTCCCGACCTACAACCGACGACAATGGACGACTATAGCACCAAGGAGGCAGTGCTCCAACTGGGGATTCTAGATCCCGTACTGGCAGAGGTTCGGATGAGCCCACTTTTCTTAACCGCACCTTTTGTGACAAATGCATAGATCCTCAAAGCCTCACCAGTCACCCAAACCGACTATGACACCGTCACGGTTGAGCAGATGCGACAAGGTCTGGATGTATTTGAGCAGACAAACTACGACGCCTGTCCGACGCATGGGACACAGGAGTCGACGATGACCATCCCCATGCGCGACGGGTATGAAAGCGAACTCCGCGTGATCCAGCCTCCCTCCCGACCATCCTCAGGCAGCCCGCTTGTTGCACTGTTGTACGGCGGAGGGTTCTTCCTAGGCACAAACTTGCAGTTCGTTCCGTGGGGTCGAGCCGTGGCAGCGCTGTACGGTGCGACGGTGGTTTTGCCTTCGTACCGCCTAGCGCCGGAGCACAAATTCCCGACTGGCGCTCACGACGTCTCCGACACGATGCGGTGGCTCGCCGCGAATGCGGCCTCGTTAGGAGCCGACCTCTCCCAGGGCTTCGTGTTGGGCGGCGGGTCTGCAGGCGGAAACTTGGCTGTTGTTGCGGCGCACCGGGCAGTCAAGGAACAGCTGTCGCCGCCGTTGACGGGACTGTTTGCCTGTTTGCCTATCTGCATGAGTGAGCACACGGTGCCGGAGAAGTACAATCACCTGTGGCTTTCGCGGGAACAGAATGCCCTCGGCCCGAACTGCACGCTCAAGGATATTGAGGTCCAAGAGCAATTGCTGGAGCCAGACGAGCGGTCGGAGGATTGGTCGCCATTCAATTCCGATACCTCGTTTGCAGCGATCCCGCCGACGTATGTCCAGGTTTGCGGCAAGGATACATTGCGGGATGATGGGTTGATATATGAGAAGGTGCTGAGGGACCATGGAGTCCAGACAAAACTGGATGCGTACCCGGGCATGCCGCATGGCCATTTCATGGTCTGGACACAACTGACACAGTCGCTCAAGGCGAATGTCGACGCGATTGCAGGGATTGGTTGGCTATTGGGGAAGGACGTGGACAGGAATGAGGTTGAGCGAGTATGGAATCAAAAGAAGCCATTGTACAGATAGATCTTTTTGTTTGTTAAAGGTCAATTATACAAAATCAACTGTGGCACTCCATGGCCCCGTGTCTCCAACTCTGTGGAACTCAACACCTTCGCCGAAGTAGCCTGCACTTTTCCACGACTGCATCATGGCGCCATCGTACGGCCCATGAGCATCGCCGCCGTCGCGTGCATCAGACCAGCGGTACTCCCACATCGCGGGTGCTTGCTGTTCTTTATCCCCGGCTACTGCTGAAGGAGGACCGACCCATTCTTCACCCGTCTCGTTGCGGTATTGCCGGGTCAAGAGCTCGCGCTCGGTGTCGTATATATCCGTTTGGCCTCTGCTCATCAAGATGTCGGCGGCCCCGGTAATTTCATCGATGGCCTTTCGCCGAGCGGCCGCGTTTGGATCTTCATCCGTCATCTCGATGTCTTCGGTGCCGCCATTGGCAGGCTTCTTGTTCTTCTTTTTTGCCTGCCATTTCGGCTTCCGTGGCAGACCTTTGCCGAGTCGAGCCAGCGCCTCCAGTATTGTCTCGGCGCGCTCGAGATGGTTGAGGATTGTCTTCAAAATGTCAGATGTCAACAAGCTGTCGTCCATACGGTCCTTCTCCTTTCGTTCTGCCTCGCGTCTTTCGGCCGCCTCTTTGGCTTTGCGAATTTCCTTATTCGACACCCCTTCCATCCATGAATCGTAGACGGCATCCGGGTCTGCTGCTTTGCGCACAAAGTTTCCACTCTCGTCGAACCGGCCCTCTTCCTGCTCCGAACGCATATTGAAGGCATCCAGTAGAGGCGCGTGTTTCTTCTTCGCGCCGGCCCCAAGCTCCTTGTCAATCTCCTCGTCGACATGTGCGCGTTCATCCTCCCCAACTTCACTTTCACTGTCCCCCTCTTCCTCGTCAATCTCTCCTGCACCTTTCCTCAAATCGGCATGTAATGCGCCTCCGCCCTTCGAGGATGCGACCTGTCCCTCAATCTCGTCATCTCGCAGAAAGCGAACAGACTTCTTATTTTTGCGCAATGCTTCGTCGGCGTCAATTTCCTCTTCGCCAAAATCTTCCTGTAGCTCCGCGAACATGTCATCATCGTCTGCGTCGTGTTTGGCCCGGCTGCGCTTTGCTTTTTCCTCGATCCGCGCGGAAAAGCCCTCGTTCTCGCTGTCGGAATCGTAGCCGTCAAGGTTGATCGCTTTTCGACGCACTTGCTGGCCGCGACGGCCGATCTCGTCGGCATCTAGTGTGGGATCGTCATCGAGCGCGTCGGGTGCTAGCGCTGAGGGATTGCGAAGATCGAAGCGTGGTTTCTTGCTCCCTGATGGACCATCCTCTTCGTCACCGTGGTGAGAGCGAGTGAAATCCTCACCTGCCCGCTTGGGGCGCGGAAGTGAGCTTGCCATGGCTGGGGGAGGGAGGGATGTGTTGTAGCAATAAGAAAGTCCAACCGTGTTCTGCATCCGGGGTCGGACCGGAAAATCATGGCGGCGCCAACTTGCGTCACTCGCAACACCCGACCATCATCTCTGCCCTTGCCACATCTTTCTTTCCCTTCACTGTCCCTAGCATCTACCATGGTGAGTGCGGCCTGGCTTTGTTCATTCTTTGATCTTACTAATGGCTCAGTTTCGACCGGACTACTGGGGCGACGATCCCATGGAGGGCGTCATGGGCGCGGGCATGCTCCGTCCCAGTGCTGCACCTCGGCGCTTCGACGAATACTACCGCTGCTACCCCGTGGCCATGCTGCCCGGCCCCGAGAGAGAGAATGTCAACCACGGTGGCAAGGTCATCATGCCGCCGAGTGCATTGGATAAGCTGACGCGACTGCACATCACCTATCCGATGCTGTTCGAGCTCCATAATGGCGCGAAGGAGAGAATGACACATGCGGGTGTTCTGGAATTTATTGCGGAGGAGGGAAAGATCTATCTGCCTTTCTGGGTCAGTCAAAATCCAAAATACCTGGTCACCGGCGCTGATGTTCATCGTTCTACAGCTCATGCAAACACTACTTCTCGAGCCCGGCGATCTGCTCCAGATCAAGTCGACAGATCTGCCACCCGGTCAGTTCATCAAGCTCCAAGCGCAGTCGACATCCTTCCTCGACATCAGCGATCCCAAGGCAGTGCTAGAGAATGCGTTCCGGAATTTCTCATGTCTTACGAAAGGCGATGTGTTCACGTTCGCATACAACGATCAAGTCTATGAAATGGCGGTGCTGGAGACAAAGCCAGCCGGGTCGAAGAATGCAGTGTCGGTGCTGGAAACGGATTTGGAGGTCGACTTTGCGCCCCCGGTTGGTTTCGAGGAGTCGCAACGGACAAGTGGGACAAGCACACCAGGCAGTGTCGTCAGCGGGAAAGGGAAACTACCGGCTGGTGGGCTGTTGCACCCCCATGGCACCATGGCCCAGTCCATAAACTATGCCGCCATTGCTCCCGAATCGACCGATGCTGCAGCTGGTGCTCGCGCCGTGTCGTCCAACTTTTTGTCTGGAGGACAGCGCCTGAACGCAAAGAAGGGCAGCAAAGCCCCGACCCCCAAACCATCCACTCCCGCCCCCGGAGCTACAAACTCCCAACATCCACCCCCAGCTCGCCAGACCAACGGCCCTCAACCTCTCCGGCTCCCTCCCAACCAACTCTTCTTCGGATACGCCATCACCCCGGCCAAGAAACGCGACGAGAATGGAATGGTCGTTCCCGAGGACCAGCCTAAATTCCAGGGCATCGGCCAGACACTTCGGGGGAAGCGCAAGGACCCAGGCGGAGATGTCACACCTACGTCTGGAAGTGAAGCCGACAGCCAAAAGTCTCACGGAAGCGGTCGCATGTTGGGAAGAAGCAAGCGTTAGGGCCTTAACAGCTCATGATGATACCTCGGATTCTTAACTAGATAACGGAAATCCATCTATATTGATACTTTGTTTGTAAACACGGTCTATTCCAAAAGACCATGAAATAGTTCGCGATGTATGTACATCCTTCCTCGGCCCCGGCCAACTTGCCGATGGCGCCTTGGCAAGCTTCACATGCCGATCATGAAAACATAAATTGTTAAACGATGCCCGGAACAATAAACATCATCGGAGGTTCTCATCACAACTCTAATGGCAGCCAAACGCGAGGGGCCCCTGGCACCATTTGCCAAATTGGCTCCGTCGGTATATATCCAGGAGCCAGTCGAGTCAGCCGACACCAGGGACTCACAACCGGTGATTTTCATCGCGTTCTGGATGAACGCACCAGCGCGCGCACTTGCCAAGTACGTGGTCGAGTATCGCCGCCTGCTGCCCAGGGCGCGCATCATCTTCGTACGCAGCGACTCCAATGATTTCTTCTTGCGCGCCACCGGCCGAGCACAACAGGCTCGTCTCACCCCAGCCGTGGACGCTCTCCGGGCCAGTGCCAACCCACAGAACCCGGTGTTTCTGCATATGTTCTCCAACGGCGGCCTGTCCAGCACCACTCACATGCTGAAGGCATACCGCGCCGCCACGGGCAAACCACTGCCCATCTCATCCATGATCGTGGACAGCGCCCCGGGGACGGCAACCATCCGCACGGCCATGAAAGCTTTCTCGTATGTGCTACCGCGGATCTGGATCCTGCGCCTGATTAGCAAGGGTATGCTGCTGTTTGGTCTGGTCTTTGGCAAGCTCGTCCGGACGATCTTGCGGCTCCCCGACCCCGTCACTGTCGCGCGCGCGGTTATCAACGACCGGTCTTTGGTGCAGGCTGCCAATCCCAAGGGCGTTTTGTCGCGCTGCTACATATACTCTGACGCCGATGAACTGGTTCACTGGCGCGATGTGGAAAGCCATGCAGATGCCTCGGAGGCACGCGGATGGATTGTGCGCCGAGAATTGTTTCAAGGGGCGCCGCATGTTAGCCATATGAGAGCCGAGCCTGATCGGTATTGGGGTATTGTGAGGGAGTATCTGGGAATTGAGGAGTCAAAGGAGTCGGCATGATCTTTAGATTTTGGAGTGGTTTTGAGGTTTGATCGATTTGCTTGGTGATATACCCATATCTATTTTCTCACAGTGAATATTATCAGTTCGAAAAACACATTTTTCCTTCTGTCCACAAGTGGCAGCACCCACGGATCCAGAATTGCGAATCACAATGACCGGATACTGGGGCACTGCTTCGACCGGAGATCAGTTCCGCGACCTGGTCTTTGCTATCTAACCCGCTAACTATGGACCCGACGGCAACCATGCATCATTCTGGTGTCCCTCCCACAAGGTCCACGTCAGTCAAGCATGTCGGTCATTGCAACCTCTCTTCGTTCATTCCTCTCTTCGCGGCGCGTGTCTACTATCGGCACTGATATCACAAGACCACAATGTCGTTCCAACAGGATGAAGGCTTTATCAATGCGGCAGAAATGACCCAGGACAACCGCTTCCTTCTCCCGGGGTTTCACCGGCCACTGGACTTTTATCCGATGGAAAAGAACATCTATGGTGTCGAGTGTCGTAGCATGTTTCCCACGGCGCTGGATGATAGGGATATCCAACGCGGAGATGCCGAGTAAGACCGGCGTCTCTCTTTCTCAGTGCTGTTTTAACGGTCTCCTAGTCTCCCGGTGCAGACCCTCCGTGAGATTGCCATGGTAGATGTCATGGAGGACATTACTGATATCCCGCAATGGTGGACGAAGGTATTCAGCAGTGCACCCGTTGCTTCAATCCCCACTAAGTTCTTCCTGCGGACAGATCCATGATCCCAGGGTGACGGAGGAGTGGAAAACGATGGCGATGAACAGCGGCCGAGATGTCACGCTTAACATGGCGAATTGGATCATCGAAGAGCTCAAGTTCAAGGCCTTGATCCAAGACGCCACGGGCGTAGTGGCTCTGTATAATGGAGACGTTACGAAGTCCGACGTCAACGTTCGTGAAGACCTTAAGGAGGAGCTGAAAACTGCCGTCAAGGTCCTGGAGTATCCCGACCCGAAGCTCCACTTCTACAACCCCGATAACTCAGATAAACAGCACGATTTCCTCTCCATGGCCTTGTTCCCACTGGTCTACGGCAAAAGCCGCATCCTGGGTGACCGACTCATCGGTCTAGACGATGCGCTCGACAACATCGGCAAAGGCGAAACCATCCCCATGCCCAAGGAAACGGGGATCACGCGCGAAGACATTGCCTGGCGAGTACTCGCACGCGCAGACATCGAAGTACGCCCCTACAGCCGCTTTTACCAGATTCTGCCCACAGACTGGCAACTGGGCGACGACGACAAATGGCACATTCAAACATACATCAACAACCTGCACCCTGTCAAGCACCGCAACATCTACAAGGTCATCGAGCGGATCTTCAACTGCCTAATCCCGCAGTGGAACGCTACCCTTACGCCTCTGAAAGACCAGCTGCACTCGCGTGCACGCATCGAGTACACCAAAGCCGAGTACTATCCCATTCCCAAGGAAGTGGCCGACGCGGCGCCGCAGATCAAGCCACGCGAGGCGAACAGCGAGTTTGAAGAACGGCTTGAGAAGTGGCGTATGGAACATATCCGTGCCATCCAGCCCGATGCGGGCACGTTTATTCCCTGGGCTGTGCCGCCGTGGCTTATGTCCAAGTTGCCCGAGGACTTGCCCAGTCCGGTCCGTATTGAGGAGGGCGTCGAGCTAAACAAGGATTACAAGCAACGAGGGCTCCAGGTTGTGACACGGCTGCTGGGCGTTGATCTCAAGCCGGAAGAGCAGTACTATGAGACGGATTGGCATGTTGAGCTACAGATGGTGAGACCCTCTCCCTCCCTCTCTCTCTCTCTCTCGCTCTCGCTCTCTCTGCATTTACTGATAACCATAATAGAATGAACACATCTGCGCCGCAGCATTCTACACCTACGACGCCGAAAACATGGAAGTCCCAAACATGGAATTCCGCAACATGGTCGAGACCTCAACGCTCAGCGAAGTAGAGCACGACCCGGGCGACTTCACCTGGCTGAAGCAAGTATTCGGGCTGGAAAACGGCGAGCCAGCGATCCAAAGCTCGGGCTCGATCCGTTGCAAGGTCGGCCGCACGGTGATGTACCCGAGCACGGTGCAGCACCGGCTCTCGCGCTTCGAGCTGAAAGACAAGACCAAGCCGGGGTATTCGCGCGCGCTGGTGTTTCTCCTGGTGGATCCGAATATCCGGATTATTTCCACCGCGAATATCCCGCCGCAACGCTATGACTGGTGTCTCCCGGGGCCGACAGATAACCCCGAGGAACTGTGCGAAGCTATGCAAAAGCTGGCGCTGGATAATATTGATCAGAAGGGGGATTTGCCCATGTCTTTGGCGGAGGCGCTGGAGATTCGGAAGGATGTGCTGAAGGGGGGGACCGACTTTACTCGCTACCAGCATGTTGTGTTTGAGTCGAATTTGTTGATGCTGTAAAGGATGGTAATTCGCAGCTGTGTATTCAATCAATCTCTTTACCAGTTCTTGCAAATCTATGTTGATCGAGGTGCAACCGCATCGCTGCGCTATGCCATTCATGCAAGGAATATACACTGAGACTAAGATAAAACACACATACACACACATATGCATCACACTACCGACCCTTCATCTCCGGGAACTCATCCTCCAATTTCAGACGAGCAGTAACGTTCATACTCATAAGCTCCTGGATAAGCAGCTTGGCAGCGTAGGGGATAGCCATCTTGACCACGGAGCGAGACGACTTGCAGCGGGAACACCAGTTCAAGTAACCCATGAAGCCGCACTTCTCGCAGACATCCACCTCGTGGCGATCCGACGAGATCATAAGCCGCTCAAGCAGCAGCTGGCTGGTTCCGTAGGCAATCAAACAGTCGCGCTCCATCTCACCGAGACGGAGACCGCCATCGCGCGAACGACCCTCGGTAGGCTGGCGGGTTAGGAGGGCGCGTGGTCCACGCGCACGCGAGTGCATCTTATCTTGGACCATGTGCTTGAGCTTCTGGTAGTAAATGGGCCCGGTAAACACGTAAAAAGGCAGTGGCTCGCCCGTGATACCTGAGGTGAGGTAGTCCTTTCCGCCGTAGCTGAAGCCGTGGTCGATCAGGATCTGGGACATCTCTTCGACAGGGCTGCCGCCGAAGCAGGTGCCGTAGCCGTGTTGTCCCGAAAGCACGCCTGCTTTGCCGGCCACAAGCTCCAGCATCTTGCCGACTGTCATGCGGGACGGGAAACCATGCGGGTTCATGATGATGTCCGGGTTGATGCCTTCGTCGGTGAAGGGCATGTCGGCTTGGTCGGCGATGATGCCCACCACACCCTTTTGACCGTGGCGGGAGGAGAACTTGTCGCCGACTTCCGGGCGGCGGGTCTGCCGAGTGAGAACCTTGATGAGTTCGTTTTCTCCTTCGGTGACGGACCGCATGACTTTGTCAATGTACGCCGGGTCCGGGAGTTTATAAGTCATCGGCTGGGGGAGAAGTTTGGGTGCTCTCCCGACGTCCGAACCGGTGATGCCGGTCGTGTGCGCCGTGTCGGGCGTGACTTTGTTGATGTACACCTCGCCGGCATTCACCTTCTCACCGACAGCAGCCAAACCGTCGCCCTCCAGGAGCAGGTGTTTGGCAATAGGGGTATCGCCGTCGTACTCTGGTGGATTAAGCGCATCCTTGGTGCCGTTGGGATAGCTCTTCAGGTTGGTCACGTATTTCCGGAAGACCTGGCATCGGCCAAACCCACGGTCGACGGACCCCTTGTTCAGCACCAAAGCATCCTCGATATCGTAGCCTGAGTAACTCATGACAGCGACGGTTGCATTCTGGCCGGCAGGAAGTTGATCGTATTTGACCAGTTCGATAGTCCGTGACTTGACCATCGGCTTCTGTGGGTACACCATGAGGTAGAGGATGGAGTCGATCCGCTGGAACTGGTTGGAGGCAATGGCACCGATGGCTTGTTTACCCATAGCGCATTGGTAGGTATTTCGAGGAGACTGGTTGTGGTGGGGGTAGGGGATGAGACCAGCGACAGCGCCCAGCATGGTGAACGGCTCGATCTCGAGGTGGGTTGTGGCCTCGTTGACGTCCTTCTCGTAGATGGCGATGTAGGAATCATTCTCCTCGTTGACATCAAGGTACTCAACCAGTCCTTGAGCAAGGAAATCATCAAAAGACATCGTCCCATCGCGGAGTTTCTTCAGATGGTGAGCACGGACACAAGATTTGCCATTCTCCGCCACGATCAGCGGTCTGCAGATACGCCCATCGTCGGTTGCAATATGAACAGCGCGCTGGTGGTGGTTGATAAAGATGCTCACGAACTCCGAGATCCGGCCCATTCGTCGGAGCTTGCGGAAAGAGTTGAGAAAATGCTTTGGGCGTCGGGTCAGAGCGGTCGGTGTACCGTTGATGGAGATGGTGTAGGCGCCAGGACCATAGATTTGCTTTCCGCTCAGGGTCGAGATGTCTTCCGCGCCCAGAATGAAGATCAAGTTCCGCACGGGACCCTCTTCGTCGTTGGTGGTGATGTGTGTCATGAGGGCCAAGTTCTTGACCAGACCGCACGCCTCTCCTTCGGGGGTATCGGCGGGGCAAAGCATGCCGAATTGTGACGGCTGCAAGGCACGAGGACCACTGACCTTACGCGTCTTCTCGAACTGACTGCTGATACGGGTCATCATACCCAGAGCAGCGATATAGCTCAGCCGACTGAGAACGTGAGTGACTCCCGCACGCTCCATGCGGAATCGCTTCAGGCTCCAGTTGCCGGTCGAGATGGCACGGTTCATGCCATGGGTGATATGGTTGCCATGCATGCTCACAACGCTCCACGCGTCAAACTGCTCGGCGCGATTTCGTTTGTTCAAAACCTTGTCGATGTTCATTTTGATATCGAAGCAAAACTTTTTGAACATGTCTTCAAATAGCAACGCCAAGAGCTGGCCCGCCAATTCCAGTCGCTTGTTTCCGAGGTAATCACGATCATCCACCAGCGTGGGATCGTTCTTGGCCATCAGCACACGGCGGGCCATGTGTGCAACGTAAATGGCCTTGGGTCGGAAGTTCATGTCCTTGACTTCGATGTGCGAGATGATGACAGAGGCAATGGCTTCCACTGCCTCTTGAACATGAGTTCGGCGGTAGGCCATTTGCTTCCGGTTGATTTTGATGCGCGACCCGATCCATTCAAGGGCCTGTTGCTGAGTGTAGACGCCAATGTTATGGGCCTCCTCGAAGTTGATCGCAAAATCATCTTGGTATAGCTCGTCGGTGCCGGTGACCAGAAGCAAAATCTCCTGATCCGTGTGAACGCCCATGGCCTTGAGCAAGACAACAATGGGGATGTCTTCGCTGAGCACGTTATGTTTCACGTGCAGCCTATCCTTCTTGAGGATGATATAACTCTTCGACTTTCGCTCGTTGGAAGAACTACAGGAAGTTAGAAAGATGAAAAAATAAACCGCATCCATATGAGCCTTACCTCGTCACGGATGCCTGCACAATTTCTTTCTTCGGATCCGTCTCTACAATGATTCGATTCTTGCTCAACTGCTCCTGAACAAGAATGACCTTTTCCGTCCCGTTGACGATGAAATAACCACCAGGATCGAGTGGGCATTCGTTGAGGTTGCTCATCTCCGTGGGAGATTTGTTCGTCAGCACACACTTGGAGCTGCGAAGCATGACGGGCATCCTGCCAATGGAGACACCTCGCCGAATGACCCGTTGACGCCCACGCACGTACTCAAAGTCGACATAGATCGGCGCGGCATAGGTGGTGTCCCGAAGTCTGCATTCCTGCGGCGTCACATTTGATTCAAAGTGGAACCCGGCGTCGGACTGCTCATCGGCGCGCCGGGGCGATCCAACGTAGATGTCGGTGAACTTGATGTAAAAGTTATGATCCACATCGCTTCGAATCATCGAGCTCGACTCGACAATCTTCTTCAACTGCACCTCGACAAAGTAGTTATAGGAGTCAATGTGCTGTTTCACCAAGCCTTTGACTTTGAGGAAGGCGGGCAGGAGATTCCATTTATCCTTGGCCGTATCGATGGGATCGGTCAGCGATTTGTTATAGTAAAAGGGCTCGAGAAGCGCATCGAAGGGATCTCTGTGCTGATAGTTTGGAGACGAGTGCTCATGCGATTGGCCACTACCATGCTCGGCTGGGCCTGACTCGGTCGGTCGGGTTGAGTCAGAGGTTTTCTTGGACACTGAAGAGCGCTTCCGCTTTGCAGCGGCGGTTGTGGGCTGATCCGCAGACTGCAGAGAGGGAAAACATGTTAGTCTGATGGACGAGCGGCTCGAATGGGAGCTTGAAAAAAGTTTTGCCCATACCTCCGTTGCAGGCCGAGTAGATCGGATGTTGCTAGCCGCGGAGGGCTGCGGCCGCCTGCGAGGCGGCATGGTCGCGGATGTCTGAAGCCTAGAGAGTGCTTGATTTCCGTAATGCCAAACCAGCGGGTCAGGGAAAGAGGGAAGCGACTGGCATCGCCCTTGTTGGAGAAATTGAACGGAGGGGAAAGTTTTTGGTTATCGGCGGGGTTATGTAATCGGTCAGCTCTCCCAGACGGGCAGCCCGGACACCTGAGGCAGACACAATTTCCATGGGCCTGAATGATCAAATAATTATCATAGGAAATGTTGTCGTGGTCGAATGATCACTTTGAGTGAACAGAATCATCTTGTTTTTTCTGGGCTATCTTGTTTGGGGTGGTGGGAGTGCATCTGCTGCTAGCCCTAATTCCTCTGCCCCCAATCTATATTGAGATGCCTCAGCCCAACCAACTCAATCTGTAGATGCGATCGCAGCCATCCTTATTGGCGGAATGCCAATCTACGTTCAGGTCCATGTCTAGAACTAGATCCATCGCCTCGTGCGGCTCACCCGCCCTGTATGATGATGATGATGATGATGCATGATGCCTCCCTCTCACCAGCCGCGGTGGGTCTCGATCCAACGATATCTGGGATATGCAGGCATAAGCCGGGTCGATCGAGCGTCAATCCCTGGACGGGAGATGCGACCGGAGGAATGTTCCATGGGCAGCGACAGGGATGGGGGCGGCACTCTTCGTGTGGGACAATCCGTCCATGCACGCATCTCAAGCAGCAGCGATCATCGCGAGGATTGTTCTGTGGCGGGCAACGATTGACCGCAAGTCCATTGCCACATTGCGGGGGAGTGGTGTACACGTCGATTATGGGTATGATTAATAGTATTACTCTTCTGACTCCATTGATTGGAAATCTACGGAGTAAACACCATCATGGCGCTGGTATAGCTCGGATGCAGGACTCCCCCGGCGTCGGGCATCCAGAACACTCTTCCGTCCGTAGTCAACGGGACTATCCAAGTGTGAATCCTGCCGGGTCCCCTCCATCTGCTTGTCATAAGTTGGTGGATCAGGGGCCAGACTGGTGGCTGGAGGGTACACCGCTGTTTTTCTCCGATCCCTGGTTCTGCTCACCCCCGAACCACGCCCTTCGGAGTGAAACAACAAAGCGCCCACGATACTCGCTGTCACATCCTGGCGCGCTTCACGCTTCCTCGTGTCTCCACTCCCTGTTCTCGCCTGCAGATGCCACGCTCTTAGGGTTGGCCCCCCCCTTGCGTAGACTGACTCAAGAAGCCTAGCCTCGCATGGAATTGGCCATTAGGCAGTCCGGGCCCCGGGCGTCCGTGGACGGGATTCCCACCGACGAGTGGTAGGACAGTCCCTCGTAGCCTCACGGAGCGCGTGGATTGCTTTCTGTCAAAGAAACCCGGGTTGCCACCGCCTTTCTCCTATCTGCGCCATTCCCCATTTGGGGTCGAGGGCTGAGCTCCCCACTTTTGTTTCCTTTCCCAACCCCCTCTCTTCTCTTCTTCTTTCTCTCGCTTGTTCTGTTCTACTGTACACTTCTCTCTTTCTCCTTTTGTTGTTGTGGTTCGGTCGTTCACTCGTTCCCTTGTGTTGGTGTATATTTGTGTGTGTGTTTCCCTCCCCAAGACTCGCCTGTAAGTGTTCATCCTCGTGTTGTTCGTCCCCCTGGCTCATCTCCGCATCTGTGCCAGGTACAACAACCACCACCCATATATAGTAGCTAGATGCCCACGGTCGGGACCGGTGCCTGACCCTATCGACCGATCGTGATTCCCTCGACTCTCGAGGCGTTCATTGTGTGAGTCCCGATCCCACACGCCAATCGCTTCCCTCCTTCCCCCCCCACCCTCAGCCCCTCTCCGATCTCTGCGTCCCCTTACTTGGCCGAGTACGACACAGTGTGCCCACCACCACCACTTCCTGCCACTGAATGTCTGAGCTGCAGACAGAATCATTCGGGAGGCTGGTGCCCTAATGTGGAGGGAAACCCCCTTAAAGCCGTGCCCGTGCCAGCATAATCCGTCAAACAAACACCTGTGCTGACCGATGCTGGGGTGTTGCTGTAGATTGGATCCTTGGACAAATTTGCCCACCATGGCCTTCAAGAACGGGCTGAGTGAACGCCTCGACGAGCTGCGCTTCCCGTCTCCTCGATCCCCGCCCTCGGAGTCGACCTTCCCCGGCTATACCGCGCTCTCCCCGGGCCATTCGAATATTGTGTCGCCTTTCTCGCAATCATCGGGCGATGTGCGTGCCAATTTGCAGCGCCGCTTCACCACGGACTCGAGTAAATTCTCCTCGCCATGGAATTCACTGAACCAGGGAGCGCCTCAGATGCCGGATCCACTGGACCTGTTGTCTTCGGTAAGTTGAGAGCTTCCTTTTGCATTGGGAGGAGGGAGGGGCAGTGGACTTAGGGCTTGTGGGGGCCTTTGGTGGTGGAGGTTGGCAGGTACTCTCTGTGTTCTCAGGGAGACTAACGGACTGACTGCCTGCCTGCCTGCCTGCCTGCCTGCCTGTCCCATGGTCTCTGTCCTGCTCCTTCCTTTCCTTATTCACACACCTCATCTATTGCCGTCTTTCCCATTATCACCCTTCGCTCTGCCTGCCTTCACTGTCCCTCTGAACCTTGGAGCTTGGGATCACCCCGAGACGGGGCCCTTTTGACCTTTCTCTCCCTCACCCACCCACTCCCTCTCTTCTTCTTGTCCTTTCCAACCCCCGCGTTCCTCTCTGGCGTCACTTCTTTTGGTCTTCCTTACTTGCCCTTACCCTTCAATAAACCCATTTCGTTCCGTTTCCTTTCGATTTCCTCTCGTCTGACCATGTCGCAGTTCGAAAAGAAGCGTCAGCACATCGAGTACATGCGCGAGCAGAAGCGGCGCTTTGAAGAAGACATGAAACTGCTGGACATACAGCACGAGAAAGAGAAGCAGGAGATGGACCAGCTGGCCCGAGACCTCGCCAAGGCTGGTGTGTCTGGGCCCGTCAGCGAGCCCACCACTCCGCCGGAGTATCGCGAGAGTGCCGTGTCCAGTGCCTTTTCGCGACCCTCCCGCTTCTCGACATCCAGCGTTACCTCGTCTCCGGGCTTCTTCAGTGCCTTTGCTTCGTCTCAACTGACATCGCCCCAAGCGTCTTCCCACACCACTAACCACTCGGTGGATCGGTTTGCAGGTCACTCACTCCCTGGCTCGCGACGCAACTCAGAGAAGGAGGACTTTGTCCCGGAAACGGTTGCGAGCTTCCGTCCAGGACCTTCGTAAGTGAAAAACGTGCCCTTCTTTCCATCGGATCACTTTTCCTCTCACCCTGACCGAGTCGTCACACTCCACGGTCTGGTCCGAACTCCAGCTGACTTGCTTTTAGCATCCACCGCTACTCACTGCCATCCAACAACTACAATAACCAGCTGCGCCATAATCCGCCTGGTTTTAACATGGGCTCTGCTGCGGACTCGTTCGCTGCGACCAAGTACCTCTTTCATAATGACGACGACAAGTCCCCTTTGAAGGACGAGGATCGCATGCCCACCCCGGACATCAAGAGCTACATCAAGTTGACAGAGCCGGATGACAAGTTCCCCACTCTTTTGCGTCGTGGTGGTTCGAACCTGGTAAGTCCACGACTCTGGACGTGAAACACTCAGGGTATGCTAACTTGCTGTTAGCTTTCTGCGAACCCGGATGCTTTGGATCTGGCCAACTCTCGTACCCCGGGGCCCGACACGTACAACTCCCACAATCGACACCGGCTCACCCATCAGAGTATGCCGCAGAATGTGCCGGGCATTATGCGTGTGGATCAGCTGGGCAGCCCGACTGCAGAAGACCATGGCAATGCGCACACCTCTCGTCACGCCTCTCGCCACTCTCTGGAGGGAAGCCTGGTGTACAACAATGATCGTGGAAAAGACGCCATGACCCCTGTGCCCTCTACCCGCCCCACCTCGCTGCAATCTTCTTACTCAACCAACGACCTTCCTACGGTGAAGGGTAGTGGCTTCAGCAACAACGCGATTACTCCTCCCAAGACCCACGCTGAGCACATCCACCAACACAATGCCAGCATGGGACGCATTCCTGCAGGCGCTGTCAACAGTCGCCAGCAGAAGGAGTCGCCCGAGGCCGACGAGTCCGCTCTTCAGAGCCCCAACTCACCGCAATCCATTCTTCAGGCGAGTGCCGCACCATTCGGGCCCCAGTTGACCTCAGCTGCTTCCAACGGCAGCCTGACTGGTTCTGTTGGCCCATCTGGCCTGACCCCGTTCCAAGCCCCCATCTACGGCTACGGAATTCCATATGTCGGACCTCCTGGTCAACTGAACAACCAGATTCCGGGCTTCCCAACCGCGGGTGCTTACGGTGGATATCCCAACTATAACGGTGGCTATCGTTTCACTGATGGTGTGGGTCGTGGTGCTGCTCCCCAGCGTCGCCAGGGCGAGAGCGATTCCACGCAACTGACCCGCTTCACCAACTACCCCCTGGAGCATTACAAGGGCGAACTGTACACCCTGTGCAAGGACCAGCACGGGTGCCGGTATCTGCAGCGCAAACTGGAGGAGCGCACCCCGGAGCATGTGCAACTAATCTTCAGCGAAACTTACATGCACGTCATCGAGCTTATGACAGATCCATTTGGTAACTACCTGTGCCAGAAGCTCCTTGAGTACTCCAATGACGAACAGCGCACGGCTCTTATTGATCATGCTGCTCCCCAGCTGGTCAAGATTGCTCTCAACCAGCATGGAACTCGGGCTCTGCAGAAGATGATCGAATTCATCTCGACTGCGGAGCAGATCCAGACCGTTATCCGCGCGCTCGAGCACCATGTTGTAGAGCTAGTCCAGGACCTGAATGGCAATCACGTCATCCAGAAGTGCCTCAATCGTCTGTCGCCGGAGGATGCTGATTTCATCTACCAGGCCGTGGGCGCCAACTGCGTCGTCGTGGGCACTCATCGCCACGGATGCTGTGTTCTTCAGCGCTGCATTGATCATGCTTCGGGTGCTCAGAAGGCTCATCTCATTGCGCAAATCACGGCGAACTCCTTTGCCCTGGTCCAGGATCCGTTTGGCAACTATGTCGTGCAGTACATCTTGGATCTTGCCGAGCCTCATTTCACCAACCCGCTTTGCCAGACGTTCGGAGGCAACATTTCTTCGTTGTCCAAGCAGAAGTTCAGCTCGAATGTGATCGAGAAATGCCTGCGGACTGCTGATCCTCATATTCGCCGCGAGATGATCGATGAGATGCTGTCTGGCAATGAGCTGGAGAAGATGCTGCGCGATTCCTTTGCCAACTACGTCGTGCAGACCGCCATGGACTTTGCGGATCCGGACACTCGCAACCGAATCGTGGAATCCGTCCGCCCGATCCTCCCTTCGATCCGCCAGACCCCGCACGGGCGTCGCATCGCCGGCAAGATGATGGCCTCGGAGAACTCCGGCAGGGGAAGTGCCACGACCAGTGGCCAGGCCACGCCGAACGAGGTCAATTCCACGCAGATTTCAGGATCGATGCTCCAGAAGAACTTTGTGTACCAACAGCCAGGCATTCCAGCCTCCAACGTTCCGAATGCATTCGGCCAGAACTTTATCCCCGCTTCCTCGACCAGTTCCGCCTCCAACACGCCGTCCGGTGGAAACAGCGAGACCTCGTCGATCTTCAGCCCGTCCGCCCCGCAGCCGACCACCAACCTTGGAACGCAGAGCCAGCTCTATGCCTATTTTTGAAAGCGTTGAACGTTCCTCACAACTGTACACATAACGATGACGTGACGACCTTCTATTTCATGATTAACGGCTACTTACCTTGCAAGACTTGTCGTCAACCTGGTTGGGACCAGTTGCATATGCCATGACCATCTATCTTTGCGGCACGGTTTCTTAGTGCCCTGCGCATTTTTGCCCAGCATTTTTACCCTTTGCACAATCTGCATTTTACCTTTGTCCATTCTCATCCTTTGCAGATACTCTTTCCATGAAGCAATGCGTCATGACTGTACCATTCGGCAAAGTTCACGCGTTGCATGTGCATCTCTCTCCTCGAGTTCACGGTGACAATTTAGTCTCGAGGAGCCATGACTTTTTTCGGCACCTGTGTTTTCATTCCCCACATTGTGTACTTTTCTCCCATTTTGTCTTCTGACAAGCACTGGTTTTCTCGGTTGATGAAGAAAGGCCTTGGTGGTTTCTTTTTTCGATGTTTTTCCAATCGAGTTGATTCGTGCTTGTTTTGTTTCCCTGCGTGTGCTTTTATCCTTATTTTCTTCTTCACCCTGTACTTTGCGTTTCTGCTTTTCTTTTGACATGCATTTGTGCTGTTTAGGCCATTTTGAAAATCTCTCACGCGGAGGAACGAGCCTTGGGCGTTTCCTTTTAGGTGCGCGAGCAGGGTGGTTCTTTCGCCAGGATGATTTTTCGAGTTTGGGACATTGTTGTTGGAGAGGCTGGCTGGAAGAGATGGCAGTCGTGTATTGCCTCAGGGCTGATGCGGGCAGCTTTCTTTTTCTTTGCTTGTTTGCTCTTACTTCTTGACATTGGGATGTCTTGCCATTTGGTTTCTTATCTCGATGCATGTTCCTTTTGCCTACACGTTGCACTTTGCCTTCGATTTTTTCTTTCTCTGCATGGGTTGTACTCATAGTCTTCTGGAATTGCATTCGGTTTCTGTTTTGTCCACTCTAACTTATTTTAGACCGTGTTTACTTGTAGCCTTGTATCCGTGGCCACCTCTGACATGGCGGCAGATTACGCGGAAAAGGAAGGTCATCATGAGATCACCCAGTGGCTCCGGGGTATTCACCTGGTTGATTTTGTCAAATTCATGATGCATCAGTTGTTATGTATTTTGTTCTGTGATATCAGATTACCTCCGCGATTTGAACATTCTTGCAGCTTTCCGACGGCCCCATACCAAACCCAAGCGTTCGAACTTCACGTCCTCAACCACCTCGGCATCACTCCGTTGTGTGTTCATTCGCCGAAACCAACAACATCCACTTCCGAAGTCTCAGGCGTGGCTGGGATTTGGAAGTTGTTGATAGATGGATCGACGACTTACTGGGAAACCATGAGTCAGTGAATACCGTGATTCGATTTTCAGTTGAGGACCTAGAAGATGTGGCACTCGTAAGCTGTCCTTTGTAACGTACTTTGACCTTGCACTGAATGTGTTCAGGTGGTATTCTGTTCCAAAATTTGACCAACCAATTGAAGAACCTTTGAGCTTCCTCAACCTTCACTTTACAGAATTATAAGATTCTGACGCAAATATCTCCAACGCTCGCTGTAAGTGAGGATTACTTCGTTCCCGAACATTCTGGCCTAATTCGGGGGTGAGGTTTAGCAGCACCAGCGCGAAGTTCAAACACTGAGTCTAGGCCAAGTCAGACATCGACCCAGAGGTCTCGGAGGAAGACGCAGCCAATTATATAGTGGCAATAACGTTAACTAGTGGCTGACGAAAGTTCATCTACTTAGGGAGGTTTAAATATCAGAGCTCCCGATTTCTCGCGTTGAGAGCATGCAGATTTACTGACAGTAGTCTTACAGTATCAGTCCGGACTTGTTTTTGAGTTCAATGGATGGCATGCCCTTCTTATTCGGCAAAAACATTATTCTTTTGCACAAATTCCTCAAATGTAGTAAGGCCGCCGCAAACCTGCTCAGATGCCCATTCTACCTTTGCATTCGAGTTATCTCCATAGTAGCCCGATTTCTCAATAAACTTGAACATTGCCACTCTTGGTCTCGAGATTTCAGGGGCAAAAGAACTCGCCCATTCTTCCTCTGAGAGTCGAATATAGGTTGTCTTTCTGCCCGTCACTCTTGTGATGATACTCGCGGCCTCGGTGTAGGAGTACATGCGTGTTGCTGCACAGAGAATTCGGTCAACGTATTTATCAGGACTAGCTAATATCGCACCGATAAATTTCCCAGTATCCGCTCGTGCTTCAATGAACGGAACCGCTGCATCGCCCGAGATGAAATTGGTGAATGCGTATACGCCCGGTTGCTCCGCCATCGGGAACAAGGCCTGGTGACCCAGAAAGTTCTGCATAAACATTCCAGGGGCGAAAAATGCACTTTTCACTGGCAGACCACGGATATAATTCTCTCCTTCCGCCTTCGAGTCAAAGGCTGTCACTTTCTGTCCGTATAGGCGTTCGGCGTGAACCATCGTGCTATAGATGAGGTAGTTTGCACCGGCCTTGACGGAGGCATCTGCCATGGCCTTGGTCTGTCGGAGCTCACGTTCTTTGAGTTGATCATCGTATATAGTGAGTGTCACAATAAAAACAGTATGCGCGTTTGCGAGTGCTGCAGGGAGGGATTCTGGCAGGTCCGCGTCGCCGGTAACAACTTCAACACCTCGGGTCTGCAGCTGCTGAGCAGCAGGTTTTGTGGCATCGCGAGTGACTGCACGTATCGCGTATTTTTTCGAGAGGTCCGGGTTACTGCAAACGTAGTCGATCACAGATCTGCCTTGTAAGCCAGTGGCGCCGAAAACTACCAGGATCTTCTTGCTCATAGTTGCCAACGAAGATTATTTTGGGTACTGTAACGAATTCAACTAGGCTATTCAATCAAACGTCATAATATCTCACTCTTCGTGATGTTGACCCTAATATTCGTGCAAGTTGAAATCTCATACCCCGCGCTGATCGTTTCTGATGACTCACTCCCCCAAGTAGTTAGCTAACTATAATACGGAACAATACGATGCGGGTGATCCTCACAAAAATGAGGATCAGTCTAGTATTGGTGCTCCTCAGCAGAAGCCGGAGGTACACGAGTAGACAGGTACAAAGACTAGGGATTGGAATCTGTGCTATAGGGGATATAGGAAATAATAAAAAGTCGACCTAGGCCGTGGAGAATAGGGCCGAGGAGAGAGTATAGGAGGTTACAAGGACACCGGAAGAGAGGGAAGACCAAGCATCTTATAGGCTTCCGACTAGCGAAAAGGGAGGGCACCTAGATTTGGTAACAGAGGGGAGCCATTTTCGGCGTCGTTTTGGTCACACGCAGAATCGGGGGGAACAACTGTTGAAGTCGAGCGTCAACTTCAGGTCCGACTTTAGGGGGCGATTACCGATAAGATGATGAACTATCTCAGCCTAATAATGTAGGATGAAGCCCGAGTTTTCTTCCCCGAATACCTCCGTTTCTCGACTAGGTAGATTCTCCCGGTGATCACATTTCGCGCTATCGCATTCTTGAGGCTTTTTCAGCTAGGCCATGCAGAATTTCTAGACCGATCTGTCGATCTAGAAATTCAGAAGGTATTGCATCCTAAGCGGCCCTTACAGCTTCGCGTAGTTGATCATAGGATAGCTTGCGATCGTAGGACTTTAAATATCGCTCCCCCTGTAATCCCTAGGGTATCGGTAAGCTTTAGTTGATAAATAAACTTCCTCTGGCGCTATATTCTACGCGCTATTAGATAGATTATATGAGGGCGGCAGAGTGTGACAAATAACTACACCACAACGCTAAGTGACGGTAAATCGGGCGCCGAAAATGGCTATAAATAACAATGAGCGAGACGTAAAAACCAAGCTGCTTGAATCAATAATATAAATCCTCCCGAGAATCAACCAGCAATGGAGCGACGCCGAATCTTGCAGGGCCATCCCCACGGCAAGATCGAGAAATGATTCTTCCACTCCCATTCTTTCTTCGGATCCACTTGCTCAAATTCGAAGTCCCGAATCAGGGTGGCAGCAAGCTTGCTAATTTCGAAGTGAGCGAGATTGCGCCCAACGCACTGTCTGTATCCAGCTCCCCACTAACGCAGGATCACATGCGTATTAGTTGACGGTGCTGAATTGGAAAGCGGTATTAAACATAGTCACTTACGTGTATCAGGAATGAGTCCATTCTTTGAGTGTCACCCTGAAGCCAGCGGTCTGGGTTGAAGGTGTCGCAGTCTTCGCCGAACAACGTGGGGTTTCTGTGATAAACCCAAGGATTGACACTTAGAATAACCTGAAGTTGCCAGAGTTAGGGTCTGGTTCATCTAAAGGAATAGGGAAGCTTACGCCCTCGGGGAAATATCTGCCACCTATAGTGATTCCACCTTTTGGCACCACACGAGGGAGGGGACTAGGAACAATCGAGTGGAACCGGTAATTCTCTTTCATCTATGCAGCAGTGTTAGCGTAAGAATATGACGAGGAAAGACAGAGCGGGCACTTACACAAGCTTGAAGGAATGGCAACTTCTTCGCCTCATTGTATTGAACAACAGGCGAAAGTTCCCCGCGAGCTTGGGCAGTGTCAAGCTCCTCACGTAGTCGGCGAAGGTGCTGAGGGTAACGAAGTAGCCAGTAGAAAAGAGATTGCGTCGTGGCACTGACGGTGTCTGATCCAGCACCGACATTAAGGACGGCGGCAGCGAAGATCTCGTTCTCAGCCATGCGGTCGGGATACTTGGCACGGGTGTCGAGCCATTGTTGCATCATATCCTTTCGCACCTTGGGGTTTTCTTTTCGCATGTTAATCGCAGCAAGACAGGTATCAAAGATGTGCGAGGACGGCTGGATTCCCAGACGGCTAAGGAGCGGGCTACCCAGTGTCAGGTTATGGAACCAGGTATAGTGACCCATAACTGAGACATATAAAGCCAGGGCTCTAGTGTTTGCGATAGCATTTCTAACATCCGTGCCGGTTTTAACAAAGCCAAAAGATTTCGAAAAGGTGACCTCGCCCACGACGTCAAATGCAAAATAGGTAAACCAATCGTTAAATTCAATCGGGGTGCCTGAATCGCAGTGCTCGTCCACGTGCTTAATGAGGAGCTCGAAGACTGCATCGACATATGGCTCGGATTGGATGATGTTGGAAAGAGTGTAGCCCGAGGCAACGTTGCGGTTTTTCTCCAGGTGTCGTTGAGGATCCAGTTCTGACATCTGGTTCACATAGTGGTAGTCGGGAAAACTGAAAATGGCATACCAGGGGCCCTGAGGTATAGAAGCTTGAAATCAGGGACACGTCAGGTCATGTTCCAAGAAAGTATCATTTACCTTCGCAAGATTGGCATGGAGAAGTTGTCTCACTGCATCTGGGTGAGAGACGCTGACTTCGTTATCCCTAATGCGAACGAAGTATCCTGTTGCACACCGTCAAAAGACCAAACCTCGTGTTCGAGGATTCGGATTTCATACCATGCTTTTTGTGGAGTTTGATAGCCTCTGCTTCGAGGTGGCCTTTCCATAACTGATACACTACCCACAGACTAGAGAAAGACCCCCAAAATGGACCGGGGATATCCCTGATTGACGTCGCGTATCGCCGGAATAGGACACGAGCAACAACGACGCCGACAAGGATCAAAGCCCAACCAAGACGTGTATTCAGCGACGCGATCATTTCAGGCACCAGGAGAAGGACCATATTGAACCGAACACTTTCGCCCTGGAAAACAGAGGGCCACAGTTGGAAGAAGAAGGACAGGGCAGGGAGCCTTTGTTGTTCTGGGAAACATGTCAATGCGGGGTTGCAATTATATGCCACTTATCACGCTAATGAGAATATCACGAGCCCCTTTAAAGGATCGGACCCAACATAGCATTGCCACACATTTGAGGCTCTATTCATCAATTCCCCTGGGTACAGAATCCTCCATTTCCAGCCGCGCAAGAGTGCTCCTGTCTGATCAATGCAGCATCGGCTCCTTCTTGACCTTCATCCTTAGCCGTTCCAGCCGGGCGCGCTTGACGGTCATTTTACTTCCGCGGCAAGCTCGTGCAGGTGAAATGGTCGCATACTGGAGGAAACTTGGCTAGGTCTACTCCGCTAATGTTATCGAGCATGAAAAATTCCCGTCCGCATTCCATCCCCATTACCCTGGCTATTGATGGCCGAATGCATCGTAGTAAAGTACTCCAATTGATATGGCATGCGCCTATGACGCTATTGCTCTGCATGTCCCGGGGTTTATGAAAGATATACTTGACACGTATCTTGACGCTCCTTTACTAGGGGATTGATTGCTCGAACTATGGAAAGCGGAAGCCTATGATACAAAGTACAAAAATCTAGATGCCGTTAGGGGCGATATGCTCCTTTCCATTTCCGTGGACAAGGACACGACCCTCCAAAGGAGCGAAAGCCTTCTGAAGACCACCACGGGGTGGGCCAGTGGGCTTTCCGAACACCAGTTGAGCGCGGAGGTTCCAGCTCTCAGGCACGTTCCAGGTCTCCGCAACGGCCTTGTTGACCTGGGGATTGAAGTGCTGCAGATTGCAGCCGAGACCTTCGGCGCAGAGGGCGGTCCAGGCAATGTATTGGTTCATGCCGTTGGAATGTTCGTACCCTGCAGAGGGCCCGGTTGATTAGATTTTTGTGCGACCAACAGCGATATAGTCAACTTACACTCTGGATGGCTGCCAATGACGCTCTGAAGAGGGGGTGGGAGCTTCTCGACAGCTTTGGTGTCCTCGAAGAACAAGACCTGTAAACGTCCAATCAGCTTAGTTTCGTCAATAAATCTGGATAGCAGCTTACAGTTCCATAAGCAGCCTTATAACCGGCAATCTTGTCCACGAAGTTAGCGAACACGGGAGCGGGCATCGTCTTCTTCATCTCGGTATGGCCGATATCCCACATCTTTTCGTGATCGGTACCAAAGAGAACGATGGCACGGCACGATTGGACAGAAAATGGAGAAGGAGCATGCTTAATGGCGTGGTTGACGATTACAACGATGCGCTCATCAGAGATAGGAGACTCTTTGGCTAGGGCGACGGTAGATCGACGGATCTTAATGGCCTCAAAAAATGGCACGTGGTAAGCGTTTGGCATCTTGGCGGTGTTGTTGTTGATGTAGTAGTTCAGAGGCGATTGTCTGCAAGGACAGGCAGGGTAGATGGTCTTTAGAAAACGTAAGATCTTGGTTGTTGTTGATGGATAAAGAAAACCTGACGCGAGGACAAGGCTGTATTTATACCTAATACCCCAAACCTCTGTTAGCCTAGGAAGCCTTGCTGCGTCGCCTTGCTCTAGTCTTTCTGTAAGATACTACCAATCTGGCGCTAACTGCTCATTCCCATTTGGAATATGTGTCTAGTCCATTGTAGGGGTCAGAGGCAGGTTCTAGTTAATCGTGGTCTAAAATTAGCTGACATCGGGGGATAGCTACCGGAATACCGTGGTAGGCCTGGCCCTATACCTTAGTGCGTGCTTGACACTGCCCAGGTCCAATCTCCCCCGGCGCCCCATTGGTCGTCCACCATGGCCCCCACCCACGCCACGACGGCCCCTGCTCTCTAGACTTGACAAAATACACTTTCTTCAGGAACACGGTCGGCACCAAACTTTCACCGACTCCGGAAGGTACGGGACCGACAGTGCCGACGAAATTTGAACCTGATCAGTGGAGAGTCCAGCGTCGGAGAACAGTCGATCCGTCCGGCGATTAATTATGTTCTCTCGCCGATTAGATGTGATTGATGATTGATACGTTGTGGACACTCGGAGATGTAATTGTTATATTCGGAAAAATCGTCAGAAACAAATAATCTTGGAGACAAGATGACTGGATCAAAATGCGGTTTATTGGGGCTATACACACTAGTCCAGTCCAGCCAAGGAGACGCCGCTTACGTGATCCCATCCCCTTCTTTCGCCGCGTCCTCGACAGCTCCGACTGTCGACAACGCGACGCACATCGGTCTCTCATGCTGCCAACGGACGTCGCTCGCTCTTTGCGCCAACAATGGCCGTGTCGCGATGTCCAGGCGCGGCAGCTGGCCAGCCTCCTCAGTGTGAGTCTCCGAGTTCGAAGTTTGTCGATGGAATCGAGCTAATATCCTCATCGGCTTTAGCCTCAGACTCCTAGTCCCCCTACGCTGGTTGTGCACGGCATCTCAGCAACCTGCAAGTCAACTATCACACGCGCAGTTCTCGCCGCACTCGAAGTGCCCCACGCCGTTGTCCGAAGCTCAGAATGTATCACGGGACGGCATCTATTGACCAAGATCTTGTGGGCGACTCTGGAAGCTCTGAATCGGAAACACGAATGGGAGAAGTTTGGCAAGGGACGCGTTGAGCACGTCAGTACGCTTGCGGTCCTGCTGGACGAATGTCTTTCCTCGAGAGCGGCCGACAAGACAGGCAAATTTGTGCTGGTGCTGGATGAGATTGACCGGCAAAGAGAGGCACCACCGACGCTCTTGTCGGCCTTGGCACGACTTGGAGAAATTGTAAGGCCTTGCCGAATGTCAATGGGCTGTTCCGGATTAACGGTTTTCTAGATCCCATCTCTCTGCGTTATCTTAGTTCTCAGCTCCACACCACGGCCGCTTTTCCTCCAAAATGCGGCCGTTCCGCACATCAGCTTCCCTCCGTACACGCGCAAGGAGGCTATTGCAATCATCCTGAATTCGGACCCGCCAACTGTGGAAGGGTTGCCAGCAGAAACATCGTCACAAATCTACTCAAACTTCGTGTTGACAATCTACGACACGCTTGTTGGACCGACAGCTGGATCCATCCCGGTTTTCCGTTCCATCTGCTCAAGACTATGGCCTCAATTTGTCGCCCCAATTGTGAACGGCGAGGCTCCTCCCGGCGGGAATGCAGAGTGGGATTTCTCGCACTTGGTTGTCAAGAATCGAGTCCTCTTCCGACATCAAGGAGAGTCAGCTCTCGTGCATCGGATTGTTCCCGAAGAGGCTTCTACCGCGACTCCGAAACCACGGGCGTCCTTGGCGGCCAGCGCAGTCCCCTCAGCTCTCCCCTCTTTGCCCTACTTCTCTACACTGATCCTAACATCCGCCTATTTGGCTTCCCATACCCCCCAGAGATTGGACACGATCTTCTTCTCCAAGTTTTCATCGTCATCACTATCCGCCCGCAACAAACGTGCGCACCACCGCCGTCGACTGAAGGTTCTTTCCCAGGCTCAGGCCGAAGAACAAGCCGCTGGCGGAGGTTCCTCCACCCCGGGCAAAAAAGGCAAGCGAAGCAAGACCCGCATCACAAAATCTACGCTCTCGTCCGCATTCGCAACTTCCTCGGCTACCACGTCTGCCATGGGAGGCGGTGCCGGTATCGCAGGTCCATCCACGATCCTGACTGCTCGTCCCTTTCCTCTGGAACGCCTTCTTGCAATATATCATGCCATCGACCCCAACCCGCCAGCAAACCCGATCCGGGTTGGCGCCGTCGCAGACCAGATCTACGCTGAGCTAGCTACTCTGCGTCGTCTACGCCTGGTTATTCCCGCGTCGGGTCATGGCGGCGGAGTCTCTGGTATCGGTAGTGGAAATACTACTGCCGATGCTGGTGACAAATGGTCCGTTAATGTAACGGGAGAGTGGATCGGTGAGCTAGCCAAGGGCATTGGTGTCGAGGTTGGGGAGTGGCTAGCTGGCGGGTTGGATTGATCTTGTCGTTCTGGGGCGTCTGTTGAGGGAAAGGGCTCATTGCACAATCGGTGTTTTGGTTTTGTTTTACATCGCGGGTGTACGTTAATGCGCTGTGTCTTGCCTACAGCCAATTGAATGATTCCTCATTTCATTAACACTTGACGGTATTGCCCGGTCATTTCAATGCATCGCTACTAGTATCCACAGGGCATGATTCTTCGAAAACTACCAAGTCCACTGATCGACAGTAGCACCCGCACATACCAATAGACTAGGTGTTTGAGGCGCATGCCTATTCAGGGCGCCTTCACTAGACTCAAAACACAGCGAGTGTATAGGCTGCGGGTAGCGATATTTCGACAGCGGAGAGGCAACCTGCGCACCGGTGCGTAGAGAGAAAAGTTGAATCTTGTGTTCGTCGGAGGCTGTATAATCCGTCAAGTCAGCAGCCACTCGCCAGGGAACCTAGGTGGAACAATGAAAGACGCACCACTTGCTAACATGCCGAGTTCATTGCTCACATCAAAGTCTTGGATGGAATCTGGTTCGTATTCGGGGAAGGTCAAATATGGGCGTGTGGAGGTGTGGGAGCGGGAGTTAGGTTTTGGTTTCCGTTGGAGGCCATTGGGGGCGTAGCGGATGTCGTACATTTGGAGCTGGGCACGGATATCCATTAGAGCTATGTCGTGGATTGAGAGAACGACATCAACGAAATGGGAGACATACCGAGTTATGCCCCGCCACAACGAGTCGATACGGATCAATCCTGCGAATCTTGGATACGAAGTGAGGGTGTTGTAGCCGCGTCGCACTACCACCACTGCGGAGATCATGGAGAAAGACAGTTGAGTCCTTCAGACCCGAGGCGATAACGTCCTGCGATAACCATTCGACGGCAGTAACGCTGGCATGAGAGGAGTCACTGCGTCGATGACTGCCTGGTTTGGTGTCGCCCGGAAATGGTTTCTGTGAAAGTGTCCAGTGGCTGCCAAAGCCTTCCAGTGTATGGAGGCCATCTGAGGTGCCGATGGCAAACAGTGCTTTGCTGCCTGTTGGACAGGCTGCGGAGCACCATAGCGAGGGCGTGGTGCGAATGCGGATAGGATGTGCGACTGAAGGAGGTGAGCCTTGCTGTCTAGGGTTGGGCCAAGGGAAGGACGTACAGTAGATGGGCCAGCGGTAGTCGCCGCCTTCGTCCGGGTCAGGTAACATGCGTGGTGCGAGAAAAGAGTCCCCGTTTGGTCCGCTGTCCATTGTTGCTCTGCTGTTGTTAGCGAAGCTGCAATAGAGCCTCGAACGGGGCTTCATACAGGAGATATCCCGTGTGGCTCAAAGAAACGGAGGAAAGCTGTGAACTGTGTCAATGGTAGCCAGGATAAGGGAGACAAGCCAACAAACTCGGTATGCTTCTTTGAATAGAACTCGCTCCATGGTTCGGTTATATGTCCATTGTTCTTCATCAAAATCCGGAAAGCAGATTCTTGACGGCTGTCAGTAGACCGTCTCGGTTTCGCAAGCAACATCGAGACTCACGAAACGGACGAGTCGCCACCATGATATCCACCTGAAGAAATCCAATAAGTCGAATGCACATCACAAGACTAAACGGACACTCACTGGCAATCAAGATTCCGGACTTGGGGTTCCGCAAGACATGGCGAATAGAGTAATGATCCGGCCACGGTTCAAACTCATGAAGCTTCTTCCGCTGTAGTTGACTTGCATAGACAACGGCCTGCTGCTCCCGCCTGGCACTTCCAGAGAGCAGATTGGTTGCAATTTCTCTTGGGACATTGTTCAGCGGATGGTCTAAGAAAGCAGCTGTCTTAACCTTTTCGCGAGCTGAACGCTGGGCGAGATGAACCCGTTTTTGCCGTTTCTGTACGACAGTCAGCAATAGATTTTTCTCAAAATAGGCAGCACAGCAAACCTCTTGTTCTGTGCGCTTCCTTTTGACAGCTTCTTTGGAGTACTGTGCTCCAGGTGGCGCAGCATGGTTGGCTTGGATTTTGAAGTATTTCTTCTTCTCCGGATCTGCCAGTTGTGATTAGTACAGTTGTTCAATCAGTAAATCAGCGGCCCCCAAAAGTCAAAGCTAGTTGAGCGTGTATTTAGTTTGCAAGACACGGAGATAGGGTCCAGTGCGCGGATAATGATTTCATCGAGGGCACATCTGTGATACAATGCCGCGACTCACCATAATAAAAGCCCGGTATCTCACGGTTCATCTTTGCGCAGCTGGTGCACCCAGCCGGCAGAAGACGAGAATCAAAGAGTGGTGCTCGGGTTTGGCGAGTCGAGCTTTATCCACTTTTTTTGAATCACCACCGCAGTGCTCTCACATCGGCTGATCATCCCATGTACATCTTCATCGCCTCTGATAGACAAAAACAGAGGTAAAATATATGAACTGAAGGCAGAACGAGAGCACGATGCGTCAAGGGAGTTGAAACTCTGGTGGCACGCGAGACCACCTCGACGTTCTGAGTTGGTGACGTCGGGAGGATCTTACATCAGCAGGTGCCTGAGGCAGCAGAAACGCAACTATGCACATCGTGCCTGCTGCCCTAATTGAGGAGCATCACGGTTGCCAGTGATCTTCAAGGTAAATGGTTGCTGAGGAGACTGACTTTGACTTTCATCTTATTGCAGAGAGTGGAATACCTTCTCGTCCTTTTGTATGTGCTCACCACGCAGTATCGAACAGAGTGACTCAACCCATTCTCGATATCGAGTATCTGCAAGCAAATATGTTCATTTATATAAAAGAAGAGGACTTGTAGATTCCAGGAGTGGCTATTCACAAGGGTGGCGATGAATGTAGCTGCGCCCACTGTAAAAACTTCCTGGAGCACTCGAGAGACAGGTTCCGGCTCCTTTGGTAATGGTCTTTCACCGGCAACTGGCCAAACACCAGCTCAGTAAGTCGTCTTGGAAGTCTGGCATAGGTTTTCCAGCCTTGATAGATGCTTGACCACTTCTAAATTCTGCATGGTGAGCTGGAATGCTGTCCTAGGCCATCTTTCTTTGCCACAGACTGGTAGAGGACGTGAAGCGGGTGGAGTTCTGTGTAAAATCCGGATGGAGAAATCATTTGCCAGTATATCAAAGAGAAATTCTCACCTGAGGCAGACTCACAGATGGGAAATCCCATGAGGAAGTCACGTTCGGCCAGGAGCTGCTGTGGTGCTCCCCAAAATACCTTTGTTTCGATCCACCTCTTCCACTTCCTTCCCTCTTCGCCCTCATTTTCCTTTCCAACCCCGTTCCCATCAACTTCCACACCCGTATCATAAGTTCACTGAGCAGTCTCCTTTCCAACCCTTGACCAGGACACGTCTTCCTGTCCAGGTAAGTTGTGAACCCTAAAACAAGCTGCATCTCGTTCGAGGCCATCGGATTCATCCGAGTTGTGTCCTTTCCATTCCCAGCGCGTTCAAATGAATCTATTTTGCATCTCGAGTATCATCACAATTTGTTGAATGTCTGAGACGATGCGTTTCACGTTGATCATTCTCGGTGTTCACAAGCAAGAAGGGCTGTGCTGACCACATCTTCACGTTTGTCCAGCAACCACATTCAGTCTGGCAGACATGGCTGAATACATTAGCCGCCTTGACCCCCGGGCACAGGCTCTTCGCAGCCACCTACCCGAGCTTTCTATTGGTCAAGAGGATAAGGATATTCATCTTGCTGTCCATGACGGGAGCACTGACAACACTGGCCAAGAGAGCAAGGACTCCCACGAACTCGTTCAGGAAGAGACCGAAGAGAGTCTGGATGCCCTCATTGAGGATCTGGAGGCCGAAGACGGCAAAGAAAAAGATCCTGAGGTGCTCACTATCCCGGTCGCCCCTGGTGAAGAGCGTCCTGTGCCTCCTGAACTGCTTCAAACCGATCCCGCCCGTGGCTTGTCGGACGTGGAGGTCGCCCTTGCTCGAAAGAAGTATGGCCTGAACCGTCTGAAGGAGGAGAAAAGAAACCATGTCCTCAAGTTCTTAGGCTTCTTTGTCGGCCCTGTTCAATTTGTCATGGAGGTATGTCAGCGTCCATGGATATTGCACGGTCGGAGTAATAAGACTAACCCAGTTCTTGCTTGTATAGGGTGCAGCTCTACTTGCTGCTGGTCTGCAGGACTGGATCGACTTCGGAATAATTTGTGGTCTGCTCCTCCTGAATGCCGCGGTTGGATTTTGCCAGGAGTACCATGCTGGTAACATTGTCGACAGCCTTAAGGAAACCCTAGCACTGAAAGCGACTGTGATTCGCAATGGTAAACGAATGGACATTGGGGTTGAGGAGGTTGTGCCCGGTGATATCGTTCATGTGGAAGTTGTAAGTCCAGATGGCTGGCTGGGATTGTCACGGGCTAACAGCTTGTCTCTTAGGGCACGATCGTCCCCGCTGACGGAGTGGTTGTCACGCAAAACGCCCACCTTCAAGTCGACCAGTCCTCAATCACGGGAGAATCTCTGGCTGTTGACAAACAAACGGCAGATGTCTGTTTTTGTTCTTCTGCCATCAAACGCGGAAGTGCACTTATGGTTGTCACGACCACAGGAGATAACACCTTTGTGGGAAGGGCGGCTGCACTTGTGAGCCAAGCGGCCCAAACCAGCGGTCACTTCACTGTGGTTTTGAATACAATCGGCAAGTATCTTCTGATACTCGTGATCTTCACTCTGTTCGCTATCTGGACTGCGGGATACTACCGCTCCAACGATATCGTGCAAATCCTGGAGTTCACCCTGGCAATTGTCATCGTCGGTGTTCCCGTCGGTCTTCCTGCAGTGGTCACCACCACCATGGCTGTGGGTGCATCCTATCTGGCAAAGCGCAAGGCCATTGTCCAGAGGCTTTCTGCAATTGAGTCACTGGCAGGCGTTGAAATCCTTTGCACCGACAAGACTGGCACCTTGACTCGAAACAAGCTTGCCCTAGGCGAACCATATCTTGTTCCTGGTATTGGCATTGGAGAGCTCATGTTGACTGCTTGTCTGGCAGCTACCCGACACAAGAAGGGAATTGATGCCATTGACAAAGTGTTTGTCAAAGGCCTCCGCAAATACCCACAAGTCAAAACCCAACTTCCCTTGTACAAGACTGTCGAGTTCTTTCCATTTGATCCAGTCACCAAGCAGGTCACAGCAGTGGTCGAATCCCCCGACGGTGAGCGCATTGTGTGTCTTAAAGGCGCCCCGAAAGCCGTCCTGAGCACAATTGAGGTGGATGGTCCACTCCCTGAGAAGTTCTCGACGGCGTATCGTGAGAAAGTCGCTGAATTTGCCCGACGTGGATTCCGTGCTCTGGGTGTTGCCCGCAAGTGCGGTGACAACGATTGGGAGATTCTTGGCATCATGCCTTGTTCGGATCCTCCTCGCCACGACACGGCCAAGACCATCGCGGAAGCAAAGAGTCTGGGTCTTCAGATCAAGATGTTGACCGGTGACGCGGTTGGAATTGCTCGAGAGACCGCCCGACAGCTCGGCCTTGGAACGAATATCTACAATGCGGAGCGTCTCGGCGTCACTGGAGGTGGTGACATGCCCGGCTCGGAGCTTTACGACTTTGTCGAAGCTGCAGATGGATTTGCCGAAGTGTTCCCGCAACACAAGTACAGTGTTGTGGAGATCTTGCAGAAGCGCGGGCACCTTGTGGCAATGACGGGAGACGGAGTCAATGATGCTCCATCTCTCAAGAAAGCCGACACGGGGATCGCTGTGGAAGGTGCTTCGGACGCAGCTCGCTCGGCCGCCGACATTGTTTTCCTGGAGCCTGGACTGTCCGCCATCATCGATGGGATCAAGACTTCTCGCCAGATTTTCCACCGGATGTACTCTTACGTTGTGTACCGTATCGCACTCTCCCTACACCTCGAACTGTTTTTCGGGTTCTGGATGATTATTCGCAACGAGGGACTGAAGCTCCAGCTGGTCGTTCTTCTGGCCATCTTTGCCGACATCGCGACGCTGGCCATCGCTTATGACAACGCCCCGTACGCATCCTCGCCGACGAAATGGAACCTGCCCAAGCTGTGGGGCATCGCAGTTGTCATGGGGATCATCCTGGCTGCTGGCTCGTGGTTCACGTTTGGGACCATGCTACTCGCGGGTCCGAATGCTGGCGTGGTGCAGAACTTCGGAACTTGCTATTCCGTGCTGTTCCTCGAGATCTCGCTGACGCAGAACTGGTTGATCTTCATCACGCGCACCAACGAATCATTCCTGTCATCGCGCCCGTCCTTTCTTTTAGTGGGAGCCGTTCTCTTGGTCGACATTGCTGCGTCCCTCCTCACCATCTTCGGCGTCTTCGTTGGCCCACCCACATCCATCGTGACTGTGGTGCGGGTGTGGGCGTTCTCCCTCGGAGTGACCGTTATCTGCGCCGTGCTCTACTATCTGCTTCACAACTCGAGCGGTTTTGACAATTTGATGCATGGCAAAAGCCCGCGCAGCCATGACAAGCAGCGAGGATGGGAGGACTTCTGTAAGTGTGAAATTCTGGCGAATCAGTACAGACAACTAACGGAGCCGGTAGTAATGTCCCTTCAGCGCGTGGCGACCCAGCACGAGAAGACGACATGAGAGGTGGGTGAGAGAGGATAGGAGATGGATTTGACGACAAGTTCTCGGATCGTCCTATGGATTTAAGCACATGGGGGAGATAGATGGAAGAGTGTCTGGACGGGTGTCGGTTTTGTTCACGAGTTTATGATTATCTGTTGGGAGTTTTGTCTTTTCGGATAAGCGTGATGGAAGCAGGTATCATTCCAGCATGTATTTTTCAGCCAGTCGGCTTGGTGTCTATGTCATATTATCCTGTTAACCAGAAGAATCCCCCACTTACTCTCTTCCTAGAGCTCCCTCGTCAACGCCCGATATGGATTCTCCGGATCATTCTCCTCCTGTTCCGCCGACTGAATTGTCTCGCGGACCCTGCACGGAGCCCCGATCGCGACCGAAAAGGGTGGAATATCCTTGGTCACCACCGAGCCCGCGCCAATGGTGCAGCCCTCGCCGATCGTGACGCCAGGCATGATAACCACATGCCCACCAATCCAGCAGTCATCTCCAATGCGGACAATCTGCCCAAACTCCACCATCTTGCGCCGCGACAGGATACTTGTCTCATGGCCCGCCGTGAAAATCCCAACATTTGGACCTATCTGAACCCGGTCTCCGATGATGACCAGAGAGGTATCCAAAATCGTGACACTGGAATAATATCAGCAATCTATTCTGAGGTAGTCGCCCAATGGAACACAAAATAATGCGTTATAGCGCACTGTATACTCACTTCCAGTTCAAGAAACAATCCCGTCCAATGACGACATTACACCCATAATCTGGCCGAAATGGCGGCTCGACAAAGGTGCCCTCGCCAACCCGTCCGACAAGGCGCTGCAGCCGCTTGAATCGCTCTTCGGTGATCTTGTCATAGGTGACCGTGTGCGGGTCGAGCAGGTTGTACTCGTGGGTCAGGATGCGGCAGCGGTGGCGAGCTTCCATGAGGCGGGGCTGAAGGGGGTTATACCTGGTCCGATGAGCATGAGGCATTCCGGTGCTCGAGTTTGGGGGGCTCAATTGGTGTATGCGTTGATATAGCTGGAGCTAAGGGTGGGGATAAACACGTACAACATCCCAGAGATCATCTTCTCGTATTCCTCGCACACCGGCACCCCGGCCAGGTCGCGGGCGAGGGCGATGACTTCGGGGTTCTTCTCCTTGGATGCCATAATCGATTATCGTATCCTTGTACGAAATCCTTTGCAGACACTATGAATTGGCGCTCCGATAGTGACGTTGGGGAACCAGGCAGCTCTTTTATAGTTGTTGCGCTGGGGTGGATGTTAGAATTAAATCGCCGAGGATTTACCGGGCTAAGAATGCCAAGAGTGGGGATCTAACAGATCCAGCAGAGACAAAGCAGCACAAGTGTAAGTCAGACAGAGATTGTGAATGCAAATTTCTTTGCCTTTGATTCGCCGATGCCCTATGCAAAAAGCCTAATTTAACCCAATATGCAAATAGTAAAATACGTTCAAGCCGCCGATGCAGGTGTCAATGAAACTCCGTATCACCGCCTTTTTCCCTATCCTCCCCAGATTTATCTTTTATGATCCTCTGTTGTCGTCGGTACATTTTCCAAAAGACAAAGCTTCCATGGATCTGAGCTGCCGAAAATGCAAGGTGCAGAAGGGGAGTGCTAACTTTGAACACAATCTGCCACTTAGGCCACAAGCTACCGAAGAGATACATCGTCACAATGGTCTCGCAAAGTGTTCCACCTGCAGTCGTGATACAGGCTGAGAAGAAGAGTCGGCGGAGGAAACTGTGGCGCTGAGGAAAGATGCGGTAAAGGATAATCGCGATATGAGGGAGAAACTCGCAGACAATGTCGAAGGCACCTACATAAAAGCGGGCACAATTAGGATGAGACCCGAATGGATAATGTCAAGGCAAACTTACCCCAGACTGTGCAGAGAATAAACTCAATGTCCGCATCTGGCTCGCGGGCTAGTCGCAGGCTGATTGCGATCGCAGACTGGCCGATGATAATGGTCCCGATATGATGCGTAACGGCAATCGGCGATAGTGTGACACGGTAGAGGAGTTCAAAGATGTACATGGCGATCAGCATTTGAGCAGCAACAATGAGTATGTCGCCCATGGTGACTGTGGAGCCAGCAGCGAATGGGGTGTGGAAGTTTGCACTGAGGAAGGTGATATCGATGAACGGGTATACGGCCAGGATCAGGATGAGGATTTTCGTCGCTCCGGCGATGTGGTGGTTGATAAAGCCCCGACGGTTGATGTCGCTCAAACGCGTGTAAATGGGCCCGTATAGCCATCGGATCAGGAATCCTTCTAGGATGTAGTACCGGATCAGGAAGAGCACCACGAAGGTGATTGAGATGATCAAGGCAGAGAAGGGCACCAGATGTGAGATAGGCTGCAGTGGTTTGTGCTGTAAACTTGAGTCGTGGCGAGCGAATATGGACATCGTTGCGACTTCATGGACGGCATGAAAGGGAATGAATGTGTGGGAGAAAAACGCGAACAACAAATTAGGATAGATCAAAGCACACCGGAAAGGGAGGTAGCCCAATGGCAAAAAGAGAAAATTAAAGTACAGAGAAGGAAAAGGACCGAAATGAATGCAATGAGAAAAGAAGGAGAATGGAGGGGAAAGAAACCGCGGAGAGTGGAACAAGAGAAATTGGCCAGGACCAGACACAAGCTCGTCGTGTGCTACACCCAAGTGCCCCTCAACAGCCAACTCTAGATTGACGGACTCGTTCCACTATTCTGAGGAGACACTGTCTTCCGGCCGATACATCTGAGGCCTATGGGGGCTACCAGTGTGCTACGGAAACTCTAAGGGTGAATCATGAAAGGCCATTGTGGGTTAGGACAAACTAGGAGAGCAAAGACACCAATCGGAGGCCAGCAGGCCCTTATCGCCCACAATTAAGCCGCAGCTAAGCTTTGCCTGGGCCCAAAGCTTAACCTTGGTTACTTGCCGACGACTCAGGGAGCGTTTTCAGGCAGCAGGATAAACAATCGTTTTCATTTTTGCCTTATGGAGTTGGATCAATCGGTCTCAGGTAGACGTCAATCCATCCTTTTGATATTAGAGAACGGTTGTTTCTAACATAGTCTGACCGGTTTCTAAAAGGAAATCATGCAAAAACGTAGGGTAGGTTTAAAGGTTCATCACGATCCCAACATCCCCAAGCCTTCCTTAGATTCGCGTCGCGGGGAATATGCTTGTAGTCGAAGAAGTCGATAAGAACAGATGCCACGAATTCTTGCCATCGTATTTCCATACCAAGAGCCTTCCCCATCATGTCGCAGCGAACAATGATCTGCCAGCAATACGTGAGGTATCGAGAAAGCTCTTCGCGATTAGACGGGTGGAACGGGTCGTGCGGTATCTCCAGTCTTCGTTTAGGATCATATCCGGCAAGCTCCATGATGTCCATTGTCAGCTCAACAGGGAGCCCCTTCCTGCACAGGATCCAGCGAACAGAATCCATGTCGGATACAGCTGGCTGATAGCCGGTCGAGTTATCCAGCGAGAGGAACTCCTCAATTGGCACCCTCCCGTAAGGTTCAATGAATCTATCAGATTTTTTGGTACGTCCTGCCCAGTGGAGCCAATGGGCTGTATTGCTGCGCAGGGGCTTAGCGCCGGGGAACTGCCTGTCTGCAATGCCGAAAAACTGTCGGTGTGGATATGTTATCACATCGGAGCACTTCCAAGACGCTGTGCATTCTCGTAGCATGCGTTGGTAAAGTCTGGTATCGCGATAGTCTTTTTCGTCGGTTTTCCCAGACGCCGGGTCCCACATCTCGGGAAAACAGTAGACTATGTTGAGGCAGATATAGGCGTACAGAGCATTTTTGAAAAGCTGGTCCCAACCGAGGTCATAGCTTGGGGCCTGTCAGGCAAGTAAACCAGTCAGTACATGTCTATATCCAAGGATTTTGACGCAGAATCTTAATTGCACTTTCAAAATTCGGCAAAAGGCCCTGTCGCGACTTACAGAACAGTAACACTCGCAGAGAAGCCACCATCTCTCCAGTCCAATCTCTGGATGTGCGCAGATTCGCAAGACCGCATCCATCTCGCCGTATAGGATCAGAGTCTCCACCAGTTGGAGTTGAAAGAAGGCTTTTCTATTGACATCGAAGAACTGGTAACAATAATTCGATCTGTATGGCTGCAAGAACGCGGACATTTTTCTCGCATCATCTGAAATAGGAATGCACCGACACTCATGGCCATGATGCTTGAGCCAGCAAACGTCTGAAGGACACCGTGAGTCACACTTATAGCTGCGCAGTCGACGTACTGTGGGAGTGATCTTCCCGACGATACGATCGTCAAGGATGATATCTTCGGGGCTGGGCGGATCGTATGTTTCTGGGTACTTCTTGCGCTCGCAGGCCGCATGCTCGTCAATAGTCCTTGCAAAGGCTTCCACGAAATAAGCGATTTCCTTTCCCTGGTTCGGTTTACCGCGAGGTCGAAGATTCGTCACGTCATATGGAGAAGATTGTGAGCGTCCCGTTCGTAACCCGCCTTTGTGCCATTTCAAATTTGAGGCCAAGAGAGTCCACGGGATATTGTGCGCCTGATGGGCCATTTCGGGCTGGCAAATCTACGCGACAGTTGGGGGCGAGAAATGAGACGGGGTGGGAGAGATCCTTTTATAGCCGAAACTGGGCTAGCTTGCGGCCAGGCAACAAAGTCTGACAGAATTATGTGACCCTCTTGATGCCTGCGAAATATACCTGAGCACCAACATCAAAAGATAGCAGCGGAGCAGTCGCACCCGCCCAGATTATCGCAGTGATAACTGCCGTGGAAATTACTCGCAACACCTGAGATGGCAGTAGAAGTCCCCATATGACCAAAAAATTTGAGGCACCCGGATAAGACCCGATCCGGTGAGGCTGTGTCGCCAAGATAACTACTGTAGCCAGGAAGAGGTCAATTGCTGTCTCAGAAAAGAAGCCAGTAAGCACAGAGAAGCAATATTTCGCTAAGCGAGGCGAAGACATCCAATAGAAGATTAAAATGCCGCAGATAACCGATGAGGCAGTCAAACTGTGGGATCGCCCGACATGGTGCGCGAATGCGCTACTAGCAGTCGGCCAACACCGATCCTGCTATACCAGTTTCAATTAAATATATGTCCATGGGGCTGAAATTAATAGGTTGTCTTTATCAAATAGGTAAAAAGAGCCCCAACTCCGACTAAGTACATTCATGTCACCGTACCCCTGCGGAAGATAGGATTTCTATACTCACAAACACACATGATCATTAACAAAATATGCCGCTTCAGTTCGTTGAAGGAACCTTTATATAGAGCAACGGGGCATGTTGCTGAGTTCCCAGAGTATCTCGTTCTCCCACAGTTCCCTGCTCCCATGGCCGTTTTAAAGTGCACTTCCAAGCCAGAGCTGGTTCAAAAAACATGTTTGTGATAATGTCGTTTGTTTGAAGATGGTAGAGCTCCATAATTCGCTCATTTGTCAGGACGCCTGACTTCTTGACCCGCTCGTATGCCTCCTTCCTGTCGAACATGATATCCAGCGTCAGTTCAAATGGCCCTGAATTCTTTGATCGAATGATCTTGGCAATCTCCAGCATGGTACATTCCTCGAATGGAACGGACTTGAATTTCAGCGGTGCTAAAGTTTCAGTCTCCAATTTTATCAATTGCTCGTTAGTGAGGCCTGGAACCGCTAGATCCTGAGCTTCATTTTGGATGCTGACTATGGAAACTGGAAAAAGAGTGGTTTGTTCGTTTTCTTCCAGGTCCATCAGATGGTACAAGTTAAATCGGAATACAGGACCAGCAGCAAGTTCGTGCGGCGATAGTGGTGACGCAAAATTGCCTGTGGTTGCAACTTGGTTCTCGTATGGCATATGCAGAATAGACGCCCGAGCATTGTTTGCTATGGTATGGGAGAGCTCTTGTGAGGGAGCCACCACTTCGCCGAGGATTCCCAGGTCATGAGAAGCCGTGGGAGTGGGTTCCAGTGGTCCCATAGTGCCATTGCGACCATAGAAATGGAAAATCAGTCGACACTGTGGCGATTGGTCCAGTTCCGGAAAGAGATTCTGAGTGTATGCGCGAACTTCCTCTAGAAACTCGTCGATCTGGCTAATGAGTATAGGGTCGCGAATGCCACCAATGAACACGGTCCTGTATCCAAGTTTCTCAACGCCTTCGAGCTTCACCTGATATACTGGTGTTGGTACAAAGCGTGCGCCGCGCACTCGCACAGTCTTTTCTGTCAATTGCTCGTATGAAGCTTCGTCCAGCTCCAACAACCCACCGGGGCCAGGCAGCTTGTCCGGACGAGTCTTTTCATATAATGTATGCGCAGCAACGGACAAGGGCGTACAACGCTCTCGCGGTGATAAAGGCGTGAGATCAAATGAGTCTTTTCGTATGGTAGCAATCATCGACCGGCCCTTCGGAACAGCGCAGATGCCACCACACTCCATGATTTTCCCCATGTGCCAGGCGACGCCTGGTTCGGCTCCATTAAGCATCGAGAAAGCCGCAAAAGGAGCAGGGTCATATGAGCGGCCACCAAGAATAATGTCCGGGTTTGACTCGAGTGCCTTTAGGTATCTGTTGCGAATGTGAGATAGTTTCTAACAAATAACAACTTCACTCACGGCTCGGCACCCATTTGGGCCACAACGTCAACGGCCCGATCAACGCTATCTTCTGTCAATTCCTCGACCGGTCCACACGGTCCCACGTTTTGGTTTCTAATTCGATCTTTGACCAGATTACGATCAATCCCGGCGGAAATAGTAGCGACCTTAAATGAGAACCCGTGTGTCTTTGCGATCTCCTGCACCATCTCCAGCATCTCTTGGACATGCTTGTCGCTACCGTCACCACCGACAGAGCCAATGAGCACCTTAATACCGAAATGGAAACAAGCCTCCAGGATTGGCGTGAGATCCCGAATATACGACTCGCGACCGCAGGTCATCTTGTTGAGCCCAAGTTTGTATGGACCGCCATCTGTTGACCCGCTGTCGACAATAATGGCCTTCGGCTGGAATTGTTTGATGCCGTACCAGAAATGATCTAGCCGATATCCATAGCCCAGCATGGCATTAGGCGTGAGGATGCTGAATTCAGTCGCCATGGCTATATGTGGACTTGCTTATTTTCTTCGCTAAGGCGCAGCCCAGGAAACGGGAATGTGATATCTTTTTCGGATATATGCTGAATAGAGGCGGAATTTCTGTGTAATTAGCTCTGGCATTTCTGCCGCGGGAAGTCAAAGGCCGCAAGTGGGGCTTCGGTATCATGCCGATAAGAGGCCCTTGATCCTTCGAGAATCTGTGCTTTGAGCGTCCTCGGCAACTTTCCACATGATCGAATTCTGATAGTACTGTGTAGATACGAGAAGCGACGATGGCCGGTTAAAATTTTTGTCCAGAATATACATGAGAAGGTTCCTATCCGCTTAATATTTTTTTGGTGTCATTCTTCAACTGCTTCGGTGTAGGTCGCGCTTGTCGATCTTCCACTGAGACTATTCGAACTGATCTCATGCCTCCCGTCAATCACTATGAACCCGGAGAAAACGGCAATTTGGCTGTCATGAGCACATATCATTTGTCTGATTCAGGGTCAACTTTTACTCGACCCCATTTTGACCAGTTGCCATTACAGCCACATCATCCGAAGGGCTCGGCATGGGGACTCTGGGGCACTGATGACGAGCGCGGAACATTGAATCTTGTTACTGCAGAAGTAGTACGCTCCGCTAGCTTGGAGGTGTCTTGCGGGAAGGTTGTCAGCTTGAAGTGAGTTCTACTGCGCAGTTAAGTTCGCTCAGTTATTGACTAAAACTCAGCCTCCCATTGAACGTCCCGTTGAAACCGATGAACCCGATGCGAAAGAAATGTCTCCATAGTATCATTGCCAAAGGTCATGCAAATGATGACGAGGTAATCATGAATAGTTGGGTCAATTTTGAATAGCCCTCCACTGACATGAGAACATTTAGGTTGATTTCAATACACAAAGCTCCAGCCACTGGGATGGTCTGCGTCACTACCCATATTCGGAAGCAAAACTATTCTATAACGGCGTCACACAGGATGATATTTCTGGAGAAAGGCGGACTCCAAAGATTGGTATACATAGTATGTCCTTTGCGCGATAACTGGAGAAAAAAATATCTAATCTCATTTCAGACATGGCAATGAAACCTATCGTTACGCGTGGCGTACTAATCGACTGGTACTCCTACGCACAGCGAGAGAAATTGCCACATAAGCCTTTCACCAACCAGACCATACCTCTCCCACAACTACTCAAAGTAGCAAGAGAGCAAGGCGTAACATTCCGCCAAGGGGACATTCTACTCATCCGCACTGGATGGACCGCGGCATACTACCGGTTATCTGAAGAAGAGAAGGAATGTCTCGGCGGGCGTGATGACCGAGCCTCCATTGGTCTGGAATCCACAGAAGATAGTATTCGATGGCACTGGGATAATGGATTTGCAGCTGTTGCTAGTGATACTGTTGCTTACGAGGGCTGGCCATCAACCAAGCCATGGGGTATGAGCATGCACGAGGTGAGCATTATTCCATGCTTTTTCTTTTTTGATACGAGACTAATCTTATTGTTTTTACAGGTATTTCTTAGTGGCTGGGGCATGCCAATTGGCGAGTGCTGGGACCTTGAAGAGCTTAGCAGTACATGCCGTGCTTTAGGCCGGTGGACATTTATGCTGACGAGTCAGCCTCTGTGTATTCCTGGTGGAGTTGCCAGTCCTGCCAATGCCACGGCGGTATTTTAGCTGCATAGGACATTAGCCTAAGGTATTTAGTTTTACTGATATAATTGGCATACGGAAAATTATCTCTTTATTTCCTGCCATTTGGCTACAGCTCTCCCTCATTTTGATCTTATGTTACGCTAGTTCTCCTAGAACAAGGTGCAGGTGTAACCCGAAAGAAAGACAGGCGATGGATGAACGCCTCTGGATTTGCATTGCAGTCAGCTGATTTTAATATCAAAGCTAAGGAACGGTTTGAAAAACCAGGAGGTAAAAAGAATAGCCCATTTGATGAGGCAGACATGCTGTGAAATGAACACCTAGCGTACAATCGTACGATGATCTAGATGATAAACCTCATGTTAGCCTCCCGATCCTCACGAGAGGTCATATCGACCTGCCGTCCAGGCTGAACAGGCCCATAGATACGATCACGACGCTTATTCTCACGCCATAGAAGATAGCTCAACAAGCCCGATGTGAAAAACGAGAGCAACGCAAAGGCGCAGCAGATCCAAGATCCCCTGACATAGTATGGCGCGTCCTTGTCAGGGAACACATTGGTTCCCAGCAGCGGTCCGCACTGACCAATAGTAAAGATAATCCACAAACCGCCTGCTTTCTTCGAGCCTGTTGAGTTTGTGTTGGAGTTCCAGACAAGCACAATCGATGTAGTTACAAAGATCTGCACCGCCAGAAATGTACCGAAGTAGCGTGGGCCAACCGTGGTGGTCGTTGCCAGCAGGATGAAGCCAATGGCGGAGAGTAATCCCCCCAAAGCGCAGAACGGTCCACGCAGTTGAAGCCGGTCTGATAAAATCGAAACAACAATGATAGATATGAAGCAAAGCAAATACGGCGGCGCGGTCACACCGTTTGATTGCACCTCAGAGAAAGACCCCATCTCCGATACGATAGTCGGCAGGAAGAGAGGAAGCGAGGCAAAACTGACATTGTTGGAAAAGTTAATGACCGCAAAAAGATAATCTAAAACGGTCAGTCTCTGTGCCAAACGTCTTGGAATTAAATATTAAGTAAAGATGGACATACTCCTGTAGTCCGTGAACGCCTCCCCAAGTTGAGACAGCTGGAGTCCCTCATTCGTGAAATCACCAGGTTGGTTATTCGCATACGCCTGCGCAATCTCACGTTCTCGGGGAGTTAAGAATCGAGCTTGCGATGGAGAATCCGGAAGAAAGAACCAGGTCGCCACGGCGAGGAGGGCTGTGGGAACACCCTCTATGATGAACAGGAATCGCCAGTTGCTGATGCTTGAATGAACATGCCCTAGGCCATACGCGAGTGCACCACCATAGGCATTGGCGAGAGCCGCTCCAGCGAGGAAGATGCCAAAGCGTACGCCGATCGCTTCGCGCGGGTAAAAGAAAGAGTAGTAGAGTGGGATTCCGGGACCGAACATGGTCTCTGCCCATCCGAGGAAAAAACGACAGGCCATAAGACCCTTCCAGTTGAACGCTGTTGCTTGTAATGTGCTGACAACGCCCCAGAACAGCACGACAAAGGTCACCCACCTGTGGGGCTTGAAAATCTTCCATCCCAAGGTGTTGAACTGGAAGAGGATGTATGCAATGTAGAAGACGTTTCCTAACCACGCATAATTGTTGCCCCCGAGATCAATGTCATCTTCCATGCCAACCAGCTTAGCATTGCCTATGTTTGATCGCTGTCACATAGTCAGCTTGCTGCGACAAATAGCCCTCTGGGGCCAGCGGAAACTCACATCCAGAACAGAAAATGTATAAAGCACGAAACATAGTGGTTGGAGATGTAAATCCAGCTTCCGAATCACCTTTTTCAGCTCCTCGGGTGTATAATCGACCGCTGGAGGAGTCTCGTCCTTTTCTGGGTCTACGTTCTCCAACGCGATGGCGTCGGGTTTCACCTCGCTAGTATCCTCAGATATAGCTGCCATTCTCGTCACTTTGAATGAAACGTGGCACTGCACAGTCCGGGGGGAAAGGAGGTTTAAAAGGCAGAAGCTCGGGAAGGAGTGAATGCGCCCTTCATGTTATCGTCAATAATATCAGTCTTGCTCCGTGGCCGTCAGGATGCATGACCACCGGCTTTACTCCTCATGGGCGCCCATGGGGGAAGCCCTTGGCGGACTCCGCAAAAGTTAATTGGGTGACGGTATCTTGCCGTGTCCTATAGAAAGTGTTTCGTGGGTGGACCGGGTCGATGATCGCTTCTCGATTCGAAAGCTCCAAGGCCCAAACTCCCCGCATTACGGGGATCGGCGAACAACCCGTAGTGAACGGTGTTCGATAGTCCGGCTGCACGCTGACGGAGAGTATACTTCCGTGGGCGTGGGTTACGGGAGTATATACTCCGAGAGTGAGAATGCTAAGGAATAAAAGCCAAGATTGTTATTAATCCATGTGGTAATTGTATGCTGGATCAAAGGGCGCCCAGTTCGCATGGCTCGGAACGAAGCCTCCGCCCGCATTGAAAAATTCCCAGTCCCTCCACGGAGTATCAACGTCCATTGCTTGTGTCAAAATGTGCCCAATATTTTCATCCGGGGTCTGGTCACCTGTTGGAGGAGCGATGCTGCTGTAATTCTCGCGATACATACGATTTTCCAAGTGGCTAGAGGGTGAACTCGCTATTCCTGGCCTGTGATGCGGACGTTGCTCCGGTACATTGACATACAAGCTTCGCCGTTGTTGCTCAGGAGAATGGTGTATTACCGAACTCTCTTGAGGACCCGCTTGAGCACGCTTGGCGAGATGAGATTTGATGATGTCGATGCTGCGCTTGATCCCAGGGGTTTGTCTGGCTTCCGACTCTAGCATCTCGAGCGTTGTAGACAATCGGTTTACTGCGGCGGTGGCCAACGCGACATCCTCATTTTGGATCATCTGAACGTCGATAGTAGCAGTTGTGTATACACAGTACGAGACGAGATACGTCTGGTTCTGGTAGTTGAAAGTTCGTCCGTACTGTCGGAAAAACTCATTAACTTCTGTCGCTTCCTCGATGCACACCTTTTGTGCTCGTCGTGCAAGTGCATGGTCTTGAAGCTTAGAGTGACGAGACCAGCCGAAGAAAGGCCGGAAAATTAAAATGAGCATTGTGTGGTATAGAATGCTAGCAGGGGTTAGTGGGATTTCATCCAGTGCGAGTTGAGAGTAGCTAGAAGACGTACTTGAGACAGAAGATATGCGGCGGGTGACAGAACTGCAGGGAAGTAGCTTGTGCTATCTTGAGCGGTTCTGGTAAGCTCTGGTAGAAAGAACGAAGTTTGGCCTCTAGTTCAAAAATACTTTGAGGCTTGAGGTGCTGGGGACTCCTACTGTAGACTTTGTCGTAGCTCTCGTTAATTATCTGTCTTTCATGTTAACCACTAAACTGCTTTCGAAAACACAGTCCCGTACTTTTGCTAACTTGCAGAAGTGAACAAAGGTTATTGTGCCGTAGGACTTGGTCGAAGGGTAGGAATCCTCTATTTCTCGAAGGGAATAAGGCCTCCATTCGTCGTCATTATCGGATGTGTCAACTGTCGATTGTTAGTATGGGAAAAGGCAGGGCCAATGAAAACTTACACAAGCTATCCGGTGCATACGGTAGGTCGGGCAGGCATGGTTGCCGTCCTAGGCATAGACTGATTGACCTGAACCGCTAGTCAGTCACAAATGTCTCAAGAGAATGAAGCCGTTCATACTTATCCCAGTGATATGCTGAGAGATAAAGCCTTTTTCTCACTTCGAGATCATCAGGTTCGAGGCCATCAAGACCTTCCAGGTTTCCCCGGTAAAGGTGGATACCGAGATCAGTGATCATTCGGATTGCCTAGAATTATGAGTTCAAGAAGGAAGGATCATTAGAGTCGAAGTCACGGACCATGCCAGTATAAAGCCACCCCTCACTACTTTTGCCAATAGCACATTGCCGGCCGCCGAGAATCAATAAACCTTGGGCAGTACATATTTTAGGCTTTTCCTGGTCCATTTCCACGAGCAGAAACTGCTTAGCTTTCCGGAGGAAGTATTCGCCCCTTTCAGCACCCGCAAATCTGGGGTCTTCGTCTTTGGTGTGACGAGAGGCATGCGCAAAAATCGCATTCAACAGAAATGGAGAGAAATAGGGACCATTCAGAGCCATATCGCGGTAGAAACCTGAATAGTGGATTAGAATGGTGTTCACAATCGGCACTCGAGCAACTTACATCGACGATAGACGTAATTGTGCAGAGGGGCTTGCCATGTCCAGAAGATCTGTAGTAGAGTTGAACACACATCGAGGCCAACATCTGTATATTGAAAGAGATGGCTAAGGGCTACTTTCTCAAAAGACTCCTGGAATCTGGCATTTGAGGCGAGCCATTTGCGGTGGTACTCCTCGGTGGCCTTGTGTTCCGTCCCTTCCAGTTGGGGAGCTCGTGCCGGTGAGATGTCATTTGAATCAAGGGGATGAAACCTAGATGTAGCCCCATAGTACTATAGGATGTACAAGTCAATCCACAGTTTTGAAGAACAATTAAAACTCCACCTTACAGTTCCATGTTCCCCGACACTAAAATCAGTTGGCTTGCTATACGGCAACTCTTCATGTGATTCTTTATCGGCCTCATAAGACTGGGAAAACTCGGACATGTCGCCCGGCGAACCTTCTGATACATGGAGATGGTCGAGATCGCGCACAATCTCCGTAAGACGGTGATCACGGCTTTCAGGACTCAGGCTGGCGAGATCCCGGAGTTGGGCCTCGAGATCCTCTGCGCGCTTCTTGGACTGCTGAGCCTGGTGGACCAGGTGGGCGTTATAACTGGAGCTTTCTTTGTAGTTGCATATCTCCTTGGCCTTGACGCAATTTGCACAGTTCGGCTTCTTGCCGTCGCACTTGATCTTCCGCCGCCGGCATATTAAACATGCAAATCCATAGCGGCGCGTGGCTGCCTGCTGAGATTTGGATGATGCATGCATTGCCGCAGGCCGCGAGAGCTCGGAATGATGCCCTCACGAGCTCGAATCGAATTGAGGATGAGAGGCATTGGATGGGAATCGGGGCTAGCCATCCGGTTCTGCGGGGTTTAAGTTCATTCAAGGTGGAGCTTAGTCAGGTCCACCGTCGTTCCAAGGCCGTGTTAGGGTGTTTGATCGACTACTTCCTCTACTATAGGCAATTTTTTATAATGGAGAGGCTCATCTGTGCGTTGTGGTTGTGGTGGATTCTCTGCAGCGATTCAGACCGTTGGGTGAAGCGATTCCCTTTTGCAGATCTTGTCAGAACGTGGTTCTGCCATACTATGGTCTGTTCCAGGAACATTAGATGTAAACCTTCATCGGCTCGAAAGAAAAAAAAAATGGGGGGCAGGCGTTCATCTTCTCTGCTGGGCTTTGCCTCAAAGATGGGCCCGGCTCAGAAAGCATATGGCTGGGAAGCGCAATGGGCAGGATGAGTTATCTGCAGCTACATTGCGAAAAAAACCTCCAGATTTCACATTATTGTTGACATTCCACCAGACTGGCATCTATAGGCAATGAAGGCCCGTCCTCAAGTCCAAACCCTCATCGGATATAGATCACCACTATTTAAACACGCATTTCCATACAATGACTGTATGAAACGAAAACAGTGGCATGTTGCCTTCTGATCGGTGCCTGGGAGCCTGATGATGTGTCAGCGCACACCGCCCCGATCTAGATAGACTTTCCCGTTCAGACTCTACGAATAGCATCACCATCTCGTTCCCAACTGCTCTTCGTGTGGTCTCTCTCTCTCTCTCTCTCTCTCTCTCTCTCTCTCTCTCTCTCTTTGCCGTGCCGGCCTCTGGCTTCCCCTGAGCCCCAGCCGTCATCAGCAACACACCATGTGGATCCCGAGGTGTTGGCCCGTCTGGGCCGTCGTAACGCCGTCATTACCGACAATTGGGCTCTGGAAACCATTCTCTCGGCTGTCGGGCAGGCCTGACCGCGCTCCCATATAGAGGCTGTACCTAAATCAAGCTACATCGGGCAAACGAAGTATTGATTGACTGATTGAGTGTTGCGATTGATATTTCCTATTCTCTGGTCGGAGGCGCGAAATGACGCTAGATGATCGGAATCTCAGTCTGCTAAAACAAATATCGCGAAGACGCCATATCGAGTAACGGTATAGTTCTGCTATTATTGTCTATAGCCAATCATAGGAATATCTGTGCTTGTAGTAGATCGACGAGAGAGGTTCCTAAGAATGTGGTTTGATTCATTCTTAATGAGGCGGATAAGAGACGTGACCTAGCAATATAACTTACTATTTCGAAAAATCGATGTCATCTAGGCCAAATACACGTACCGGCGACGTGTTCGAGGCACAAGGCGGAGCACATTTCCGGATTTTCGCAAAATAAGAAACGGACATTGACACTAGGATCAAAGATGGTATAGGGTTTTGGATACTGCCCACGAAGGCAAGGAGATAATTCCGCCATTGGTTTTACGTAGCGAGGGCTGAGGAAGAGCTAGCTATCGATGCCCGTTTTGGTAGTGCAAAGGATAGAACGGAAAGACCAGGGGCTATTTAATTTCTGAGGTAGATTCAAGAAAATCAAATATGTCCCTTAGTTCGAAGGGAAGGTGAAAGTCATGAGCGATATGGGAAAATGTCATCTTCTTGTCCTGGACTCCTAGGAACACAAATAGGGGCAGCAGAGCGGTTAGCATCGCAGCAGGCGAAGGACCAGAAGCACGAAGGAGCTAGTTGGGGGTGAGCAACGGGCTGAGCGCTGAGGTTGCTCAGTGATCAGCTTAGGGCCAGCTCAGGTCCCGCTCAGAGCCAGCTCAGGGCCAGCTCCGGCTGCTTAGGGAGCGGCTCACCTCGTGATCTTAGGGCCGATCGTTTCCCGAGATGGTAACCTTGCCGTCACCGTTATTACACATTCTGGATTTTGAATGCTTGCATGGTAGGCAAAAAAAAAAAAAAGGCGACACTAGTTAGCCGAATGGAAATTAATCTCACTATAAAACAGGTACATAATAAACCTAAGTCAATTTAAAGTAGGAGAGAAAGATCATGAAGAATTGGCGGATATAAACACAAGAGACCGGAAAACGGGAATGTAGGATTTTCCGTTGTCATCCCAAGTTCATGTGCCCTTGAGAATTCAACATGCACAGTTGCCAAGTCTAAGTTCTCTTCCTCAGTAATTCCGGACGGGAAATCTCACAGGGTTTCGTTCAGTCGGAGGCCAGAGATTGTGTATACCTTTCTCTACCCAGTATCCAAATTCGGCGTAGAATGCATAGGTATCAGCGTTCTGAACAACATGACGGTTGTCAGGAACCGGATCATCACACATCCATGCCTCTTCTGCACAGTTCACGAGTCCATACACTTCAGGAACGTGAGAATTAGTATCTCCAATCCACCAGATATGGCTGAGCTCATGCACAACAGTTTTCGCTAAGGTAATTAGAGTTAGTGTTCAAGGGCGTCTAGCCAAATGACCATATGTACCTACCATCTGTGCCCGCGTAGTCTGGGTTATGATAAAATTCTAGCACTTGCATTGGATCCCCCGATTTCAATTGATCGAATCTTGGCCTTTTCCAGAAATCCGGACAGAAATTGATGACGCCGGTGTTTTGATGTTCGTATGACTCAGTTGCCGCCGAGGCATCCTCACACTCATCGGTTCCGCGAAGAACATATACGTCTGAGCATCTGATCTGGATATAGCCATCAATTGGGCGGTTATTCTCCCCTAAATTTGCATTTGCCCGCATGTGTAGGTTGTTCAATATGCTTTCAATTTCCTCTCTGCCATCTTCGGACGAATCGAGCGCAAATAGTAGAACGTATCTATTAACCAATAAACAATCGTTAGGGCAAAGGATCGAGGTAAGATAGTTAGGTGAAGACAAGTCGAACCAATGGGCCCTGACACTTACCCTGGATCATGTATGTTGATGTGATGCTGCGCAATTGAATTCAATTCCGTTTGTCGAATTGTCGGCCACGTTACGGTTTCAAATCGTGTCCAAGCCGAGCTGCTAAGCTCAAGAGCACCGGCCCAAGCTCGCTCTACAGCAGCACGTTTTGTTTCTTGGTTGTTTTGCGGATTCGGGCTATTGCAGCTTTCATGCCAGGCGATTCCATTTAGGCTCATGATATCTTGACTGCGACGTTCGTGAACATTGAGAGCCTGAACAGACTGCAGCAATAGCACTTGCAAGATAAACAGTAGAATCGCGCTGAAGGTTCGAGCTTCCATTGTTAACACTGGCCCTGCAATAGTGTAAGATCCTCCCAAAAAGAAGGATGGAAATGTTATCAACATACAAATTTTACCAGCTGTTAAAAGAAGATAAGTATTTCTGAAGTTCGGCTCGTACAATGCTGCCCCATTATTTGGGGGGCAGAAGGTTCCATTGTTGATCACTAGGGTGGCAGGTCTCCCCATAAACCCTTATCCGGACAACGCCCCCCGGGGGGCGAGGAAGGGCTGCTCTTTCATTGATTGTATTGGGGCATTGTCCGACAGCAGTGTAGGAGGATTTCAAGAGTATATCCGGGAAGGGTGTGCAGGATGTCAGAGCCAAAAAAAAAAGAGATGGCAACATTACTAGTGAATACTACATTCTCATTCCGACACAATGCGCACATGGTTGCTAGTGAGAGATCGCCTCGCTCTACCGATGAGGGCTTCGATAGGTTTTCCGTCGTGGGTAATCCAGCGGATGCAGAGTTACCTCACAGATAGAACGACGAAGAGTCCGACCGTCAGAAGCGAAGCAGCTATAGCCTCATTCTGTCACCACACGTCGAAATTACAGAAAGTTAGAGAAATACTGTACTGTTACTCTCCAGGGGCCTTTCAAAAATACTGGCTCTGGTCCACTCCATGGCCCGTAAGTCGCAGGGGCCAACTCGCTAGGACCCATAGCATCGTTCCTAATGTATTCATCATATTAAGCGACTTTCCATGATTAACTATAGTTACTTACTTTCTTAGTTAACGTGATCCATAAGCGAGCTGATCACCCCAAAACACGATAGCATTACTACGCGAGGCAATACCTCCTCAGTCTGTTCGTTTCAGGAGTAAGTAGCCATGAGTGAACTTTGAGCCCGGTTTACTTGGCTTAAAAGGTCATCAGAGCTGCGTGCCCTTCTTAAAGGAGGGACCTGAATAATGCGGTCTTCTAGTAGATCCTCCTCGTCGATGCTATCGTTGAGCACACGGTAATTGATTAGCTGAGACTAGCATAGCCCTCTGCGCAGTGACTGCGTAGTCTCATCCATTCGTAGTGCGAGAGACTTTTCTTGATAATGGACCTACTAGGAAGAAATGTTTTAAAAAACGAAGAACGAAAAAACAGTACGACGTGTATCTATGGTGAACATCACAGTGTAAACAATTAGTTGCAATATGGGTACATAGTGGCATGCAGCCTAAGATAATCAGGGAGTAAGCTCACTCCACGAGATGAGTAAGATGTCCGACATATAAGCGGCCCCTATATTTGAGGGTCCGTAATGCTCGCCCCGAAGTCGGACCCACAAAAGCGCCAGCGGTTGGGAATCCCACTTGGGGTGGATTATATGTAATACATGTAGGGGCTGCTTGAAGGTGATTGGCGTTTGCTGCGACGCGCGACCTGGTTAGAGCTGAGAGCCAATCAACTTGCACAGCCCTAAGTCATGATGATCGTCCCAAATTATGCATTGCTACCATTTTCCCCGCCTGTTTTGCTTTCATCTGTTCCTTTTCTGTGTACGCAGAGGATTATACACTCTCGCCTTCCAGACACCGATGTTTCAAAGCCCAGCATTTAGTTGCGAAGTATGGTTCTTGATCCTAGAGAACCTTGACCAGCCGTCACTCAAGGCTCTCGCTGAGGTGTCTAAGGAAATGCACGAGCTGAGCACGCCCATGCTATACTCAAAGATTGACCTCAGTATTCACAATCTTATTGATCATGCTGGTCTACGACATAGACAAGGCATAACTCGATGGCCGATAGATACCCAGAAAATACTTAGCCAGCAGAATTTGTTCATGCAACAGGCCCTCGACCGACCGGAGCTGGCTTTACGAGTGCGCTCTTTTACATGGACAATGGGCTTACAGAAAATATGCGAGCTACCTAAATGGGCTCCACAAAATACTCCTATTCACAAACCTGAGAATATCTACACACTATTTCAATCTCTACGCCATGTCACCCACGTGGATATCAGCGGAGGAGATTTCCATGACTATCCCTGCCCACCACCTCAACATCTCTTTCCTAAGGCTACCGATATCCGCCTTAGTGGTCAAATGCATTATGCCCTGGCTTCAGCTATCCTCTATGGGCCTAAAAAACCACATCTACAAAGCCTAGCCCTATGCAATCTTCTCGAAAGAGGTCGTCTCAAGTCGGGCAGCAACTTTGAACCGCAATATGACCCTCGCTTTAAGCGTACGCCGAGACTAATACCGCAGGAGGAAATTTGGCCTGAGCACGAAAACCCTGTGCAGGTAGCGCCCGGCGATATGACCCGCCTTTTAGGCCCAACACTCCAGTCACGGTGTTCTCGTCTTCGTCATTTCACGTTCGGAGTGCTTGAGCTCACACCGGAGCTTAGCCATGCAATACTTCCCCCTGGGTGGTGCGTCCGTACGCCAATCATTCACGAAGAGTTGATTAGTTTTTTCCAGGGCGTACACCCACAGGAGGTGGAAATTGTCTATTCTCACCTATGTCCTGAGCGAAGAGAGGAACTCAAATCTCTCTATTGGAAGCCGCATTGTCGCGTACGCCCTCGACTTCCGCCTGGTCCCCAACAGACACTCATTCGAACCTTACTTGAGGGGTGGCCAGGGCTAGAAATGTTAAAGCTCCGAGGTGGGAACCTAGGACGTCACTCTCCATTGTTACCAGAGGAGCCTCTCCCGTCACCTGTAGGCCGTGCGAATTTGGAAAGCGTTCGAGTACACTTTCAGCCTGATGATTGGGAGGAGTACCATGGCTGGCTTTGTACAACTAGTCGATAAGAGGACTCTACTTGGGGCTCCATAGACTTCTTAGTCTTCCAGGATCACCATTCGCGTATATGATAGCCTGTAGTCCCTCTTTCTCCCCTTCTTTTGTTATCTGTAACCTAGTTATTTTCATTGAAGATTCACACTCTTGATAGCCGAACATACACGGGCGTTCCTCTCAGCGAGCCGCAGCACTGGAGATACCATTTTTGGCGCCCTGAGAAACAGGGGAATCCAAAGCTGGCGAACAGGTTGCCGACGAAGCTACTACTGCGGCGTGCTGAGGTTGGAGCATGACTAGCGGAGTCCCGTGCAGAGTCACGGTGCGTGGATGCAGATGAGGCGGTGGGTGGCAGTAAGGTTGGCAGATGGACGGCCAAAAACGACGTCCCTGGCGGCCATTTTTGGCCGTCCATTTGCCGTCATATTGTTTTAAGGAGTACATAAATATACACCCCGGAGATCGGGTGAAACAAATGATCAGCAAATTTCAAGTCTTTTTATGGAATTCTTTTTTATCCAAATGGAAGTAGAGACGCCAGTCCGAAAAAATATACTGTTAGTTGCAATTCAAACCACCCCGGGTTTGTGTGCGCCGTAAACATGGAGCTAGCCGTTCTTTCTATGCAACATTATAACAAGGAAAAAGTCTTCCGATAGTTGACAGGAAGCGGAGACGAAAAAAGCGAATAAATATTGTACAGGAGTGGTGCGGGTCGGAGTTGGAAACTGTGCATTGAGAGGAGTGCAGAAGAAGCAGACGTTGTCTCTTCGTGGATGGGATGGTAGGGATCACGAGGTTGTTCCGAACACGCGCAAAATGAATTCATACCTATCAATTGGGTCAGTGATGGTTAGAGTTTCAGGTCTTGAGTTACTCACATTCCAAACATAATGGCAGCCGATGGAACGACTCGGAGCAAGTGAGGTGTCAGTCCCCCGTAAAGAGCAACCATACCCTCCTCCTTCCAGACGGTCTTGAAGCACTGCACCAAGCCAGTATATTTCATTTCAACCTTACCATTGCCCACTGAGACCGTGGGCGCCTGGCGTAGGCGAGTGCGCACCACTTCGTGCGGGTAAGTCACGGCAGCTGCGACCAGCTTAGCCGCTCCCGCGGCAGCGATTCGGCCACCCCACAGCTCCACGGCGTCGGAGGTGGTATATTCGTGAGCAGGATCTTCTTTTTTGGCGATATCACGCCGGGCAAGCCACATCTTCATTTGTTCGTACATCACCCACTGGAGCGCGGACTCCGTGACGCCGAGATACGAGGCCGAGAGACCCTTGTAGAGGCCTCGCACACCCTCGTGGCGCACAGTCTGCTTGATGCAGTCCCAGCTATTTCGATATTGACGGCCTTTGCCATGCTCTGCAAGAGATTTGTCTAGCTGCAGGCGGGTCTTCACCAGCCAGATCGGGTTCGTCGCCGTACCGGTGGCAATGCCGGCAATTGCGGCTGCGGTTAGGTGTATCCCCATGGGAGTATCCTCGGCATGACGATAGTCAAAGTATTCGCTCAGGATCCGCTTGCCGTTCCCGTACACGTAGAAGTTGATGGCGCGCGCGGGCACCACGCCAATGAGATTTGGGCCTAGACCCTTGAACAACGCGCGCCACCCTTCGTGGACGTGTATTGAGCGGAGGATCTGGAAAGTTTCGCTGAAGTGCATAGCGGCACTGCGCGTGAGGGAGACGACAGACGAGGACGTCGGCACCGGAGGATGGGAAGCGCGCAAAGCTTGCAGTTGGGCCTGGTAAAAGTCGGACTGCAGACGCGTCTTAAGAACGTCTAACGGTGAGGTGAGGGTCGCGGCGGTCATGCCTCCGATGCTTCAGTAGGACGTACGTTAGCGAAAAATATCTTCCAGTTCGATGATTGCGACTCACCCGCCAGCGACAAAGTGTGCAAATGGTTTGGCCTTGGCCGCCTCCTGGCCGGTCGGCTGGATCCGGTTGGGGATAACGTCGCCCGTTTCTCGTGATTGCACGACGACATCTTTACCGAGAGTCGAAGGAGAATGATTTGTGTTTCCCAGCTGCGCCTGCGCAGAGCTGGGAGCTATGTTCGTGGAGAAAGGCATGGGCAGGGACGGAGACGAGAACCGTCACGTCATGGCAAGCCGGGTTGTCTGGTGAGCAGGCGCGGCGACGAGTTGGGACGAGGACGGTAGAGAGATACAGTTAACACATGAGAGTGAATGAAAATATAGTCAATGAAATAAGGAAGACCGGAGTAGTAACGAAAATGGGTGGGTGAAGGACGGAAGTTGGTTCTGCTCAGTCATATTTTTTTTTCCGCGGCGGGTCTGCTGATCCTGGATCGATGAACACAAGCCAGCATGAACGATCACTAGTTACATTATATACTAGTTAATTGTTTTCATTATGGTCGTACTGTCCATCAACAGCGGGTTTTGCGATTATCATATTCCTCGAACCCATCAATGGGCCCAAATCATGGCCATAGTGGACATGTCGGACCTGCGCTCATCCACCTCAAGACGCGCGACTCTACAATTGAGGAAGTGTAAACGGAACAGATGTGAACTCGGAAATTTTTGATTTTGTTTCATTCAGGGGAATCTATGCACAGGCGAAAAAGTGTGTGCCAGGGCATCCGAGACCCTTTTTGCGCTTCGTCTCATCCCACCACAGTCCAAGCGCTCCCCATTCCGTCAGGGCCGCACCGGAGAAGACAGAAAATCCAACAAAACACCAGACAACCACAACCCCAACAGTCCCATTCCGACCGAAAATTCGTTTAGATGTGGGTGTCGTAGGCGATGGGGGTGACGGTCTCGGGGGCGTTGTTGGCCTGGCTGACGAGGTGAGCCTCACGGGGCATGACGGGCTGGCGCTTCAGGTGGACGTGGACGCCCTTGGTCTTGGCCTCGCGCTTCTTGATGGCGTTCTCCTTGACCCGGTTGATGAACTCCTCACGGGAGCGCGAGTGCTGAACGTGCTCGATGCGGACGCTGATGCGCTTCTCGAGGTAGCGGTTGTCGACGCGCTTGTACAGGAGGACACCGACGGACGACTTGGTCACGTTGTAGACGACACCGGTCTTGCCGTGGTAGACCTTGTGGGGCATACTGTTCACGTCTCAGCCATGTTCTTCACTCAATAGGTTGTTCCTTTATCCAATTCCCGTCGATTGCGCCGAGTGTGGCGGTTGGAAGAATCTTCCCACCATTCCGCGGCCAACCTATGGGTTGTGGGGAAGGAAAGAAGAAAAAAATTGTACTGACCCCTTCTGGACGGCACCGTTCACCTTCAGGTCGACAATGTCACCAACACTAAATAAATCCCGTCAGATTATTATTCTGCAATGAAAACTCGGATGGTTCGATTGTACCGGTAGGTCTTGAGGTAGGTCGACAGGCGGATGTTACCGTGCTCCTTGAAGTTACGGCTGAAGGCATACTATGGCATCACCGTCAGTATGAGAAACAAAAAAAAGGTGGCGAGGAAGGCGCAACATACCCGCGTGCCGCGACGCAGACCGAAAGAGTGAGGCATGGCGACGTTATTGAAGGTGGTGGTTGCTGAAAGGGAAGCGGGACTTGGCCGATGAAGTTCAACCAGACAGATGTGGCTCGGTGTGTGCTGGTCAGGTGATAGGGTTTGCCCTACACATCAACCACGTGACACACTCGCTTATCCGCTTCCTCTTTTCCTTTCTGGTTCGGCCTTTTTGTGCTCCCTGTTCGTGTGCTCGACAATCTCGCGACAACCGCCCAGCAGCCATGGCTCCCGTTCCGTAAGTATTCTTTGTGATGCCAATGTGCTTCGCTCTAACCATTGTCCTTGCAGTCGCTCCTACTCCAAGACCTACAAGGTCCCTCGTCGCCGTAAGTTTTATCTCACACCAGACCACGACGTTGTTGAGGCTAATTTTTTCTCCTTACAGCCTATGAGTCGGCTCGTCTGTTAGTACTCTCCGGCCACTAAGCAAGAAGCGTGCTTCTGCTTATGTCGCGTGTTCCAATCTAACCACTATTCCCTAGTGACTCGGAACTGAAGGTTGTCGGCGAGTACGGCCTGCGCAACAAGCGTGAGATCTGGCGTGTCCAGCTCACTCTGTCCAAGATTCGTCGTGCTGCTCGGTATGTGGAAGATTCGCTGTGATAAAAAAAAAAAAAAAAAAAAGGATGAAGGACTAACGGTCGCAGTGAGCTGCTCACTCTCGACGAGAAGGACCCCAAGCGTCTCTTCGAAGGCAATGCCCTGATTCGCCGTCTGGTGCGCATCGGTGTGCTCGACGAGTCCCGCATGAAGCTCGATTACGTCCTGGCCCTGAAGTCCGAGGATTTCCTGGAGCGCCGTCTGCAGACCTGCGTGTACAAGCTTGGCCTGGCCAAGTCCATCCACCACGCCCGTGTCCTGATCAAGCAGCGCCACATCCGGTACGCCTTGCCCATACACTCTTCGGTCGAGAAATACTGACATTCCCTCAATAGTGTCGGCAAGCAGATCGTCAACGTCCCCTCGTACGTGGTCCGCCTCGACTCCCAGAAGCACATCGACTTCGCCCTGACCTCGCCCTTCGGTGGTGGCCGCCCTGGCCGTGTCCGCCGCAAGAAGGCCAAGGCCGCCGAGGGTGGTGATGGTGACGAGGAGGAGGAAGAGGAGGAGTAAATGATGACTTAAAAAATGGAGTACTATCGGGTTTCGCTTTGGGCAATGGATCACCCTGCGGGGGGTTCATGACTGCAGCATAGCATTTCATGTTGTTTTACGATGATTGCAATTCAATGAGTCCATCACAGCCATTTGGCTTCAAATTGGAACCCGAGTTTCTGGTGCTCAATTGCCCTCCGTAGTTGTGTGTACTGTACAGTAGTAGATGCCAAACGCCAGTCCCGTCCGTACCCATCGTATATCATTCGTTGCAAAGGCCCAGAGAGCGTTTCGTCAGCCCTCCACACCCACGATTTCCTTGAGCGTTTCCTCGGCGCCTCTGTACCACCGCCCCATCTCCTCCAGCCCATCGCTTTCTCCTTCTTGCTTCTTTCGCTGTGCCTCGCGGGCTTGAGCAATTGTCTCCTCCTTCCGTCGTTCAAGCACGCTGATCTCTCGCTCCATTGCCTCTGCCTCGCGCGTCTTCCGCGGTAATGTGTTCTGGACAGCCGCCAATTGTCGGTTCAGCGCCGCCAATTCCGCCTCGCGCTCTGAGAGCCGCGTCAGAGTTGCAGGCAAAGGCAGATTCTGAGACGAGGAGGTATTGCTAGGGCCAGCGGAGTCCATGTTCGCGACCTGTCGGGCACGAAGGCCGGCGATTGTGGATTCCAGGTTCTGGATAGCGTTGGGAAGCGTAGAGAGCTGTGTCATTTGAAGCTGCACCGTTTTATATCCTGGTAGTGGGTCGCGTCAGCAACAGGGTGCTCAGCTGAAAGCCATGGCAAGACACTCACGACTCGCCAAATCCCGGCCCATCTTCTCCATCTCGGCGATCATAGCACTCGCCTCCTCCTTGCTCGCCTTTAGCTCCGCCTTCACCTCCGCCAGCTGCGTCTCCAATTCCACGTTCTCATTGTGTCCCACCACAACCGGCGGATCGCCGACAATGGCGCGCAGGAATTTTTCTTTGGTGACTTGCTCGAGGTAAGAGAATCGCAGCTTTGAAAAGAGTTCCTGTACGATCATGAAATCAGCACGGTTGAATGTGGCTATTGGCGCGGCATATATAAGAAGCCAACCTTGTAATGGGTGAGATCCGCTTCGAGAGACGCCGGGGTCGGGTCGTTCAGATTCGACACGGAAACATCCGAGCCACGCTTCGCAGGAGATGTGCTTGATTCCACGCCTTCGGCGGAGATGGGTTCACTGATGCGGATGATCGCGAGGTGTTTCTTCAAGTCGCCTTGTTCCTGCTCCAGGCTGCGGAGGACCTCAAGGGCCTCTGATGATGTATTGGCCATGCTCATAGATTGAACTAAATTGTATTCTGACACGAGTGGGGGAGGAAAAGGTAAACAATCGCGATAACGGATAGCAGCCAAGGCGGTGAAGCAGTATCCTTCATTAGGCAATCTTGCTTTGTCTCCAAGATCGCTTTGGTTGGTCATGGCGTACCCATAATCTCATTGCACTACCTTTGTTTCTTCCTCCCTTGTCTGCAACCCGGTCGGCAGCCCTCATCATGGACGACGACTACGTCGCGCAAGTCCTTGCCGCCGAGGCGCGGGACAGCTCTGAGAAGTACTCGTCTCAGGGTCCTGTGGCGTACATGCCTCGAAAGTGAGTTTCTTGATGAATATCGTCCAAGCCAAGCTAATGGAAGGCAATTCTGGCAGGCCGACGAGCGGTGCTCCAAAACCCAACACCCGCTTCCTCCGACACCTGATCAAGGAAACCAGCAATCACAATACTGCCCTCAAGCGCAAGGAGGAGAGAGAAGCGAGAGAGCGCCAGCGCCAGCTCAAGGAGCCGACATCTGCTTCTGGCTCATCGTCTCATGCTTCTAGAAGACGCGAGCGTGAATCCGGCCATCACCGTTCCTCAAGAGACCATGGGCGAGACCATGCGGACCGACATCGTTCACATCGCAGCAGAAAACATCGAAATCGTTCTCCCTCGGCAGAAATGGAGCGGCCTCGACGGCCCCGACACCACGAAAACCATGACAGCGACGAAGATCCAGGAGACCGAGAGGAGCGCCGTCGCCATGGACATACCTCATCCAGACATGATCGACGAGGGAGGGAAGAAGGCCGGCGCCGGCGCCGTGAGCGTTCATACTCCAGATCGCGCAGTCGTTCCCCCAGACGAGATCGGAGTCCCACTCGCCATCGAAGCCGCCGACATGACCGATCGAAATCTCCTTCGCACACCCATTCTCATGCCTACGAATCAGGCCGCAGTCGGCGATCCAACCGCGACGAAGACACTACATCTCATAAATCTCGCCCGTCTCGTTCCGAAACCGCCACACGACATGAAAAGGCCTCGTCTGCCACGGAGAACCCACGTGAAACGGACATTGAGCATGACTCCGATCCTTTGGAAGACCTTGTCGGACCCCTTCCTCCTCACAAACATGGCCAAAGCGAAGCGCCTCTCCGTTCGCGCGGCCGAGGCGCCTACAAACCCAATACGAGTAACATGGACGCCCACTTCGCACCGGACTACGACCCAACGATGGACGTTCAACTCGAGGACGATCCGTCGCCTAAGCAGCCTACTCGTCGCCCCGTCGCCGGTCTGATGACCGCAGACGACGATTGGGAAATGGCTCTTGAGGCATTACGCGACCGAACGCGCTGGAAGCAGAAGGGAGAGGAGAGGCTCCGTGCGGCGGGGATTAACGAGAGCACCATCGAGCGATGGAAGAATAACCCGGCTTTTACGGAACTTCCTGGTGATGGAGCAGGCCGGTCGGAAGATGTCAAGTGGTCGAAGAAGGGCGAAGGCCGGGAGTGGGATCGAGGCAAATTTGTGGATGAGGATGGCCACATCGACATTCGGGCGCAGTGGTAGTTTTTTTTTTTTTTTTTTTTTTTTTTTTTTGTTATCTTTTTACTGGCGTTGGCAGGTACTTTTTTGGTTTAGAGATACTAGATACCAGGGTGCATCGAATATGGCAGAGAAATTATTGCCATTGTGTATAGATTCGTTAGTACTCTTGAGTTGATGTCTATCTACCTCAGGGTCCGCACCCGGCGGTTCCGCGCTTTGTCAGGGTGCGGAAATGGCGGCGCCCTAGATGAATTAACGACATCATGTAACTTCGTGTACTCGCGTGATGCTGACCCATTATTAGCTATTATCAGCTAAGAAAAATCATCCAACTTGCGTGGAACAAATTGAAGCATCTGAGACCCGCGCTACCGCTGAGATATATCTTTCCAACCTGACATCGAGCAACTACTTACTCACCAACACATCGTCAAAGATGACAGATCAATTCGCCTACTCATACGCCTCCCCTCTAGAGGGCTACGAGAACCTCGAACCATTACCCGAGTGCGTGCCATGCCATGCCATGCCCCGCATCCACGGCGAAATGCTAACCAGCACGCACAATCCACAGAGAGAGGAACGAAGACGGCAAGTCTTTGAAGAACCCGCAGCATGGCGTCCTCAGCAAAGCCTACTCTGAGTTCCCAGACCCGTTGGCCAAGGACCGGCGCGGCGGATTCGACATTCACATCTATCACTTCCAGGTGTGTCGAAAAGAAAATAAACCCACCGCCGCATCCGCAAACACTGACCAGGGTATGGATATGGGATACAGAACAACCCGGACCAAGTCACCTTCGCGAAAGCCCTCTGGGAACGTATTCGGCGAGAATGTAAGTTCGCGATGACCTCTCCCCTCCACGGTTATGTCTTTTTATGTACTCACGAAAGCAGTCCCCGAGCTGCGCATCTACACCTTCTTCGACCGCCCCGTCGGTCCACACCCGGTCGCCATGTTTGAAGTCAACCTCTTCAGCCCGGCGCAGTTCGGCGCATTCATTCCCTGGCTGGTGGTGCACCGGGGCCCGCTCAGCGTGCTTATCCACCCCAACACCGTGGAAAGCGAGGAAGAGCGCAACCACACGCAGCGGGCAACGTGGCTCGGGGAGCGGATTCCACTGGATCTGAGGGTATTTAAGTTGATGAAGCAGAAGCAGAATCAAGAGAACAGCGGGTGACGCCGAGTGAGCAGCTGATGTTGTAGTTACATTGTCAGCCTTGGGAACTACTATCATCTCCATCGTTGATCAGTTCGTGGTGCAGCTGATCCAGACTCGCCGGGTGATTGGGCGAAGGAGGGGTGGGTCGCAGCGTGGTATCCGGGAGCAGGGGTATTGTTCCTGTTAGGCATATAGGGCTATATGGTCTGTTATTATTGTTGATGAAAGAAATATATTTACTTCCAAGTTCGGTACGGAGGTATAGTAATGTAGAAAATAAGGAGAGTGAGAGAAGGTCCAGAGATGGGCGCAGACAGACTACTTTCACATTCCTCGGATCACAGGACATAAGAAGCAAATAGCCCCCGCGGCGATCACGATGATCCTCTGCACTTCGGTCTCTCCGTCCGGACCTGCGTTGCAATCGATCTAGCATGGGCGCATTTGGTCTGCGACCACGCCACTGCCAACGTAGGTCATTCTGCAACTATTTACCGTGACCCATCGAGATTATTGTTTACTTAAAAGGCGCTCGCCCCGGTCATCACCTCACCCCCGCCCACGTTATAGCGCAACAAAGATGCGCGGCCACACTTCCTGCCTGGCGGCGCTGGCGCTGTCCTCCATCCAGCCCGTCACAGCGTGTCTAAAGGCTGCGGCGTCCGTCCCCCAATATGTATATGACTACGGTGGGTGATGTTTGTCTTTCTGCCCTGTTACTCATTCTAACCTTTTCTTTTTTATAAAGCGCCCCTCGTCTGGCTATACAGTGAGGATGCTTATCGGCCCAGCGACATCGGAGCGCAGGTCGCCAACACTATCCCGGAGGTGGACTGGAAACCCGTCAATGGAACACCCACACCACTAACCCTGGACAACCTCGACAGCCTCAATAACCTAGGCAATACCAGCGTCTACCTGACCACCCCTAAGGGCATCGCGCAAGAGCCAGAGCCGACCTGGTGGTTCGGCGTCACGCCCAATGCGCAGGGCCGGACAAAAAATGCCACAGGGTGCGCCATCGTGACTGTCGACCATGGTGGAGGCAGTCTGGATGCATTCTACTTCTACTTCTACGCGTATGTCTCTCCTACCTTTCCTTGTGGGAAAGGAGCACAACTGACAGACGCCATGTATAGCTTTAACCGGGGGGATATAGTCCTGGGCATGATGTTCGGTGATCATATTGGCGATTGGTATGCTTTGATTAATTCGGATTGAGTGTTTCAGAGACTGATCGAGCGTTCTTGATCAACAGGGAACATAATATGGTCCGCTTTGCAAACGGGACTCCCACGGCTGTCTGGTACAGCCAGCACTCCTACGGCCAGGCATTCACCTACAACGCCGTCGAGAAGCGCGGCAAGCGGCCGTATGCCTACTCCGGCAATGGCACGCACGCCAACTACGCCACGGCAGGGTATGTGCCGTCCTCTCTCTTGATCACCACCCCCAAATTTACATATAGTCCTAATCAATATCTGCAGTACGCACGACCACACAATTCCCGGCGTGACATTCCCCGACGGGCCACTGGAAGACTACACAGACCGCGGCGTGCTATGGGACCCCACTCTAAACGCCTACGCCTACACCTACGACCCATCCAGCGTGACCTTCAAAGCGGCCGGTGACTACCCGCTAGGCTGGCTCAACTTCAACGGCCAGTGGGGGGATGACCAGCCGCCCAATGAGCAAACCATCTTTGGAGAAGCGAAGTATGTGGCTGGGCCGAATGGGCCGAAGTTCAAGGATCTCGATCGCAGTAATGTCTGTCCTGCTTCGCCATGTATTGTTTGGCCGTTCAAGGAGGCGGGGAATAGCTCCGTTGTTATTGCTTAAATGGAATCGCGAGACTATCTGTTGAGATGTGATGTATTTTGGATGACTATGTTGTTATGTTTCATATAGTTAGCCATTCCCCGTATGGCCCACAGGGAGGACGTATATGACTCTCTGGCCAATCAACTATATACATAGGACTTGTATCATCTCACGCCGTACCAAACCAATACTCCGTGTGCACATCAAAAGCCAGTATAGAAAGCATACTCACTTACTTTAATCATAGTCGAACTCCGAGCCGTCTGAGACACCGATAGGTCAGACATCGAGAGCATCAAAGCATGCAACCGCGCCTTACTAAAATAGATGTGGTACACTCAGCTGCTTACCAGCTATATCTGCGATTGCTTCGCCCGGCCAACTTGTCCTCTCTCCTCTGTTTCTTCCCTTTCTACTCTTCCACGTGTAACAACCCCCTTCCTTCTAGGCTGAGCTACCTAAACAACCTTGAAAATAGTACCACATGAATCAACTATCATTTCCACCCCACCTACCTAGCATCTGCGCCACTACCTGCCCAATACTATTTACTAAGAACAACAACCCCCTCCGCGACTGCATCATTATACCCGGGGATGGATGTCGGCCTATGCGCTCTGTAGCAGAAGACCGGCTGTCGATCGACGGCCATGTATTCCGCGTGAATTACGACGCTCCCGAGGAAATCACCCGGCAACTGGAGGAGTTGTTTGACCGGGAGGTCAAGTACGAAGGGATTCCGGAAGATGTGAAGGCGTACGAAACTGGAGACGATGATGCGGATGAGGAAGAGGCTGGAGAGGGAGCAAGGACGGAACCTGAATTAAAGAGGAGGGAACAGCTGCAGGAGGAGAAGAGGAATAATGTCTGAAGTTCAGGGTGGGATTGTCAATTAGGAGACATGATTCGATGTTGTGAGGTATGCAATTCAGGGATATGTGCGAGCGAAGCTTCTTCAGAGTTACTGATGTGTCTCTCTCGCGCGTCTTCATGGATTGACTTTCGGATTTCTTTACTGTAAAAGATAGCCGAAACTCTGGACAAGCAGTGTGAGGAAAATGTATGTCATTTCCCCGGCTGGATGAAGTTGGAAACGGAGGCAAAGCGTGTCTCCCTCGATAGAGATTTTAGTGACTGCGATATACAAGGAGGGTCCTGACAGTCCAATATAAGGGAAGGGAGGGTTTCCCACCTAGTACGCAGTTACTCCAGACGAGCAATTGACGGAATATATATAGTTCTGAGACCGATACAAATCCTTGCGGTGGATCTATTGCGCATAACCTTCCATGGAGATTCCCCAAGCTCCACACGCCATGTGTGCTGCCGATTGCCGTGGAGGTCGTTGCATGCCGCATAGTATTGTCCGGGCCCGAGGTCTGATCGATCCTTGTTTTGTTCCTCCATGCCGCTGAGCGCTGGTAGTAAAAACCAAAGCCTTCCAATGCCGAGACCAGCCCCTCGAGCCGCACGGCTGCACAACACCGCAACGGCGCCGATCGAGTCCGTTGAACCCCTGGTCTCCACTAGTAGCTCAATTCGGAAGCAAAGGAAGCCAGTGGACCCCGTTGCGCACGTGCCAGGTCCCGGGAGTTCTGCGTCGGCTCATCAACCATGGATATCCTTGACGAACCAACTATGCAGCCCAGAAGAAGAAGAACAATTCCCTTGGACCTGTTTGATCGCTGCAATTCTCATCAGTGTGGTGTGTGTGCGTGGGTGCAAACATGCGAACCAGTCATCGACACCAGCACTTCCCGTCTTTGCTTAGCCCGCCCACCGGCGTGGAACGAACCATCCACACAGCGTGCACGGTGGAAGCTCCAAGTGGGGATACCTTTTGCTCTGGACTGATCTCGGCGTCTTACCCCTGAATTCCACCAGAAGGCGTTCGCCAGCGAAGAATAATAATGAACTGCGACCACCATCAAGTTGATGGCGGATGGGAGGGTGAAGACGGTCGGAATCGGTCTCGTAGATGTAGATGCAGCCCTAGACATTAGGATGCCATGATGCAACGACCAGACAGCCCCGATCGATCCACCTAGTAGATAATCTTCCTCCGCATTAGCCATTAGCCATTGTTAGCTTCGTTCAGCTGGACTTTTTTCTTCCTCTTCACCCCTCTCCCTCTCGCTCTCTTTCTCGCCCATTCTTTTGCCTCTCTCTCTCCTTTCACTTTCTCCATGCGCCGCTGTAGCCGGACGCTGTGAGCAGGCCATTTCTCAATTCTTTTCTCCCCGAAACCCCCGAAAAAAAAACATTTCCATTCTCTCTCTCCCCTGTCTCCGTCCTCCAGCAGCGACGTACAGCGGAATTCGACACGTACACTGGCTGGGCTGGTCGAGTGTCCCTTTGATCCCACTCTCGCTTTCCATTAGTTCTCGCCATCTCTTGTCGCAGTTTCCATTTTCGTCTGGAATCATCGCAATTCACCCGACGCTATTCCGTCTCGGACCATTGACTGGTGATCGGCAATTCGCATCATCCCGCATACTCTCGTTTTGCCGTGTGGCGCATTGGACCTTTGATCGGTGGCAATAATAAGGTACGTGACACATCGAACCCATGAGGGAGGGGGTATGGATGGATTATCATCTGGGAGCGGATCTGATGGATGATAATATGATGGTGGGCTGATCCAGTTGGGAGTGTGAAGAAGAAGAAAAGGACCAGAAGCAGAGAACCGCAGGAATGGCAAGTGCTCCTGCTGCTGGCGCTCACCTGGCGCCTGCCCCCCACAACGACACGCTGCCTGCCATTACGGAGAACGGAAGCAACCCCAACTCCATCAACAACCAACGCCGTACCTCGCTTGGTTTCCTCCGCCGTTCCAAATCTACCGAGCCACTGGGCGAGCGCAAGTCTTCTGGCAGCCGCAAGAAGATCTCCAAAGCCCAAGCCATGGAGGAAGAATTGCGCCGTCAGCGCGAATCCGCTGCATCCAAAATCGCCCCACGTCTGCCCGATCTGTCGCCCACGCCTGTGCTGGAGACGTTTGGAGGCGACGATCCCGCTGCCATCGCAGCCGCGACCCTCGAGGGCCGCATTCCGCCTCGTCCCTCCTCGTCGGCTGCGGAGGCCATCAACATTGATCCGTATGCCCGCACCGAGAGCATGACCCATCGCGGCCGCTACAGCTACGCCAGCAGCGCCGTGAGCACGGTCAACAGCCCGCGCCGTCTGCGCCGTCGCAAGGACCCGACTCCGTACAAGTAAGAGGAACCAAACATAACCAAAAAGATGTAGGCATTTACTAATTGGCGGGTTTCTAGTGTGCTGGTGGTTGGTGCTCGCAACTCTGGCAAAACCTCCTTCCTCAACTTCCTGCGCAAGGCGCTCACCATGCCCCCGCATAAGCATCCCACACGCACCCCGGAGGAGCTGGACGAACTGGAGCGCCAGACCTCGGCTTATGAAGGATTTACCTCGCAGTACCTCGAGACGGAAATCGATGGAGAGCGCGTCGGTCTGACCCTGTGGGACTCGCAGGGGCTGGAGCGCAACATCGTCGACCTCCAGATGCGCGGCGTGACCGGCTTCCTGGAGAGCAAGTTTGAAGAGACCCTGGCCGAGGAGATGAAGGTCGTGCGCTCGCCTGGTGCTCGCGACACCCACATCCACTGCACCTTCTTGCTGCTGGACCCAGTGCGCTTGGACGAGAACATTGCCGCTGCGGAGCGTGCTGCCAACGGCACGGCCAAGGCCTCCGATTCCCCCGTCCTCGGAGTTCTCGACCAGAACCTGGACCTGCAGGTCCTGCGCACCGTGCTGGGCAAGACCACGGTGGTGCCGGTCATCAGCAAGGCGGACACCATCACCGCGGCTCACATGAGCTACCTACGCAAGGCCGTGTGGAACAGTCTGAAGCTAGCCAACATCGACCCCCTTGAGATCCTGACTCTGGAAGACCAGGAGGAATACACTTCGTCGGAGAGCGCGGATGAGGAGGACACCGCGGAGAGCGAGGAGGAAGAGGAGGAAGCCGCTCCCGAACCGGAGTCTGCAGAAGCGGGCGATGGCGAACAAAAGTCTGAGGCTGCCGAGGAGAAACTGGCTCCAGCTCCCACCTCGCCGTCTCAGCGCAGTCAGAGCACACGCAAGTCCAATGGATCCCAAGCTGCCAACCAGCACGTTCCCTTTTCGATCCTGTCTCCCGACCCGCACTCGCTGGCTGCTGGGGACGAGCCCGTCGGCCGTCGATTCCCCTGGGGTTTTGCGGACCCATACAACTCGGAGCACTGCGACTTTGTCAAGTTGAAGGACTCGGTGTTCAGCGACTGGCGTACCGAGCTGCGCGAGGCCAGCCGGGTGACCTGGTACGAGCGCTGGCGAACCAGCCGCCTAAATCGCAAACACGCCCAGCCCGCGATGCCGCAGAAGTATGGGGGTCGCATGGGACCGGCTCACGATGGCCGTCGCACCCGATAAACTGTCTGTCTGTCTGTCTCTGATCTGTCCGCATAGCTTTCGATTCCGCACATACCCCCCCGTTCTCGCCCTGGTCGTGTGCCTCGGTTCGCGGCACTGTTCTTTTCTTTTCCTTGTCTCGTGTTGTTCTTACTGATTCCAGTCCTTCCTTTTGTATTTCCATTTCCCTTTTCCCAATAAAATGTGTCCTGCGTGTGTCAATAGCTCGTGTGCACATGTGTTTGAATTATTTTTCCATTCCATACTCCTACTCAGTAATGGTAAACTCCTACCCTATCCTACGCACTGGCCCTCCCCGGCTGAAGAAGCTGAGAGTGGGGGCCACACCCTGCAGGCGACTGACAAGATGCGAGCTGAACTTTGCCTTCCTTCCCTTTTCTCTTCCGTTCTCGTCTCTCCTCTTCTCTCCTTCTTCCTCTTGACCTGGAACTTCTTGTTTACACTACTGCCCTTGCTCATGGCGTGCTAAATCCACTTCGTTGCCTCCGTCAATTATCAATCAATCACCCCGCATCAGGGAACTAGTTTCCGACTCCCATTGTGGGATCCCGGCAGCACATAATCGTGCAACAAGCCAATTCAATTCTCGTCTGGTCTGCCCATACTCTGCATACTTCCACCGAACACAAACACTTCTCCAAATCCGGCACGGATCCCCACAGGCGATCCCTGGGTCGCCATGTCCCTCCAAGTGAACGACCCACGGTCGCGCACCCGCTCTAAATCCCCTGGCCGCCGCGAACGCTCCAGGTCGCGCGACAGCAGAGCCCCCTCGCCTTCGCCGTCCCGGCCGCGCGATCGCTCCCCCGCAGTCGAGATCGCTCCATCATCTCGGCCGCGCTACGACCCGGACGACGATGCGGAGATCGACCGCCAGTACAAGCTACTAAAAGAGCGCCAGCGCGAGGCGGAAGACCCGCGAGCTAGCAATATCGTCTCGCGCGCTCCACGCAGCCCCGCGCGGTATGACGTGCGACGTTCCGACTCAGAGGATGATGAGAAATCCAAGCGCCGCGAACGCACCAGCGACAAGTCATCCCGACGCCGCCGCGACGATCACTATGAACATTCGGATTCCGAGGAGGATGTCAAGTATGTGATCCAGGAGCCCCGCCGTCGGCCCTCCTCGCCCTCGGGCCGTGATAGCCACAGTCGGCCGGATGATTCAGACTCGGACTCGGTGGACGGTGGTCTGGCCTATGGCGATGACCACGGGGCCCATCCCAGCTATGCGCGACCCAACAAATATCAATATGCGCAGCCCTCGCACTACCTCTACGCCCAGCCTGGGGCTCCGCGCAAACCCGCCCACCCGGAGGCACCGTCCGACTGGGCGCCGATTCCCGAATGCGAGCGCCCGGGCTTTGTGCCACCGTCCTCGCATTCGGGGGAACAACCGGGTATGCCGGGCGGTTTCCCTCCGGCTTCGACGTACGCGGATGCGTCGGGAATGGCCGCACCGGCGTTCCCCCTGCCGCACTACGCGAATCTGGCGCCTCAGCAGCCTATCCCCTATTCTTCTGGCGGCATGGGCTATGCGCCTACTCATTATCGCTCTCCGTCGAGCAATGACGTTGCGCAGCCACCGCCATCTCAATATGCCCAGCCGCCCCAGTTCCAGTATGCGCAAGTTGATCCCAATGTCCGGTACTCGTCCAAGACGGCGTCCAAGCAGTCGTATACGGCTTCGCCGCAGGAACAGTACGATAAGTCACCGCCAGAACAGCATGTCAAACCGTACCGGTACAGCAGCCAGCCGCAATTCGTCGAGATCACGCCCGGTGGGGGTCGGTCAAGCGGCCGGCCTCACAGTCTGTCTGTTTCAACGTCGAGTAATCTGGCTGCGCCGGGAGCCGATCATGCTCATGGTCCTCCGCCGGCCAGTCCCTTGCTGGAGCCGTACCATGGAACCTACCAGTCCATGTCGCCCATGCCATCGCCCATCGTGATTCCATCCGCACACGATCGGGACGATGATATCTCGGATCTCGAGCCTCTTGATGAAATGTCCAACTCTGAATCTGGCCGGCACAAGAAGAACCGAAAGTCAACCAGCGAGAAGGACAGCCGGCACCGAAGCAGCAAGGACAAGAGCAAGGAAAAGGAAAAGGATGAGCGCAGGGATGATAAGCGACGCAGCCGCCCAAGCGCTGGCCGTGATCGACACGACTCGGCTTCTTCGGTGGCCGCAGCGGATGGGGTAGTTACGATCTCCCCGTCCACCGGGCGAAAGCGCGTGTCATTCTACGATGCTGGAGCCGACGCTGCGGCGATGCAGGCCGCGTTGACCCACACGCGTAGCATTGACTACAAGCCCATCATTCAAATCCTGCCACGATTGAACAACGATGAGATGGCTGAATTGCGCCAGGAGTACAAGAATAGAGTTAAGCTGCATGGCAAGGGGATCAACCTTGCTAAACATATCAAGCACCAGGTGCAGGGCAGTGCGACCTTCAACAAAGTGTGCTATGCGACTGCGCTGGGCCGCTGGGAATCCGAGGCTTACTGGGCCAACTGCTACTACCAGGCCGGCACTTCACGACGGGAGCTACTCATCGAGTCGCTGATGGGCCGCTCCAACTCTGCCATCCGCGAGATCAAGAACTGCTTCCGCGACTCCCGGTATGCAGACAGTCTCGAGCGCTGCATGCGCTCCGAACTGCGCGCCGACAAGTTCCGCACCGCAGTGCTGTTAGCTCTCGAAGCCCGCCGCCAAGATGAACGCGAGCCCCTAGACCCGCGTCTGTGCCGCCGAGACGTCCAGGACCTGCACCAGGCCCTCGTGTCTCGCGAGGGGGGCGAGACGGCCATGATCCAGATCATCGTGCTGCGCAGTGACTCGCATCTGCGCGAGGTGCTGCGTGCATACGAATCCACCTACGGGCATAATTTCGCGCGTGCGATGATTGCCAAATCGCGTAACCTCGTGGTAAGTTGCGTTGATTGTAAGCGAGATGTCGTCATCGCCGATGCTAATGAGAATTACTGCAGGGAGAAACACTGGCGCATATCCTCAATGGCGCCATTAACCGTCCCATGCGCGACGCACTGCTCCTGCACCAGGCCCTGCGTGAATCACGCTCCGGCCGCGAGCGGTCGGAGCTGCTTATCTCGCGCCTGGTCCGTCTTCACTGGGAACCGCGGCATCTGGAGCAGGTCAAGACGGAGTATCGGCGTCGGTATGGCGAGCGGCTGGAGGAGGCCATTGCCGAGGAGATCATTACGACCAGCGGAGGCAGTGAATGGGGGGAGTTTTGCATTGAGCTCTCGCGCAGCAGCAGCAGCAGCAGCAGCTCGTAGCTGTGACTCTGAGATTATTCTCAAAAAGCTACCAGCTTGTTTCAGTATTTTCCCGGTAAGGGGCCGGCAATAGTCAATAATCAAGTGGGCCGGCCTAGTTTGTGGTTGATAGTTAACTTTATACAAACATAGAACAGCCAAGCAATGGCTAGTAGAGACTAGACTACCATCACTCTGGAAGTGCTGTTCCCAACGCTTTGCAGTCTCCTGTAACCGTTGTCTTGTAAGAGATCGTCGTGATTGACCATTTTCCCCTGTGCATCCTTGCCCCTGCCACCGATGCTCCAGGTCCGGGTCCACCGAGACGGGGCGCAAGCAAGGGGGCTGCTGTATGCCTGAGCTCTCACCCCCATGTTCTGTTGTATCCACTGTGTCTGCGACTCTAACCCACTTGCCCTAACCACATACAAACATAGTCCATTCAATACTAAGCCTATTTACAGCATTCTACCTCTCCTCCGCTGATCTTCCCCGCAGATTTGCCGAACCCCATTCATTACTCGACACATCCGACGCTCCAGGGGCGGATGCTACCAGACTGTACGGACTGGCCGTCCAGCTAGCCCTGATCTGTCCACTGGGCCGATTCTCGATGGCACCTTCCTGATCGCCCCCGGACTTTTTCATTATTACTATTTTTGGTGCCGCGACTGCCCTGTTGGCAACCAACTCGAGTTTACTCCGCTCGCTCTCTTTCGCACCGATGTCGCTCTTTCAACTAACCCCCTCCTTTGGGCCTATCCACTCCCATCCCTGCAACCATTTCGGGCCAATATATTCACGAGCGCCACAGCCTCTGTCGATCCGGACGATGCTTGTTCCAGCACCCAACCAAATTCTCCCCGTCTCCTCTCATCTCATCTCGTGGGCAGGCCCCGTGTATGATTCCTATGATTCCCCCTCACTCCGGGATCCCATCCCCTTGCCATATGGCCAAGCAGAGACCGGCATGTGCAATGCATCCCCTCAGCAGTGTCAGCCGGACGTGGTCTCGGAACTTTCCTGGCTGCATCTCCTGCATTCGCGATCAACGTGTTCCCAGTCGCGCGCTAAAATCGTAGTGTACCTTCTGGCATGCGGATCCATCCAGATGGTTACTCGGAAGGCCCGTGTCTCTCTCTCTTCCCCTCTCGTCGTCCTTCAAGTATAAAAATGTCCCTAGCATTCCAGTAAACAACGCCCTCCTGTCGATCCCTTTTTCTCGCTTGCCGGTTTCTTTTATTTTTGTCTTTCCTTTTCGGCCCCCTCGTCGACTAGTTATCCCTAGGCCCTTCCGCCATCACCTAACCCTGCCGGTTATAGTGCCAACCAACACCTGCACTGCCTACTTTGCTAGACCTAGCTCGCGATTCTCTTTCATTCCGGGATATTGATTAAAAGCGGACCAAGAATCCCATGTTGTGAAATCTCCTGATTGTGTTTCTCGTCTCAACAACAACAACATATCCACCATGCAGCTGTCTCGCCTCGGCCTGCTGGTCTCCTCCCTCGTGGGGTCTATTGCGGCCCAGTCTACCTTCTCGCCAGCACGGCCACCTTCGCTGCCGCTGGCTGTGAAGTCGCCGTATCTGAGTACCTGGCAAGATGCTGGGAGTGACGGTGGGAATGGCGGCTATCTGGCCGGTCAATGGCCCACGTTCTGGCAGTAAGTGGTCTTTTGTTCGGCGCTCAGGTCTAAACAACGATGGTTGACTTTAGATTAGAAACCAGATCACCGGCTGGTGTGGTTTGATCCGTGTTGATAACACCACGTACACCTGGATGGGCCTGCCTGGCTCGACTACCGTCAACCAGACAGCCTTCGAGTACACTTCCACCAAGAGCATCTTCACCATGAATGTGGAGGGCCTGATTGAAATGAAGATTACCTTCCTCTCACCGTTGACGCCCAATGACATGAAGCGCCAGTCGCTGATCTTCTCATATATGGATGTGGAGGTTTCTTCTCTAGATGGCAATAACCACCAGGTGCAAGTTTACTCGGATATCTCAGCTGGTAAGTGCTTTTGCGGGCCGAAAAATGACCAAGAAGCTGACTTTCTATTGTAGAATGGATTTCCGGAGACCGCAGTGCCATTGCCCAATGGGACTACGGTACCACCAATGGCATTGGCTACCACAAGGTGTACCGCCAGACCCAGTTGGAGTTCTCCGAGGTAAACCAACAGGCTGAATGGGGTAACTGGTACTATGCCACCGACGCGGCCAAGGGCGTGACCTTCCAGTCCGGCCAGGACACGGTTGTGCGTGGCCAGTTCGCGTCGAACGGCGTTCTCACGAACTCCCAGAACACGAACTACCGTGCCATCAACGACGACTGGCCCGTGTTCGGATTTACCGCCAACCTGGGCGCTGTCGGCTCCAACCCCGTCAACACGCTTTTCACCATTGGCCTGTGTCAGGACAACGCGGTTCAGTTCAACGGCTCCTCGGGATACAACCCGGTCCCGTCGCTGTGGACCAGCTACTTTAGCAGCGAACTTGACGCACTGTCCTTCTTCCACAGGGACTACAGAGCTTCCAGCTCGATGTCTAGTGCCTTTGATAGCCAGATCGCCCAGGATTCAGCCTCCGCTATCAGCCAGGACTATGCGACGATCACGTCTCTCTCGGCTCGCCAGGTATTCGGCGCCACACAGCTCTGCGGCACCCGGAAGAAGATGTATCTCTTCTTGAAGGAGATTTCATCCGATGGGAACGTGAACACGGTCGACATCATCTTCCCAGCCTATCCTGCGCTCCTGTACACCAACCCAACTCTACTCAAGCTCGTGATGGAACCGCTATACGAGAACCAGGAGGCCGGCGACTACCCCAACGCCTGGTCCATGCATGATATGGGATCCAGCTACCCCAACGCTACGGGACACCCGGACGGCAACGACGAGAAGATGCCGCTGGAGGAGTGCGGAAACATGGTCATCATGAGTCTGGCGTATGCCCAGAAGGCCTCGGACACGAGCTATCTGACCCAGCACTACAACCTGCTACAGAAATGGACCAGCTATCTGGTGAACGACGCGCTGTACCCTGCCAACCAGATCTCGACCGATGACTTTGCCGGCCCTCTGGCGTGAGTAACCGTTCCCTCGGGATGAACAATGGCTGACATGCGTCTTATTTATCTAGCAACCAAACCAACTTGGCTCTCAAGGGCATGATTGGCATCCAGGCCATGTCGGAAATTGCCAAGCTGACCGGTCACACGGCTGATGCTGCCAACTATTCCAGCATTGCACACAGCTACATCGCCAAGTGGCAGAAGCTGGGTATTAACAAGAACGCGAACCCGCCACACACGACTCTGAACTACAATAACTTGACCAGCCATGGTAAGATAACCTCCTCTTTCTCTTTCTTATGATGTATGAAATACTTACTGACTCCGACAGGCCTCCTGTACAATCTCTACGCCGACGCCCAACTGGGCCTGAACCTCGTGCCCCAGTCCGTTTACGATATGCAGAGCGCTTTCTACCCGACTGTCGAAAACCAGTACGGCGTGCCTCTGGACACGCGCCACACCCTCACCAAGGGTGACTGGGAATGCTTTGTCGCCGCCATTGCCAGCCGCTCAACCCAGACCATGTTCATCACCGACCTCGCCAACTGGATCAGCGAGACGTCGACCAATAGGGCCTTGACGGACTTGTACGACACGGTCACGTCAGAGTGAGTGGCCATTTCCTCCATCTTCACTCTAATATTCTTGCTAACGGAGATTTTCTAGCTACCCGCTTGGAATCCAGTTTACCGCTCGCCCCGCCGTAGGCGGCACCTTCGCTGCCCTCCTCTTGAACCAGTCGTAAGGAGGCGCTTATCGAAAACACTTTCGTTTCTTGTGGATTTTTCTTTACTATTCCATGTGCCGTTTGTCCTCTTGCCGGCCCCAACCCTTCGATGCAGGCAGGAAACAAGCCAGCGCACTGGAGACTTTCCACTCGCTTGTGGGTTCCCGATCTGGTAATATCCTTTTATCGTCGTCTCTGATACCCATCGCCACCATTGAGAGACCGTCCCTCGTTCCAGCGACGTCTAAGCGGTTGATTTTTATCTCTTTCGGTTGTGGACGCTGATGACGTCTGACACGACACGGCTCTGAGAGTGTTGATTGTGAGGGGTTCTGGTGTTTGCGTTTCTTTCCCTCCCCTTCTCTTTCCTTGTGCATAGGCCTCTCTATTTCCGTTCTATCTATATAGTGGATGCATGCAGATGCCGAAATCCGGCGGTACAAGATCTTCCGATCTGTCTTTGTCTTGGATCCAGCGGTGTAAGTTGTAGCTTCGTTAGGGCAAGGTTGACTTGTGCGCCACTTCCGACTTTACCCCTGATGACAAACGCGAACAACTTCAACTTCGAAGGGGAAATGATTTCAACATGCGACGTACAGTCAACCAATCAATTGACCAGCCATCCCGCAAGGCCTCCCGCGTAACGTACAAGCGAACGACCTAACGACACCTTGAATCCGCTTCCCCAGGCTGGAACGCCATGTGGACCAAACCCCCGTTCAACCTGTCAGATCGCGCGCATCCTCCCCGACACGCAAACATGAAGCAAGGACCCATTTCGCGCCAGCGAACCCGAGCCTGGGGATCGCGGCGATCATGCCGATCGATGGCGACACAGAGGGCCTAATTATCCAATGATGAATCGCAGCGCATTTCAATAGAGCAGTCGATCGCCCGAATATGTGGTGCTCTTTTGGCGTCAGGCAATAACCATGACGTCGGTTCGGTCCCTTACCCCTTTGGGGGCTGGAAATTCTTTGGGGTTTTTAAAATGTGATACTTTGTCACTATTGTGGGGATGGTCACTACTCACTGTTAACATTATCCTTCACTCCCTTTTTCTGTCGGAAACACCACACCTCTCGCTTTGCTGTCAAGATCCAACACATTCAATCGTTTCATACAAACCAAAATCAACAAAACCATGCATCTCCAACATGCCCTCGTTGCTCTCGTTTTCTCCCTCTCCCTCCCTGTCGCATCCGTCGCTACCTCTGAATTCGACAGCGAGTGCTTCTCCGACCCTGGTACCCTCGAAAACCAGGGCAGCTACAACTACCAATCCCCGGGGTACTGCCAGGCTCAATGCCGGAAGGGCCACTTCACCGTCGCAGCGCTGAGCAAGGGAAAAGATTGCTGGTGCGGACATGACATGCCTCCCAAAGACAAGCGGGTCAAGGACAGCAAGTGCAATGTCGCCTGTGCGGGATGGCCCGCGGATAAATGTAGGTCATCCATCTATCCCCCCAATACCAACGAAAACAAGCGGAGAAGAAGAAACTGACTTGACTTGTTAGGTGGCGGCCACGACACCTGGAGTGTTTTCTCAACCGGTGACGCAGAAAGCGGCATTTCCAATAATGACCCCATCAGTGCGTCGACCGCTGCAGGCGGTATTGTCGTCGCGCCCACGGGCGCCACAGCCACTGTACCCAACAATATCCTCACAGCGCCCGCTCCCGCGAAGACAACAGCTGCCACTGCGTCCGTCTCTGCCGCTGCCTCATCCTCCAGGGCTATGTCATCCTCCAGGGCAACGACCACGGTGACGCCGGCCAATTCAGCGGATACAGTCCGCCCCGGATCATCGGTGCTCTGGGCTGCATTTGCGGCGTTGGGGTTGCTGCTGTGAGACCTTTGCCCTCTCTTGCGGGTTGTGCTACTATTTTGTTCCAGTGTACTCGAAATTGCTGTATTGTATAGGTGATATATACCTGCCCGCGGGTCTGGGCCGTTCGTGAGACTTCGCCATTCATTCTCCTTTTGCATTTCGGGTGTATACAATCGAGGATCCACGGTTGAAGCTGGGCTTGGCCCTTGGTTCCCATTTGTATTCCATCAACCCTATTGTCACTACACACTACACAACACTGTATATAGACAATGAACTATTCTCCATCTAGAACCATCTGTAGATCTGTTAAGTGCCAATTGAACTTGCCGAGCACACGCCAACACCTGCCTCATCCGGTAAATCTTGGAGTCGGCAAAGCCCGCCAGCCGAGGGCGAGGAGAGAGGGGAAGAGGGAGATAAGATAGCCAGATACCGTCTCTATTTCTACTTAGTTGCACGCAGTATTTACCTACGAGGAGGTATTGTTATTGCTCGACAATTAACTCACGCCATGAAATCCCTCCTCCCATTCCTCGGCGTGGCATCCACCACACTAGCTCTAAGCATTCCCGACACGCAACAGATCCTCGGCGCTTTCACCGACTTCTCCGCACGCGAAACTTGTCCGCAAGCTGCCAAAGTCGCCGCTCCTAACGACGGCCTGCACGATGCTAGTCACTTTCTGTCCGATGCAGTGTTCCGCTCGCGACAGGCCAAGCGCCTCTCGGGGGCTGTCCAGGTCCCTACAACTGTCACCGACTACATGGTCGATCCATACGACCCGGCCTTTGAGCCGTTCGTCCAATTCCAGGAATATCTGGAGGAGACATTCCCTCTTGTGTAAGTCTACCCCCACATTACTTACATATGCTCTTTGTCTGATGGTGGGGGATGTAGTCACTCCCGGGCCAAGGTAGAGCACATCAACCGCCTCGGCCTACTCTTCACGCTGCAGGGCAGCGACTCAGCAGCCAAGCCGCTCCTCTTCATGGCGCACCAGGACGTAGTCCCCATCGACGATCCCTCAGACTGGACCTACCCGCCCTTCGCGGGCGTCTTCGATGGCGAGTGGCTCTGGGGCCGCGGCGCAAGCGACTGCAAGAACGTGCTGATCGGGCTGCTGTCCGTGGTGGAGGAGCTGCTCGAGCAGGGCTGGGCGCCGCAGCGCACCGTCGTGCTGGCCTTTGGCTACGATGAGGAATCGCACGGGTTCCTTGGCGCGGGGGCTCTTTCCTCAGTGCTGGAGACGCGGTATGGTAAGGATAGCTTCGAGTTCATCCTCGATGAGGGCGGGATGGGCGTGCAGAGTCTGGGTGGTGACGATGAGGTGGTTTATGCGCTCCCCGGTGTCGGCGAGAAGGGCTCGATCGATCTAGTTATGGAGATGGCCGTTCCTGGTGGGCACAGCTCCATCCCGCCCGCGCACACGGGGATCGGGATCATGGCGGAGATTCTGTATAGCCTGGAACGCCAGGAACTCTTCTCGCCGTGGCTGCATGAAGCGCACCCGGCTCACGGCATGCTTGAGTGCCAGGCGCGCTACTCGCCCGCCCACGTCGAGCCCTGGCTGGCCGACAAGCTGGCAGCCGGAGACGCCGCCGCGCTGGGCGAGGCGGTCGCCTCGTCGCGCGGCGCTGCGATGCGCTACTTGCTGCAGACGTCGCAGGCCGCCGACCTCATTCACGGCGGCGTCAAGACCAACGCCCTGCCCGAGAAGATCTCCGCGACGGTCAACTACCGCGTTGCGCTGCACCAGACACCCGACGAGCTGGTCGACCGCGCCCTGCGCATTATCGGCCCTATCGCCGAGTCTCACAATCTCACCGTGCAGCTTGACTTCCCAGACGTGAAGGGGACGCTCCGTCACTCGCTGCTGGATGACGACGCTACCGAGCCCGAACGCACCCTCACTCTGTCCCCGCTCAGTGTGCCTCTCATGCCCGCCCCGATCTCGCCGACGGACCCGCTCGCATCGAAGACCTGGGCCCGTTTCGCGGGCGTCTCTCGCTCCGTCTTCGAGTCGCACCCTAACCCGCTGGCCTCTTCTTCCCAGAAGAACCCGACGGTCGTGGTCACGGGCGATATCATGACTGGTAACACCGACACTCGCTTCTACTGGCCGCTCTCGCGCAATATCTACCGCTGGAGTCCATCCCGGGTTGGCGGCACGGCCAACATCCACACCGTGGACGAGCGCATTCGGCTGGATGTTCATCTCGAGGGTATGATGCTTTACTATGATCTGATTCGGGCTTTTGATGGGTGGGACGAGTAAATGGGTGAATGGATGGATGGAAAACTGCTTCTACTTTAGATTTGACTTGGGTGGAGGTATTTATGCTTGGGATCAAAGTAAAGGTATAATTTACAAAAGCAGTATCTGATGTGCAGAATAACCCAAAAAAAATATAGACACTGATAACTCCCATCTCATTCCATCCTTGGCATGGCTTGGCCCCTGGGTATATCGAAACAGAATTAAACAGTACAGTAAAAAACGAGAGAAGGCTATCTGCGTTTGGCAGGGGCGATTTGATCGAAGTTCTTGGGGAGTGGTCGCCCTTCCCTGTAGCAATGATAGTCAGCAAACGAAGCCAGCCACATCATATCAACCGGGCAACCACCAATGCGCATACATACCTATCAAACATGGCTCTCAAATTACGCGCCCGATCTTTCAGACTAACCTGGTTGCGGCCCTTTAACTTGGGCCCGCCTTCGTCGACAGGACAGAAGCTGTCCTCTTTTTCGATCACGGACCAGTGTTTGCCGTACTTCCCGATGAGAAAAATGAGGCGCTCATCTTCCTCTTGGGAGTAAGTCCTTTTTGGCCCCAATCGACCGTCTTGATCCGAGCGAGGGATGAACACGCTGGTTGCCCACGGGCCCGTTGGAGCCGCGGGTGGGTTTGAGGCTTCGGACTGCGCCATTTGTAAAGCGGCTATTCGGCTCGGTCCCGCGGGTCTAGAGGCAGCAGAGTGAGAGCCGACAGGCTGAGGTGCCGTAGGTTGAGAGGCATGGCTGGAAACATCCAAAGACTGCTGCAACTGGATGTTTGCTGCGTCGGACTCAGTGCTGAACCGCGGGCGCTTCTCAGCCAGGTGAGATCGCTGTGGCGGCTTCTGTGCGCGCCGTTCGGCGGTGTTGATCTGGCGATCGTCCTGACCAAGGTCGTCGTTAGAATCCTCGTCGGAGGAGGAGGATTCTTGTCGAGGCCTCTTTCGCGTTGCTGGCGACTCGACCTGACCGTGTCGTCGCTCAGAGCTCCAAACGTCGGTATCATGGCTAATCGGAGACACCCTCTCAGCGTTGGATTGACGATCGATGAAGGCCGCACGCGAGGAGGGTCCTGGAGCGGGGGTTGGTTCGTTCATGAGTCGAAGCACTTCGTCATTTGACGGTCCAGCCACCCGCTGAGGGGGAGCTGCCTGTGGCGAATCGAAGAACCGACCAGAAACAGATGGGTGGCTAACTTGGTTGATTCGGGCGGAGCCTGGAGGGCTGTTCGACTCCATAATCTCGTGCTGCTGGCGACCAGTGAGGTCTACTTCGTCAACATCGCCGTCCCGGTACTGTTGATTGGCTGGTGGCTCTGGAGATTGAGGGATCTCCGCTCGGCGGTAAGACAGTGTCTCCTCGGAATAGTGGAACGAGTCCGTCAATCTAGAGTTGGCTGTTGAGGACGGGGCTGCGGGTTGGGACTTGAGAGTGCTCAGTTCTTTCCGTTGATGAGCCTGTGCGCGCCGTTCCATGTCATCGTAAGTATCTCGATTGAGAAAGAGTTTTTCAAGACGAGAGGTTTTCGAGGACTTCCGTCGCCTTCGGTCCACCGGTTCAACAGTCGGTCTTTTGGGACTCTCTTGTCTAACGAATTCCCGAAACACTGGAGAGGCAGCTCGTCCAAAGTCCCTAGACACGATCGGGGACTCTGTGATCACCCGTTGGCCATTTGAAGTAGCTTGGCTTTGTTGGCCAACGGAATTGCGAGGGCCGCGCTCAGGGGCAACCGACTCTGAAAGCCGGCTAGGCGTTGTAAAAGCGCGCGGACGGATCTGATCTTGAAAGCCCCTTTCAAGAGTTTCACGCACATCGTCGACAGCTGGGAGTGCTTGCAGGTCCTCTCGGATTTCACCATCCCGTTTGATGATCCAGCGGATGACTTGCAGAACAAACCGTTTCCAAGGATAGGCCGCTTTCAATTCCCGGATGTTCGGGAGGCCCTCATCGTCAAAGAGACCATCCTCCAGCTCGCTGAATCTCTCTTCGACTGCTTCCTGGAACCGCTCTGGGAGACATCCATTCTGGTCTTGGTAAATACCAGGAAGATTGAATCCACGGAATGACGAAGGATCCAATTGCGAGTCTTCGCCCTCGAGAGCAAGCTCGTCATAGAAGACCCCCTTAAGAAGGGAGAGGGGTTGAAAATTCTTCTCATACTGGCGTTTCTCCAGTTCCATGACAAACAGCAGCGTCCGAATCTGAAGAGCGAGATCAAAGGTGTCTTTGTCGGTCGCACTCGCTCCGAGTGGCCTCGACTGGGAGCCCGCCACGACCTTATTCAGGAATGGAGCAGGGAATTGACCCTCTAAGTTCCGCACAACCTGCATCTGCGACTGTTTCCCAACAGTCGCGTAGAGCACATCGCGCGCCAGCCATGCACAGTTGGCCTTGTACAGCATCGGCAACGGAGTCCAAGGCTGTGCAGCCCCTGGAATGGAGACAGACGGTAGCAGGCGGCTGATCCGATCGGTATCGATATACGTCTGGCGAGGAAAGACCTTGTCTTGGCTCTCCAGTTTACCGACTGCGCGGCTGACCCGTTTACCCTGGGTGGTGGCCGCGTCGTCTTTGAGAGACTCTGCCGCCGCGTTGACAATGCTTATTGGTTTCGCGGCGCGGGGAACCAGAAGATCCATGACATTGGTTGCGGCGCGTTGGAGATCTGGAAGCTCGTCCACCATCAAGATGGGCTCGGGTTCATTGTCCTGAGAATCTAGAGGCAGGATTGTGGAGCCAGAAATATTGGTGTGACCCTCATGCATACCCGGCGACTCAGGCACCACAGAATAGCGGGTGTTCGAGCTGGGCGTTTTGCGAGAGCTGCCTGGGGTCTCTTCTGTTACCATACTCAGTCCTGGAGAGTGTCAGCTGCCACTGGTACAATCATGAGGCAGAAGTCCCAGGCGAAAGTGACAGGGAAGTGGATTGTATAAACAGCCAAAAGGAAAGACATCTTCCGGCGGAGTACAACAGTGGATGTATGGTATCGCGGAAGACAAATAAGAGAACCAGGAAAACTCACGACTGGCGGTGGATTTGCCCCGGACCTGCGCCTGCTGAGAGGCCGAGGAGACAGGTTCGTTCGCAACATGGCCGTGGGATTCCAGCTCACGGCTCTGACTGCGAGTCCTACGGCGTGAAGTGCTCAGCATCATGTGGGCGATTTGCACTGTTTGGCTTGCACTGTAAGGCGGTGTCGCGGTCTCGGGCTGGTCAGTCAGCGACAGCGCGTCACGCTGCGTTCGGGGAGTGCAGCAGCCTCTCCAGTGCCCCGAGGTATTCTCCCTGAAGAGAGAAATAAAATAATTAAAGAAGTATGAGACAGGAAGCACGTCTTCGCTGTTGTGATGGGCCAAGATGAGAAAGGGGATTGTTATGGTTGGGGAAGACACGGTACCCTAGGACGTCGGGCTGGAACAACAATGTTACGCTACGCTAGTCTTTATTCAGCAACAATCGTCATTAGGGTTTCAGGGTTTTTAGGGCTTATGTAATCCAGCATATAGGATTAGTCTGTGGCTTCCCATTGGCGCCTTTAGCACTCATGCCTGCGGTGATCACTCGCGGTTATCACTTGTACCTGCGGTTATCACTCGCTCATCTACACTGCCTCGCCGATCTATACAGTCAAGGAGTACAACATGATATCCCTGGGCTATTTGAACCATTTGGGAGGTGGAAATGCTAATTGCTAGCAAAATACTTAGCGCAGTACCTGGGACAGACTTCAGACTTTCGCAATTGAGAGCGAGCGAAGAGAATATCCGGTGCTTCCATACTACGTTCGAAATGGGAGGTACACATGCTCTGGCTGTGGAAAGCCAGACGCACAGGATTATATCATTAAGAAATGGCGCTCAACTTTTACTCGCAGAGCAGCCGCCAGATACTACAAAGAACAAAGATGCCATGAACACATTCCGACCGCCAAGATGAACCATGCTTCTAATAAAGGCCCTCTAACAGGTAGATGATGCCGAAAATGAGGAACGCCGCCGCACCGCCGAGAGTCACTGTCATCCGGTTAGCTTGCAATAACATATTATGAAGGCGAGAAGAAACATACCAACACGCATACTGACACGCCCCGCGATGGCGCGCCCCCCGATCACAGCGGCGGCAGTACAGATGCCATGGCCGGTGATCGCGCCGATGGTAACCCACCAGTAATCCTGGCCGGCGGCCATGGCGATGGTTGCGATTTGGCTGCGGTCACCCCATTCGCCGAGGAAAGTCATGACGAAAGTCTGCACCCAGGCCGGACTGAGGAGAAGGGACAAGAGGTTATTCACTCCGACGACGAGGTCATTCCAGCGGCGGCCGGGGTGGGGAGAAGAGCCACGAGACGAAGACGACGATACACTCTCCGGAGGGGAAGGGAGTCGGTTCGTGGATCCACGCGACTTGGGGGCACGGCCCGCTTCGAGGTTATGGGGTGTGATAGAGGAGCGGCGGCGGCCCATCCGCATCTGCTCATGTTCCTTCTCCTCCAGTTCCTGCTCGACCTCCCGCATCTCTTCTCCCACGCCCTCATCGGGGGACATCTCGCGTCCTTCCTTGAGCATTTTCACGCCGAAAACGAGGAACAGCACGGCCGCCATGAGTTTAGTGAATGACTTCGGAATCAGCGTGGGAACGGCGTGGCCCAGGACAGCCGAGAGAACGGTCATGGCGATCAAGGCGCTGAAGGCAGCCGAAAATACGACCAAACGCGGGTGCCTCATCGCCATCAGAGCAGCGACCAGGAAAGTCTTGTCGCCAATTTCGGAAACGATGATCATGGTGAAGGAAAAGACGAGAGAGTGAAGTGCACTACCGGCATCGGGGATAGTATCGTCCTTGTCATAGGTAGTGGAGGACGAAGATGAGGAGGATCCGGTGCCATATTTGCTATGGTCGACGGCCAGAGGATCATCTTTGACCGGGGAAGGCGACTTGGGGTGTGGGATATCATACGGTTTCTCGGGCAGGTCGGCCGGTTTCTAGAACGATATTAGTGTTATCAACGAACAGAGGAGCAATCCACCATACCTCTAGGACTCCAAGATTCCCAGTCCCCGTGCCATCCGTGCTCTCGCTGTCTGAAGGCATCTTCTTCTGCTCACTGTGTGGCAGCGGAGGCGCTTCCTTCGGTCCGCCCGGTACCTTTTCAGACGACAATTGGTTTTCCTTCTCCTTCTCCGACACGCCGCCTGCCATGCCGCGCGTGCCTTCCTTTGGTCCACTTCGATGGGGGTCGTCCATCACGCCGCCGTTGGAATGCGGGATCACCTTTCCATCTTCCGTGAGGTGGTCGGACGAGGGGAGCTTGGAGTCATATTTCGACGGACTCAGATCAGAACCGTCGCTAGTGCCCTTGGAGCTTTTCCGGTCTCGCTCCGCGCTCGTTTCCACCCACGGACCGGCATGAGGCCTGCCGTCCTTGCCGTCCACCGGGACGTCCAGCGTCCCCTTGGAAGCAGATCCTGCTACACCTGACGCATCAGAATCGACGAGGCGGGCGTTCGAGTTGTAGTCATCACGGGAGCCGCGGGAATTTTGTGTGAGGTCGTTTTTCGATGTGGCGTCGGAGAGTGCGGTGGTGATGGCGGGAAGGAGGAAGAGAATTAACGGGGATGAGAAGTGAAATTTCATGCTGAGAAGCGGCGGCGATGACCGCAGAACGAGTGACAGACAGCGATGTTTGGCGTTGGGCGCAGGCGAAAAGGAGAGTTGGACAAGGTTGTGCCAGGGAAAGGAAGGCGCCACGCGCAGATCTGCGGTCGGATGAAATCGAGTGCGAGGAATAGAGCGTAAATAATGCAGAAGATACTGAAACAAGAAAGGAGGGAGCAGAAACTATTAGAATATGATAAATTGGGCACTGCGTGGCTCAAAGAGTTTCGACCGATGCTGGTCGGTTTCTGCATAGGGGCAGCCACGTGACCCACACCGGAAACAGTCAGCATTGTTTGTTTGTTCTTGGATGGAGCCCGATGCAGACCGTATTTACTGGCTGGTAGGGACTAGAATGGCCTTGTACAGTAAATGCCACTAATAGTCGTGCCCGCTATATACATATCTTGGCTAAGGGTTTCTAGGTGGATTCCTGGGTGGGCGTATATATATAGGCAACCAAATATAATAAATAGTGTGCCAGGTCAGCAATCAAAGATAAATAGCCCGGGGGATCATGTTCCACCCCGGAGTAAATTAAAATCCCTGCTTATTAGTTATTATTTCCCCAGCATCTTACAACAACAGAAACAATGGATCCCCCAACTGATCCACTGCTTTTTCTGCCCGCCCATGAACTACAGAGTAAATTAACTCGCAAGGAGATCACCAGTGTCCAGCTGGTGGAAGCCTTCCTAGCACAGATCGAGCACCATAATCATCATGGACGAGGGCTCAACGCCATCATCTCGACTTGTCCCAAAAATATCGTGTTGTCCCGAGCCAAGTGGCTTGATGAACAGCGACAACTCGGCCATACACAGAGCAAGCTGCATGGGATTCCCATCGTCATCAAGGTAAAGAATCTAGCACATGGATACATCCACGCCATGTCTTACTCTTCTTGTTCTCCACTTAGGATGCAATCGTTACCGACGAATCGCTAGGCATGCCCACAACGGTAGGGTCGCACGTGTTTGCTAGCCTCAGGGCAAGGAGGAATGCATCGGTGATTACCAAGGTATAACTTTTTTATCAATGGTACTTCAAAGGCTGGTTGAATCTGGCTAAGCAATATAAGCTGATTGATGCGGGAATGATTATCCTTGCGAAAGCAAACATGACGGTATGTCTCAACGAATCATCTCAAGTTGAAACTTGTTTCCTTACTAGAATTCAGGAGTTTTGCGGGTTGAAGTGAGCCAAAGCAGCGACTGTGCACGTTTCCTCACTGACACGTCAGGTCTGACACTACGGCCATTGGCTGGAGTGCCCAAGGTGGCCAGACCCTATCTCCCTATCGCCAGGAAGGCCTAGACGAGGATGAACAGCCAGTGAGCTTTTTCAGGTTAGAACTGAGATGTATATATGCCGCTGACCAACGATGCAGACCGCGGGCGGCTCCTCCTCCGGCTCCGCAGTGAGCATAGCTGCCGGGTTCGCTCCTCTTGCAATCGGCACCGAGACAGCGGGCTCGACCGTCTATCCCGCAAGCGTGAATGGGTTGTACGGCATGAAGATAACTCCGACTTCCACCGCCCTCGATGGCGTGTTCAAGCTTAGTTCAAGCTTCGATGGTATTGGAATTATGGCGCGAGATCCGTTCGATTTGGCTGCACTTACCGAAGTGCTTCTTACCACTCAAGCCTTTGACAGAATTCCTAGGGAAGGTTACAGCTCCATTATGGGAGCCGCCTGGACAGGTCTCCGTCTTGGTGTGGTGGATATCAAATGGGGGATAGATGACGGCATCTCGAAGGGGAAATGGGATTCTCCCGAGGTGGTGAGTTGAGTCTCCGTCTTGTCATTCTCTCACGTTGCCCAAACCATTAATGGAACTAGAAAGCGACATACGAGGCTGCTACAGAGGAATTCATTGCCCATGGAGCTCGATTGGTCTACCCGCTCCAGATACCGGAGGCCAAGATTTTAAAGCATGATGGTCATACCCTCCGCGATGTGGCGAGTAAGTACAATATGCTACGCGAAAGTCTCCAATTTGAAGCTGACCCTAGCTCCAACAAAAAATGGCAGACTGCGAATTTCCGGGTCAAGTTCAAGATTTTCTGTTGAACTTTTGGCCCGACCCTCAGCTCCAGACTCTTGAAGATATAATAGAGTGGAACAAAAAGCATGACGAGGCAGAGCGCTTGAAACGTAAGTCTTTCTCTATTATTGATCGGATTCGACGGTCTTCTTAACAGATCTTGATATAGCGGGGACCACGCAAACAGAAATCATCGCTTCCTTGAAAAGCACGATGTCTCCCGAATCTCACGCATCCGTGCTCTCCCAGCTCCGGCGGTTGGCCTCTGTGGATGGAATGGAGAAATGGATGGCTGAGCAAAGTATCGATATTGTGCTTGGTCCCTCGGATTCGACCCTTGTTTCGTTCGCTGCATGTGCCGGGTGGCCTATTGCAACCATGCCCCTGGGCAAGCTGGGGAAGAACGGACAGCCGTATGGCTTTTTCGCTTTGGCGAGGAGCGGGCGTGAGGATACTTTGTTTCGCCTGATGAGCGCATTTTACAGAATCTTCTCGGAAACAGACAGATGATTTGAAGTAGATATTATGAATTAGGTTAACCAACTTCCCATGAGCCTTCTATAAACCCCTGCTGGTGGGTTCTGAATCCATTGTACCTCGCACCCACGCAATCGTCCCTTGTATCCCCTGTGCAGCTATATAGGATCATGGATCAAACAGAGTCAGTACCATAAGAAATGCTCGCGCGAAGGAATGAACTGCCGAGAAATGCATTTTCGATAGCGACCAGGGGTGACCCTTGCTACCATGTGCATGATCGACAGGACACCTTCGGACGAGCATTTCTTACAGTACTATCTTTGTCTGATCCACGAACCCGTCCTGCTCGACAAGGAACGTGCTTGTGAGCGAGGTACAATGAGAATGACTCAAGGCGGAAGAAGAATCCGTATCTCAGTGCACAATATATCCGTGTGCGGTGTCACATGACTCTCGCTTGTTGGGTGCCTCAGGGTTTAGACGCTATATTTTTCTATATGCCCGCCCCCTAATTAGTCGAGCGCTCACCGCTCTCCGTTGGTGAGGGCCCTCCCCAGCGAAATGCAAACCCAGCGAAATGCAAAATTTACCCTACCTACCAACTTTTGAAGCTATTTACAAATACCCCCCACGTCTATCGATGGTATAAAGTGGCTGGCCGTCGTCTCCATTGACCCATTCAAGCTCTGCCTGTCTTCTCTGATCTCCTGCTCCCTAATTTGGTCTTGGCGAGCCCATTCATCCCGCTTCTGTTTAGCCTCACGTTCATACTTCCGCCTTTGTTTCTCCGCCTCCACGATATCCCTATTTCGGATGAGGGTATTTGAGTCCCTGACTCGTAGAGCACCCCCTTTAGATGACTGGCGCTTAGACTTTTTGGCATTGGCCTACTCCTGGTTGTCCTGGAGGCGAATGAGGTCCCCCGATACCTGGGCCGCTAATTGCGCCTGTAGAATGCTCCCTTCCTAAATCCACTCAACCTGAGCTTCAATTTATTTATTCCAGGGCTCTTATTGTCTGGGAAGCTCCCTCTTGCCCTTCTAATATTTTTTTGTAATTTTTAGATAGTTTTTAGTGGCGAATTGATGGTTGAACTTGATGCTAGTAGAGTTTCTTGTCGATTATCTTCCCCCTCGACTAGGCGGCTGTGGCTGAAATCCCACTCTGGAAGCTCGTATTCCTTGCCTCTATCATAGACGACTAGATCTGGCCCATCGTCTAGTCGAAGCGCTTTGTAAATAACCTTAGGATCGAAGGGCCAAAGCCCACAGTCCTTGAATGAATGCCGGACGGTTGATGGTGTAAGAGTCTGTAATCGAACCCTATAGATTTGATGACGAAAATCCCTCTTCTCTGTAACTGACCTACCCTATCGTTTAGTCCTATTATTCTCCCTCCGATAATAGTGCTTGTACGCCTGGAATGGCTTAGAATCGAGAGGTTGAAGACGGTAGGTAAGTTTGGAAGGGAAATAGTATAGAAGTATCCGATTCTATTGGCAAAAATTGATGAAATTGAGCTTCTTATGGGGCTCATGGCTATCAACAAATAATAATCGATAGTCTGTACGATGTAGAAGTTGTGGTTTTGTATGCTCATCAAAATATTGCAACCATTGATATGCGCGGACCTAAATAACCAAATAAATAATTAATTAATTAATCAATCAATTAATCAAATAAATGAGCACTTACCTCATTATTCCAGCCCGTTGGCGACGTCGCAATGACATAGTCATCAGGTAAATCTAGCTGATCTCGATACCAATTCTCAAGGTGAACTATGCCAGCAAATAATATCATCGGAGGCATTATCTAACCATCTGCTGCGATACATTCGATTCCTATCACTAACTCCCCTATATCACTAGTTGGGACATGCTTTGTTCTATCTAGAAACTCAGTCACAACTTTCTGGGATTTTCCTTGGCCGAGTTGGAAGCTAGTTTCGTCAACGTTGTAGATATTGCGTGGTCCGACTTTAATAGCTTCTATCTCACCCTCTAATTTATGAAACAACTCAATTATTGCTAGTAATCTCTCTGCGTCTAGCCTCTTTGCTTCCACTGTTTTTTGGGTTTGAAATCTGAAGGTTTCGGGGAGGGGTTTCATAAAACGATGCACCCAATTTTTGCCAACGCGTCGGGACGGGTCGGCACCACTTCGTAACAAAATGTCATTTGCAGCGCCCTCAATCTCATAGGCAAGAGGTGAGAGATTTGCACGATCAAGAACACCATCCAGGCAATTAACGCATCCTCTTGGCCCTTATTAAGGGCTTTATTTGATGGAGTTCTAGCGAATGAGATTGGCGACCCTGAACGCGCCCCCGCAACTAGTGGTAGGGAATGTCAAATTCCCGGGCCAACTCTGCGATTTTTGGCTTGTCGCGATCGTGGTACGCGCCTAGGGCATTAGCAATCCTCTTCTCGATTTCAGGTCTAATTTTGGTCATCGTGGGGGTTGGTAATAGGAGTTCAAAGTTGGTGGGTAGGGTAAATTTTGCATTTCGCTGGGTTTGCATTTCGCTGGGGAGGGCCTTCACTGCTCTCCGTTGGTGAGGGCCCGACTAATTAGGGGGCGGGTATAGCCAACTAAGATAAACTGCAGCTCTCCCGAGCACTCGTAGCAAGACATCCTTTTAGACAAGGCCGAGAAATATATCAGAGAGGCAGAAAAGCCTCGACGGTGTTTCCAATGTTATGGCAATACCCTGCTTCCAACTCATCGTCGAATGCAGAAATATAGCGAATATAAGTCAACGTTGAGACACTTTCGAGAGAAGCACTTGATGGAACGAAGATGTCATATGTGTGGCGAAGATCTACTACATGAGATGAATCTTCGCAGACATGCAGGAGATGTTCATCGTCTTGGCACTGAACGAAATTACTACGCCAAAGAAGAAGCGGGATCGGATATTAATACTGATTGACTTTGGGCTTGCAGCTTTCCTATCAACTTGAACATGTACCACCAAATTAAGGCACCAGAAAACCAATAAAAACTATCTTCGAGGTCGGAAGGGTGCAAGGAATTGACGCATATTTCTATCTAATTCTTTTTAATCGCGAAGCATCTGTCGTCTTTGTATCCTCTTTCCTATCCCGATAATCTAATAGTTATCTGGCGGTGCTATCCATAACTTCCCAACAGCCAAGCTAGTGAAAACCATGGTGTGCTGACATGGCCTTTTTGGCCTATGTGTACGAACATGCGACCTATGATGGTCCATTTCGTCGGGAGGATACAATAGCCTGACGTCTGCCTGCCCTCAGTTGTATTTCGGACAACTACTTCTTTCTTACCAGACCAAAGGTACCTGTGCAGATCAACAATTTAAATACAAAACAGATTATTAAGGATGGGAGCCAGAGCTGGGTTACATCAAATGGACGAATCAGATCATGTAGATCATGACTCGTAAAATTCCATTGACATTATCTTTGACATGACACTCAACATGTCTAGTTACACGCTCTCGTCCAGAACTTCGTTGGGTGTCTGCCTAGTCCCTCCGTACCTGCGGGTGCAACTTCCTGGGGGTCGGTGTACTTTTCGAGCAAGTCCGACTGTGGTTTCAGCATAGGCCGGTTCCCAATGGTCGTATCAAGAGAATCAGTTATTATAGCGACCGGTGTCGGACCATTTTCGATGCGATACCAAAATCCCTCGTATCCTCCTATATTGAAAAAAATGGTTTTTTCGTCTATAGCGTCGAAAGCATCAGGATCATTCGTGACTTGAACGCCGCCTGAGGAGCCAGATTTGGTCATGAAATCGATCTCGTTATCTCCATAGGTTGGATCTTGTAAGATGACTTCAGGTCCTACCAAAGTATTAGTATCCTTATTCTTCTTTGTTTCTTTGTGAGGAAGGTAATGGCCCGCCTACCACTCTTGAGGTCCTCCTGCATCGTAAGCACGGCTGCTAGTTGAATGTAAGATCGTCCCCTATTTCGTGTCTGGGATGCTTCAGAGAAAGGGTTAAGGCCGTCCAAGGATCCACAGCCTAGGCCGATAATCTTCGAGACCTCAACATCTTTGCTAAGCTCGTCAAGATATTGTTTCAAATTCTTGTATGCGTCGGTCTTCTTCCACTCGATCTTCGCGGCGTCAAGCTTTGTTTTCATAATTTCTTGCTGTTGCTTATTCTCATCCTTTGGCGGCCAGAAGTGAACCTCAGCCTTTGCTATAGGCTTATTTCCTTTCCCTAGAGGGTCATAGTTGTAGTACGCATGGATACTTTGAGAAAATATTAGATTAGTGTTCAAAATATAAAATATGTCAAGACAGAAAGGAATAGTTAAGCATACGCGGAGAGAAATGGTATGTTCCTGCTTTTCATCTTGGTTGTGTGTTTTTCGATCCATGTCTGGTCCGATTCACTGATTGCTGCTATGTCCTTCTTAGCACCGGTATGTGTGTTGACCAAGATAATTTCATCCCCATTGGTTACCTCGAGCCCTCGTTTATCATGGATATGGCCATCCGTTGATACTGGGGACCCGATAGCGCCAAATAGAAAGCACCCGAGAAGGATGATTAACAGATTGACAGACTTCATTATGATAAAGTATCAAGCAGAAGGACCAAAAGGAGCAAAACAAGAATGAGCTCGGCTTGAACCCTCGAGCAGATATTAAGCAAACAGAAAGGGCACTAAAAGGTTGCAACGACCTTTATAAAGCCGTGGTGGTGATTCTATAAAAAATCAATTTTACCACTACTTTTGCTTCCTAGGAGTGCCCCTTAGACCTAAGCCAATAGTAATTAGTCTTTAGATTCACGCAAATCTTGGTTGTACTATTATCAACGAGCTTGTGTTTACTAACACATTTGCCCCGTTTTAGCCCCCCGTTTTAGCCCCCCCGTTTTAAGGGCCGTTTTAGGGCCCGTTTTAGCGTATTAAGAAAAGGAATCGTGTTGCTTTCGTAATACTAGTTGGCAGTTTGGAGCCTACGTGCCTGCACAAAAGTCCTCCCGCCAAGATTTACGGAACTGTGGGATAATCATATGGACTGAAGTCATCAAGTTAGTAAAAATTTCAAGTCTATAGAAGATGGTGAATATGTATGGCGAGATACTCTTGTTTATGGGATTGTTTTCTCTCAACCGTGCAATACGCCTAGGATTCAGCGATTCCTTCCATTCTCCACCATCAGCCGTTAGCCTAGTCAATTATCAAGCACACAATGTAAGATTCTTAGGTTCACCCTATACATAAGGCTGTAAGAACCGGGCCCTAACCATGAGTTCGCTCACATGACTACATTCTGTATTGAACCTTCAGCGGTAACTCTTGTTGTCGAGACATTATATACTACCCAAATATTGAGCTTTCAAGCTGATTTATTATCCTGTCCATTTATCTATCTGTTGCCTCCTGACAAGGGCAGCCTAGATAGCTTCCAATTCAGACACTTCGTGACCCCCTTTCTGGAGTCATTTGTTCAGCTCGATACTAGTGAATACCAGATTTCTCGCTTCCGATAGTTATGAGTAGACCTCTGCACAGCCCATACCCATAATGAGCGGGTAATACGCTGTGCTGACATGCCTATGGGGGCCCATGGGCATGGGGCCCGCCCCGCTGGACCTTAGGCTCTTGGCGAGCTAGTTATGGCTCGAAAACAATGCCGATTTTTGTGCTAGTTACGGTACTGTATGATGACATTACAAAACCGGCACAACCTTGATGCCCCGCGATTTGGATGTGAACCATCTTTCATTTATCACTCAGCACGCGTTAGTCTCTTGAGATACAAATGGCACTCAACCCACCGCCGTCCACACTCCGGCTCATTTGTGATATGGTCGAGAGAAGTCCGTATCTAACAACAGCTCAGCCCGCTGATGCGGCCGAACGCAGCAAGGACTTTCGATTTAACGTAGATCGTGGCCTCGATATCACCTTATCGGGCTGGGAGCAGGATAGCACCGTCCCTGCGCGCACCCGAAGCTATCTTTCTGAGCAGACTAGGACGATTGAGAAGTTCGTTGATGTTTTCACGTTGAGTGCCTCGTCAATAGGTAGGTTTGGGGACGAACCGAGCTACTCTGACAGTACCAAAATCAACAAGCAAGCTAAGCTTAATCTCATGTCGCAGACTACCCCATAGCAATTGGAGATGATCATAGTGATATAGCACCAGACCACAAATCCCGGGCCTACTACGTCATTGAGCCTTTTGTGTGGTATTGTGTTAGTCAACTTCTATAACATTTCAATCTCATACTTATGCGCTAACGTGGCCCTAGTGCAGATGTGACTATGGTCCAATGAGCGGAGAATTATGTAGTTCATGCCAGCAATGTGGTGTCATGAGGTGTTCCTTGTGTGAGGAGGTAAAGGTCTAACGAGATCTCAGAGAAGCACAGCAAGCGGCAAAGCCTCAGATTAAATGTACAGATATGTCGGGCCAGGCCAAAGTTCGAGATAATTCAGTCACTCATTGCCAAATCCATCTCAGATACCTGTCACCTCTCATAGACCCGACAATCTCTACAGTTACGGAATAAGGCGTCTTAAGCAGTTGATATGTACAGGAACTTCTGAATCGGCCCTCATAACCACGTCCCCCGGTCAACTCTTTAGCCTTCAGCTTAGTGCGGATTCAAGCCTTCTCAGAATTTCTTTTCCTACCTCCCCTCTTCTAATATGCCTGTTTCGCTGGTCACCTAAAGGTTGAAGATGAATCTTCAACGTCAGTCCGGCCGACAAGTTGCTTGACTGTCAATCAACTTCGAGCACGGGGTGAATTTTGGAAAATACTCTATTCTCTGGTTCAAAGACTCGACGGTTCAAGGACGGTAGTCAGATGCTTGTCTTGGACCTGGAGCCACGTTAACAGTTACCTAAAGCCGTCACAATTGTGACGAGCATCCTGCAAGTACGTGGAGCTCTTGAGCGCTGACCTACTGGATGCTGTACAGTAAAAAACAACATTAAATATGGTGTTCTGCGGTGACCCACTCGGCGGGGTGGCCCACGGTTGTGAATTAGGTTGAGGAGCGCGAGCCTGGACAGCAAGGCGAAGGAGAAGTTACGTAGGCGGTTAGGGCTAGGGCCTAGGTGCATTAGGTGGGTGCAATTTTGGACTCGCCCAAGACCCCCTTTCGCATAGGCAGATTGAAAGAAAACTCTCGCATGACATTTACATAGCCACTTAGGCCACGTGATCTAGCTATGTCGTCAAATTTGTTGACACCGGGACCAGTTTGGACTTATGTCCCGCAGATCTAGCCCTTGTGGGACTCTCAGCCTGCCAACCGTCGACCAGATGGCCTTACTAACCTGGATGGTGACAAGTCAGGTCGATAGTTACCCATAATGCTTATTTGAGACAGATTCCATATCATCAAGGATTGACGGTCTCGTGACCGCCATTGTCTTATATTAGATGAGGGAAGGAAGGTCCAATACCGTGTCGCCCCAACGACGTCGTCCGGCGACGGAGATGTGCGTGCGATAACCAAGCTGGACCATGGGCCGTAGGTCATTGGCCAACTAGGACCATCAGCCAAGGCTTTTGGAGTTGTGACCGCAACCTAAGGACTGGTGGCCTGTGGCGAGAGAGCTGTAGATTCAGGGCCGGTGATTCAGAGCCCGTACTTCTGGCCGTGGACTTACGTCTAAGGTGGACGTACGTCCATGGATCTAGGTCTAGCTCTGATATTAGTCCATAAACTGGCGTCTACAGCGGCTTAGTGTCCGTAGTGGTCTCAGATCTTCTGACTACGCTCCGTACGCAACTTAAATCTTGGATCGGAGAGTATGTACTCTCCTGTTACGCATCATCTGTAGGCTGTGAGGAGCTAGTTCTTAAATAAAGAGTGCGTTTCGACTAGAACTTTAGTTTGGAAGAGGGAGGAACGAAGGGGAGAGGGGATCTACTAAATACGACCGGGGGTAGCCAGAGCTGTCGACAAACGCCGTAAGCTTAGTGTATCGTCTCGTCGAACTGGACCATCACATAGGTCGCATGATAGTACACATAGGCGAAAAAGTCCATATCAACTGTCGGGCTGATATGCCTAGGGCTGAACTATATAAATCTGTGCTGTACCGTCAAACTCTTCGTTTTTCACGATATGTCTCCTGCCATTCATCCAGCTGTAGAGGAGTGTAGAATATCGCAGATCAACATAGAGGAGGAGTAGGGGTGCCCCTAACAAAAACGGGGGTGTCCCTATCAATTCCCGAGCAGACTATTGTGATTATGTCATGATCCGTGAGCAGATCGAGGCGCTCAGCGACGTGCTAAGTTCTACTCAGGGAGCAAGCAGTGAGCACTAAAACGGAAAGAGCAAGCCAAGACGTGCCAGGCATTATCCTGTATGTATGCAGAATTCATCGAGGAGGGGCAATGCCATGTCATGCAAACCCGACGCTCTACGGGGAGATGCTAACATCTGGGAGGGGATTAGGTAGGTGGCTTAATCCTTGGTGTCATAGATGGAGTAAAAGGCGCTATACTCATCTGCACCTGTGTAACTCTTGCTTCAGCACCCATTACCATCGTGGAATAGTCAGTTGAGTCTAGTTGTATAAGTCTTCAATGTGGGTTTAGGTTGCCAGTGAATTCCGATGAGATGGCACAGAAAGCTAATTATAACACTCGTGGACAGAATACCTTCAATTGACGCGTATTCTTCCCCGCGACTTGCTGAGTGGACTGGCGGGGGTGACGTTGCAGGAATGGCAGAGCCGAAGATAAAACCTACGGTCAGGTCATTCCGACCGCAGCCCAAGCCCTCCGGTAGAGTGGAGGAGTAGATTAGCACCAACGGTATGCCCAACGTGGGCATTCCCGAAAATAGGCGTATAGATCGGCGGGGTTAGATCAGCTGGGATGACGCCAGCGGCACCACGATAGTCCGAGGGGTGACAATGAGATTCTTTCCCCCGCGATCGCAGACTGCAGAATGACGACAGGCGAGTCATCTGAACCAGAGCGCAATAATCACCATGGCTCGGCGTGTCTCAGGTCGCAGGAATGCTGCATTCCGCCGAGGAAGTTTCGCTTTACGGCGTGTGGGCCGTGCGAGAGCTAACGGGCGCATGCATGACGGGGCTTATCTCCAATGATGATCGCCTGGCTATGACTGGACAGGAGGAATGCACCCCGACAACGCATATCGCGGGAGTCCATAATAGTCATCGGAGCGTGTATACCGAGTAGCGAGTAGGGTAGGAAGTATCGAAGGAAGGAGGAACCCGATGAGAGGGTGCCTCACCGCCTTTGACCACATGGGCTGACTGTCGATCATGGAGGTTGCTTGCGGACAAGCGCATGACTTTCATGAGTGATGCCTTTCGCTCTCTGCTGAAACATATCTCTACACCTCTCGGCTCTTCCGTTCCATCAAGCTATGCCGCACAGTGCTGCCGTCCAGTTGCCCCTGTTGGGTTTCTATCGCAAGCGGTGATTGCAGCTCCATCCTGCCTCTTTCACCCCGGGGAACTCGATCTGTCGCTCTTGTTATTATTATCATTGACTCGCTCTGTTCACCGGTTTAGACTGGGTGGCCGAATCTTCCTTAATCATCTATCTTATAGACGTGCGTGTTCCGTCCCTTGACCCACCCCCGCTTTCTCCCAAGGTGTTGCGCTCGAAGCTACGCGGTGACTGACAAGAACCTTCACAGCGTGCTCGCTTCACAACTCCTGAGCCATATCAACCATTTCCACCGCTCAGTCCGGATGGCACCGCATATGGAGACGTCATTGCCTGACACCCTGCGGAGGCCGGCTGCGACGGTACGGCGCTGGAGGAGAATGTTTGGAGGAAACCCCAAGGCCGAGTCCGAGTCCAGCGAGGAGAACACTTATCGTGCCAAGTCGACCCTTGGAATTCTCAGTGACAAACTGACGGATGAAGTACCGGGTAAGTGACTGACCCAGGAGGATCATGCTCACCACACAAGACTGCAGCTAACCGTTGGTTCATTCATCTAGGAACGGTCCTGCTTCTGTCAGCGAATCGCAATGAACCGTTGGGCATGAGACATCAACCCGCGCGGACGTCCGCCTCCTCTATTCCATCACTCAATCCGCCTTCCCGCGGTTCTTCCCGCGGCCCCCAACAACCGCAGAAAAGAACGCCTAATGGAGAGATTATCCTTGATCCCCAGCCGGATGACTCGGTGAACGACCCGTTGAACTGGCCCATGTGGCGTCGAGACGCTGCACTGCTCTCCCTGGGCTTCTATTGTCTTCTGGGAGGAGGCATGACCCCCGTGCTGGCGGCTGGGTTCAACGAAGTTGCAGCGGCGTACAATGTGAGCACTCAAAAGGTGGCATTCACCACGGGTCTTTACATGTTGGGGTTGGGTCTCGGCTCAGTGATCATGTCTCCCACTGCCATTCTCTTCGGAAAGCGGCCCATCTATCTCCTGGGAGCGACGCTCTTTATCATCTCGGCCCTCTGGTGCGCCGCATCCCCCAACTACCCCAGTTTGGTGATTGCACGCATCTTCCAGGGAATTGCTGTCAGCCCCATCGAGTGTCTTCCTTCGGCCACCATCGCCGAGATCTACTTTTTGCATGAACGGGCGTATCGAGTTGGTATATACACGCTTTTGCTGCTGGGCGGCAAGAATCTCATCCCGTTGGTCAGTGCCGCCATTATCGAGAGCCTCGGGTGGCGCTGGGTGTTCTGGATTGTAGCCATTGTGGTTGGGGGATGTTTGGTCTTGCTGTTTTTCTTCGTCCCGGAGACCTTCTGGGACCGCACGCCTCGGCCACGGCGTCCTCACAAACGCCCGCACCCGCTCCGCAGGGTGTCCGACATTATGTCTCATGGACTCTATCGCGGGCGTAGTCCCCGTGCACAGATTCCCGATCAAACCGACAAGCCTGAGGAGGATTCGGCCGCCATTACATCCCCAAAGAAGTCCAAGCATGCTCATTTTGGCATCCCCGATGAGCGCGAAGGTGAGAGACAAGGCGTTGAGAATGAGAAAGACAATGGTGTTCCCGGAGGTGAAACCAGTGATCAGATTATCACCCAGCCCACCACTCCAGCTATGAGCCCAGTCATGACCCCAGCTATGACCCCATCTGTCATGACCCCGGCTACAGAGAAGCCGGATACTTTTCTACAAGCCCCTTCCCCAACTGCTGCACCCTCAGCGCATCCGGGCGACTTGGAAGCTTTCCGTCGTACCGCAGTTTCACCTGCGCGCAGCGACTCGATGGAGCCTGGAATTCCGATGACTCCCAGTCTACAGTACACAAACCGGCTGCGCGAACGTGCCAAGATACCTTACACCCAGACATTGAAGGTGTGGAATGGGAGAATCGCGCGCGACAAGTGGCTCAAAGTCGCCGGGCGGCCGTTTGTATTGTTCGCCTACCCAGCGGTCCTATGGTCGGCCGTGGTGTACGCGCTGTCCGTCGGCTGGTTGATCGTTATCTCGGAATCCATCGCGACGATCTTTGAGTCTGAGAGCACCTACAACTTCACCCCTCTCCAGACGGGTCTGATCTACATCTCTCCCTTTGTGGGCGGTCTCCTCGGCACCGCGGTCGCGGGCAAGGTTTCGGATATTGTGGTACGATACATGACCAAGCGCAATGGCGGCATCTACGAGCCCGAGTTCCGTCTCGTGATGGCGCTGCCCATCGGCCTGTCGACCACCATCGGCCTGATGGCTTTTGGGTGGAGTTCCCAAGTTCACGACGCGTGGATCGTGCCCACGATCTTCTTCGGGCTGATTTCGTTCGGCTGCTGTCTCGGTAGCACGACCGCCATCACCTTTTGCGTTGATAGCTACCGCCAGTATGCCGGCGAGGCCCTGGTGACACTGAATTTCAGCAAGAGTGAGTTTTCCCCTTTTTTCGCATTTCTAATGATAACCTCCGCTGACCCATTGGCCGTCCTCAAGACGTGCTCCACGGCCTGGTCTTTTCTCTCTTTATTGTAGACTGGTTGGACGCGGATGGCTCGCGCACCGTCTTTTTGGCCATCGGGGGCATCCAGCTGTTCTGCCTGCTCATGTCGATCCCCATGTATATCTATGGCAAGCGGGCTCGCATGTGGACTGTCCGGAAGCGGCTGATGGAGCGGCTTTAACTCGAATCATGCTATGCATACCGTATGTACATAGTTCTCGAGTGGACGAACGAGATAGTGGGAAGAATAGAAGAATCTATGACCGAATCACGTGGGCAGAGCGCCCTTGCCCTAGCCGCGTCATCGGGTGCGGCATTTGGTAACAAGCACGAATGTGTAAGTTACTTGGCCTTGCCACCGCCACCGCACCCACTAGCACTGGCGATCTCCTGAAGCTCTGGCAATAATGTTTCATTCCCACCAGCCCTAAGCCATGACGGTGTTCGCATGGCTCCACATTCATGCTGATTGGCCATACCCATAATACCAAATGCTCCAAAGGCGTCCACAACCAGCGCTCTCCATGACTCTCCCAGCCAATGCTGATGTTGTGGCTTCCGCCATCCAGGTACCGCCAGGTACCGCCACACACGACATCCTCCACATCAACCACCCCACGACCTAGGGATCTTAACACTGGTCGGGCACGCCCGATCGGCCAATTGGGCCAGTCGATCGTCACGAATCACTACTTCTGGAGTCTTTCTCCATGACCCGCCTGTGTGCCTCTCTCCCCACCTGACAGACGATCCTTTCGTTCTTTGTGGGATTCTTCTCTTCTGACAACCAACTGAGCTCCTGCTCTGCACGTCTCTTGGGCTCAACCTGTGTTCCATCGCGTCTTGTCCAGAGAACTACCGTGCGGTTCTGGAGGGTTCTGGAGCCCAGATTCTACCTGGTTCCCTTGGATCGCTGCCCACTTTGATTAGTGTCAACTTGCGCATTTAAGCCTGCTCGTCGCTCCTTTCTTTTGTGTGTGGTCGCGAATTTCAACCTCCTCTCCTCCCACAAGGTGCTCACGCTCCTTACCCTTCTCGACCTTTGATATTTGGAGTCCTAAGGATGCCGGACTGCATCCCAACTACTCCGGGTCTAGCGGCAAATCATGAAGACTACTTCTAAATCGCACACGGACGACCGCAGAGTGAGAGAGCTGTATCGCTATTACCAGCCTCTGGTGCAGGAATCCCTCGCCCCGTCTTGGCTGCCGCCAGGTGCCGATGATTTACCCTCGTCCGACCCCGCCAGCACAGTCCATACTCCGAGTGCGGATGGCTCGGCCAACTCCAACAGCAGCGCGACTTCGCAGCCGTCCACCGCGACCGGCCCGGAGTCGTTGATCCTTGGCACCTCGAACAATACCCTGACATCCTTCGCACAGCTGGCCGCGGTTCGTCTGAATGTGGACCGGGCTCTCATTTGCGTGTTAGACCGCGACGCGCAATTCGTACTGGCCGAAGCTACACCCTCTCTCAACCTCAACGAAACGACTATCCATGACCACGACGATGAATTCTGGCTGGGATCCACGGGTAGCCGCAAGGCTTGGCCCATATTTCAGGATACTGTCGCGTTACCTACCTCCGATCGCCAGAATGCGCAGCATCACTTCCTGGAGGTCAAAGACATGAGCCAGCATGCGCGCTTCAAGCACCTTCCGTTTGTCGAGAACCAACCGCACTATAAATTCTACGCCGGAGTCCCGTTGACAACCGAGAAGAACATCAATTTGGGATGTTTTTGCGTTCTAAGCTCGGAGCCTCGCGAGGGATTGACGGCATTGGAACAGGATACTTTGGGGTCTTTGGCGTCACTCGTGATGGATTATTTCAAAGTCAGCCGCCAAGCCTCCGAGGGTCGACGTGCCGCTCGTCTGTCCCGTGGTCTTGCCTTTTTCGTCGAGGGCAGTTCGAGTTTCGTAGATAACTTCGATCCGTCCTGCACCGGCAGTTCCGTCCATCCTTCAACCACTCACCCATCAAGCTCTCTCCGATCGACGAACCAGCGCATCAGTTTCTCTGGTGGATCACGCGAGCACAGCCTCGGAAATGCACCTCAGATTCCATCTCATAGTCCGGGCAACGACCGGTCATCAAGTAACGACTCTCGATCTCTGAGCTCTGGAGCTTCTGTCTCGAAATTAGAGACTGGAGGCTCCTCCGATTATGTGACGGGCTCTCTCCCTGAGTGGTTACCCGGCACCAGCCGAAACCAGCTACCTCCAGATGACTCCCATGCCAATTCCTGGTGTTTCCGGCGGGCTGCGAACCTGCTTCGCGAGAGCCTTGATTTAAGTCGAGACGGCGGGGTCATCTTCCTGGAAGCGAACAGTTCCCCCATGCTGGAAAGCGATCACGGGAATGATTGCTCCAGTGACTCGGGCGGCCCTGCGCCCATCTTATCCATGTCGACTTACGACGATCCATTCTCTCCGCGTGCCGGTTCCACAGTCTCTTGCGCGGCCGCCAATCTTGATCGGTCATTTTTGCAGACGCTTCTTCGGCGCTACCCAAAGGGCAAACTGTGGTCTTTCCATCGGGACGGTCTGATCTCGACGTCCGACGACGACGACGACCAGCATGTGCTCCATAGAGGGTCACCCACTGGTAGCAATAACCGATCGCCGTCTGGAGGTGCTCCGACCATTGAGGTATCGAAGCCCGTGAGACGGCGACGAAAGGCGGCGGAAAATTCTATGCTCAATAAGTATTTCCCCAAGGCCGCTCAAATCATGTTCGTTCCGCTGTGGAACGCAGCCACTTCGCAGTGGTTCGCTGGCTGTTTCTGTTGGAGCACCACGGAGACACAGGTCTTTACTTCTGCCGTGGAGTTGAGTTCTGTTCTCGGCTTTGGGTCTTCCATCATGGCCGAGTATAGTCGGGTGGAGTCACTTATTGCCGATCGCCAAAAGGGCGACTTTATTGGAAGTATTTCGTAAGTTTTTGCTTCTAATATTTTGCGCCAAAGATTTTACTGACGGCATCCTTAGCCATGAACTTCGAAGCCCGCTTCATGGAATTTTGGCCGCAGCCGAGTTTCTGCATGGCACCAATATGAATGAATTCCAGGAGTCCTTGCTCGAGACCATCAATTCTTGTGGCAGGACGTTGTTGGATACGATGAACCAAGTTCTCGACTTCAGCAAAATAGTCTCGCTCGAACGCACATGGCAATCAATGAAGCGCAGAAAGGAATCTCCGCTTGATTTCAAAGGGACAGATAAGTTGGCTGCCCATCTGGACAGCTACGTTGTGACGGACCTCGCTGTCTTGGCCGAAGAAGTGGTGGAGGGCATTTGCCTTGGTCACGCTTACGGCCAGAGTTCTACCGCCTCAGCCGATCTCCCCGTGCTGATGGCACACAACGCCGCCAGAACGCCGGCGGCGAGGTCCAATGTGGACGTGATCATTGATGTGGCACATCACAACTGGATCTACCGTACCCAGCCCGGTGCTCTGCGCCGTATCATTATGAATGTTTTTGGCAATGCCATGAAGTACACGGATGCTGGTCGGGTTTCGATTCGCTTGGAGGCACAGGGCCACTCTGAGGGCCGTTCTCGGCGGCAAGGCTTGGAGGACCTGGTTACGTTGACCATCTCCGATACGGGCAAAGGCATCTCGGAGGAGTTTCTTCGGGGGCGACTCTATACTCCTTTTGCTCAGGAGGACTCGCTGGCTGTAGGCACAGGCCTTGGCCTGTCCATCGTTCGGAGTCTCGTCAAGGCCCTTAATGGAAACATTCGCATTCGCAGCCGTCCTGGTGAAGGTACTGTTGTGCGGGTATCTCTACCACTGGCACGACCTGTTGGCGAAGAGAGCCCACCCATCGAACCTCATGGGCCCCTTTTGCATCAGAAGGAAACTCTGGCGCAGACCTATATGCTCCAAGAAGGGTACTCTGGCAAACGGGCCGCTATCTGGGGCGTTGATCCTGCCCACGCATTGGATTCCTCCTGGAATGAGATTGTCCGATATTTCACCGACTGGTTTGGCTTCGAACTTGTCCCTTGGCGATCTCACCAGTCCATTGATGTGCTCGTCATAGATGAGCAGGATCTACCCGCACTTCGTTCATCCGGCCCCTCAACGTCAACTTTATCGGCACTGCTTATCCTTTGCCACAGGTCGGTGGATTACAGCGTGGTGTGCTCCGAATGGTTACCCCTTGCCTCCTCTGTCGATATCATCCGGCGTCCATGTGGGCCACATAAGCTGGCCCGGAGCATTCTCAAATGCCTGCAGCATCTGCAGCCCGGGGCTGTTTCCCCGTCGATTCCTCAGGATCGAATGGACCTGCCGATTCGAACGTCAGCTGCGCAGTCGACAGTCGGGTCCGATGTTGCCGATGATTCTGCCACTACTATTCTGGCAGTCTCCCCGCCCCCCACTCCACGCACAGAGCGTGACGAGATCATCGGGAATGGTCCCATATCCACCGAGGAACGAAGCCCAGATGGCCCGTCCGTGGTCACCCCACCACCAGAAATAGTCGCCGCGGCTCCTCTACCACCACCTTTAGCTGAAGGGTCCGTGAACTCCCGGCGTCTGGCGCGTGTCCTCGTCGTCGACGACAACCGCATCAACCTCAATCTGATGATGACCTTCATGCGGAAGCGCAAGCTGACGGAGTTGGATGCTGCCGAGAACGGCAAGCAGGCCGTCGAAGCCGTCGAAGCGATGCCGAATGGTTACAACATCATCTTCATGGACATGTCCATGCCTGTCATGAACGGGTTTGAGGCCACACGCGCCATCCGCTCTCTGGAACGTGAGCGTGATGGCTATGGGCCAGCTATTATCATCGCCTTGACAGGACTCAGTAGCTCGCGTGATGAATCTGAAGCCTTGGCCTCGGGTGTTGATCTATTCCTGACAAAACCTGTCTCCTTCAGGGAAGTAGCTCGCCTTCTGGAGGAGTGGGAGAAGGACGGTCTGGTGAATGAGCGCAAACGAGTTCTTTGAAACTGTGAGGCCTTTTGGATGATTTTGGGATGCTTTTATTCTGCTTGCTCTTTATTTCCTTCCTTCGCCTCCCCTCGCTCTTGCACCGGCAGTCCCAGTCATCCCTCGCCTGCTGAGACGTGGTTCCTGACTTCCGCTCCTACGTACATTCCATGAGCCTTCTCTTTCCCCAACAAAAGCAGCATCGGGCTACATTTCCACCCCTCCTCACCCATTCCTCATGTTTCGTTGGCCATCACGGATATATTTCTCTTCACGATACGACGTCTCTTCATTGGTCTACCGAGTGATTATTTCTGATCCTGTTAGCTCAAACATAATCAACATATTTATCTCCGACAAACGCACACGACATGATACTGTTTGATTCAACCATGACCGCCCTTATCCCCCCAAATTTCTTTCTTTTATGACTTACATTGCATCTGGTCCAAAGCTGGATACACGAGAAGCTACGACTGGCGTTTCCTATTTTCCTTGTTTTGTGCCATGATTTGTTCGGAATGGCATGGACTCGGTGCCTCCTGGGTCCAGGCTATATATACACGACGATGCGGATGGAACAAATCCACATATATGACTCTGTTTGATTTATTGCGTATACCTATGAACACGAGAAAAGCATTGGGTATACACCTATATACACGCATATAAGATGATGAATTGAAATTGTAGCGTCACATACTGTCTGTAGAAACGAATCCTAGTCGATAGAGAGACGAGAGCTCTGCTTGAGTTAAAATTACTGTGTGATGGAATGGTCACAATACACTGTGAATGCATAAGTAGTAGAAGATGCGCTCTTGTTGTCCAGCAGTTCCCTTACACGATCTATTCTAGCCTTGTCTTCGCTGTGAATTTACTAATCGTTGGTGAGTTCTTTCTGATTAAGGGCTCGAGTGGAAAAGCTGGGAAGGCGTAAAGCCTTCACAAGACGACACCTGCCGAATAGTTGGTGATTCCGCTTACTAGTGCTTTATAAATTAGAACTAAAATTTGTATTCTGAGAGGCTTGATGCATGCTACTCATTCTACAGAAGTTAAACCCGAACATGGAGAGAGATCACAGCCCCCGAAAGCAAATGAGTGTTCATTCAAAGGAAACTATTTGATTCTAGTCTACTTAACTGATATTTACTCTGCCTCTTAAGTGGTATTTGCAACATGCCAAAGATTTGCGGCTTCGCCAAATTGACAAACTAGCGGGCTTCTTGCAAGAACACCGGTGCCTCTTAGAAGACTATTGCTGCATAGTCTTAGCAAGGCTTTTCCAGATGGCGCACCGGCGCATTTGATCATTGGGCACAGATTCCATAGCTGTTGCATTCAGCTGGAACCTCAATCTTTGGCTGCCATGAGGTCCCCAGGGCTCCCACTCTGGAGCCGTATAATGTCGGTGGGTATTTGGATCCAGGGTCAGAATAAAACTGATCCAGTAGTCCATAACAATAGGAACCATTGGCGCGTTGTAGGTCAGATAAGAGCAATTATCGCAAGCTCCCGCGTTCCCTGGACCATAAAGAGCTGGCTTCTCAGCCACATGTGGCACTCCGAGACCTACCAATTCGTATTCAGCATCCCAGACGTTGTATCGGTAGCTCCAGGTCTTCATGGAAGAGTAATGAGTCGCAAGCGATGTGGCAATTTCAATCCCGGGACAGGTAAACGTTGATTCTCCGTAAGCTTTTGCAGCCGGGGGGAAATACCTGGCATGCAGAGGCAGGTGCTGCCCAGGTGGGTACGTTTTGTTGATGACTTGAAGATCAGCTGGTGTCAGTCGAGGGTAATTGGCCTGCATGAATTCCAAAAATTCCGAGGACGTGCTAGCGTTAGGGCTAAAGGCCGTTCCCTCGTCGTTGTCATCACCGACCATAATTGGTACCCTCGTCACTCTGCCTTGTTCAAAAAGAGTGTAGAGATCGGCTGGAGAGAATATTCCGTCAATCACGGGTAGGAAGTACCAAAGGGGTGTTTCCTCTGTCCCGGGGAAACGAGATGCCACATCCGCCGACTGAAGAGTTGCTGCGTCTTTCGATCGAAGACACGACATCACATCTGCATCATGTTCACAGCTGACATTTGCCACAAAACGGGCAAATTGAAACTCCGACTCAGCTACCGTTCTGTGGGTAGGAAGAAACGGTGATTCTGGTATTGCGCCTACAAAGAGCTTTTCACGCTCACCCCCATAGGCGGTTAGGTGATAGGCGACTGAGCCACCACCGGCCGAATCACCATGAATGACAACATGATTTGGGTCTCCTCCAAACTGTTGAGCTACGTTAGTGTGTGACATTGCATTGGAGCCTTGGTAGGGACATACCAGATGAATGTATTTTTGTGTCCACTGCAAAGCTTTCTGCTGGTCGAGTAGCCCAACATTCAGATCTCCATTCTCACGGATCTTCTCACTGGCCAAAAATCCAAACGCCCCGACCCGGTAGTTGAGCTGAACAAACACCATACTTGAATTTGATTTGGAGACGACCTCTGTTCCGTTGAAGTTCTGGTCTGAATTCGTAGCATAGCCACCGCCTTGAATGAAAAACCAGACGGGTAGTTTAGAGTTCGGAGTAGCATTGCTTGGTGTAAAGATGTCGAGGAACAGACAATCCTCATTCGTAGCGTTGCTTAAGACTCCAGCGGTTCCAATACATGTGGGTGCAAACTGTGGATCAAGGTGGACCGTGAGCATGAACCAGTGATTTTATTAAGAAGAAGAAACATTCGGAGAATATTTTGTACCTCTTTGGCAGGCTGTATTCCGTCTTCATGAAGGGGATCTTGGGGTTCTCTCCATCTCAAATCCCCCAGAGGCGGAGCAGCATATCGCATGCCCAAAAACTGGTTAACGCCGACATTCAAAAAGGTGCCTTCATATTTAGCGTATCCTAAGTCCACAATAGGAGTATTATCACTACTGGCCGTCTCAAAAGGCCTGCCAGCGATTAAGTTGGGGTAACCCAACCATCCAAGGACTATAAGGCTTCGCAACCACATGGTTTTTGAGTTCGACTTGTCGATTTTCTCGAGATCGGAGAGCAGCCATTCAACCCCACCCTTATTTATAAATCAGGACTATGCACCCTAGCCAGGATCATGTTTTGTCGGGAGAGGGGTAACCATAACATGTCAAGTTTAGGCCCCAATTCGGATGATCGGGATATTCCTGTTCCGGGTTGCGGAGAAGATCATCCATTTACTCCACGAATGCGAGGGGAGTAAAGTTCCAGGATTCGTCGCTTAATAGGATTTGCGGTCTCATGGAGGACACTCAAAGTGCCCACTAGCACCCACTATTTAACCGCCCCTGCAGTGCTGCCAGGAGTCGAGGTACATAAATCGTTTTATGGTTGTCTAGAAACAGGGTTGGATTCTATTAAGAAAGTAACAAAACACAGACGGTGCTTGAGAAAAAATGCGCAGAAGAGGACAGAACCCTTCTATAACAATTATTGGGAAATTTCCTGGTCAAACGAAACTTCTAGTTGTATGGTTGAAGGAAGAACTGATCTTCGAGGGATGACATGTCAGGCGTGTTGTACTGCGAAAATACATCGTAGCCGTTGACATGATCCCAATCACCAGTCAAAAGTTCCATGACAGTATCCAATGGCACCTGCCCATCCGTATTGATTTGATACTGATGGTTCTGTGGTGATGTCTTGACGATTGCCAGGAATAGTTGTTCCAGGAAAGCCTTGGTCTTGTGGCCCACGGGGCTCAGTTGCGCCATATCGTCGCAAACCGCAATGCTAACCTGAACTTGATTGCACCACCTCTGATAGTCGCTGCTTCCAGTGGGCTCAATTGCTAGTGCCATTAATGGTATTAGGCATGCCTGGAACAGGAACCATATTGCGTTCCAGCAGCACATCTTTGTTGCGCGCCACTCGGTCTGGATGCTGAAAATCGATTCCGCTGCTATGTGTCGGCATTTGGAAACAATGGATTGTTCGTTTGGTGAAAGAAACTCAAATTGAATTTTTCTGATGACGGTGTCGAGAAGAAGAGGTCTGTGCAAGAGCAGTCGAATGTTCTGATATCTCCATTTGAGCACTAGCCGTGCATCATGTAGGCCGGGAGTGCTAGGATCGGACAATCGAAGAAACAGTGGGAGGTTTTGAAACCAGGAAACGAGCATACCGTCGTAAACATGTCGTTCTTCATCGCTGAGAACAGACGTAATGAGAAATCTGTCCTGGATCTGATTGATGATCTTACACAGTTGGACATTGTGAATCAGAGGAGAGTGAATTGTTGGCTCCGTCGGTGGAAGCTCGCCAAACTGAATCTTATCAGAAACCTTGGTGGAGTTTCTCAAGAAAATTGTCTCATACCTGGTCATCGAGAATATTTTTCGGTTGGTCAATCAAAGTACCCAGCATGGCAGAGGGCCGCCCTAGTGTGACCGATCCCCATGTATCTAGCACATAGATAGTCCACCAATTTCTGCGTTTCACTTCTTCCCCGAGGATAGCTTTTCCTTCAACATCCGCCGATGCGTGAAGGTGGAGTCCGAGGCCACTTGCGATCCTATAGCACGCGCCTATAACTGCGGACGCCATGTTTGGTCGACTGCGATAATGCAGATACAGTCCTCCCATGAGAACAAGAGCTTGGAGTGTTTCCAAACGACCGCTACCAAAGCTTTCAAGTGATAGGTATTGCTGTGCCAATTGGTAGTATTGCAAATCTTCCTCTGAGTCACCCTGAGAGGTTGCGACGCTTCCCAATGCAAGAACCATGTTGAGAAGGGCAAGCCAAGATCTATCCTGACTACCCTGATTTGTCAAGTATTTGTTGCGAAATTTGGGCTCGTGGATTATAGGAGCAAACACATGGATGTTGGCAAAGTAGGCGTCAATCAGTCGTTGCTCTTCATGGTACGACGAAACCCGGTTAGCTGAAGGCTGGGTTACAATGACCAGTTGACCTTCGATTGGGCTTGTGGTGGACTTTTTCGACAGCATAAACTTTTGCTCCGCGAATTGTCCCGGAACGACATTTTCCAAGGCCCTCAATGCTGCGGCGACAGAGGATATGCCAACGAAAGAAGACTTCCTTTTCTGTGATAATGAAAGCGCATTCACATCGTCTTCGGCAGAGTGCTCAGACCAAGGGGAAGTCTCATCCCATTCGAATATAGACGAATCTTGGCATTGTAGCTGATCAAGTCGAACATTCACTTCTACGTCCGGCACTGATCTAGGTTTTGGTGGAATTGTGGCGTCGGGAGATGCGTCGGAGAAACTATGTTGAACCGTGCTTGGCGAATAGTCACTTTCTGATTTCACCAACTCTAACAAGGCCTCTTTCGAAAGGCCCTTGAGTGACTGAACTGGGGTGTTAGGGAATAAACATTTGACCACTGTTTCGTACTCGTTGGTGGCTCCTGCCTTTTGACTCCTAGTCTCGTCAGCTCCAACGGTTCTTCTAGAATATTTCAAGAAGACCAACTTTCTCCCTCGTCGACGGTACTCGGGGAAGATACATTCGACATTACAGGCAAGACAGCCAGTACAGGGACGCGTCCCAATGCACTTGGTTTTTCGCCGTCGGCATTCCACACAGGCTTTTGCAACAATCGAACGACGTCGATTGGATGGATCTCTTGTCGAGTCGATTCCAACAAAGGTATTGAACATTTTGTTCCTGCTGCCATGCGGCCAAAACGTGTGCGGCAGTTTCCCATTTAAGTGGCTTTGTGGCTTGGTTTTCCATGATGTGACGATATAAAGTAGATGGTCCAGTCTGGGGCCCCGCATGCAAGGCTCGGCGAACCAAGCGAGGTTTTTGGCAAAGAAACACTAGCACGGCGGCGCATTGACCACTTAAATCCCAGGCTATCGAACTCGGTGACTGCTATTGGTTAGTATGTCCTCATGCCCCAGTCAGAGTGACCATGGCGCAGCGCAAGTGCTTAGCATGGAAAGCCAACCCTGGAATTGCTAATGCAACCTTTTGATGCCAGCATGACTAGAAACAAGTTGCTGGGTAAACTATTGGTGCTGACATGAGTTATTATTTGTGCCGAGGTAGTACCCCGGCGTATACTGCTAGAAAGGATTTCAGGCATCGTCACCCCGTCTCTGTTAAACAGATCGGGCTGCACCAGACCTGAAATACTGAATGCACAACTGACACAAAGATGAATAGTCAGCAGTCCTTCGGGGTGTTGATGAAGCGAGAAGCATCTGTGGGGCTTATTCTCCCGAAGACATCGACCCACTGATCGACATTGTTGATGCTTTGTTGAACAAATCGCTTAGGGTGGCTGCTCTTCCCCGCTATTAATTAGCCGGACTTTGCGGTGATATCGGGCAGAAGTCGGGGCCCAGACACCCCTCACTGTTAGACTAAGATGAAAGCGTCTAGAAGGAAATATTAGTGAAACGACATAGTAATGAGCCCTTTCCTGGGCGTCTGAGCGCTGCGTAGAAGTTGATAGTGACATAGTATCCTTGCTCACCGTGAACCGAATCCGAACATTCCATACAGCCTGGCAATCAGCCTCGAGACTGCATATACAAGATGAGCAGGCACCTGCAGGAACTGGCTTGTTGGTGACATCCCATCCTGATCCATGACGGTGATTGCGAAGTCATTTATCATGACAGACAATAATTTCGAAAACAAAGAAACCAAATAGCAAAATAGCAAAATATGCTCCATCATTCCTAAACCCATTTGACTGTTTACTAAGTTCCTGGCACATGAGTTTCACTCACTAGCAGTAATGACGGCCATTTGGACAGAGCCAGCCCGTTCTTACTCAAGTAACACAGCAGATATGTAGTTCACCATGTATATTAATGGTAAGGATAAGATGATCAGTGGCGAAGTCTGATGGGCGAAGAACCCTTTAATCAAACTTCATTTAACTGCCATGGCATTGGTCCCCCACATTTCTTCAGGGCTGCCTAGCGCCAGGGAGAGATTAACGCCCCTGTCAGTCAACGTTTCATTGCAGGAAGACTCAATGTGATAAGAAAGGCGTGTGCTGCTGAATACACTGTTTCCACCATCAGCCTTGTTTTGAATTCATCAAGAACGCCACCTCTTGACTATGCACATTACGTATCTCTTGGCTCTGGCTCCGTCAGCCATTGCGACGGTAGCGACAACCAAAAAGCGCGATGTCAGTAACCCAAAAGTCAAGACAGCTCAAGTGGTCGGCCTTCTGTCTGACTCCACTCTAAACCGTGACTCCTGTGGCTCAGCCAAATTCGGCGATCGTGCGCTATGGGTATGCCGAGACTCGCAGCACTATGGTTCAAACGGCGTCCCGGATTTGCCTCTATTTACAAGCTCCGCCTCTTGGACCGATATTATTCCCGGCGGTGGCACAAACCTCACCATGTACGGGAACAACGACGACATGTCCTTTTACCCCCTTGTGCCCGGAAACTGCAATAGCAACCAGGCCGGGACTTGTGCAAATGGTACCCGGTATCCACTCTGGGCAAACAGCCCACCGCTAGTGACAAGCTCTGAGTCCAATGGGACGACTATTGGATATACATGGATCGATAATAATCATATCTCCGGTTTGACGAATCTCATCGCCGACCCGTCCACCACTCTTTATCGAGTTTCTTATACATCCGGTGACAGCAGCCTTCCTCAAGCAGAGATAGTGAACTCGGCTTTTTGGGCTGAGAATGAGATACCCTACGGGAATTACGGTGGCGTTGTACAAAACGACACCGCGTATATCTGGGGCCAAGCCTCCAATGGTGATGTCGCGTTAGCCCGTGTTCCAGCAGGCAGTGTGGAAGACAAGTCGCAGTATGAGTTTTACGTGAGTGGAGGCTGGACAACTGAGCAACCAGCATTGGGCGACGATTCCGCCACTATAGCCAATGTCAGTGCGGGCGGACAGGGCACATACTATTACTCCGAGTCCTGGCAGTCTTATGTCTGGATTGGACAGCAAAGTGAGTCTGTCTCGGCAGATTTCTACATTACCACAGCCCCTGCACCAGAAGGCCCTTGGATTGAACCTGTGCATTTCTATTCGGGGGTCAATGGGAACTACTCCTTAAGTGCCTATACTCTGCAGGCCAATCCGGTTCTTTCTCCAGCGGATGAAAATATCATTTATTTGACCTATACCAAAACTGATAGTGTGGGAGATAATGTGGCATTGTACACTACTCCTTTGATTCTTGTTGAATGGGAGGATTAATAATGGACAGGTCTTGAAAGGATGAGCACATAGTTATCGATGTCTGTCCTTTGTGGCGGAGTATTTAGCTAGCACAGTTGAGCCTGTATAAGGTAATGATATTGCCAAACGTGGGTATCGTGGACAAAAAAATTGCTACCATCTTAATATCGTTCAATCAGCCACAAGCGGCGCTGGTCCTCTGGCATGGCATTCAAGCGTTCTGTCTCCGCGCGCTTGACAGCCAAATAATTCTGTACAAGTTTCGGACCAATAAGCCCTTGTAGTGCTTCATCGGCTTCGAGAGCCGCGAGACTCTGAGAAATGCTTTTTGGGAGAGTAGTTGTAATCCCAATGGCAGTGCGTTGTGAATGAGAGAGAGTAGACGGATCGACTGAAAGAGAACTTTATTAGCGGGACTTTTTTCAAGGGCAGATTTCGTATTGACAGCGAAAAAGCATGGACAATCATACCGGTACAATCCTGTATCGTCAGAGGCATGTCAGCCTTCAACCCCAAATACCCACCGGCCAAAACAGCTGCAACAGCCAGGTATGGATTTGCCAGACCGTCCAGCGATTTGAACTCCCAGTGTCCCGGGCCGACCTTGCGAACAGGAGTCTCGCGATTTTGGAACCCCCAGGCAACCCATTCAGAGCCAGCCCAGACACCCGATTCCACGCGCTCGTAGCTTGCGTCCTGGGCAAGTGTAAAGGCTACCAGGGCTGGATAGTGAGTGAGGATGCCGGCGAGGAAGGCATCTTGGCGAGTCGGAGGGTCGATAGAGAGATGTGTGTGGGCGGCACTACCTGCATTACCAGGAATTGGCCGCGGATACAGCGTAGCTCGCATACCATTCCGGTCTGCGACAGCTGCAACGACTTGTCTAGCGGCGAAAAGAGCATCGACGACTTTGAGAGGGTTGGCAGGAGGAAGAACGAATTCGAACTGTCCGGGTGCTGATTCGGCGTGGAATTGTTGTAACTCAATGCCCATAGATGCTAACGTGCGCACAATTTCTTCAAGGAGCGGAACCATTCGCCGCGTGTCGGCGGTCATCTGTGACCAGGAGTGGTTGGTTGTTGCTGGTCGGTACTCTGTCGTTCTGCCGGTGGCGTCGTCAGTGGTTGCGGCAGGCAGCAAGAATATTACTTCAATCTCAAAGCCACAAAGAATATCAATTTGATATTCCGCATGTAGCTTGTCGACGATATTCTGCAACGTGGTCCTCGGACATTCGTCCATTGGGTCATTTGTTTCTGAGCGCCAGAAGGTCATGACTGTCGCGCTTGGTGCAGCCGGAGTTGTCATAGCCCCGTTGAGATACAGACTGTCGAGGTCCGGCTCCAAGTAGAACTGTCCAGTGGTTGATCCTCCTGGTGCGACAAAGTCATCCTGTAACATCCAAAATACTGCTATCGAGACACCCACTCGCCGCTGTGATTGAGCGATCCTAGCAAATTCGTGGATTGGAATCATTCGCACACGCACGGTTGCTGTGTAGTCGACCCATTGCATCCAGATGTATTCAACATTTGGGTGGGTGTGCAGGAATTGATCGAATTTGTTGGAGATAAGTGGTAACTCGGGCTCTTTTGCCAGAGATAACTGGGACGTCTTGCCGGGAGAGTACTGGGGTGTTTGCTTCAGTCCGTAGAGGCTGTTGGAGTTGTTGAAGAGAATGTCGGCAGCGGCTGTCATGGCTTGAGAAATAGTGTAATCCCTATTCTGGACATAGTCCACAAGAACCTGCAAGGCAGAAATATGAGCACCCATCGTTAAACAATCAGCAAATCTTTGCCACTTACTGTTTCCAGGGCCTGGCGGAACTGCCGGTTGGCCAGCCAGAAGGTCTCTGGGTGGAAATGGCCGTCTGTGCTCCAAAGAAGACGGCTAGTTGGTGTAATCTCCAGGCTTTCGCGTAAAATCCTCTCCTGTGCCTCGCGACTGACCATGGGAAAGACCTCACCCAGATCAAGGTACACGTTGGGATACACGCAGGCCAGATAACCTGCATCCCGCGTGTAGGGATACGCAGAGTGCAGTAGCACAATGTCAGCATCAGGATACTGCGCAATAAGCGGTTGCAAGTACGCCGGATTGGCTTTGAGAAGGTTGATATCATTGTCTCCCAAGCCCGTGTGGAATTGCAATGGCTTAACAACGCCGCTTCTTTTGCGGAATGTGATAGCCTTCAGTGTCTGTTGAACCAGCCAGTCACTCAGTGGCTTATCTTCGACCCGATATCCTGACTTGGTAGTACCCGAATCAAGAGTGCGAACCAGCGAGGCAGCCAATGTGGCGTCGTCGGAAGAATAAGGGTCGACATCCAGGCCTGTCCGATAGCAAACGACAGACTTAAATCCAACGACGGCTGGGTCTTCCATTGCTTCAGACAAAGCATTTTGGAATTGCTGACGGAAAATGCTCCAGACCGTTTCGCCAGGCTTGCGCTCACCACTGCCAAGTTCGCGGATAAGAGAAGCCGCCACGGCTTCGATGCGGACGATACGTTTTGTTTTTGAAATAGTAAAACGATCATGCCAGTCGAAGGGCTCAACGTCCTCGTCGGTTAAGAGATCGTCCAGCAAAAGCATGTGCGTTCCCTCTAAGCACCGGCGGACCAATCCGTCATAGTCGTGCTTTATCGACTGCTCCCTAGCCGACAGGATGTCCGCCCAGCCTTCACAGGGTCTGCCATAGAGCTCGGCCAATTGGCTTGTTCCCCGAATTAATGGCAGCGATGTATGAGAATTTTGCAAGGCCCGACCGTGAGCTTCGGACGTAATGGCTTCGAGAGGATAGCTGTCATAGTCCGTGGCTAATTCGCGGTCTAAAAGATTGTGGGCATGGTTGTCGATGAGCGGATGGGACCGCACTAGATGCCGCAGGAAGTCTAGGGAGGCCATTATTGTGTGAAATGGATGGAGGAAGAGGCAAGAACAGGATATCGATCTACGGGTCCAAGCGTGCTTCCCGAACCAGTTTTGCTCCACTGACAAATCGTCAACTTCTGATAGGAGAATTTGGTAGCCTGCTCCGGAGGATTTGCCTCGTCTTAGCTCCGGCCTCGGGGACATCGACTTAGTTACTACTACATGACTGACTTTTAAAATAATCCTTCCTGTTTGAAATATTAGTAGAATTCACGTTGGACGAACGCTCTTCAGATATGTCCGTGCGTCGCCAATCATACCGGACGCGGCAGTCTCCAGGAGTTCTCCACTGTTGGTCATATTCGGTAGAGCTCCGCTGTCAAGGCTTTTTCACAAGAGCGATCGATCGCTCTGAGCCCGCTTGGATAAACCGAACCCGCTATTTCGAAACTACCATTATTCATGAAACAGGAGGGTCAGCGAAACCCACAAATCACCACTAGGAGCGCAAGCAGCTATGTATTTAGCAGTGCATGCTATGCAGAATGAGGGGGAATGATTAAAATTGCAACTCCTTAAATTGGCATCCAAAGGTCACTTGATTCGATTCCCTTCAATTCAAGAATTGATTTTAGGAATATATCTCCAGCAATAGGCAGGTAATAGAACTAGCGGGCTATCTAGCATTGATTATCAAATGTCATTCTAATCGAGTATGCTCTCTCTGTAAATAGCCCGCGACGGGCCCCATTCTCGAGCCGACGACATAAGTGAAATCAGGTATCTGGACAAGCTCCAGTAATCCATTCTTGGCTTATAAGGCAACTTTAATAGGAATGTAGAACATATATGTCACCAAACGGTAAGTTATCCAGCCTAAAAATTCAAAATGGCAACCTACCACCTTATTAGGGGGTAAGGTTCAACGTTAGCACCTTAAAGTCTTCAAGTTAAGATTTTATTGGTGGAAACGTAGGGTAATTTCTATCATTCTGGCGAAGGAATCTGGACTGTGTCCAGCCGTGAATAAAACAGCCAGCCAATTGACTGAAAGATTATTTGCACCTTTGGATACCGCACCAGCTATAGAGTCCGCAAAGGATGTTCGACTAGCATAAGTGGCACTTAGGGTCGTTTTACTTGCACACGCTCCCCGTGCGACTTTGTATTATCGTAGAATGTAGTGTACCTTTCTTTTCCCTGTGTACCTTGCGTCATCTCGAGTTGTCATGTAATTACAGCTGCTGGATCAATGGCATATTGATTAATAAATAGGAAGTTGACGTTCACCTTTCTTGTTTTCCTCCCTTCAGATCCCGAGCTATCCTCTCCTGTTCTAATGATGGGGTGCTTTCCAAAATTTCGTGGCATGTTGCTCACCCTCTGTCTGGTCCTACGGTTGGCGACTGCAACTCAAGGACTCCTCGTCCGTCATGACAACTCCTTCCAGCCCAACCATATTCTCCGAGTGAGTGTTAAAATTTATGACCAAGCATGCATGGAACGATACTCAGTCCTGGTGAACGGTTCCTCTCCCGGCCCCGAGTTGCGTCTCCAGGAAGGCAAAGTGAGCTGGATCCGTGTTTACAACGACATGAAGGATGTGAATGTTACAATTGTACTTGACAGGATTCCCTCCCTAAGCTATACAAAGACGCTCACAATGATAACAGCATTGGCATGGTCTTTCGGCTTTTACCGCACCTTTCTCCGATGGTACTCCCATGGCCAGCCAATGGCCTATCGCCCCTGGCCACTTCTTTGACTACGAAGTCCGCCCTGAGGTCGGTTATGCTGGCACATACTTCTACCATTCACATGTTGGCTTTCAGGCCGTCACTGCCGCAGGCGCACTTATTGTGGAATCGGCCCAACCTTCGCCATACAAGTACGACGAAGAGCGCATCATTGTTTTGTCGGACTTCTTTACGAAGACGGACGAGGAGATCCAGGACGGCCTCCTCTCAACCAACTTCTCATGGAGTGGAGAGACTAGCGCCGTCTTGGTGAACGGCCAAGGCCGACTGACCACCAATGCTACTGGTTCGTGCAAGCTGGCTGCTATCAGCGTCGAACCCGGGAAGACTTATCGCCTGCGATTCATCGGGGGAACGGCCCTGTCTTTTGTCTCTTTGGCCATCGACAGCCACCACCTGTCCGAGATTATCGAAGCGGATGGTCATTACACCAAGCCAGTGAAGACGAGTTACTTGCAGATTTCCAGCGGTCAACGGTATAGTGTGCTTTTGACGGCCAAGACCGAGGCCGAGTTGCAAAAGGCGAAGTCCCGACAATTCTACTTCCAGCTGACCACCCTGGGCCGGCCAACTGTCCTGACAGCATTTGCAGTTTTGGAATACCCATCTCCTATCGCGCCTGATTTGACGACTGTGCCTGTCATCCCTCCCCTGCCTGTCGCGAACATCACTTATGGCTGGATGGACTACGCTTTGGAGCCGTACTACCCAGATCTAGACTTCCCAACTGCCGCGGAAGTAACCCGGCGTATTATCATCAACGTTCACCAAAACGTTAGTTCTCATATCGTCTGGCTCCAGAGCGGGTACGACTGGATGGCGAGCTTTCCCATGTCACCATACCTGGTCGATGTATACAACGGTAAACTGAATCTCGACGCCTCATACGAGCGGGCAATTGCTAGTGGCTACGGATTTGACAATAAAACCCGCCTCTTCCCAGCCAAGATGAATGAAGTCCTCGAGATCGTCTGGCAGAACCAAGGTGGTGTTACTACGGGCGATATTGAGAACCACCCTTTCCATGGACACGGGAGACATTTCTATGACATCGGCGGTGGCGATGGGTTGTACAACTCGACAGAGAACGAGAAGCGGTTGAACGGAACTCGTCCGGTGACTCGGGACACGACCGTGCTATACGCGTATAGAACCGAAACGACGGCACTCACGCCGTCAGGCTGGAGGGCTTGGCGAGTTCGGGTTACGGATGCCGGCGTGTGGATGATGCATTGCCATATTCTTCAGCACATGGTGATGGGAATGCAGACTGTTTTTGCCTTCGGTGATCAGACGGCTATTAGAGCGCAGTCAGGCCCAGTGGACAATGGCTATCTGACATATGGGGGCTCAGCGTACGGGAATGCCACCTATTATCCACTTGTACAGCATTTTTTTGATGTGCTTGAACAAACAGATTTACCTGTTTGATTACCTATTGTTTTTCACTGTCATAGTTACGATATTGACAATTTATAGCCATTAGTATCACTACACTAGGTTTCAATTGAATTTTCATTTAGTTCGACTTCGCCACTACCCGCGGGACTACCCGTTTCTTGGCGGGTAATGAATGGGTGGGGCTACCTACCCGTCTCTAGGTAATGGGTAGGCGTGAAACTCCCGCAGGTAGAGCAACAGTGCAAACATGAAGAACATCCTGACTCACACATATTTTATGCAGCTTCGAGCTGTATTTAAAAGTGCTTGGCTTACAGATAGGCTTTTGGATTTAAACGAGTAAGATATGAAATAAGCTCAAAGTTGAGAGGAATACATTCTAGATTCTAGAAATGGCCAATATTCCATAAATCGATCAGTAGCCTCATTATGTAGAAAAATAATTTGCTCGATATTCAAATTCTGGGCTCTATACTATAGATTCCTAGGTGTTCGATAATGCCTAGTCTATAGCTAGACAGTGCTTAAGGGCTCAAAGTAATCTATAAAGCTTTGACGATATCGATTAACCTATCTAGACTCTCAGAAATTCCCTGCAAAAAGAAAATGGAGCTTATTCTGTGGTGCAAGTACTGCCGCAATTATAAAGAGATCTCTCGGGATGTCATCAGTTTTGCTATAGTATTCGGAAAGTTTTGCTTTACCATCACTCTTCTGGTATTCTATATGCCGCATCACTAAAGTCTATTATAGCATCAGGGATCAGGCAAGTATTTCACTCTACTAAGAGTGACCAGTTAACATCGTGTAACAAGAATGTCAAGGCATTACTAGAAAAATCCATGGATGTCGCGACTGCAATCGTCGATATGTTATGATGAACCAAAACAGCTGTAAATAACAGTAATTTAGACGCACTCCATTCTCAAGGCAACGGAATAAACGAAATCAGGTGTCTGGATATGTTCTAGTAACCTATTATTGGCTTATTAAGGAACTTCGATGGGAATGTAGGACTTATGTGGACAAACGGTAAGTTATCCAGCCTAAAAATTCAAAATGGCAACCTACTACTCCACAAGTGTCAAGGTTTAACGCTAGCATTTAAAAGTCTTTCTTTACATTTTATTGGTGGGCGATTTCTGTCATTTTGACGAAGGAATTTGGACCATGTACAGCTGTGAACAAAAGAGCCAGCCAATTGACAGAAAGACCATATGACATTCCTTTCTCTGCATGATATTCCCATTCTCTGCTTCACAGTCTCATTCTCTACTAGACATTCCCATTCTTTGCTTGATCTAGTCCTTGCCAAATGTAGTCTGTAATAAGAGCATCACAAAATGTATAAGGCTGAACGGGTTAAGACATAGCTTCCGATTGGCTAACACGCCAGTACTTGAATGTCTGAGCGATATAGGGCAAGCTAAGGTATCTCTGAAGCTCCTTTCCTAAGTAGTACTTACCACCTCAAACCATATAAAAGCTGGTTCTCTTCTATCGAATTCACTTATTCACACTGATCAATTCCTACTTTCCACATAGTGCCTTGATCGACATCATTTGAAAGCTGCGATAGTAGCTATGGCGATATCTCTCCCCCCTGGTTTCCAGATCGAGCCAGTTCAGTTCGTATCTGGAGTGCCAGCGCCTACAATAGCATCGCCGCTGGGTTTGCTCGAAAACTTCAGTGAAAGCTTTACTGGGCGAGGCCTCAACACAGTCTTTCGCCCGAACAACGGGACACCGGACGCGACACAATTTCCTCGCGACAACATCTTGGAGCTGAATTTGATAAATGACACAATAACGTTCTCCGAATCATTTGGCGCCGTGCCCAACCGCGGGTTGATGTCGCAAAACGGCATCTTTCTCAATGGTATATCTTATATACAGGCTGTCAATGACGTGACAAATGTGAAAACCGGGAGGGCCGATGGTCCTGCCACTGGTATTCACTTTGAGACTGGACTGTGGATGAACGTCCCGGCCACGAACAATACTCCCGTTCTTGGCGACTCGCTCGTCCGCATGGCGTCCATTCCACACGGCACAACTATCAATGCTCAATGCCTAGCGCCTACTAGGATTTTCAAAGGTCCACCCGATATCCCAAAAGCCAATTTGTCGCCATTCCCTTCAGGCGGTGGCGACCCAGTGCCGCTTAAAAGCCTCAATGCCTCGCACATCTCCGAATTCAGACTCCCACATGATCTCTCGAAGTTCATTGCTGCTGGAACCATTACCCAAGACATACTAGATGATCCAAATACCGTTTTGCGCGAAGCCATCGAAGGACAGAATATTACACATCATATCGTCTTTACGGTGTCCACGGCACCTTTAGCTCCGGAGTTCGGTGGTGGAACGGCGAACATCGCATTCTTAGAAGGCAACGCCGCCTCATCGACTCCAAATGCCAACGTAATGTCAATGAATGCAACCTTCTGGATCGAGACAGTGCAATATGAGCTCGAAGTTCCGATCTTCAAGCCCGGACAAGCGCCTATAAAAATGTCCCCGGCTTCACGACCAGACAAGCCCGCGCCTGTGTTCGTCCTCAGCCCACCGCATGAAATCACGGCACCCAAGAGGATCAATGTCACTTCAATACAGATTCAGTATTCTCAGGTAATATTAATGATATTCGACCAGTTGGCCTGGCCGCACGTATCAGTATCTACGCTGATTCCGTCTCAGCCGGTATCAGTGCCAGACTCAGTCTGGAGTTGAGAGGCAACTGAAGCTGCGATACATGTGTTCCATGTGTTCCATGTGTTCCATGTGTTCCATGTGTTCCATGTGTTCCATGTGTTCCATTTGTGATGATCGTTGAATATTAGTGTTTCGCTACTTGTTAATGGGATTTTTCTCTTCGTTAAATAGTGATGCTTTCTCTGGCCCTTTGAACCCTTGATCGTATGCTCGAGTGTTGCTACATGTGTGACTAGTACTTCACCATGCTAAATCTAGCGCCGATAAGGCCGAATTCTCGCCGTGAACATAAAATTTAGGTCAACTGTAACCTCCTATGCGATATTGGAGCATAGGTAACCAATAGGGAAAATCCGACTTTGGGTAATGGCCACAACGGCCTTTTTGAGCCAAAGAAAGTGTTACAATATGGCAATAAGAGCCCGATTCTTAGCAAGGGTAGCCGGCTAAGATTCGAAGAAAACTGAGAGAGGCCACGTAAAAGTTCGATCGTTGCTTTAAGTCATATCTTCTTTCCATCAGTGTGTTAGGAGGTATAGTTCCCCGCGTTCCTCAATAAATTCTACAGCAGAGAGCGATCGCCGATGATGCCATTCGGGAAGACTAGATCCGTGTCTGATGGCAGACAGAGTTTGAGAAGGAGTCACCGTGGCATCCGGAATGTTAGTTATTGACGAGAAATGCTTACAGTTCATTATGGCTGCATTCGAGGATTCCGCGTACAGTACGCGTACTTGGGGACTAAAGGTGGTGTATGTTGTGAGGAGGGGTGGTTTTCTGGGGACGGGGGAATTTACAGGTCCTCGTTTTACATAAACAAGAAATTTGAATTAATTTGATCGGAAGAAGACTATATGAGCTTGAAAATAATACCATCCTCAATACTGGCCCTCGATCGTCAAGGTGCCTGTTTTGGTAACCAAATACTCGTTGACAGCCACCTCCTTGCCGCTCTCCTTCCCGTATCCAGACTCCTTTATACCACCGAAGGGCGACTCGGCAGCCGATTGGTTCCCTGCATAGATCTTGTCATTTTTGTTTTTTTCTTAAGCCTTCGTAAGAACCTACCTGTGTTCATCCCAATCATTCCGGCCTCCAGGTTCTCCAGCAGTCGCCACATGCGATCGATGTTCTTCGTGAAGGCATAGCTGGCCAGCCCCATGCTAGTGTCATTGGCCAATTTAACCGCCTGCTCCTCCGTCTCAAACCGATACAGCGCCGCGATGGGCGCAAATGATTCCTCCCGCGAGATGAGCATATCGTCTGTCATTCCAGACAGAATGGTCGGTTCGAAGAAATATCCTGAGCTCGAGGTCAACGGCTTGCCACCCAGCAAAACATCTGCTCCACGCCGGCGAGCGTCCTCGACATGAGCATTGGCCTTTTCGATACTGCGCGGCGTGGTCAACGGGCCCATTGTTGTGCCCGCCTTGGCGCCATGGCCGACTACCAGGGCTGCGGTCCTCTCCTTGAGCAGCGCGGCGAACTTGTCATAGATGCCGGCTTGTACATACACCCGATTTGCAGTGATACAGGCCTGCCCGGCATGACGCCACTTAAGAGCCATGAGCTGGTCGATCGCTTGGTCGAGATTGGCATCGTCAAACACCAGGAAAGGACAGTTCCCTCCGAGTTCAAGTGTCAATTTCTTCAGACCCTGCGCACAGTGGGAGGCGACCAGCTTGCCGACGCGTGTAGACCCGGTGAAAGTGACTTTTTTAACCAGTGGGTGCTTGCACAGCGCCTCGCTCAGCGGTGGTGTGTTGTCTAGATCGGTAGTGATCACATTAAACACGCCGGACGGAATCCCCGCACGCTTTGCCAATTCTGCCAGCACCAGTGCCGAAATAGGCGTCTCCGGACTCGGCTTGACTACCATAGTGCACCCTGCCGCCATAGCCGCACCGGCCTTGCGGAGTACCATTGCCACGGGGAAATTCCACGGCACCAGTGCGGCAGCCACTCCGATCGGCTGCTTGATAGTGAAGAGCCTCCGGTTCGGAGCAGCTGGCACCGACACGCTGCCCTGGATACGCTCCGCTTCGCCCGCAAACCACCACAGGAATCCTATCGAATAGTCAAGTTCTCCATACGCCTCGGCCAACGGCTTGCCGGTCTCGTGTGTAACGATTTGCGCAAGGTCATCGCGTGCCTCGACAGTCAGGTCATGCCATTTCATCAACCACTTGGCACGCTGGCGCGGGCTGGCCTTACGGAACTGCTCAAAGGCTGCGTGCGCTGTTTCCACGGCGGTGTCCACATCCTCTGCGGAGTTATTTGGGCAGCTAGCCCATGCCTTATCTGTGCCCGGGTCTGTAGGGTCTGTTAGTTTCGGTTTCCCCTTACAGTTCGCAGTTCATACCAAGCACCTCGAAGCGCTGCCCACTCTTCGCTTGCACCCATTGATTCCCGACAAAGGAGTCAAAGTGGAGCAGACTGGGATCGGCGAGCTGGTTGAAATGAGCATCAGCGGCTGAAATGATAATCGGACATCTGGCCGAATTATTGCCCCGCAGTTCACTGACGTACCTTGAACGGCAGCTGATACTGGGTCGTCATGGTCAAGATGTGGTGGATGAAGAGGAGGAAACCCGAGAAGGTGGGGTTTTTATATTCAAGTGGGGGAACCGTGGTTCAACATCACCTCGGTAGATCATCCCCATGCCGCGTTGCTTCCCAAGCAGCCGATTCGGCTACTCCGGCATTTATATAATCAAGACTATCCATACTCGCCATTTTTCTATAGTTGAAGCTTGGGGTATCACTCGAGGTTGTTGAGGGTTTCATCGAGTACGGTCGGTTTGTAGGTGCTTTGATGGAGGCATGTCGTCGGTCGATCAAGGTCTTTGTTGGCCCACCCTGGATTGTTTTCTGGGCCACTACGGATGAAGATGGCGGCAAAAGGATCAAATGGCTATGACTATACATAAATATGTAGTAACCGCCCTGAAATCCTCGGTGTTGCCGGAAAATTTCAAATCCACCAGAGACCCGTCGTGAAAGATTCGAAGCTATAGTACAACATCCAGATAGAGTTGTTCAAGAGAGCACAACACTAATGAGCAGAAAATAGCTGAGAAGTTCTCATGAACCATACCGGCAGTTGACCCCACGTCAATGCGACCTCCCATCTTGAAAGGCTACGGATTCAGATACTACTACTACACGGAGCACGTTTCTGATTATCATCCGTTGCCTCTGCTGAAACACCGTAGTTTCGGATTTGTTTGAGATTATTTACTAAGGGTTTTAAGAAAATCATTTGTGATGCCGCGATGTGGACAGTCGAGATCTGTTCCGACCTACACTCATCAACAAGGTATCCGAAGAAAGTTGGTGTTGCATAGCCAACAACCAGCTTCTAATACACAACGAGGGCCAAAAAAACAAAAATAGCTACAACGAAATTCTTGGCATGGGAATTTCCTTATTGGGGTAGTTCAGACTCCATACATAGTGGATATGCAATCCTGCGCCCACCACTTACGTCCCGGAACCGTGTTGGGGGCAATTTGGTCCAATCTGCAACGACACGACACCATCTGGATATTCGATCCCCAGAGATCGGCCACTTTGGCCCGTCATATAGGACTCCCCAGGGAATCTCGCGCAACATGAATGGATTTGCCTCTCCACTTGTCCTTCCCACCTGAATCCGTTCTTTTTTCCAAACAACATGCATATCCACATACTCCTTTCTAGCCTATGTTTCTTCGCCTCTATCAGTTCCGCGGCCTATACGTTGCAAGACGACTATGGGGATACCGACTCATTCTTTGACAAATTCGATTTCTGGAGCCAGCCTGACCCAAGCGCCGGCTTCGTCAAGTATCTAGACCAGCGAAGCGCCCGGTCTACTGGCTTGATCTCTGCTGATGGCGGCTCCGTCTATATCGGCGTTGACAACTCGTCGACCACTACGACGGGTCGCTCTAGCGTGCGTATTTCGAGCAAAAATCGGTACACTAAGAGCCTCTTCATCCTAGACCTCGCGCATATGCCCGCCAGCACTTGCGGCTCATGGCCTGCCTTGTAAGTTGAGTCGAGGATTAACACATGCAAAAACACTGATGAACGATATAGTTGGCTCCTAGGCTCTGGCGTCGACCCCGTTAATGGCGAGATCGATATCATCGAAGGCGTTGATCGGTCGCATACCAACTCAATGACCCTACACGCCACGCGTGGGTGCACAATAAATAACTCTAGCTTCACTGGGAAGCTTACTACTAGCGATTGCTACGACCATGCAAAGGGGCAGGGCCTGGATGACGGCTGCGGCATCTCCAATCCAGATACACGGTCCTTCGGCACAGGGTTCAACGAGATCGGAGGTGGTGTCTACGCCACGGTGTGGACTTCCGAGGGTATCAGCATCTGGTTCTTTGGCCGTGACACCGGTATCCCCTCTGATATTACGAAGGGCACACCGGACCCGTCTACATGGGGTCTTCCTGCCGGTCGGTTTGCCGGAGACTGCGACTTTGACGCACACTTCAAGAACATGACGATGGTTAGTTCCCTCCTTCCCACGTCATAGAACGACAATACTAACCAAAACAGATCTTTAACATTGACTTCTGCTCCGCCTGGGCTCGCGGGGTCTTTGATAGAGACCCCGTGTGCTCTAAACTGGCAGATAGTTGCCGAGACTACGTCGGCAAGAACCCAACGGCCTTTGGGCAGACTTACTGGGGCATCAATGGTCTCAAGGTCTACAAGAACAGCGCCGACCAGGATAGCGATGATGCCAATTGTGATGCTAAAACAGTCTGCGACCACCATCTGCACTCTCCCAAGCAACTCAACGCCCCACCGTCCGCCATGCGCGCCAGGTCCCGCCGCAACCGGGTGAACTACTTCAAATAGAATTTTTTTCTTTTTTCAACAGGTGATGGATGAGATCTAGGGTCTTCACTCTGCTTTCCTTTCTGTTCAATATTCTTAGAGGTTCTGGGTTGGTCTTTTTATGGCTATCCTTTTTTGGGCTAGGGACTTCTGTATACCGAGGTAAACGGCTTAGATCGATGGGTCTTGACATTTGTTTGTAAATAAGTAGCAACCTCTTTTTTGCATTTGAAATCAAAGAATCTAAGCATCTGTTATTTGCGGTCCGTAAATAATCCATCAGTTCTTCTCTTGGCGGATCCCCACATGCGGGGGCAAATCGGACTTGGTCCGATTGATGATACCTCCTCAGCCTCCCTGCTTCTTTCAACTTCCCCAACCATGTCTCCCTCTACCCACAATAAATCCTACAGCATTGCCTCCATCCCCGCAGACGGTATCGGCCCCGAGGTCATCGCCGCCGGGATCGAAACCCTCCAGGCCCTCGCACGGACCCTGCAGTCCTTCGAACTGCAGTTCCACCACTATGACTGGAGTTCCGAGACGTATCGAAAGACGGGGAAATATATCCCCGACGGTGGCCTCGATGAGCTGAAGAAACATGACGCAATCTTGTTTGGAGCGGTCGGAGCACCGGGTGAGTCCACACCGAAGAGAGCACGCCAGACTCCAGATACTAAGACCCTTCCCTAGATGTCCCGGACCACATCTCCCTCTGGGGTCTCCGACTGGCCATCTGCCAACCGTTCCAACAATACGCCAACGTGCGTCCTACGCGGATCCTTCGCGGCACCGAATCCCCGCTCCGACGCTGCGATCCAGGCGACCTGGATTGGGTGATCATCCGCGAAAACAGTGAAGGCGAGTACGCCGGTCAGGGCGGACGATCCCACCGCGGGTTTCCGTGGGAGATCGCCACCGAGACAGCAATCTTTTCGCGGCATGGAGTGGAGCGTATCATGCGGTTTGCATTCGAGACGGCGCAGAAGCGACCGCGGAAGCATCTGACGGTGGTATCGAAGAGCAATGCGCAGCGCAATGGGATGGTGCTCTGGGATGAGGTTGCAGTCGAGATTGCGCGCGAGTTTCCCGATGTGCAGGTGGATAAGATGCTGGTGGATGCGATGACGACGCGGATGGTGCTGAAACCGAAATCGATCGATACGATTGTGGCGTCCAATCTGGTTGGTTCATCCCTGCTCGCCAAGAGATACTTAATATTCTTATTTGGTTTCTGGACGCTTCATTGACTACCCGAACTAACCTTTCTCTAGCATGCTGATATCCTCTCCGATCTGGCCGCCGCCCTCGCCGGGTCTATTGGCATTGCACCCACCTCCAATCTGGATCCGACTCGCCAGCACCCCAGTATGTTCGAGCCGATTCATGGCTCTGCATTTGACATTACTGGCAAGGGGGTTGCCAATCCCGTGGCGACGTTCTGGACCGCGGCAGAGATGCTTGACTGGCTTGGAGAGAAGGACGCCGCCCGGCAGCTGATGCAATGCGTCGAGACTGTGTGCGAAGGGGGCGTACTCACTCCAGATCTAGGTGGAACGGCGACTACGAAGGATGTGACGGCGGCGGTTGTGGCCGAGATTCGGAAGTTGCCGAGCTCGTGAGGGCTGACGATCAGTTTATTTGATTGTAATTTAAGGTAGAATGATGATGATAATCCAATTTTCTCACGAAGCAATTTACTGCAGAGGCCGGCCCCTCCGAGGAAAACTGCACCTCTTGTCTATAGATGCGCAGTATAAGCTCCTCCGTCGGACCAAAGCGTACAAAATCACCTGAAATCGGCAAATTCTTTCAGGCACCAACCTAGACAAAGCTTCGTCATCGCTTTCCCAATCGCGAATATTTCGATGGATGCTGGTTGGTGGAGGGCTAGAGATCGACGGGCGACTATTGGATCCCCCCTCCGTCAGGTCGCAGCACTATGTCTCGGAGCACGGCGACCGTTACATGAGCTTTCTCCACATGTGATAATCATCAAAATAAATATGACGTGGAGCGTTCCGATCTAGATTCCCATCGACAAGAATCATGTCGCTCAATCGGCTTCTTCTCTGCACGGGCAGTGTCCTGGCCAGCGCGCTGGGAGGTACGATGCCTCGAGAATCCTAAGGATAATGTTTTCTGACCAATTGATCATCCACAGCTCATGCCAGCCTCAACACGGTCCCCACGATTCCATTCTTTGAGGCCGGAGGCAGTTACTCGCTGTCGCACCTGACGGACATTGTCGTCGATTCCCGGTATGCGAACTCAGTCGACCACACTGGCGAGACCTGGATCCCTCCGACCCTGCAGCAGTTTGCAGCAACCTTCCAGGCAGATCTCCAGTCGGTCTTTGGGCTGGACGTGCAGTTGTCTCATGGCACAAAGCGCAAAGCCAATGCGATCTTCGTTACCTTGACCAACCAAACGGGATTCCATGATGCTGCTGGTCAGTGGACGTCCGAAGGATATGCCTTGACGGTGGATGATAATGGAGTGGTTGTCGCCGGTGCCAGCCCTCTCGGTGCCTGGTGGGGAACACGATCGGTGATCCAGGCCGCGGTGGAAGGGAAGTCGTCGCTAGCCAAGGGATCGGGGGTGGATGCGCCTGGTTGGCGCACTCGGGGTGTCATGGTAAGTTACTTGGTGATATCTGGTTTCTGGGTAAGTCGGATTAACTCACACGGTACATCAGCTCGATGCCGGTCGACACTACTATCCCCCAGATTTCCTAGTCGAGATGTGCTCGTACCTGTCGTTCTTCAAGCAGAATACATTCCATGTGCATCTCAGCGACAATATCTATAACAATGTCGACCTATACTCAAGGGAGCGCAGCTTGCATGATACTTACGCCGCAATTCGCCTCTGGTCCGACGACCCGGCAGTCGCCGGCCTGAACAAGCGTGCCAACGAGTCGTACACTCGCGAAGAATTTGACGACATTCAGAACCAGTGCGCGCAACGGGGTGTCACCATCATTCCCGAGATTGAGGCTCCAGGCCATGCTCTTGTGATCGTACAATGGAAACCCGAACTCGGACTGGGAGATCTGAGCATGTTGAACATCAGCCATCCAGACACGATCCCAACCATGAAGACGATCTGGAAGACGTTTTTGCCGTGGTTCCACAGCAAGACGGTGCACATTGGCGCCGACGAATACAACAGCAGCCTGATTTCGGACTACACGTATTTCGTGAACACGATGAACGACTTCATCCGCACCGAGTCGTCGGGTAAAAAGGCCATGCGCATTTGGGGCACCTTCACTCCCAAGGAAGGTTGTAACGTCTCGAAATCGGTATCCTACCAACACTGGGATACTAGTGCTGACCGCCCCTACTGGGACTACATCCAGAATGGGTACAATGTGCTCAACTCCGACGACTACTTGTATCTCGTTGGGGGATGGTCTGGCTCATTCCCGCAGGTGCTCGACCAGAACCAGATCTTTGACGACCCATACGGCAAGCCATACTCGCCCCCGACATTTGACACGTCCCTGATTGGGGACAATCCGGCGAGAAAAAATCCTCGTACACTCGGACATCTCGCCGCTCTGTGGAATGACTATGGTCCCAACTCAACCACCGTCCTACAGGCGTACTACTCTTGGCGCGATTCCCTGCCCGCACTAGCTGATAAGCAATGGGGAGGCAACATCACCGCGACAGCGTATAACAATGTTTTTGCTAAGTTGCACGCCGCAGTGCCAGGGCAAAATCTTGATCGGAGTATCCCCAGCAAGAACCAGACCATCCTGCACTATGCCTTTGAACAAGACAACGCGAAGACGGTGAGAGACCATTCAGGCAATGGTTACGACGGCACCGTCCACGGATGCAAGATCCGCAACGGCCAAGTCCACTTTGAAAATGGCTGCTACGTCGAAACACCTCTGGGCAGCAAGGGACGAGACTATACGCTCTCATTTTACGTGAAGCCCACGAACAACGTGCCAGGCACTTTATTCGCCGGTCCAGACTCCACCTTCGTCAATGGCAACGGCACCATCTCCAACATTACTCTGATCAGTGGCGGAAATCCCTATTCGCTCAACTACACTCTGCCTCTGAATGCCTGGACTGGCGTGAATCTCATCGGCAAGGGCACGAACACGATCATGACTGTCGCGAATGCGGGCGACTCGTCTAAAACTATGGTGTTCAATACGAGGATCGGGGTTAATGGCGAGAGCTTTGTGTGGGCGCCTATTGCCGTTGAGGCGCCGTTGCATCGTATTGGAGAGGGATTTACCGGGTTGATGAAGGATATTATCTTGACCGATGGATCGCTGTACTAGAATATAGACAGGGACAGAGCTTTTGGGAATGCAACACGTATATACAGCCAGCCAGTCCAAATATTATATGTTCGAATCCAAATTACGGTGCAGTCTAGTAACCGTCTCACAAATCCAGGCATTCCACTAACCGCCTTCTTCGGTAATCCTCCCGATGACTTTCCACTAGACCGAGATAGAAATGTAATGGTGCAGGGCGGCAGCTATCTTATCAACTGTCCGATGCCGTGCGCCGGCCCCACTCCTCAACTTCACTTGTTCAGCCTTGCGTCGACAACTCTTGAAACAAGAGCAGTCGCCGCAGCACGCCAGGGAGGACTCTGCCCCACATGTCTTGAGATTGCCCATTGAAGTCCTGCTGATAATCCTTGACCCCCTCAGTCGGACTGACCAGGTCAACCTGGCGCGGTCCTGTCAACGGTTATATAAACAGATCATTCCCATGTTCTATATTTCAATCGACACTCCATGCTATTGTGTAGATCTCCCCCAGGCCCTGGCAAATACTCTTCTCCTCCATCCAGAGCGAGCACATTCCGTCCGCCATCTAAAAGTGGGCAAATTGAAGTTCGGCCGCAAGCCAGAGTCCTACATACAGCACCGCCATGAGTACTATGAGTCTGTCAAGACCAAGAAAAGTCTCACGGATGCTGTCGGCTGATTGAATCATCGAGATTGGGAGAAGACATAATGGCTCGAAGACCTGGAAGGCTGGCCCGATCTCAACGTTTACCAACATCGCGATGCCTGGCTAGCTGTTTTGCTGTATCTTGTGACCAACATCCGAACGCTCGAACTATTCTGGGGCGGCACGGGTACCCGGTATCGTACGGGGTGCTTCAACGAGCAGCTCAACGCTCGAAACCTTCCGGCTCGCATCAACCATTCCCGTTTTTTTACACAGCCTGCATCAAAATGACCGCCGTCACAGGCCAGTGTTTCTCGCTGGCGCGCCTGGCCCCTTTTTTCCAATTTATCTCTATGTGTACATTCAAGGGCCGGCTGATGACAGACGGTAACATCATACACAACATGCTCCCGGTAAACAGCTCCCGCATCACACACCTGGAAATAGAACAAAGCAGCAGCGAAACCGGGTTTATCGATCTGATCGCACCTTGCACAAATCTGAAAGTCTTTGAACATACAAGTCAAGACGAGTACTTGATCTACGATAACGACTATCGCCGATAATTTTGCCATTTCTGGCCAGAAGCTTTCATCAGAACTCTGGAGAAGAAGAGAGATACCCTGGATGTGGTATATCTCTCCCTCGTTAGCCCAGCGAAAAGCTTCAGAAACAATTACACAGGATGTACGAGGATAATAGGAGGTATCAAGGCCAGTCCTGAAAAGTAGCGCTCCCTTGATGTCAATCTGAAAGCCCGGCAGCTCTCTTTCTACTCGAACCCCTTGTGGCTTTTCTAGTCGCCCCGAAGAGTCAAGGGTTGCAAAATAGCCCTACTATGACATCTCAGTTCTCTCGTCCCACCAACCATGAAAGAGGACAGGGAGAGGGCTGGGAGATGAATCACTCGAATTGATGCCGCTTCACGCGGCATTTTTCCATTGGACAAAGGAATTCCGCCTTGTCATATATCTCCGCGGCCAACTGATAGGTTCATCCATCCGGCCACTAGACTTCTTTGTTTGTCAATCGATGGACAAATTTTCGGGCATATCATATTTGTATTCGCATCTACAGCGACAGTCGTGCCACTTACATCGAGCAGGAAATCATTAATTAGTCCCCTACGTAATGTTCTAGTCGAGAATAAACCGTTTCCCTACATTTTCTTGCTTCCTTATGTCAACTGCTCTAAAAATTCGTATATTCACTACAGTCAGTCCATTGCCTACACTGTATCAACCCCGTGGGCCGTTTAAACAATGCATTTGAACCTAAAATGCCAATCAGTTTTGCATAATGTTTGTCAAAGTAGCGGTGAAAGATGCTTGGACAAATAATAGTTTATACTTTCGTATGGGTGTGTGTAACCATGTAGCAGATATGGCTCGGTTAAAATGCCCTCGCCCCCGCGTTCAAACCCAAAACTAGGAGTATGCCCACCGTTTTCTGCTCTATTCCCTCAGAATGCTTGGGCGTTCACATTTTTGCGGCTCTCAGCATACTAACCCTCGTCCGCAAAGTTAAATCAACAGAGCACGAGATTTCAAAATGTCATCAAATAAATCCTTCCTAGTCAGTCTTCACATCCGATACTTCATCGAGCATCCAGATCTAACGCGGCCCGGTAAATATATCTCCATGAAGTTGCGTGTTTCACTCAATATACCAGACAGAGATGAACAATCAGACGACGTTACATAGGATGACATTCCACTCTGAACAGAATACTTGCAGCTGGGCGACATACCGAATCCTTGCAGCTAGGTCACCCGACCCTCGTACAACATAATGCTAGGTAAAAAAGTATCGCATGTACGTTACGGGTTTTCGGGTATAAGAAAGGCAGACACTACCTGATATTTCAAGAATCAGTTCGTGTACCATTTTGATCTACTTATTCGGCCCAAGCGTCCATATCAAGCTCTCGTACCTTACCTGACCGACAGGCGTTCTACCCTAAAGAAGTAGATCCTTAATAACTAACAAACATGTCTAAGCTTTCCACTTTTATGATCCTTCTCTACGGTACATAAACACTACTACTAGTAGTTCTCTACAGCCTATACTTACTTGGTCATGTTAGGCATCATCACCGCCGTTTCTGCCAGCCTACCGGCTGAGGGCTCTAGTATCTTACAGTGTACGGAATGGTGCATCAAAAATAAGCTGGGCCTAACTTGCGAGCTCGAGGCCGCTCTTAGGAGAGGCCTCTGTTATCAATGCGGCCCTTTGAAGACAGTCGCCTCAGAACAGCTTTGTAATAGTAAATGCGTGGATTCTTCTACAGACCCAAACAACTGTGGGAAATGTGGAAGTCAAGTGAGCCTAATACTCCTATCGACTGCTTTCTGTTTACTATTGTCTATTCTTACTAATTTGAATATTGCCACGTAGTGTCCGGCTGTGCAGACTTGTGTGTCGGGTACCTGCTCTTGTCCAAGCGGCCAGACACTTTGTGGCACTGGCGCTGCCGCTAAATGCGTAAATTCTTCTACAGACCCAAGCAACTGTGGGACATGTGGAAATCAAGTGAGCCTAATAACTATCGACCGCTTTCTGTCTACTATTGTCTACCCTTACTAATTTGAATATTGTTACGTAGTGTCTGGATGTGCAGACATGCGTGTTGGGTACCTGCAAATGTCCAAGCGGCCAGACACTTTGTGGCACAGGGGCTGCCGCTAAATGCGTAAATTCTTCTACAGACCCAAGCAACTGTGGGACATGTGGAAATCAAGTGAGCCTAATATTCCTATCGATTGCGATCTATCTACTATTGTCTACCCTTACTAATTTGTTATTGCCACATAGTGTCCGGCTGTGCAGACTTGCGTGTCGGGTACCTGCGCATGTCCAAGCGGCCAGACACTATGTGGCACTGGCGCTGCCGCTAAATGCGTAAATTCTTCTACAGACCCAAGCAACTGTGGGTCATGTGGACACCAAGTGAGCCTGATACTCCTATTAACTACGATCTGTCTTCCCTTGCTAATAAACATTGCCACGTAGTGTATAGGTGGGCAGACTTGCGTGTCGGGTACCTGCTCATGTCCAAGCGGCCAGACACTATGTGGCAGTGGCGCTGCCGCTATATGCGTGAAATCTTCTACAGATCCAAGCAACTGTGGGACGTGTGGACACCAAGTGAGCCTAATACTACGACGATCTGTCCACCCTTGCTAATAAACATTGCCACGTAGTGTATAGGTGGGCAGACTTGCGTGTTAGGCACCTGCACATGTCCAAGCGGCCAGACACTTTGTGGCACAGGGGCTGCCGCTAAATGCGTAAAAACTCCTACAGATCCAAGCAACTGTGGGACATGTGGACACCAAGTGAGCCTAATACTCCTAACTACGATCTGTCTTCCCTTGCTAATAAACATTGCCACGTAGTGTGCGGATGGGCTGACTTGCGTGTCGGGTACCTGCACTTGTTCAACCGGACAGGCAATATGTGGCACCGGCGATGCCGCTATATGTGTAAGTTATCATCCCGAGGCGACGCAAGTTTTTTATTGTTCTTCTGGCTCTGATTATTGTCCGACCGATAGTGTGCGGCTGGCCAATCTTGCACTGGCAACGGCATTTGCACGACATTCCAGAAATGCTCAGCTCTCCCTGGGATATGTGGCCAGAGAACTACCGAGTGTACACTCGCCAGTAGCGCCTGCGACTGTGCTTCTACATCAGAGGGGACCTTATGCGTTGACATAAGCATAACTTGTGCCGATGCCACTAGCTGCTCTACTAGTTCAGATTGTCAGCCTGGTTACGTGTGTGGTTCGACTCGCTGCTGTTCTGCGCCAATCTGTCTGAACGCCGTCCAGTGTGCACTTCCAGACACTCCATCAAGGATCTTCAGAAGGAGGGTGTAACGGCCAGCGCCGTCTCAGAATCACGTTCAACACGTGCCAACCCTCTTCTATCTTGGTACCCACCCTTGTCGTCTCAGAATCACGTTCAACACGTTCCAACCCTCTTCTACCTTGGTACCCACCCCTTAGCTAGTTTCCTCTTTCGTCAATTGCAACCGGCCTCACTATATTGAACCGAAGTAGTCTCTCTCAGCTCTTCACAGGTATATACACGATGAACTGAATCAACATAATGTAATCAAAATAAAGTGATTATAGGCAGGGTATATAAAAAAATTTGAGGTTGCGACGTGACGCGCCTATCTGACCTTCCGAACAAGGAGATGGGTTAATGTCGTGCAAAGTACCCGATTGTTTGCCTTTTATGCAATCGGGAATATGGCAGTTGACAGATAGCTTGCGCTCAGTGTGTATGGAAAATGGTACTACATCTCATATTCGGGATCGTGAGATCGAGGCTAGCTTAAAAGAAGTTGATGGTGTTCTGATGTTCTCGAGGTTTGAGGGGGATTAGTAATTGGTTTAGAGTGGGATGGCGATTTAAGCTTATCCTGCGTGTCTTATGTCCACAGCAAATTCAGGGACTTTATGTGGTACCTAAGGGAGAAGCGGTGCTTAAATAAGAAAACAATGCTTTTTCCAAAATGCGGCGTTCATGGTGTAACCTACTGCTTCTAATAAACCGGATATCTATGCCAATGACTTAAAGCCAAGTTACATTCGAAACCAGATACAGATACAGACACAAGCAGCATTCAACCCACAATGCAATCAGAAGATATCTCAAGAATTAAGTAGCCGTAAACAAACAAGAAAAAACAAACTACTCCATAAGCAACGCCAAATAACACCACCTCACCAAGCCTTTGAACAGTGAGCTCAAGAGTCCGCATCCTCCTGGGTATACTGCTTGATTCCCTGCTGCATGGCATCCAGATGCGCGAACTTGAGGGTATCCTCGCCGAGACTCCAGGCCATAACGCCGCCCAACTTCTTCTCCTCCACGATCTTCTTGTATTTCTCTGCGATCAGGTCGGGGGTGTCCCAGGTCCAGAAGATGTTGACCTCGTCATCATAGTAGTACTGGCCGCCCTCCTTCTCATCCGTCTGGCCGTCTTTCAGGGCGCGGCGCCACGAGTCGGTGATCGAGATGCCCTTGCAAGTACCGTAGTCGGACAGACAGCCTGCCTGGCAGAAGTCATCACCAGAACCGCTGGAATGCATAGTTAGCTTTGGATTATAGACAGAAGGGGAGGATAAAATACCAGTTGCCATACTGGCTGCAGCACTGTCCATCGGGGCACTTGGTAGACGAAGAGTAACCGCACTTGCCATCCGTGCTAGTCTTCAGGTCCTTGGGCGGCTCTGACATAGTACTCTTCTCAAAGGTAAGCACGCCAGATTTGCCATTGTCACTACCGTCATCGTTCTCAAGCTTGACCATCTTGCAACCAATAGGCTCCTTATCACAGTCAGAATCCTTGTCAGTGGTGAACCACTTGGCATAGTAAGCGAAGCCCAGGTTAACCTTCTCCGGATCAAGTCCCATATCCAGGTAGCTCTGAACAACATCCAGAGATCCCTGGACGCTGCTAGCAAAGCCAGTGACATTGTCGCGGCGGTTAACCAGGTCGTAGCTCATAACGTTGACCATGTCGACTGAGTCCCAGATCTTGGGGCCCTGCTCCTTGGTGAAGGCAATCATGTCAACCTTGCGGCCTGGCACGGCGACGGACAGCGTTTTGTTGCCAATGGCCTTCTTGACCGCAGCCAGGAACTTGGGGTAGGTCTCGATCTCGTCCGTCTTCTTCGAGTTCGGGGTTTGCTTGTAGTCCTGTCCATTACCGCCCGGGTACTCCCAGTCGATATCTGTGATGCATTCTTAGCTTGCGTAATACATGGAAGATAGATCCGGTATTCTCACCAACGCCGTCAAAACCATTGGAGTCCAGCATCGACGCCACGTTCTTCGCGAACTGCTCTCGCGACGCGTCATCCTTGGCTCCTTGCGAGAAACCCTCCGTGTCGCCCCAGCCGCCAATGGCGATCATCACCTTAGTGTCGGGACTGAAGCGCTTGCGCATAGTTTCCACCGGCTCAAAGGGCTGGAACGAAGGCGCCGAGCCCTGGGTAAACAGGGTGGTTTTGGCAAAGGCCATGATAGCATGGTCGATTTCCTGTGTCTGGTTGGACCCTGGAAGATCAACCGTATGGTATCTGCATGTTGTATTAGATGATGTCTGTCAATTTGGGTGTCAGGAAAGGACATACTGGTCAATGTACATGGCAAAGCGTGCACCAGCGGCGCAGTGAGCGGCCAGCAGGCCGAGAGCAAGCTGCTTCAGCATGGTGATCCTCCAGCACGCGACAGTAAGGAGTGGATAAAAGTTAGGCACGTCAACCAAGACGGCAAGACCCGAATATCAAAAAGGGCAAAGAAACCAGCGCCGAGGCTATGAATCGGACACGCGAAAAGGGACTGAGAGCAAAGAAGAGGAAGAAGAAGAAGAAGAGAAAGGAAACAGAGAAAATCCAGCGAGGGCGCAGAATATAGCATCAACACGACCAGAATGATCGCCGTTCTTCGCCCACGTCATGCCTCCCAAAGGGGGCCGACGCACTGTCCAGCGGCCATGCCCGAGAGAGTTTATAGGCGACGGGTTGAATTGCGGAGCGTTGGCACAGAACCTGGCACTTGTCGCTGTTCTACTCATCCCTTTCATGCCGTGGAGAATGCGAAGACAACCTGAGGTTGGATGAAGCCCATGAACGACAAGCCCTAAGGCGAGGGCGGGAATGTAATGGATGCGGTCATTAATTCCAACATCCCGATCTAGCCACCCGTTAGAAAGACCATGGAAATTCTAAAGGTTGAGGGTCAGTCTCTTGGGCCTCGTTTTGGAGAGTGTGAAGCAGTCTAGGCCAGAGATCATGCATGCCAGATCGACACCACAGACATTCCCGCTTGGCTCGCATTCCATTCTGCATCACTGGATGCCCCGTTCAACGCACATAAAAACACCGCAATGGCAACGGAAATGCTGAGGCAGCCGCCGGGTCTTCGAGTCTCGTGCGAGCTCGACATGTCTTTTCTGAAAAGCAGTATTTCATTATGTGATAAGTTCATCTTCGACGGTACAAATGCTCTAGGGGTATAAGCGAATCAGGGATAAGAAACAACGCCAGGTCTCTATATGACAGGTAAGATGCGAAGAAAGAATAAGCATGTCGAGAGCCTAGTTCCAATGCCGCCGAATAATAGGCCGGGCAGGATCCCAGGGCCCAATGACCACATTCTTGTACTTCTGCAGGGAAATGAGCCACCAACTACAACCGCCCATGGCCAACGCAGTCAAGATGCTCCCTAGCACGGAGCCGATGATGGCTGATGCCCATCCGCCCCTGAGTGTGACGCCCACGGCACCTCCAGCAACAACCACCAAGGCAAAGGTCAAAAGAGCGTGGCCCGTCCAGGACTTTTGACGCAATTGGCGGCGGAAGATGGGGAACAGACCAAAGACTTCCATTGAAAAAAGCATCAGGCTGAACACGTGGGTGGTGGTCGGAAGACGGGACGCGAGTACCGTGGACGCCATTACGGCGGCATTGGTAGAAAGAGAAGCCGGGAATTTGGTGGCGTCGGCGCCCTCTCCGCTTCCGTAGTCAAAGGAGAAAATATTCGTGATTAAGAGCCAACAGCTCACTGCCCAGATGGAGTCGCTCGCAGTGGATTTTGTCAGCGATTTAAGAATCGGACTGAGTCCGAGCAGGGAAAAATAGATTAAAAAGGCCGATTTGACGGTAGAAAGACGCTGTCGATTGCGAGATGAGAAAAGTGATGATCGGCTGGCTTCCGGGAGTAATGAAGCTTCGGTATTGCCCAAGACGGTGGCTGGGGAGGCCGAGGGTGCTATATTGTGTGTGGTTGCATCCCGCACTGCGTCAGAGCTTCCGGCGAGATCTGTGCTTGGCCTAGACAGTTGCTCCCGAGATTCGTTGCTAGACATCGTCAGACCAAGCCCATGGATCGGGCTGGTGGTGGAACCATTAGGCTGCGCATGATTGCCATGCGGGTTGGCAGCGCTAGTCATCGAGCTGGAGCTGGAGCCATCGTCAACTCCCGCGGTGCCATCTGCAACCTGTGGAGCTTCCTCATGCTCTTTCCCGATCCAGTTGTCCCACAGTGTCCAGCCCATTGCAGTGCCGACACTCCCCCAGCAAACGATCGAGACGGGGCTCACTCTATCCTGGACGATCCCGACGAAACAGCAGACAAAAATGACGACGGAGCACACATGTTGCACAATCACAGTGGAATCAGCCACGAGAGGCCAGAAATCGTAAGGGCGGACCCGAGGGTTCCGCTGCAGATGATCTAGAAAAGTTTCGGTGTCGGTGTAGTTATCTGGATCTATGGTCGACCGTCAGCATTCATCGATCTGGCACCAGAGGCAGCAACATACATGACTGCTTGACCCAGAGAAGCTTTTTCCAAGCTCCCTTCCGCCTCCGACGTCCGCTCGTCCCTCGCAGTCTCCGAATATCCTTGTGGTTTGGATTCGCACCGAGCAGTGCAGTCTCCGGCCGCAACGCGGCCATGCCGGTGGCCGTAGCATCACCGTTCAGGGCGCGGAAATTATCCGCATAGTGCGCAGGCGCGGAGCGAATCCTTGAGATAGAATGCGCAAAGTACGCGTCCTCCGGTGCCAGACGATTGGGGTCGGGTAGGGTTCGCTCTAGTCCAGGAGGGTTCGAACGGTTCGGGTGAGTGTCGACGGGTATCGGTGGAGGGAAAGGGGACAACGAGGGAGGTGGTGAATTCATTGAGCTGACACGGTTATGATCGCAGCATCGTTGGACCAGGAAAGAGAGCGTCAGGTTTCCACCGTCGATACCTAACGGGTTTGCTTTAATTCAATTGACATTCAAGACACAAGAGGACGCGGCAAGGTGGCTGACTCAGCAGATCAGTCATGTGATCTCGAGGTATATGCTGTGGACAGATGGTTGAACGGCTAAGAACTCTTTATTCGAATGGGTTCAGGAGTATATTTATATAAGCAGGTAGAAATGTTCTGCCAAATGACGTCTGGCTTGGCATAATGAATATATCCCCTGGCTAGAAATGAAAGATTGTTGGAAGGCAGATTCGTTACATTCACATTTACCTAGTATTGTACAAAATTCCTTGAATATCTCACAAGCGCCCCCCAAAGGTTGACGTTGTGACAGACAGGGTGTGTAAACCAACAATATCCACAGAGCTTCGCAAATATTGTTCAACAGATCCTCAACACCTCCAGTTCTTTCGGACATCAGCAACTCATAAACATCTAAAACACCGGCTTGATATCAATGACGAGAATGCCAACCCCGCCAGAGAGCTGGTCAATGTCCTCGCACAAGATACGGAACTCATCCTGACATCCTTCCCCGATATACCGAATGCCCTCAACACCTGGAATCTGGCACGCAAGAGCCATAGAACTAGCTTTGCGAGCGCTCCGGTAGAACTCGCGTGCTTTTTTGAAAAAGACATCGACGTTCTCGCAATCCCCCACGGAGAAACAACGCGTCATCTCAGATGTCTCCGATACGAGCTTGAATCGCGCTTTGGTGATGCGCGAAGATGGTGTGGGGGTGGGGGCAAAGAGACGTCGTCGCACATTCCGGTCGGTGGAATGGTCTGAGGATACTTCACTAAGTTCGCGTTTCGATGCCTGATCAGCCCAGAAAGCTTGGTCCTTTGTTTTCTGCGGTGACGGTCTCTCGTCATCTTCAGAAGCTTGTGTAATCGGACTAGGCGTAGGTGCATAGAGCACAGGTTCCGAGAAGGTCGGGTATGGGTGAAGACTCTTGCCGCTTGCGTGGTTCGCGGAATCTGCAGGTGAAGAGTCCTTGTTCTTCTTCGGCGTGGTAATGGCTCGTAGAAGTAGAGGGTTATCCTGCGCGTAATCGAACATTTTGGGGTCAAACCGAATCTTTTTGTCATCGAGTATGGGAACCCTCACAGCGGACACCTCGCAGTCCCATTGTTGGGTGACACCGAGCCACGCAAGGAGGTATTGACCTTTCAAACTCTTGGTGGTCATCCTGGGGCGAATACTAGTGGGAGCAACCAGCTCTCCAAGGCCTTTCTCCGACAGAAGAACCATGACGAAGTAAGGATGAGAAATTGCATGGGTGATGACCTTGTAAATAGCAAGCTGCAGTTCGTCGCCATCCCGGTCAAAGATCATGAAAGGACCCGATCGCGATGCAGACCAGGATCTTGTGGCGCACGGTGGCAGCTTTTCAGAATTTGCAACGTGCCACTCCTTGAGAATAGCGCGAAGGCCGGCGGGGAAGACATTTCCTGGACCAGAGACACGTTGGAAGTACAGAAAAGCACGGCTTGAAACGGGTGGAACGTCTGCGGGGCGAGGTAGTTTAAGATCTGGACTGCCGAGAGGTTCAAAGGGCGCGGAGGTCTCACTCGGCAGGGAGGATGGCTGATTGGCGTTCTCATCGAGTTCAGTTGTGTCAGAGACGTTTGACAGCGCCGAACTTCCACAAGGAGGTAGATGAAGAGGCTTGGTAGAATCGACACCACCATTCACGGTGGAAATCGAGCTGTCCTTCAGCACAGGAATATCTTGGATGATAGTATCTTCATCACGTTCGCTAATGTGCGAGGGTAGATCCGACAGTGGCGAGCTCGCTGTAAGAGGCGGTTGAAGAAGTCTAACAAGTGTAGAGCACGCGGTCACGGTATTCTCCTTCGCCACAGCTTCTTGCTGGCTGGTTGTAGGTTCATCCAGCTCCTCAGCGTCGGAGCCATCTGGTACTGAGAGGCCCCGACGACGCAGACGACGATGCGGACGACCGCGAGAAGCCTCGAGCATCTCAGTCCCGGCATCGCTGATATCAATCACGGAGTCAGAGACGATTTGTGGGACGTTTGAAGTGGAAGACACGTCCTCAAGAAGAGCCTGATGAACAGTCGGTGCCGCAGGTGCAACAAGCTCCTTGGGACTTGGAGAGACGGGGGGTCAGCCATGGCTGCAAGTTGAAACGAGAATTGTTTTGAAAGAAGCGATCTCGGTTGCTCCAGTTGAATCAAGAGAGATAGGGAGAGTGGAGGTGGGAAGAAAGGAGGAGAGAGATGAAGACGGAAAAGGAAGTTGGTAAAGAGAGCAAAACACAGAGAGCCGAGGGAGGTGGGAGAAGGAGAAGGAGAAGGAAAAGCAACAGCCAAGCGTGGTAAGAGAGCATAAACAAGCTTGCTCTACCTGAAAAGCCCAACCAAACATAGACACGGACATGGATTCTAGTAAGATAATACACCACGGCCAGCTAAAATAACTCGGCCGCCATTCTATATGGAAACCAACTCTTTCTAATATGCTCGGAGATGGTGACCGGGGTATACAGAGGATTCGGAGGAACGGACAGATAGATGCACACGCTCGAAGACCGTGGCCGAGAGCGGGTGAGAGAGGATGAGGAATGGACAAGAAGCTCTATGACGAGCTTGACGGTCCATTCGGTGGATCTTGGTTGAGAATATTGTTCTGGACGAGGTTGCGCACCGCCTGCGGTGCAGCCACGTCGTCGATACTATTGCGGCGGCCCCAGTTTTGTGGCTGTCGGCGGATAAAAGCACCAACAGCACCCAGGTAGCCTTCGTGACGCAGGAAATAGGCCTGCTTCTCGCCCTTGGACCAGAAGCGGATGGCGTAGGAGAGCGTGTTCATGGTCTGGCGGTGGCCGCGGATAAAGGAGCCGCCAAAGTAAATGTGCTTCACTTGGTGTTTCTCCGACTGGAGATAGGCAATTTGACCAATGTTGTTACTGTCACAGGTCAACACAATCCGGCATAAAAGATCAAAGGGCAAAAGCATACCTAATGGCATAAAGCAAGCTCCGGCTCATGTCTTCGTGGCGAAAATTGACGTCGCCGTTGCTTGGGCCGCCATCTTCTTCTTGCAGCAGGCCTTCGCCGTCCTCGGCACCTCGCTCGGCGGCATTTTTCAACCGGAAGACCTTGCCAAAAGTGCTCGCGATGGCGGTGCTCTTGAGCCCGATCTTGTTATAGTCCATGCCGTAGATGTCTCCGACAAGCATGTCCACGCCACTGTTATCGCCGCGGTCCGCCATGGCCAGCATGTCGTCAAAAGTGCGAGCGCCCGTCAACAGCGACATAATTCCCCAGAACGTGCCACCGCCAAGATGTGTTCCCCCCACCCGCTGGAATTGTCGAGGGCCCGACACCTTGATCATGGATACGCCGGATCCGATGTTGACGAGCAGATACGGGTAGACATCCGGTCGGGCCTCGGCAAATTGCATGGGCTCGACATCGGCGTCGCTGTAGGTAAAAACTTCGTTGGGGATTTCGGTAATGAAAAAATCGAGGCCTGGTGAGAGGGGTTTGGTTAGCCTGCATCCCGCGCATTCCGTCCGTCCGTCCGCCGGGCACCCCTACCAATGATCAGGCATTCCATCTCCTCCTCGCGCAAAATATTCACATCCAGCGCCTCCTTGAGCTTGTCGTAGAATTTGAAGGCGCCGCCGCCGGTGGCGACCACGCATAACTCGTCCCGGACGGAGCCATTGCTGCGCTCGTGTTCCTCCTTCAATTGGCGAATGAAGTTGATGCAGATATCGATGCGATGGGTCTCAAAGTTGATGAAATTCATGCGACCGCCATTATCGGCAGCGTCCAGCTCGCGGGTGAAATAGACGAGCTTCGCCAGTGATCCGCCGATCTGGAAGATCCCAATCCGTCAGTATTTCGGCGGGGGAGAAGATTGCGGGGCGAAAAAGAAAATTCAGAACAGCGAGAGAAAGAGAAGGACTCACGTCAACAGCGACATGGCTAACTACACCGGTATGATGGGGCAGGCGGATATCCTTGTTCTCGTAGTGAACCCCTTCGGCATCGACGGGGCTCTTGGACCGGGGCTCGTCGTCGACGATGAAGGCGCCAGTGACGTTGATCTTGACAGCGCCCGGGTTGGTGATAGCCTCCTCGAGACGCGGACGGGGCTTGCGCGACTCGTCCGTGCGATCGGAAGGCATGATATATGGTGGATGGGCAGCAGTTTGCAGCAGCAGAGAAGGTGAGGGACGAAGCTGTCCAGGTAGGGCGTGCCCAGGCATACTGCGTACCGTTCTTTCTGGGCCGAGCGGAACCGGCAGGCGAGCCGAGGTCTAGTATACTCCATAGTATCACATCGTCTACTAGTACTAGACGATGTCGGATACTAGATCAATCTATACAGACCTAACTATCATTTTCGATTATTGTCTGCATTCATTCAACACAGAACAATGACATCCTCATACACGATTGATGGTGAACAAACGTGTCGGCGTGCACCCCCCGTCTATACTTCGTCCATTCTCAACCACCCACAGCAACATCGCCGACTCAGCATCGCCGACTCAGCGATGCCTGCTTGTTTACCTTCTGCCTGCTTTTTCCATTCTATCTCTCTTTCATTCTCAACCTCACACGCCGTCTTTTGGACCTGCTCATCATCCACTGCGTGTCCTGCTGGAGCTCAGTCCTGCATTTAGACACACTCTCCTCCTTTTTTCTCCTGATTCTATTCTCTGCTCCTTTCCCCATCTCACAACTTTCTTTCTTTATTTGACCCTTTCTGTTAATTCTTTCATCCACGATGGAGCAGTTCGCTGAGGACTCCAAGCCCGAGGAGACCATGGAGACGCCTGCTCCTGCTCCTCCTACCACGGAGGATGCTGCTCGTGCTGCCCAGGAGGCTGGATGGACCAAGCCCATTCCCTTCAACTATGATATCGACACCAAAGAAGTCAGAGAGTGGGCTGCCGTCGCGCCCAAGTACGAATGGAAGGACGAGTTCGGCGAGGTTGGACCTCCCGTGCCCGAGCTGGAGGACCAGCTGTTCCGCAACGACTTCATCACTCGCGTGGGATACAAGCTGGACGCGTAAGTAACAAACTTTCACCTGCAACATTCCATCTGACCTGGTCTGTCTGTGTTCAGCCTGAACGCCATCGACGTGACTTGCGAGAGCAAGGATGCCATCAAGCCCATCCTGGACGTAAGTCAACTCGGTCTCCCATATACCTCCGCCTGGCTAACGCACACATACGCAGTGGAAGGACGCCGGGCTGCATCCCGTCATGCTCGAGAACATCCAGCTGTGCATGTACGCGCGCCCCACGCCTATCCAGTCGTACGGAGTCCCTGCGATCCTCCGTGGTCATGATCTCATTGGAATTGCTCAGACTGGTATGCAAAAATCTCTTGGTTCTCATGGCTCCTGCCGCTGACAGACAACAGGCTGTGGCAAGACGGACACTTTCCTCATTCCCATCCTGTCGAAGCTGATGGGCAAGGCGAAGAAGCTGGCAGCTCCTCGTCCCTACGCGGAGAGCTTCGATGCTGCCACACACACTGTTCGGGCTGAGCCCCTGGTGCTGGTTGTGTGCCCTACTCGCGAGCTGGCAACCCAGATCTTTGACGAAGCGCGCCGGCTGTGCTACCGCTCGATGTTACGTCCCTGCGTCGCCTACGGTGGTGCCCCCATTCGCCTCCAGCGCGAGGATCTTCAAAAGGGCTGCGACATTCTGATTGGTACCCCTGGCCGTATTCTTGACTTCATGAACCAGCCGCACGTTCTCTCGCTGCGGCGTGTTCGGTAAGCGCTGCCTCTACTGACACCCCGTAATGACTTGACTAACAATGTACCAGCTACACTGTGGTTGATGAGGCGGATGAGCTGCTGGATTCTAGCTGGGAGCAGGAATTCGTTCGGCTCATGTCTGGCGGAGGTAAGCATGCCCGAACGATTCTTTCATGACCGTCGGCTAACTTCTGGCAAGATGTCAATGAGGACGCCGACCACCACTACCTGATGTTCTCGGCTACTTTCAATAAGGCATGCCGTAAGCTTGCACGCACGTACTTGGGCGAAGAACACGTCCGCATCCGCATTGGCCGTCCTGGCAGCACTCATATCAATGTGGCCCAGCAGGTTAGTATCATCTTGCGCCAGTTCACAACCGGATACTGACTATACTTGAGATTCTCTTTGTTGAGGACCGCTCCAAGAAGCAGGCTCTGTACGATCTGATCATGAGCATGCTGCCTATCCGTACCCTGATTTTCGTCAATACCAAGGACCAGGTCGACTTTGTGGATGATTTCCTCTACAATATGGGTCTGCCCAGCACTTCTATCCACAGTGGCCGTACCCAGATTGAACGCGAGGATGCCATGTATGCGTCCCATGAAGTCTCCTGTTTTGACTCGACTAACACAATTCCAGCCGTGCCTTCCGCACTGCGAAGGCTCCTGTCATGGCCACGACCAGTCTCTCCGCTCGCGGCCTGGATATTGCCAACGTGATGCATGTCATCAACTACGATCTTCCCCGTGGTGACGACGCTATCGGCCAGTACGTCCACCGCATCGGTATGTGCTCTTTGTTCTCCCACATTTGGAATTCGTGGCTAACTATACATTAGGACGCACTGCTCGTATCGGAAACGAGGGCCTTGCAACCTCTTTCTACAACGATGGCGACTCGGACATGGGCAATGATTTGGTCAAGATTCTCATGGAGACTGGCCAGAAAATCCCCGACTTTTTGCAGCACTTTACTCCCTCTGACAATATCCTGGTGTTTGATGATGATAGCAACGACTCGCAGGATGGCGATGCTGACGAGGGAAATGGCACTCAGGGAGGTGGGTGGGGTGCCTCTGAGGAGCCTCAGAATGGTTTCAAGGAGCCCCTTGTTGATGTTGCATCCAATTCTCTGGGTGGCTCGACATGGGCGACCCAGGCTCAGCAGGAGCCCACCAACAACTGGTGAACCAGGTGACATCTGCCAGGACTTTTGATCTACGGGTTTCACGGTTTGATCTGGTGGCTTTCGATGGTTCTGATATTGAACACTTCTTTTCTTTTCGTTTTGTTGCGCACTGGATGACGGGGAACCTGGTGGGAGGATTTCTTTCTTCAGTGAGAGAACTTGGCAGACTTCGTCTCTTCTCTTGCCGGGGATCCTGTGGTCTTGCTGGCGTTGGCGTTATTTCTTTTCCATCACTCCCGCAATTTGAATCTATCCTCTTGCTTTGATCTCCATTGTGTCGTAGACTCGTAGGCGCCTGCCCTCATGGCGGTCGTTCTTGCTGTTGATATCGGGGATGTCTTCTTCGTCCTCTCCTGCCCTTCCTTCTCTTCCTGCAATTCTTCAACCGACCCAACTCCATTCGCTCATTTGAAGGACCCTCCCTTGATCATGAAGTATTTCTTATCCGCAAGGGCATCGTCTGTCCTTTCTGTCGCCGTCGTCCTCTCCACCGCAACAGGGTTGGTCCACCAACTCGCCGAGCCCAACCACTGGAACGAGCTTCGAGATGGTAGCCGCAAATCTCCTCAAAAGCAAAAGGTCATACCACCTCTGGTCATCGACACCTTTCAGAGTGCCACACACAATGACCTGGGCTTCTGGCACGGTTCTGGTGAGAACCTGACCGTCGAGTACAGTCCAGGCTTTGTGCGCTTCACTCCGACAGATCCAGATCAGAACTTCCACACCCAGTTCGACACGGATGGCTGCTTCAGTCTCTGGCCGTGGCAGAATCAGTTCCTGCATGTTGTCTTCGAAGGCACAGATAAATTCAGTGTTTCACTGAACGAACACAACGCCGAGTGCAACCCCCATCGTCGTCCGTTCCCTGGTGTGCCAGATACAGTGGAAGCTGCGCGATATGTGCTGAGGACTATCGTCAGTGAGGATGGTGAGGCCAGTCAAAGCAGAAACTCAACTACTCGACAAGACAAGCCACAGTCACCCGCCGGGAACAGGACCTGGAAGAACGACGGTCCTACTTGGGTGCCTGGTCGGTACAGCAAGACCGAGCTTTACATTCCCTTGTCTCATTTCCACATTGCTCAAAACCGGGTGGTGTCTGTTTCGTTCCATGGCTTCTACACTAACGAGTCAATTACCCTGCACCGCGTCGAGATCGTGCCCATGGTTCCCTCACCGTCGCCGGAGAATGAGTACTTCAGAATACCGAGCAAATTACCGAGCGGCAGGCTTGTTTTTCGCTGTTCGCGGCCGGGGTCTTTCGCGTTTGGCATCGATGATGGACAGCCGCAGCTTGCGCAGGAGGTCATGCAAATCCTGGATAGGGAGAATGTTCGAGTTACTTTCTTCGTTGTGGGCGCTGGACTCCGTGACCCCGAGACCAATTTCACTCAGGTATACCGTGAGATGCTGCAGAAGGGACACCAAGTTGCGCTGCATTCAAACACTCATCCCAAGTATGTTCACAGGGACTCGAACAACCCTTGCAAACAGGCTAACAATACCCAAGGATGGAGGCACTGCCGACTTTGGGAGAAATCGACGACGAGATCCTCCAGACAATGCAGATCTTCAAAGAAAGGCTCAATGTCGAGTGTATGCAGCCCTTCTTTTTTCGCTATTCCTTCATTCTAACCTATCCGCAGCATCATACTTCCGTCCACCCTATGGAACCGTCGGCGCCCGCATGCGCCAGCAGCTCGCCCGGCATCTTCCCAACCCCTACATTGTCAACTGGACCGTCGACGTAGAGGACTGGCTGTGGGCCAACACCACCACGCCTGAGAAACAACTCGAGGCATTCACTAACAGCGTCTCCCGGGGAGGCAACCTCGCTGTCATGCACTATCTCAACCCAACCACGGTCCAGTATCTGCCGCAGTTCATTCAGTTGGTCAAGAATGCAGGTATGCAAATTATGCGCATTGATCAGTGTTTAGAAGATGGACCGCCTTTGTGATGTTCTGTATAGAATGAGGATTGTGCGTGGGTTCCTTTTTTTACCTCATCCTAATTATTCTACTCTATCCTTATTCAGACGTACTTCCTCCAGACGGATACGGTAGAATGCCTTGTAAGCCGAATCCACTCGTTTAAATTGATTCTTCGATCCCAAATATACTCCGCAACACAGCGGACAGAGGGGAATACTCCCAAGAACAGCACAGAGCACGAAGAAAAGAAAGCCGTATATTTCGCAAGAGATGCATGTGTAGCAACGACCCTCGTAACGCCCCAGAGAAAAATGTAGTAAGACAAGCCCCACGGAATATCCCCAGACCGGCATCTATGCGAGGATACCAATGACAAGCATTTTGAAACACAAAGAGAAAAGACCAGAAGACGGGAAAGATGGAGAGCGAGGCGGATGTAGGAGAAAGGGAAGACCGCAATAACCATGACTATTGCGAAAAGATGCGGCCCTGCCACGCCATGCTGAAAGCGTTAAGACACGCCATGCTGAAAGCATTAAGATAGAGAGGATGGGAGTATAGGGCGAGAAAAAGAGGATATGCAGACGGTAGGTAGGGAAGCAGAGGGAGAAAGAGGAAGAGGGAGCAGGTAGCCAAACAAGCCATGCCACCCAGTCATATAGAAAGAGACCAATCAGACCCCCCAATCCGGCGCACTACACAATCCCTTGTTATCCATCATTTTCCGGATCCTGGTCGTCAGCCAGCCAGACACAGCGTCGGAGGCCTTGTTACCAAGACGCGGGTTACCGCCTGTATAACAGGATCCACCCTTGAAGACGAATTGTACGCAGCCCTTCTGCGCCTCGCAAACCTCGCGACAGTCTTCGAAGGATGTAGCGAATGGCTGGTCGTCTTCGGCGTTGTTGTCCCAGTCTAGACGAGTGGGCTGGGTTGCGATTTCGGGGTAGAGATATTCGCGGAAGAGGTCGCTATGTAGCAGGGTGTATTTGTTTTTCTAGATCGGACGTTGGGTTAGAAACCGTAGACAAAATAGAAAAAAGGGGGGCAGAAGAGGAACATACGCGCCAGCGCTTGGACTCGAACTCCCACAGACTTTTGATATCGGCAGGGGTCAAATGGTGTAGAGCCATGGAGGGGAAACACCATGGTTCGCGGTAGAAGCCCTTGGTGAACTCGCTCAGTTCGCCGGGGTGGGAGTTTTGTAGGATCGGCCACGAGAATTCCAGATTGATGCCGGCATCAAAGAGGACCTTGCCCAGGATACAATCCCCGGCCCAGTGGAAGTCCGTATAATCATGCCACTCCTTGGTGTTGGACGTGTAACTCTCCACGGCACGGGTCAGAGCTGGGTTGGAGAGCACGAAGCCCGACCCGCCATGGGCGAAGATGACATCGGCGATTTGGGTTTCCGTGCCAAGGTAGTGCGGCTCCGAGGCGTCGTAATGGCTCAACCACGCCAGCGCGGTCGTCCACGAGACGTAGGTGTCGGCCTCCAGGAAGATAAACCACTTGGCGTTGGGTTTCGTGCGAAGGGCCTCCTGCGCCATGGGCAGGAACTTCCATTTATCAAGCTTCCAGCCGGGATTGTTGGGTTTACCGATGGCGGAATTGGCCACGTCGCTGAAGTCGCTGTCGCCCAGACCCTTGCGCCCTTGTTGCCGGATGCGGTTGTAGATGTCGAAGTCGTGGATGCGATCCCGGACCTCCGGGTCCACGTTGCGGAGAACATCCCGGATCTTGACGCCTTCGATTTCTTCGTCGAAGTCCGACACGATGATGTAGTCGGAGATGCAGCGGAGGGTGGTCGCGAAGTGGATGGGGACTTTGTCTCGCGACTCCGTCACCCCGGTCTTCATCACCACCAGCACATCCTCGATGCCGGGCAGTGGCGGACACACGGGCTCGGGCTCGCCGGTATACTCGGGTTCGGTGGTGGAGGAGAGCTGTCGTGCTGGTGGTGGCTGGAGTCCCGATTGCAGGGTGTAGAGATGGTAGAGGAGGAAGAGAACGGCGGCGGTGGCGACGGCAGCCAGGCGACGGCTGAACCGGCGAGGGAGCATGCTGAGGCTTAACGAGAGTGGGAGGATAAGAGATGCCAGACGGACATCCTGAAGATAGGAGGAGGAAAAGAGAAGGGCTGATCAACACGAATATGTCATGGTGGTGTTAAGGAATTTGACCCACATACCTAGTACAGTACAGCAAGTACCCCTGTCTAAGAAGCCTTGAGTCTGACAACTAAATAATGCGCAAGGATACTGCAGTCTTCTCTTTTATCAATCGGTGCGAGTAATCACCCGACTCGAGGTGCCTGATTATTTTTCTGTAGGCTGGTTTAGTTACACCATGGTTCCCAGGTCTTCCAGATACTGTATACGACTGGAGCGGGCTTCCATTACTCCTCTGGAGAGCGCTGATCCCCGGACACCCACTCCTTCAATGACACTCGGTCTTCGCTATCCGGTAGAAAGCGATTCACTTGAAACGGTGTATCCTGGAACATCTCCGCGCCTGATGCTTCCGAGACGAGATCGACCTGGAAATCCGGAACTCCCTGTACTACGAGCAGTGGCTCCAACAACAAACGCTCCGCAGCGGGCGTTAGAACCACTTCGTCAAATTGATGACCAGTAAGCCACACCCGAATGTGCCGTAACCCTTGCATAGAAGCAATTAAGGTCCAGACTCGTTCCCATTGCTTATACTCTAAGCTGTCCCTCTCAACCTCCGTGAAGGAATTACTCGGCCCTACCTCTAGCGAACAGATGGCTTGGAAGCGCTGAGGCAAGAAGTAGACCGGTAGCAACTCGAGGATGTCCAAGTTCATTCCGATATGGAACACATTTTCTGAATACAGCAGGTCAATGGCTTCGGAATACCTGAGATAATCTGTGAGCATTTGTATTCGTCCTTTGGGTGAACATGATCAATCTCACACTTGTCGGCATGTTAGAAGCAATGGCATCGGATTATAACCCCAGGGCTCGACCGCTCGCAAGCACATTTCTTCATCTCCGCGCAGAACGAGACCGTGACCGCGATGGCTTGTGTCGCTGCACCACACGTTTTTCAGTCTCCCGGTGTCAGTTCGTCGGAGATGAGTGACTCTTCCACCCATGATGTACTCGTATATTTGCCGTCTGACCTCAGGGGGAAGGTTTGTGAGAAGGAAGCTTTGTAACTGGGGCTGTGCATTCGTGATAGCTTCGACAGTGAGCGCTCGCCTGCGCGAAGAAGCTAGCGACATTGACCCTCGCTCCTTCTTTGAGGATTTACGAAGACGACGTAGCGTAGATGAGAAGGAAGAGATGTATCTGCGGCGTTGTCCCGTCATAAGTGGTGGGTCGAACAGAATTCCCCTAGCTACCAGTGTGCGGCTGGTTTAATGAAGCGTGGCCAGTTACATAAAGCGTGTCAGAAATAATCTTGACAATGCATTCACGGGCCATCCGATTGAGGAACCAGTCGCATGGTGAGACTAGGCAAACTATTAGACCCCGGAGAAAGGCGAGATAACAAGGGCCCAGCCGCGATTTGTGACAGTGCTGAATAGAGAGTGGGGAAATAGAGAGAGAAAGAGTGCAGCGAGGGGCCAGGCCTATGATATCGAGGGAATGGTGTTGAACGGCGGATGGGGCGAACAAAGGGCCAAACTGCCTAGAAAGGAAAATCACAAATCCTGATATGACAAGGTATACATTCGTTTTCTTATGTTGTTTAAAAAAAAGTCCATCATTGCTGATCCCGCTTTGCCTTCTTCTCTACCATCTTTGTATGCATCTTAACCAGCTCCGGAATAATCAAGCTCTCAATCTCAATCCCATCACGACTCTTCCCATGTTCCGCGGCAACGGGATCCGCCTCCACCTCTGTATCCGGGGCCGGCACAGTGGTATGCAACCTCCTAGCCTCCACTAAGCCGACCTGGTCCTCGATACCGGAGATACTCTTGCTACGCCGCGACTTGGGCACGCGGATCCAGCGCTCGTGCGGCGGGTCAGGGGTGATGAAGACCACCTCCCATTTCCGTGTTGAGAGCAGATTGCCGATGACGAGGTGGTGCGAGTATCGCTGTAGCGCCGTGCGGGACTTGTAGACTAGTAAGTCCGGATCAGTTTCCAGCTTGAAGGAGACGACCATGCTCCCGTCCGGCGCCCAGCCGTCGACTAAGCGGTGCAGGAACTTGGGGACCGGGTCCAGGTTGATGACGAGCTTCTTGCGGTGCAATTGTGGTTCATCCTCGTTCTCGCCGGTGTAGATATCATCCGACCCGACGGCGTTATCCCGCTTGTCTAAATGGGCAGGCAGCTCCATTGACTGGATCTTATGCTCAGCCATGCGGCTGCGCGGGATGAAAAAGTCGCTGACCGCCGCGGCGAGGAAGAAGAGCGCGTTGGCGCCGAGTGGCCGCATCAGCTTCGCCAGCGACCGCAGCTCGAACATGTACTCCGCGATAGTGGTGAACGGCAGTAGGAGAAGACGATTGTTCTGCTTGGCGTAGCGGTACTTGCGCAGCACATCGCGCATCTCATTTTGATACTCGTCGCGCACGACGATATGTCCACTGTCCGAGTTGGACGGCGCCTCGTCCATGAAGTCCAAGAAACAGTTGGTCGAGTGGCTGTAATGACGCGAGTACGGCAGGAGGCTGTACTGGCGATGCAGAAAGATCACCGCATACCCTTCCTGCAGGAAATACTCGGCGGACGTGGCGCCGCGGGTACCGGCGGAGAAATTGTCGATGAACCGCACCGTCTGCGTTTCGAGCGGGACTGTCGTGCCTCCCGAGGTCACCAGGACCACGCGCCGATTTTCTTCGACGTGGAGTTCAATGAATGCTCGGGCGAGCGCTTCATGATTGGGGAGATTTTTGGGCGGTGGATATTCATTGAAGTAGACCGATTCGGCCTCGGCCGGTGACATTTCACTCAGGTCAGGGGCCATTTTTGTTGTTCAGGTGTGTGCTTTTGTGGGAGAGTGTAGTGTAGCTATTGCAAAAGTGTAGATAGTGTTGAGCCAAAAACGTCTCCAGCAAACCACGGGTGGAGATGGGATATCAAGAAAAGCAACTTCGCATGAGCTAGTGATCCAATTCCCATGAGCTGTCTGTGTTTGCAACAGTGGATGTCTGGGTCACAACAGATAATAATAGTACCCCGCTGTCAAGTTTCAATCGGCATGTTCTTGTCCGCGGGTGACCGGGAAGAGTAGCCGCTGGACCGATGCAGGTTAGGCGTTGGATGAGTGGTGGCCTGCGCCGAGGATGCCGAGGAAGCGGGGTCACGTGGATCCGGATGCGGTCAGAGTATACAATCCTACAACTACAATACTTTCTCTTATTTTCACTTGCAACGGTAGATTGGGAGTTATTTCATAAGCTACGATCACGGCAGGTATTTACTGCGAAGGGCCTGGCTGATTGTGCTCATGCGGCTGGCCATGCCGCCATGCTGCATGTTGCTCATCAGGGCTTCCTCAAGCGCGGATTGTGTGACACTGGCATCTAACAGGGCGATTGTCAATATCTGGACCAGAGACAACAAATCAATCACTTACCATCCAGGTCACTGAAGCTACTCCCCATGCTCGGAGTCCCGTCACTCGCCTCTCGTCCCGATGCGGTAGACTTGCGAGGACTCCGACGAGGCACCTCTCCACGTTGATGAGGGCTCAATGCCCCCATAGCCTGGCTCGATCGCCGACTCTCACCCTGGGGTAGATTGGCAGGGACTCCAGAGCTGGCAGAGCTTGCTGACGACTCGCCAGTAACCGGTATCCGTGGTCTGGGCTGCTGATCTGTGCTGCGCCGTCGCTGTTCCTCTGATCGAAGAGCAGCGCCGAGCTCTTGTACAGGCCTCTCCCTTGACGTTGGTTCGGTCTCTCGACTAAGCGGAAGGAATGCAGGGGTATCATCCTCGTCATCTTCATCCTCGTCGTCGCGTAGACCGGCCCGATGAGTAGAGAATTTCCCGAAGCGCTTGAAACGAGGGGCTTGTTTAGTGTCGTCTTCATCTTCTGACTCTTCCGAAGAGGAGGATGTAAAATCCTCTTCCTGGAGTGGAGGCGACCGCAAGAGCGAAGTAGGTGGTGGCTGTTCACGCCTTGTGAATGACGACCGACGGCCAAACGAATCCCAGCGCTGCTCCTTCCCTTCGCCCGTTGGTGTATCGGTGCGCGATGGATCACGGGAACTGCGGAACTGGTTGATAGTGGTGGTGGATGTCGAACTCGTGCGCCGAGCGGCGGCCGCTGCGTGGTTGTCAGATGATGTTATACATGCCAGGAAGATACTTACCTCGTAGTGGCAGTGTATCGTTTTGCTGTGATACCTGCCTACTCGGACCGTGAGGTCCCTTCTGTAGCTGTCCGCCTAATGCGCCGCTGCCGGATACCGATCCCGGGGCCGGAGACGGAGAAGTTGACTGCGTCGTGGGGACTTTGCGCATTTGAGCCCGCACCTGAGACAACTGTCGGTCGTAGAGCCATGCTGCTTGCTGAAGCAAAAACTGCAAGGTAACATCAAACCTATCCGCACTGTACATGATGGGTTAGCAGGTTAGCAGATTTCGGGCGACTTGGGAATATGAGGTATAGTTTACAGGGCCTTCCCTGTCCAACGTGTTAGCATGGAATAGTTCACGGGAAGATAGAGATTACATACAGTCTATATCATCACCCTTTGATGGGCGCGAAAGGATATCCCATAGTGCTTGGTCTTTGGATGCATTCCATTCAACCTGGGCAGGTCAGTGCATGCCAGAGCTTGACGGACGGGCGGGATACTAACAGGCGGCGGATCGACGAAATCACCCCGGGGGAAAGGCAGGCGGATGAAAACAGTGAACTTGGAGTCCGCTGGGTCCGCTTTAGTGGCCATCTTGACTCCTTCGGAGGCTGGCAATCGAGAGTAGAGCTGGAGACGAAAGACGGAGATGACGACAGCGGGAGCTGAGAACCATTGGCCGGCAGGTGCGTGTGTGTAGTCAGCAGAAGTGCGTGTTCATACATTTATCGCTGTAGTGGACGGAGATGCAAACCGCTTGCTTTCGGCATTTCCGGCCAGATATAACCGTTTTCAGTGTTTATTAGGGTTCAACCGAACGGTGGCAGTATCTAATCCTTGAATATTGGTTATAGATTTAGCTGGTAGTGCCGCCGGAGTGGTGCGTCGCAGTATGAAGTTAGGTCTATGCGAGACATGAAGAAACAGTTTCTTTTGCAATGCCTTCATCGAGCGTCGGTGGGTCTATGCAGGAAATGATCATGATCGAGTCCGAACGCTGACCAGGCCCAGACTGGATACTCCGACCCTGCATTATCATCATCAACGGGGAGGATCGACATTTAATGTCCAGCCGAGGCCCATCTCACTCTCTTTCTCCTCTTTCTCTCTCTCTCTCTGTCAGCAAACCACCATGTCTCTCTGGCGGTATATTTACCACAAATGCTTCGCGGTGATTCTCCGTACCCTCACCCGGATCAGCTGGGTCATCCGGCGGGTCTCGGTTCGCCCAGATGAAGTGCGAACCATTTCATCCCGGGATGCGGGCAGGACCCTCAGGGTGCATGTGTACCGCTCAGGCTCGTTTTCGGGTCCCTCGCCCGTCCTGCTCAACTGGCACGGAAGCGGATTCATGCTTCCTCTCCATGGCAGTGACGATGAATACTGTCGGCGCGTGAGCCGTGAAACCAAATACACCGTGCTAGACTTGCCCTATCGCAAATCCCCCGAACACCCGTTCCCCGCAGCACTCCACGACGTCGAGGACGCTGTCAACTACGTTCTGGGCCGGCCGGACGAATTCGACCTCAGCCATGTATCGCTCTCTGGATTCAGCGCAGGAGCCAATCTCGCCCTAGCGCTCTCTGCGACATTGTTCCCGCCTGCTACGTTCCGCTCCCTGATCGCAATTTACCCGCCACTCGATCTGCACACCGACCCTGGAGCCAAGGTCGCACCAGATCCGTCCGGGCGGGTGATACCCGTCCCAGTTGCGCGCGTCTTCAGCGGCGCCTATGTGCCCATCAACTCCCAATACGATAGACGCGATCCGCGCGTCTCACCGGCCTTTGCGCCGTTGGAGAACTTCCCGCGCCGCCTGCTGGTAGTTACCGCGTCCGGCGACTCTCTTGCCCCCGAAGCGGAGGACTTTGCACACCGGCTCCAGCAGCAGCCGGGCTGGCATGTAGTCTTGAAGCGCATGGAGGGCTGCAATCATGGATGGGATAAGCAGCATCCAAAGCCGGGCACGCCGCAGCACCAGGCCAAGGACGATGCGTACCGTCTGGCCATCGAGATGCTGAACGAGTAATTCTGTAGTTATCTCGAGTGGTGTGCCTGTCCTGGCCCACTTCTCGCGGACCGCGGTTCTGCTCTGGATTGGTATAACCCTAAGCCCTACCTGCCGAGTCGGGCGGAGGAACTGGTGGGAGTTTGGGCCGCCAGGAAGGATTGAGGAACGGATAGTTCGTCAGGCGTCATGGTATTTCCTCCAGCGTGCTCTGTATATAGCATATGCAATAATTCGTTCGTTGTCGGAGTCCATCGTAATTTGCCGTGAATAACTGTACCTCGTGGAACCAAGGAACGGGAAGGCGTGGGTCGGCGGAACAAATAATTCCAAGACAGCGCAGGTTTGGCTTGGCTTTGGCCCTCACTTCCCTGACAGTCCTTTGACCTTTGACCTTTGACCATTGACCCCCCAACCCCAACCAACCCCCTTCGTGTCTCATCCCTCGCCCCCAAATATAACGCATGCCGTGCTTGCGCATTCTCTCGTCCACCGTGCTCGACGTACCGTGGACGAGCCCGCTCCTTTTCTAACTCTTGTTCACCTCCAGCCGAGCCGGCGCATTTCCTCTCTACCCCGATCTCCCACCCCTTCCGCCGTGCGCGCCCGCGGGTCAGGCGCCACGTCAGTCCCTGTACAGTACAGAAAGAAAGAAAAGAAGAAACAAGGAAGCCGGAGATAATGCAACACATGGAGCCAAGTCCAACAGCCGCCGGCCCCATCCTCGATGAGGACCAATACCGATGGGCAGTTCTCCAGCAGCCCTCCGCCGAGGCCGAACAGGCGCGGCTGCAGCAGCTGGCTGATGAGGCGCGGCAGTTGGGACTGAAAGTACCGGAGATCGAGGCATCAGCACCGCTGGCCGCCTCGATCGCGTCGGGAATGGTCGACCTTACCTCTCCGGTGCTCTCGTCAGGATCGTCGACAAATCGCAATTCCAGCTGCGGTGATATCACCCCGTCGCGCGAGCCGGTCTCGCATTCCCCCTCTCCTCTCGACCAGGTCGTCTCGTCCTTCTCGGAAATCACCTTCGCCTCCTCGGACCATGTCAAGCCTAGCAGTACGCGGTCGCTAGCCTCGTTTTCCACCCGTCCGACGTCCTACTGTTCCAGCGAGGGCAAAGCGAACCACCATGGCAGCAGTTCTTACAGCCAAAGTGATTGGTTCGCAGCCAGGAAGGCGAATCGAAATTCCATGCTCAGTATCGCCTCCTTCGCCTCGTCCTCCGATAAGAAAGAGAAGCGGCGAAGCAGTTTGAAGGAGGCGATTGGGCGCATTTATTTCCGCAAAAAACGGGCTTCGTCGACGGTCGTGCTGCCTCCCGAGTCGCACGTCACCGTTGCAAAGGGCGAAAGTGGAAGCGTGGAACGAATATATCTCGAGTCCAAGCCCGACCCCAGCCAACGTCCAGGAACTGCTCCCGGCGGTAACACCGATAACTCGTTTCTCCGGCTAGAGATCCCCGTCTTTGACAAAGAAGCGCTTCAGAGGAGCGTGGATGATCCACAGCTGAGCGAGATGTCGGAACGGCATCGTTTGGAAAGAAATCGGCACGTCGCATTCCAGGAAGCCTCCCTCAGCATCCTCCGGCGCCGGCACGAGGCCGTTGTTTCCGCGCGGCAGTCCGAGAACCGGCGCCTGGTGGAAGAAAAGGCCGAGAAGGTTCGACAAATCCTCCCTCCTTCCTTTCCTTTTTGGTGTTGTTTTAATTAACGGTTGTAATTAGAATATTGCCGCCGCCGCTCGCATCGAAGAACGCCAGCTCGCGATGGAATTAGAACAGCAGCGTGAGTTCGAGCGCGCCAAGGTCAACTCGCGCACACGCATCAAGCACATGGAAGGCTACTTCCGCAACGCCAGTCCGCCGCCGTCTTCCTCCTCGCCCACCGCTCCAACAACAGGATCTTCCGAGTCCATGAGCTCCGATGTGACCACCCCGTCGCCAGCGCGCCGTTTCACGCGCCAGCACATGGAGCAGCTGGAGCAACAATACCACGCCCACGAGTCCATGGATTCGCTGCACGAAGCCCGGCTCAAGGTCCTCCGCGAACGTCAAGAGCTCAAACTCCAAGAAGCCATTGCGCGCATGGAGCAGGAACTGGAGAAGATGGGCCAGCAGCATGTCCAAGATATCAGCAACCTGCAAAGTGAGCAGCAGCGCGAAGAGGCCGCTTTTCTGCAGGCGTTGGAGGCGAAAAAGACCGCCCTTCGGTACCGCTGGCATCTCGAGGAAGCGATCCTCCGTTGCCAACTCGAAACGCAGCATGGTCGGTTGTATGGCCCGCTGCCTCCGCTGACATTTACCGGCCAATCTTCGGAGACGACAGCCACGCCACCGATCTCTATCCCGGAACGGTCTTCGTCTCTGGCCGGGCCGGCGCTTTAGTCAATTTCTTTCTTATGTTTTTGGATATATCCCATTTTTGTGATACCCATTTTACCCTCAGTATCGTCTGTCTTTCTTTTCTTGTGATGACCATTTATCATTGTTTTAATTTTTTTTTTTCTACATGTCGTGCTCTACATACGCATTGCGGCGGTAGTCTGATGATCATTCGTTGTGCATAGCCTTGATCTTGGTATATAGGTGCAGCTCATTGAATAGAAATCTCATTTATATAGTTCTGATCCATGAATCATAGTTAGGTATGGGGTATCTCGAGTATTGCATTCATGTCTGTTCGTTTCGTAACTTAGGCAGCCTCACGCAGCCGTTCCAGAATAGTTTCCGCTCTCCCACCAGAACCAGTCATAGCCTCTTCAGTCTTCTTATCTCGACCCTGGTCCCCAATCACAACGGCCCTCTCTACAAGACCCGTATTGGACAACTTGAACCGCCCAACCCGGCCATCTTCCCACTCTAGCCGCACATACCGCGCCTCCAGCGCCGTAGACGAAAGAGACACAATCCCAGTACCCTCAACCGGTGCCGTGGCCACGGCCTTGCTTGACTCCGTCAATGCCAATTTCTCACGCAGAAGATCAACAGCATCAACACGGACATGCCACGCCACAAGCTCGCGGCGCAGTTCCCGGACGAACCCACGCACGTCCTGTTTTCGCGCAGCCTTTCCCGACTGCTTCCACGGCTTTAAAGGACCGTCGTCGTCCTCCTCCTCCTCTTCGTCTTCGGGGTCCATACTCTCCCCCCGCTCCTCCCCATTCCAATCGCCGTCCCGCCTAGAGGGTGGCAGATACACCTGCTCCAATCTCGCAATGGAAATAAACGCAGGCACGGTATGCCTATAGACACGCAACAGTCTCCGAGGACGTCCCGCACCGGCATGGGCACCGGCACTTCTGGGCGTGCGTTCCCGACGCAAGAGAACATAGTACGGTTTGGTGAAGCGCCCATTGCGCGCGCAGATATCAATGCGCAGACCTAGTAGTTCACCTGAGGACGTCGGGGAGGGATCTTTGAAAGGAAACGCGGTCGTCCCGAAGGCGACGCGGTGGTGGTTCGAGTCGGAGTGTGTTCCCGCTGCGCGGACGAGGGGTGAGATGGAGGAGATGTTGTCGAGGGATGTTGTTATTCGTGGTCTTTGCAGAAGTTTCTGGATTGGGTCTGAGGTGAGGAGGCTGGATGTGAGGACTCGGCGGCGTCGGTGGAGGGCGCGGACTTGTTTGGGGTGTTAGAAGGGTGCTTGGTTGGTTTGGAGATTAGGGGAATGGGGCTTACTTTGACTGCGGATAGAGGTAATTTCTGAGTCCAAGCGCCCCTCGCGGGGGTCTGGGGACGGAGAGGGAGGTTGGTTCATGGCTGGGTTGGAGAGACGAGGTGAGGTGAAGCTGCTGCTCTGGTTATCGCGGGTCCGTTGTTTGTTTGGGCACGTGATGAGATCCTGATCATTGTAGATCCCTTCCCTCTGTAGTATCTTTCCGGGCCTTATTTGTCTAGCACCGTTTGAGCTGCTCTGGATTCACTTATAGTTGACTGACCGCTCCCTTGGATACGACTATCGACTATTGGCACTCATAGTGGAATAAAAGCGAGTAGGAATAGTTTGTAAATTCAAACCCCTGATACGTACTAGACGTACTAGTCTATACAACACCGGGCCCTGGTAGCGGCAGTGGCGCAGCAAGTTTACGAGCGCCTGTTTAATGTCCGAGCGTCATTGCTGACACCTCATCAGAGTCTCTACGCCCAGTCCACGCTAAATAGGTCATTTCATATCAATGACATGAAGGGATCTCCTGGCCCTCGGCAGTTCTTGTGACAGCAGAACCCAAACAGATTATGGATTGCAAAGATCAAAGAACGCAGCTCAGTCAACAGGAGACAGCTGCGATTCAGGAGAAGATTGTAATTCTATTCTTTCTACTGGAATGAAGCGATACTGTCGCTAACGAATGGGCATAGATCACTTTCAATCCACCATTCAGGAAGGAACATGAACTCCAAAATATCATACCAATCTTTCCAACATATCACGCTAAAACTGGATTCAACCCCCAACGCCCGATTCTCGACATCCTGAATCAAGAACTACGCACGCCATCCATTGACAAGATCTACTCTCATCTTTGGCTGGCAGGACTTCCGAAAGCTGCTCGTCCACTCCACCGCCAGAACCTCCTAGGACGCACCATTGTCATTACCGAAAACCCAGAAGAACATCTTATATGGCTCTCCACACGCATCTTCATCAAGCCTCTGCCGGAATATCTACTATGCCACGAGTTTTGGATGACGAAAGGCAGCATCCTGACTCAGGACCAATCACTATACCAATGTGCATGTGGATTCCTTCTATCTTATTGCTGGCTCATCTGTTCCAAGTCCGACCTCGCCATCGCACACAGCTCACATCTTCTTCCATCATCTATAACCTGGGAGAAATGGATCCCTTTTGTCACAGACATCCTCACAAACATTGATCCCGAAACACTCCACTCAGTCTCGCCACGATACCACTATGGCGAACTCCGACTCTCCCGTTTGAATGCCATCTACAGTTTCGCTCCTGATATTTTCACTATGCACAACTTCGTCCACGGCTTCATGGCGGAACCTTCACGGTCCAAGGCATTCCTGGAGCGGAACTTTGCATGGCTCTTCTCGGTATTCGGCTTTATCACTATTGTCGCGAGCGCAATGCAGGTTGGGGTAGGTACTAATTGGTTGCGAGGCAGTGATGGCTTTCAGGGTGCTTCAGTGGTGTTTACAGTGGCGAGCCTGGTGGGAGCAGCAGCGAGTGTTGTACTTGTGGGCTCGGTTTGGGGCTTTTTGACGATTTATAATATTTTCTGCGCGAGGCGGAATTTGATGGCGGTGCAACGATCGAGGGCATCTAAAAGGGAACAGACTCAGTGTGTTTAATAAGGCATTATTCTGTTGCTTGCCGGCCTTGCATTCGTATATAGTAAATTCCATGTGCAATTACAATGGATCTACAGACTGGAATTGCCTTGATATTGGTTTGATTCTGCTGGGTATAAATCTAAATTCCGCAAAATCAATCGCTTAGGTCATTTTGTGGCAGAACATGATCATCCGCTGTTGTCAAACTCTCAGAAAGTACCTCTGCGGTCAAAACTCTCCGTCGGCCACCATATCGAAAAGAACCCCACAAATCAGATAGCTTCTTTGAAAAGCCTAGTCTTTGATTCTCGCCTCTTGGCATTTGAGTCCAGGGATCTTGTGTTAAATCCGTACCAGTCGCGTAGGTCCATCCCTTTGCCAGCTGCTCCAGGCTCTTATTCGGCAGTCGAGGCCAACGGAGAGCCCGTGGAGGATCAACCGGGGCTGTCTGCAGTTCCGGAATCCAAGCCCATGCAAATAGCGCACCAATGGCTAGAGGTACAGAAAATACCCCAAGTAACTTGTCTAGGGCCTTGGGATTTGTGTTGATCATTGTTTTCTCGGTCACAATGAGGACGATGATTGCGCCGATCTTTCCACAAGCAGCTGAGATGCCGTGGCAGGTGGCGCGAAATCTAGTCGGAAAAATCTCAGTGGGAATCTATAATTATCATTGTCAGTTTGCTTTATGCGAAGGCCCTAGGGACACTCACGATATAAGTCAAAGTGTTTGGTCCTGTGTGTGCACCAGTTAGTATTCTTGAATCTCAAAAGGCTTCCATTCGAACCAGACTTACCGAGATTGAAAAACAGCTGACACAACGCATAAAGAACCACAGTTGCCCAATGCCCAGGTGTAAATTCAGCGGCTACTAGGACACCCCCCAACACGGCAAACAAAACGCTCAGTACAAGAAACGACCACACCAACCACATCTTCCGAGGTATATAATCAATCAACAAGATAAGAAGCCCACTGCCAACCAAAGAGCTGATAGAAATGGTGTAGATGTAGGACCTCGCATTGTTCGATATTTCCTCGAACATGTTGTATGTAGGATCCCAGATATTCACATAGTCAGGCACATTGAGACCGGAGTAAGTGGCAGGCGCAGCAGTAGTCAAAGTGGCTGTCACAGGTGGAAGCGCTGCGACAATGGAGGTAGTCAGGTTATAGATGCTCCCGTGGGCAGTCACTGCATGAGTAACAGGGATCGTGATGCTAGTGACACTTGCCGGTAGCGTGGTGACTGTGGTAACATTGGCAACGCCGGACGCCCAGAGAGCAGCAAGAGGGCGTGAAGAGTTAATTCCCAGTGCATAGAAGCAGAAATCTAGCAAGAACCAGCAGACGGATGTAGCTGCAAGATACCTGATGTTGCCTTGTTCAAAGAAGAAATCCCAAAAGCCCGGAGTATCTTCACGGTCTAATTGGGGTGATCGTGCCGGGGAAGGATGATCTGTGATTGCTCTAGGGTTTAATTGCCTGAGTTCATAGCGGTCTTCAAGTGGCGTAGATTCGGATTCTATCAAACGCGCTGTGCGACGAAACTGGCGTTTTGTCGCAGAAAGTGCTTGTAGAGGGTCATGAGCGACATCCATGGTATATCGAGGGGACTCGGGAATTGAAAATCGCCAGACTATGGCAAGGAGGGCGGGGATGCAACCCACTCCAACCACCCACCGCCAGACGCTATCCAAGGTCGAGAGAATCTGCTGTTGCTTTTCTACCGAAAGCTTTTCGAAGGCTGGCCCGTGGTCTGCATATCCTTGTAGGTCTCGCGATCGCATCAGCCCCGCCATAACCCCCCAACCCACGGCGACTGCTAGCAATTGTCCCAGTGGTTGCATCAAAAACACAGCTGCCATCATTCGGGCACGGTATTTCGTGCTAGCAAACTCGGCCGTTATCACCGCACTCAGAGGGTACTCCGCGCCAATCCCCATTCCGAGGAAAAAGCGATAGAACGCAATCCAACTCAAAATATCCATATTTTTGTGCATGCCTGTTGACGCTTGAGACATTCCAAGCGTGGCAAAAATCACCAGGACTAATTCAAGCCCATAAAGCTTCCGTCGTCCGAGTCGGTCTGTCAGCCAGCCGAACAGTAATTGTCCAAAGGCCGAGCCAGCCAACGTCGCAACATTGATATAGAGTTCGGGCTGGCGGTTTGTTTGGTTTGGCCAGTACAAAAAAGCCAAGATTGGGAGGATCACGTTCGTTGCGAAGAGGGCGTAAGAGTCTGTGAGGAAGCCCGATGCGGCGACGATGAAGACCTGAAAGTCGAAACCATTATGGTCAAAGATATTAATCACTCCAGCTCGCCAGAGGCGCGGATTGTCCTCCTTTTCGTCCGGCACACGCGTTGTGCCATCCATCCACCATGGATGGTCGCCGAAGGGAAATGGCAGCCACTCGGTCACTGCCTTCCATGTAGACACATTTTCGTTGGATTCACGGTCAGTTGGATGGACGCTTGCCATGGCCGTGTGGGAAGCTTGGAATGTTCCAACATGTTATAAAAAAGGAGATGTTTGATTTTCTCTATAGTTGCTACATATTCGGGTGAATACGAGCGCCGCTCAGCTGATTGTACTTACGTCCGTGCCTAACCACCACTAGCGCTGCACCTTCGTCACGATTCGTCTAACTACACAACCAGTCAACGTGTTTGAATTAGGAACGTGTTCTGCTAATTCATAGAGCCTCCGTCGGCTCACAATCATTATTGGATTACAGTGAGAGGCAGGACATGCGTTGGAACAGCATGGATTGTATTAATATTGTTTTCCTCCTGGAAATCCTCCGATGTCCGTTATTTCCACCATGTCCAAGGTCTGGACTGCCTGTGCTGAAGCAGGCCCACTTGCATCATTTCCCCCGAAAAGCTTCAAACTACAGCCCAACATTTCCATGCCTTCTACTCTACTTTCAGGTGCTTTCAAAAGATTCTTAGGCAACAGAATACCACGCTAGAGCTTTACCATGAATTTCAGCAAACATGGGACGAGTGCATCGACTTCTTCTACCACAATCCAACCTGGTGTCCCGAAGGTACCATCCCGCAGCCAACGCTGCTGCATCAAAATGCCTGCTATGTATATACCAGCGCCGATCTGGATGTCCTCGAGAGGCGCGTTAAGCTGCAGCTTCATATCATGAACGCAAAAATCGACGACATCATCCTGTGAGCTCCTATCGTCGTTCGGCTTTTATTTTGAACGGGGCTAACCAAGTTCCAAACTACAGAAACCTCTACTCACCTGTCATCCGACTTTCCGACATGCATCGACTTCCTCACGGGATGACCAACGAAGGTCCTCCGCAGTATGACAACACGACGCCGTCAATGCGAGTTCCTGTCGAGGAGAATACATGGCCACTCTTCCAACATCTTCTTGAGCTCAATGAAGCCCTCAAGAGAGTAACAGCTCCACCCCTGGGTACAATACAGCGTGAACAGCTCTGGAAGCTGATCACTGCCCGATTTCGAGAGCATGAGTTGCCTTCACAGGGAACTCACCTAATGTTCTCCAGGGACTTCCGAGTAATGGACAGAAAGCATCTTCGGGAATATTCTCAGCAGTCATTGAAGCAGAGGCAGACTGCGTATCGTACAGAATCACTGATTCCAACTGTTCGGAGACGTGTCTATAGCCATGATGAAGGCACCGGTTTAGCAACTCTGTAAGGCTCTGTTGTTTCCCATGTATTGATATACTCACTGACAAATGATATTAGTCGATTGGACTCCAGTGGCGAAGAGGAGACTCTACATACCGTCGACGTCGTTACCAAGTCTGGGACAAGGTTGATAGTTAGTACCAAAGAAGGCAGAGAGTGGGGGCTTGTACAGCACCGTAAGTTCTCTTTTTATGTACCGCTGGTGAGGTGTAACAGTGCTAACGCAACCAGTTCCCTCGATCAATCAAATACATCCATACACAAAGCACCAGCTTTTCAACACCTCGGAAATCCGGCTTTTCGAACCGTGCGTTGTTGATGAGAGCGACGGTGCAGTCACCTGGCGTTACGAGGGACGTAAACCATCTTACCAATTCGATTCTTCTTCCGATGCAGTTGCCTTCCAATGTGCCCTTCGGGGTAAAATTTTGAAGCACACCTTTCAAGTCGAGAAGATCAATTCCGGGCGCGGTACAGAGGGTTCTGCTCAGCCGTTAAAGCTGTGGTCTGATTTTTATAACCAGAATTGGTCACTGTCTTTTTTGGTCGAGCACAACAAGCCATTTTATCATACGGACGTTCCCCTTGGCATGCTTTCCTCCTCAATATACGCAAGTGAATCGAGCAACAAAGTCCGTGTCGAATTCTCCTCTCACAGAAAAAAGAGAGCTCGATCGTCGATGAGTGACCCTAGCATTATACGGCGTTTCAGTGGCATCTTCCGTGCCCCTGTGGCCTTGCCAAACCCACGCCCTGCCATCGAGAAAGCACAGGAAAACACGAATACTCTTGCAGAGGAGGAGTTGCCTACAGAGGATACGCGATTCCTGACATCCATGGCTTACCTAAAGATCGAGTTCTCGACATCTGATGGTATGATTTCAATCTTTCTTACCTATCAACAGCGCTCTTTGCTCATATAATCATTCAGATGCCAAATTGTTTCAAGATACGTTGGAGAAATTCTTTGCTGGAATCGATCCAGGTGCCCTGGATGAATCAAAATCTCCAAGATTGCCCTCGCCGCAGGCACCGGTGAGGCCACCTAGAGGCCCAAGCCCCCCCACACGGATATCCCCACCTTCGCCTCCTGTGGAGGCAAATAATCAGCTGTCTAGCGGCGCCAGTACCCAAACACGGATATCCCCTCCTCCACCTCCTTCTGTGGAGACAAAGTATCCCGATTACCGTATCCGAGGCATAGATCCTGATTGTCAAAGTTCCGATCTGCTGTCTTTCATAGGCCGCAAGCTCGATCTCGAACCCAGCATTGTTGGGCGTGTCAAGTCCCTTGCCATCAGCTACACAGGAGAATCTAAAGTGGCAGTAATCTCATTAAAACCTACGCCAGCGTGCCTTTCAACCGAGGGAAGGGACGAATGGATCTTTGGCCCAACTTCCGAGAATGATGACACACACATTACCGTTGACACACACTTCCGTGGAGTGACGGTTCTTTATGCGCCTCCTCCGGAAATACCTCACACCATCGAGTAAGTACCCGTCATTTTGGCGACTGAAATAAGCACTAAGACACCGTTCTAGCATCTGCGCCGTTGCCGGCCTTGGAGGCCACGCCTGGGGATCCTTCAAGCACAAAGGAACATCCCAGTCGTTCATGTGGATTTTAGATGAGCTATCCAAACATCTTCCATACGCCAGAATCATGACCTACGGCTCCAAGACCAAACTCGATAGGAACGAGTCAACCCAGAGTCTTGAAGAATTGGGAGCGTTACTCCGAAGTGAGCTGCGAAATGTGACCAGAAGACGCTCTCCGTCTACTTTGAGCTCTGCATCGCCCCGTCTGGGGGCATCCTTTGCAGTTCCTTCTTTTTTCATTGCCCATAGTCTAGGCGGGCTGACCGTGAAAGAGGTATGGATAATCTACCGAGCATACCAACAGACCTAACAACGTCTAGGCCTTACTGCAAGAGAAGGCGGACCCAGAATTGGGCAGTTTCCTTGATAACCTCCACGGGGCGCTCTTCTTTGGTGTCCCCAGTCACGGCATGAATATCAAAGCGCTGGAAGCCATGATCAAAGGCCAGCCCAACGAGTCTCTGGTTAATTCCATCAGTTATCAGTCACAGACATTGCAAAAGCTCAGTCGAAAGTTCAAGTCCAAATTTGCGAACCGGAAGCCCAAAATCATCTACTTCTACGAAATGGAGCCATCTTTCTCCCCCGTCAAGGTACGTTCAAGATTTGTGTCTCTCGCAAAAATACTGACCGTACCTCAGCTCGACAATGGACAATGGAAGATGGCAGGCACCCCGAAGAAAATCTTAGTTGATAAAGATTCGGCTACGGATGGAGAGTTGTGGAGTGCAGGACATGTCAATTACCATCCTCTGAATCGTAATCATTCGGACCTTGTGAAATTTAGTCCGAATGATGATGATTTTCGGCGGGTGTTGAATGAATTGATGAAGCTGGTGGAGGATGCTGAAGCTGAATATGAAGAGGAATGATTTCGTTTTTTTTTTTTTTAGCGAGATTGTTAGGATATCGGACACACTACCTGTATATTCCCCGTATTGGTGGTGGTTCCTAGTTCCCGAATTAACTAAGTTCCTTCTCGGCCACCGCTAAGGCCAGCTTGCCTCTCGCGTCTTCTTTCCCGACCATCCAGCATTCCCTCCTTCTCTCCCTTGTCCCTAAATATTGGCCACTCATTCGCATCGCGACACCTGTCCTCCAGCGGATCGGAATTGGCAAAATTCCTATAACAGCGAACCCCACGCGACTCCGTCCTATCTGTTACACTCGCTCCAGGTCCCGCGATTTTCGCCCACGATACCCCTTCGCGTCGTCCCCCAAAATCAATGACACGCAAGAACGGCAGCCTCACCCGACGGCGCTCCAAACCCAACCTGCAAGTGGCGACCGGCCAGAACGGCCATGCGAACGGCACGATGAACAGCAACATCGAAATGCGCAAGCGGGACACCTCGACGGAGGACTCGTCCGTGCGAGCCACCCGCCTCATGTCGCGCGACACCTTCTCCCTCGACGAAGATCCCCCCGCGCCCCAGACGCCCGCCATGTCTAACACGAGCTTCCACAACCTCCCCTCCAGTGACCGGCGCAATTTCCTGTTGCTGTGTCTGCTGTATTTCCTGCAAGGCGTGCCTATGGGTCTGGCCACTGGTTCCGTACCTTTCCTGCTCAAGCCATACCTCTCCTACGGTCAGATCGGCGTCTTCTCGCTCGCCTCGTACCCATACTCCCTCAAGCTGTTTTGGAGTCCCATCGTTGACGCGGTCTGGAGCACACGGTTCGGACGCCGCAAGAGCTGGATCACTCCGGTCCAAGTTATTGCCGGTCTGGCCATGATCTATCTGGGTAGCCACATCGGGGACATGATGGAGAAGGCTGGCGCGAACGGTGGCGCGGGCGTCTGGAACTTTACCTACTGGTGGTTTACGCTGGTGTTTTTCTGCGCCACGCAGGATATCGCGGTGGATGGATGGGCCATCAGCCTGATGTCTCCGCCGAATATCTCCTACGCTTCGACGGCGCAAACCGTGGGCTTGACGGCCGGCCATTTCCTGTCGTACACCGTGTTCCTCGCCTTCAACTCACAAGATTTTGCCAATAGGTGGTTCCGCAGCACCCCAAGTGAGGGTGGCTTGCTGTCCCTGGGCTCCTATCTCACTTTCTGGGGGTGGTCGTACCTGATCGTGACTCTTGGTCTGGCGCTGTTGAAGCGAGAGGAACGCAGCAAGGAGCGCGATAGCATCATGGATGTCTACAAGAGCATGTGGAATGTACTGAAGCTGAAGAACATTCAGACCATCATCTTCATCCATCTGATCGCAAAGATTGGTTTCCAGGCCAATGACGGCGTTACCAGCCTGAAGCTTCTTGACAAGGGCTTTGGCCAGGATAACATGGCCTTGGTGGTACTGATTGATTTCCCCTTCGAGATCATGCTGGGCTACTATGCCGGCAAATGGTCCACTGAATACACTCCGATGCGTCTATGGGGATGGGCATTTACCGGCCGGCTGGCAGCTGCCGTACTGGCTCAATTTACCGTCATCATCTATCCTGGTGGCTACGACGATGCCGTCCCGTTTTGGTACTTGTTGACCGTCATCTTGGAACATGTGGTTTCAACATTCATGAACACGGTGATGTTCGTGTCCATCTCAGCCTTCCACGCGCGCATTGCCGACCCAGCTATTGGGGGAACATACATGACCCTCCTAGCAACGTACGTAACCTCTTTACCCTGCTCCTGTCTGCCACTAACAAGTATATTAGGGTCTCCAATCTGGGCGGAACATTCCCACGGTTCTTCATCCTCAAGCTTGTCGACCTCCTGACCGTGGCCACCTGCATCCCTCCAACCGTAGCCCCTCCAGCCTCCAGCCTGAAAGGCGATCTCATCACGTCCGCCTTTTCCTGTGCCATTGAGCCTGAAAAGCACCGTTGCATCAACGGTGGCGGCGTCTGTCATGTCGAACGCGACGGTTACTACCTCACCAACATGATCTGCGTGCTCATCGGCACCGTCACTTTTATCATGTTCATCAAGCCGGCTGCTATGAAGCTGCAGAGCCTGCCGCTGCGTGCGTGGCGGTTAGTGGGCAATGAACGCGAATGATACAACATGGTTTTTCGAGTTTGAGTCTGCATATAGAGTCCATAGACTCGCGAATGAACAAATTAGATTTGGTATAACATTTCTTCATTCAATCAGATTTCTTGATAGGGTATAAGTAAGGTCGGAGGTAGTATGTATTGTACATCAATAAGACAGAGAACATCTCAAGTCTCAACGCCTCGCCGCACCTCCCACGCCGCCATATCCAGAATGAGCCTCGCCCATCCCCGATGCAAGCGCTGAGTCCACTGCGGGATGATCTTCTGGTACTCTCCCTCCTCCGACACAACCTCATAGTCATGCGCCGTCGAAAAGCGCACCTCAACCATTGTGTCCTTTTGCTCCGCTAAATCAAAGGGCGCGGACACGCTCAGCTCATCCCCCGGACATCAGTCGCCACGGATACCCCCATCTCGCAATGGACTCGAAAAATTCCCGCGGTTCAGCGGGCATGGACCAGGCAAAGAGCAGTCCATTGCTATCTGCATTTCTCGGCTCTGGTGCGCGCTGCACCGCTACAGCCCCATTTAGCAGGACCCGCGGCGTAGACGCACTCCCATTGCCCTCTACCGAGAAACTGCTCTCCGAGTCCCCCCTATATCCCCGGTAGATTACCGGCCATGCCGCAAAGCCCAATCAGCGAAGCCTCATTCCGCAGCGGTTTGCTTCCTAGAACAGACCGCGCCCAGGCTTCTTCCAGCGCGATCTTTTTGCTAGTTTCATTGCCGCGTGTTCGCGCCTGAAGCGCTGCGAGCGGGATGCGCGCCGAGTAGACATCGATATACGCGCATCGCTGCTTCCTCTGGGTTGCTGGGAGTGCGCAATGCTACGCTGGTAGTTTTGTCTATGGGGAGCTCTGGGTATGTTGCTTCCAGGTGGCTTAGTCCCCGGTGGATGCCGTAGCTGGCCGCTGCTGTGGGCAGCACGATGTAGGTGAGTAGTCTGCGCGAGGCGCGTGAGGGCATGATTGATTGCATGGACTGAAGTACTTATCGTGAGAAGATTATATTATAGATAGTTATCTCTACAGAGTTGGTAAATAACTCGGGGGAATTCAACCCGCCCAATGCCTATGGCCCCCGGTCGGGAGGATCCGATTCCGATAATAATAATAGCACGGCGAGTTAGGGTTTCAATGTTTGGTGCTCAAGTGGAGCCGCGATCGTCCCGGTCGTCATCTTTTTTTTCCTCTCTTTCTTCTCTTCAAGACACTGACTTACTCCAATTATTGACTGACTGCCCATCCATACCGGGTAGTTATACACAGACTTATCGGGGCATCCGACTATGACATCGGTTCAGGCAGACTCCAATTCCAGCACGCCATCCACCCCACCATCCCCCGCCACAACCATGACCTCAGCCCAGTCCGACGCGGTGGACAATTCTCTAGACGACATCTTCGGCTCCTCTCCACCACGGGAAAGAAGAGAAGAACCCGTTCGGAATAATGCCGACTCCAACACCACGGCCGAGCCTTCCGACCTCCCGTCGCTACGCCGACAACATGTCACCGCGGGGTATCGCGACGGAGTCTCCGCATCAAAGAGCGAGCATGTACAGCGAGGATTCGATGCGGGATTTCCCGTTGGCGCGCAGCTGGGTATGAGGGCGGGAACAATTCTTGGGATTCTAGAGGGAATTTTGCATGGGTTGGAGGATCGATCGAGCTCGGGAGTAGTCAAAAAGCCGCCACCGCGGGGCACGAGCATGAGCACGGAAATGTCTACGGACGACTCAACCAGTGTGGAGATGGCCGAAGCGCGTCGGAAAAAGAAAGAGGAGGTGCTCGGTCTATACCAGATGGCTGTCAAGGAGCTGGACGTGCAGTCTGTCTTTACAGGGGCCGAGGCAGGGTCGCCCGCAAATATTGAGAAAACAGGGGAGCGCGCGGAGACCCAACTCGCTCAGAAGGCAGATCCTGTCATTGCGAGGTGGGAGGAAAGGGTTGCTGTGCCGCGATGGGAGGAGAATATGGAGGCCCTAGAGGAGAAGGAGAAAGAGGGGGGTCAGGGAGACAAGGAGAGCAAGGCCGCGCAGAGTTGAGGGGGTGCTTGCTTTCTTGGCTGCGCGCCAGGGTACGCGACTATATTATTCCACGGAGAAGGCTTGGGCCTCCCTCCGCTGCAACCGGGCAGCTCAGAACAAAGCCCTGTCTGCTTGCAGGACGCGACGCGATTGTCCCTACGCCGATTTGAGACCCAAACACCGGGGCGACGCTGCGGCTGCAAGGCACATGCGACGGGCGGGCTGCGGATGGCCGGCCCGGAGCGGTGATCGAACGGCATCTTTTCTCCGAGACATTGGATTGAGTCGATGATGGTATAGCTTGGAGACAGCGGTTGCTACGACGAGCAATACTATTCAACTTTGTCGCTTCCTCGGTGATGTCAAGAAAGACGCGGTTGCACTCGTTTTATAACCCATCTCAAACGTGAGACACAGCAGCAAGATCAGTTACAATACGGTCTACCTCGGGTCGCATCAGACCGAATACCGATACAGAGGGCCCCGTTGATCCGTTTGTCTGCATGAAGATGTTTCCGGGAAGTGGAACTCCCTTGCAAAAGTCCGATTGATCTGAAACCTGACACCCCCTGGAGAGTTTCGGGGAAGTTGCTCCCGGTGCAGCCCGTGGTGTGTCGACTGGACAGGTCTGGATGTATGTATGCAACTCCGCGTTGGGTTAACTAGGCAAACAGCAGGCCCCTGTCGGCCGTTATCTGCCAGATACCCATCGGAGAAATGTGCTTTCCCGGTCGTATGTGATAATGAAGTGGTACCAGGTTGTGATATCTGATATGACTACATAGCATGTATAGTACGATAGGATAGCACGTTCATTTCTAATCTCATGAATAAGTAAGCACCCTTGATTTCCAGCCGAGGTAAAACAAAAGTAAAACGTCTCTTGGCAGAGTCCAGATGTTGGAAGCATCGATGCAAGGGATGAGCGGATGCAGTCTACCCCATCCGACTGGACATGTATCATCGCCACAGTCGGCTCAGCCCCATTGTGCTTTTGTCTGTGGCTGTACAGACCATTTTTTCCTTTTTGGAAAAATTGTCATTGTCTAGGGCAGTGGTGGTCGATTCATTGGTTTCAGTTAGATCTAGTTGTTGTCGTGGTATACAGCACAGAATTAAAGTTTCCCCTCCAAAAATGTCCACATCCTCTCACACTCAGGAAGCGCTATTTCTTGTCCAAGGAGAATCCCCGGAAATGGACCTCCGCTGCCAGAGCACTTGACAGCTCCCGACAAAAGATCTAGAGCCTCCGACGCCTCTTCGGTGCAGAACCCCACTCAACCCAAAGCTCCCAGCTACCGGATGCAAAGTACTTTCTGCGATCTAACATGTCAACCCCCTTTTCCTGAGGAACCAGTATCCGGGGTCTGACCCCTGTTACTGCCTACATTTGCAGGGCGTATGTAGGTAGCTGTAGCTGTAGCTGCAGATAGGATCCGATCCGGATAGTGGGGTACGTACTTCTACATGGGCCGTCAATCGGAGAGTATAGATATTCTGCACACTATCACGAAAGGGAATGGGATGAAACAAGAGGCTTTTGGTAGCCTAGTCTAACAGTGAAGCAAAACGCTTGGTGATGTGTATTTCGTGCGGAAAGGTGGGATCCAATGTGACAGCAATTCAAGGAATGTGAGGCACAGATACAGGACGGGGGTCTAAACTCAACAGAGGGGTATGTAGATGCTACTACTGATAAAGGAATAATCATGGGCTTACGTACCCTCGAATTGCGGACAATGATTTGTTCAGAGACTGTAGTATTCTCGAATACCTCCACGGACCAACCAACCCCTCCATGAACCGCCGCATTCCAGTCATCGACAGATAACTCTATCTCATCACCCTGCCAACAACCCCATTACAGTGGTAGCCCAAGGTAGTAGCTCACATTACTCCAAAATGGAAAAAAGAGGTTGAGAATAATACATTGTAATAATGCATTTTTGATTGCCTATCTTGTCTAATACATGCGCCGAACCTTCCCAAAAGAAACCCAGAGATGCTAGCCAATTGGTGTTTGCTGCGCCATATTCCCGCTATGTAGAAAGTATTATTGTAGGTGTTCACACTCACACAGAAACAAGTTTTGATTTGTCAATCATGGACAACCCCAAGGATATGAGGATAGGGACACGAAACGAAACGAACCACAGGATGAACGAAGCGAAAGCTGGTGAGAACTTCCCATGAGGAGGAAGAAAGATCAAGACGAGGACGTAAAGACAGAATAAGTGTTGACGAACACCACGGTAGAGACAAAAAGGAAACGTAAATGACTGGAGGAGTCAGAGAGACATGAAGACGAAAAGGAAAAACATCAAGGACAGTAAGGACAGTAAGTGACCGGACATACCAGTCCTTGGCCTTCGTGTTCGTACGTGTCTTCGTTCATAGCGCGTGGTTGGTCCCCTTCCATGAGAATCGTGTGCGTGTCGGGTCTTCCAGAAATGTGTTTCCGGATTCATTAGGTCCACTTCTTGGAAGACTTCACCACTCGGATCAGAAGCGAGTGGTGAAAAAGAGATAACAAAATTTCAGACATGAAAAGAGCGTGTGAGCAGCTGTTGTGCTCGTACATCATAAAACATTGAGAAAATACATCAGAAATCGTGGCAATAATCGTTCAGAGAAAACAAAAACAGATGGCTGGTCGTGAAGAAAAAAAAAAAGACATTATTTTGATGGTGGACTCGACCTGGCGAATGGTCGGTGGCAGTTGAGGGATCGAATTGACTCCATCACGCGCCGGTAGAAAGGCTGTGACTTCTCGTCGTCAATGGGTTCCTCCAAGGTAGCCACGGAGGTCTGCTCGTAGCAGAGCGAGGTCAAGTGCTCTTTACCTGACGGTGTGCTTGGAACCGAAGACGAGTCTGAGCGCTGGCGACGGCGGAACTTGGCCTGGAGGGCTGCAGCAGCTGTGCGGTCGAGGTCGCTCTCTCGGGCATTGCTGTCATTCCGGGAGCGTGACCGGGGTCGGAGCAAGGACGTGGAAGAGGGTGCAACGAGACGTAGTGTCTGCAGACCACGAGGAATTGCCTCCCGGCTCATGCTGGGGCGAGCCCGGTCGAAACTGGCGCTGCGCAGGGATTCGACGAATGGCTCGCTCAAGGATTCATCTGGCATGACGGGGAACTTCTCTAGTGTCTGGTCGTCGACACTAGCGTGAAGCTTGGGATGGGACTTGGCCGTGCGCAGTTTGGCGCGACTGCGCACCTTGCGCAGGGTGTCGTTGGTCCTCCGAGAGATGGACTTGCGGCCAATGGACTCGGTGTCTGAGTCGGACTCCCACACGGATTGTTCACAGTAGGGGTCCATGGTGGATGTCGACGGTCGTTCCATTGATGTAGCTGTCCACTGTCTTGAGATGGGAGGCGAGCTGGCCACTGGGCTGGGGACAGGGCTGGGGCAGTCATTGGCAGGAATGAAGAGGGCCTGATCGAAGTGCGTTGCATGCGGCTCCATGGTGACAGGGTTGTAAAGGCATGGAGGCGAGATCATGGACGGATCTAGTGGTGGTCTTATGCCAGGGCTAGATTGCTTCCGGCGGGAGCTATGAGAGCTGGCACCCCGGGAAAGGTTGGGCAAGGTTGGATGAGGCTTCCTCCGACGAGACGAGGAGGGAGCTGCAGGCTCCTCGCACCGCATGTTGAGGGATTTGGCAGAATGGCTTGAAGATGGAGGGGCGGGAGTAGTAGAGGGAGTATCTGTAGTGACTGGGATAGGAGGAGGAGCGTATTGAGGAGGTGTAGGAACAGGTAGACAGTAGCGTGAGCGATGTTCCGTCTGTGCGTTTTGCGCGTGTTTGTATAGTTGCTCTGTCGCCTTGAGCACGGCTTCAGGACAGACCGGAGTCGAGTAGTTGGAAGAGAAGGAGCTGCTCGGGGTAAGGTCGGGTGTTGTGCCGTCCGTTCGCACGGAGCTGAACGACTCCTGC